GGGGGGGGGGCTGGGAAGTCGGAAATGACAGTACAAGTACAACAGAGTACTCAACAGGCAAGAACAAAAATTTCTGTGCAGTCTAGGAGGTTGCAAGAGACCAAACCCTTGGGTATTTTCGCCGATCGCAATGCAACGAAAAGCAGTCTGCCACCCCATCGCATGAAATGCCTCGCGAATGGCTTCGCAAGTCCTGCTTTTCTTGCCGTTACCTGCTGCGCATTAGGATCGGAAAGCTGGTGTGGTGGGTGGATCAGAACAGCTTGTGTTCGAGCGTCATGTCGGATTCGGGCTGAAGACCGACACAGGCACGGAAGATGTTGGTCAGAGCACTGCGCTGCTTGGCCAAGGCGTTGACGACAGGTGTTCCAGGAGGCGTGAGTGGTGCCTGAAGGGAAAACCCATGTTAGTTAAGACACCAAAACAAAGTCCCAATTCAGCATGTTCGCCCTTACCTTCAACATGTAGCTAAGAACGCTGAGAACACTGTGGAAGCCCTTGTATTCCGTAGCGGCTTGAGTCTTCCACTGGATGCGAGTCATCATCTCAGTCACGAGGACAAGATCGATGATCAAGGGCGAGGCCAACAAGGAATCCTCGCAGACATTGAAAATGCTGATCGTTTGATGGCCACCCATGAAGATTTCAGCATAGTACTCATCCAAGGCACGCTTGTTGTCCCCAACGGCGGGCATGTATTTGATGACAACAGTGTGATCCGGGTGCTCGTCCTTCTTGTACAGGACAGTGTTGGCAGCCACCATGTCGTCGACGACATTCGACTTGGAAATCTCCTTGGACCGGAACTGTTTCTGAGAGCTCAAGTTCTTGCCGTCGTTGTTGCCAAGATGGTTGTAGCTTGCAATGGAAGTCAACTTGATCCCAGCATTGATCAGAAAATCGACCAATGCAGACTTCATCTTGGTCTGACCGGACTTGAAGTCGTCACCTCCAATGTACGACTCGTGTTTCTCAGCGAGTTGAACCGCTCCGGGAACAAAGGTATTCTGTGGGGAGCCGTTGATGAAAGGGGCCTTTTCAAGGATGCAAGCAACAGAGAAGACAGTCGAAGGCGATACTTCCTCGTGTCCCTGCTCAATGGCTTTCAGCAAGTTCTCGGCAGTGTCATTGACACCCAGGATGATGTCGGCGTAACGTTCCGTGTTGGCAGTCCAGAGAACAATGACCTTGTCAAGGTTGTTTTGAGCCTTGAAATCCCTGCGTGAGTTAGCATCTTTAGGTACATTGGGTGTTGAGCAAGCCATCGCACCTGATGTCCGCCCTGATCTGATCAACATGAGCCATGCTTGCTTTGCTGCCCGGCAGAATGTTATCCGCACGATCTTCCTGATTCGCAGCAATGAAATCGGGGTAGTAGATACTTGGCAAGGGCTTCATAAGGGCCATTTCCTTGTAGACCATGGCCTTGAGGGTCGGTTCAAGAACCTGAGCACGGTCCATTGCGGCCGCAATGTTCATGCTGCTGATGTCCCAGCCGCCAATCACAATGTCATTTGGGTGAACCATGGGCAAGACGTCATGGAAAGGAATGTTGACCTCTTCGTTGGTTTGGGCGTCAGCCCCCAGTTTGATGGTTGAGCTCATAATGACAGAGCCATAGTAGTTCGCAGCACGACTTCCTTCACGGGTATCCCAAACAAGTCCTCGACGATTAGCGATGATGCCAGCAGTGACAGTGGAGCCGTTGTTGCCGCCCCATCCCACCAACATCACACCGACCTTGGGCACTTTGCGGTCGACTTTGAAGTCATAGATGGTTTCCTTGGGGGTTGCAGTGTATTTTCCATCCGCTGACTTGGTCACCGCGGTGGTGCGGTAGACGTACTTGCTCTTAATGTGGTCGTCAGTGTATGTAACATTGGGGGAATTGACCGTGAAAAGATCCTTGGGCGAATGAGTTGGGTCCGAAGTATGATTAGCGCCATACCCGTTCATGGTGCCGACGCCGATTTCCGCGTGTGGTGCCATATTGAGTTCAGGAAAATTGACTGAGTGGTTTCTTCAAAGATTTGGAGTAACAGCGGTCTCTGAGATATGGCGAATTTATCGGGTCTTTGTTGAATCCGATGCTCCTCCAGGAGGGGAAGAGCGTCGGCTACCGTTGAACGGGTGATGGGACCTTTAAAGAGGTTGATATGTCAGAGCAATTCCATGAGCGGTCTAGATTGAAGAATTCGAAGGCGAGACCAAATTCTCAATGGAACGAGCGGGTATCCAACCCCGACGTCCAAGGGCTATCGGGGTGGAAAGAGAACCGTCGAGGTACCACCCGCGGTCAACTGCATGACAAAGGGCAAGATGGCCATGACACGAGATTGACGCCAGGTACCGCCAGATGAAGATTCGAAATGCATGAACAGGGGATAGATGCAGGTACCAGTGCTACAGGACCGGGCTGGAAAGAGACGACGAAGTGGTACTTACGAGGGCAATAGATTGGAAAACGTCTTGGCGGTCGGGCGGATCACGCGGAAGTGATCCTTGTGTCTAGAGGAGAGTGAGAAGAGATCACAGCCAGGCGGTGATCAGACTCGCGTTTCGAACAGATCTGGGACGGGGATTGTGTGGTCGAAGGGGATGGGATGTCGAGGGAACGTCGAGACTTTTGTATTCCCCGTGCACTTGTCAATCGTTGTGTGTGGTGGATAGGGTGACTAATGGGAATTGCGTCTTCCTAGCCTCGCTAATGGGCTAGCCAGCAGTTAGTTAGCCTTGTCGCTTTGACCGCCTCGACTGTGGAGTGTCCAAACTGTCTCCCGATAGCCGTTTGGGCAGCAAGTCCTCCGTAACGGGTATCCGCTGAATAGTCTCTTGCTCTCAAGAGGGGCAATGTTGGTGTATCCTGTCACTATCGTTTAAAGACGTGGGAACAGTGGTACAGTGCGCGAGAGTGATCGCATGTTGTTGTCCTTCATCCCACTCACCAGCGGACCTTCTCTTTCCTCGCACCACTTTTCTCTGCTCTCATATATGCCGCCGGCTCCAAACACGACTGGAAGCCAATGCTGATTGCTGAAATCCCAAGCATGTGCATGTGGTCCGCATGAGACCTGCACCACTTGTTACGGTTGTGGTCCGGAATCATATCTTGGAAATCCCACTTACCTCCAATCAATCCACCACAGTAATCTCACCTCTCTCGACATCCCGCGTCTCTCCGAATCCAGTCTTCCTATCCGGTTGAATCCACTGGTTCAGTCTTGCTGGCCAACTTACGTCTAATCTCTCCCGGACTGCGGGTTATTCTCTCGGTCACACGACGTCTCTTTGGGCCCAATTTCAAACTTGGGCGCATACCGTCCACACTCTGACGGCATTTCTGATCGGGCTGTACTCATGGTGTAGTCCCGATCTGGCCCACACAGATCGAATACCCTTCTTCCTTCCCAACGGAAAAGGTCTCCGCGTCACACAAGCTGGGGGGGTTCTTCTTCGTGGTCGTCAAAGCAAGCTTTGGGATTTCTGAGCCCTTTCCGAATGATGGACAATCTTTTTCCTGTCTCGGTTGTTTGCTTGCTTGCCAGATCTGACACTAAATACCCTGCCGAGTGACATTTACGCAGCAATGTGACGACGCGCTAGGACGACCGACGCCATTCGCGAGGGCGTCGTGGGGGGACCGCTGCTTACCGAAAGCCTGGTGCATAGGCCCGAACCACAATTTCGAGTCTCGTGTCGTTCTTCCGCCCGAGTCCTAAGTTGATGTCGATTAGATAGATCATCCCAGCAATGGCCTGCCCAATCGTCAATGTGCTGAAAACAGAGTCATCCCGCTCTTTTTGCCGGACTTACTGGAATATTTTCACTGCAGGAAGCCAACAGCTCGACGTCGCACAAACTACTGTAATCGACAGCACAAGCAAGTTCATTCGAGGGAAAAGCCTTTGTAATAGCCAATGTGAAACAATAACAGGAAAGTTGAGGTGGAGGTGTTGCACTAGTATATATACATTATCGGTATATGTCTAACATATTCTTCTGATCGCAGACCAGTACCCATGTTCCGGCACGAAGCGTTGTCGCCATGTGACCGGCACAGGCCTCGTATATACATAGTTGATGTTAGAAGGTAGAAGAGCTGCAGCCAACTGAATCATGCAGCAGCACAACTTGGAACGATTGCCGTCGTGCAAAGCGAAGGTTTTGGTATTCAATTCTCACCCAGGCCGGCTCCAAATCGAAGAAACTCCTGTAGTCTGCCAGTGGAGAAATCCGGCGCCATTCGTTGTATCTATCATTGTCATGAATTAGGTCGTTGTCATTAATCTGGTCGTTCTTCTTTCAGGGAAATTCCTGCCCTTCACGAGTCCGGGATCTCCACTGGAGATATATTCTCGAATCAATGGGCTTGGGCGGCTGGGAGCGTTCTCATGGGATTTTGGTAAAGTCGCAAGCCGAAACGCATCCCGCTCGCAATACACCTTTCCAGAGAGTTCAAAGTAGTCGTGATCCAGTCGGACTCTGCAAGTTGTGCACTTTAAGCATTCTGGGTGGTGCTTCTCTTTCCCGCGCCCCGCCACGTTCGCCGTTTCCATGTACAGCCCTTCGATGCCTTTGCCACACGTAGCACAAAGAGAATTCTCTAGCTCGTGGTAGTGGTAAGCGCAATACGGGTGATCGTTGTGGACGTAGAATTCGGCTGTGGGAAACGCAATCTTGCAGGCCTGGCACACAAAGCACTCCTTGTGGTACCGACCTGTCAAGCGACCGTCTGCGCTTGATACTGACTTTTGTCCGGTAAGAATTAGCTGAGAACAGCCGCGACAGACTCCCTTATTGGGAACAGAAGGCTTGGTGCTGCTGCTTAATGATGCTTGAGGTCCATGAGTTGACTTCGGGCTTGTCCGTAGGCCCACAGAGATCGAGAATAATGAATCGGTCAAGTCAGATGCCAGGTTGGGGGGGTCTGGAATCGGGGACAAACGGCCTTGCTGAAGGAATGGATCTGTTGGTGAATCGGGCGATATTTCTGGGATCTTTGGTCTTAGTGGTGCTGGCACATCAATCTCACCAGGGCTGAGGAGCTCAGAAGTCAATAATTCGGATGACTTGGTTGCTACGGGTTCGGCCTGAGGTGAACTTGATCTGGAACTGGCCGTATGTTCAGAGAACGCAGCTGAACCATAAGAAGAAGCCGAATCCACAGACGCCCGTCGGAGAGCTTCAATGAGCTCTGCAGCCTGGGGATTGGGCGGCAGCACAGCCACGTCCGATGGCCCTGGTGTTTTGACATTTTCGGCCACAAGCGGCGGTGTAAGCTTTACCGGGGGCTCTTCGTTTGCAGGTTCCACGACCACCATCGGAGGAGCGACAGCAACCGGCTCGGGTGTTAGCCCCTCGAGCGCCTTGAGTGATTCTTCATGAATCGGTGAAGGACCAGGCGATCTCAGTGGCGCCATGCCAATCGGTGATGGCTCTGCTGCGAAGAATGACCGATCGTTATTCGGACTAAGAATACTTCGGCCAGCAAAGTGGTTCTCGTGGACATCCGGCTCGTCACTGAGAGCTTGTCGCACAACTTCGCGGCGCAATGTGGCTGATTGAGATCGTCGTCGACCAAACAATCGGCCCAATCCTCTCGAAAAGCTACCAGCTGGAGATGGTTGAGGCTCCGTAGGTGACTTAACCAAGGGCGCAATATCCTGACTGTTGAACAGCGGGGGAGGTCTCTTCGTTCTGTAGGCCGGCTCAGTCCCGGCTCTAGACCGTTCGTCAATTAGTCTAGGGGCATCGTCGGTAGCCTGCGACTTGAATTTGGTGATTTCCGGATCACCGAAGTCAAATGCGCCGAGACTGGGATCTACTGTTGCATCACGGGCAGGTTCTCGCTGAGTGGTAGAGCTGGAAACTTCAGGTGATAAGCTCCTTTCGTGAAGAACCTCCTTGGCCCCGTCGCTCTGCATTGCTGAGGTCGTCTCTATTGGATTCACTTGAACTTCTGGCAGCTCTTCACCTTTTTGCTGGCGATTGTCCCTTTCAGTGCTCTGAGGTGGGCTCCCGGAATCCCTGGGGCTTGGTGGGCGATACTGCTTCTGCCTTGGTGATTCATCGCTCAGAGTCGTCACAGAGTTGTCTGATCCTCCTCTTGAAAGTGGGTATGGTCTGCTTCCCGGTGGTAATCCCTTGTGAACATCACGAGATTTCGAACGTTTTGTATCACTGCGCTGGGTTGCGGATCTCTCTCGTCTTCGTGTTGTTGTGGCAGCTCTCGAGGGCAACGGGAATGGGGGAAATGCACAGTCGAGATTCGTCAATTCCGGCGATGGCGGACGTCGGGGTCCTGGTATCGACCCTTTGCGAATGGCAGGTGCTGGTGACCTAGGTCCAGAAGTCGCACTGACGGGAGAGATCATTGAGCTATGCCCGCTGCTTGCAGGCGTGAGCTCCCCATGGAACACTGGAGGTCGAACTGAAGGGCCAGTCAGCATGTGTCTACACAAATACTCCTCGATACTTACAGCCGAGAGAAGGGTCAATTCTGGGCAACGGCGGTCGCTGTGGTCTCATGCTCCTCAAACTGGTAGATGAATCTGTCCGTGGTGGAGGTGGAGGCATGATTGAAGCTTCAGAGGGTTGTCAGTTGATTGCATCATTCGTAAATTCAGACCTTCGAGTATACCTGCTGGAGGTGTTGTTGTTCCTGCGCACTGATGCTCGGTCAGACCTGCCATCTCGACGTCTTGTCCGCAATTTGAGCATTTGATGACAGGTAACAAGGTCGCATTCCTTGCGGGGGTCTCCATCCTTCCTTCCTTCCTTCCTTCCTTCCTTCAAATCCTTTGAGCGTTTTGTCGATCCGTCTATTCTTCCAGGCTTTCTCTCACTGACGATGTCAGCAATTCATTGCCAGGGAGCAACTCCACGACGATCTGTCTCGAAGCACGGAATTGGCTCAGTGGCTGGAAGGTGTTATCCTATTCAGTTATCTAGAGTTTGGGCGACATAGGTTGGAGGGAAATGGCCTAGTTAAGAAAACGGCCTCGAGCTAGAACAACCAAACCGTTGTGTGAGCAAGGGCAGGGTATGCTAATGCGGACGAGATAACAAGATCGCGGCCAGCGACAAGCAAGGTTATGGGTAAGCGCCCGGTCATTTTGGCGCAGGACCCAATGCATTATCCGCAGGCTGTCATGTCGACACAATCTTTGGCCGGGGTACCTCGAAGGAGATGAGGCTTTCAGTAAGTTTGCGCCTAAAGTTGATTAGACGGTGGAGATAAAGCCACGGCGTCGATCAAAGCAGTATCACGGCTTCCGGTAGGCGTTTCTAACTCGCTTTAGCATTGACATTTGACCAGGGGGCCTGGGCCACACTGAACCCGGCAACCAGTGAGATTTGTGCCAAAGAAAGAGCAAAGGCACATGCTCACCGACAGAACGTTTTCGGCATCCTCAGCGTCCCGAATACGGTGATGTTGGTGCATGAGCAACGAAGCTTCAAAATGGTGGCTGCGACATCGCATCTCTTTTGTTAGCTTTGACATCAAGTGTCGATTCTCTGAACGGCTGTTCTCGGTGTACAACGAAATCCCATCTTTTATCGGTGTGTCCAGGGAGGTTGGATTTCCTGAATGAGATTGATATGTCTCTCGACCCCGTATTTGGCGTCGTCATCTTTAGGAGATCATGTCACTTTACCGCACGAGGACTAGATTGCAGCCACGAACCGCCACCTCGACATGGATTGACTCGCAATACTGGAGGCAAAGGAACGCTTGTGGCTGTCGGCTAGGCCTCGATGGGGTTTGGGATTCTGGGTCCTAGGGTCGGCGGACATTGACGTTTAACCCATTAGAATATAGTTGCAAGTACCAGCGACTTGAAGCTGCAGAAATTCTCCGAGAAGGGGGGAAAGGTACAGAGACAGGTCAAGGACAGGTCCGAGATCAATGGCACTGGTTTTGACATGGATCCGACTGAGGGATGCAACAGACCATTCAGCGTCAAACAGAGAACGCATGGGTAGCCATTCATGCTGAGTGTGGTGATAAGTGAGTGGTCTGGCAGTGGTGGCAGGAGATTAAACTGGAGATGAGGTTGTTTGTTTGTGGGAGGAAGAAACAGCCAGTGGATGGCTAGCCTAAACGACGCTTCAGGTCCGGCACTAGACGTCTAGTGAGCCTACCTTGAACAGGTCCAGGCAGGTCCTTAACTAAAAGCCGCCTGGGAGGTCCCCTCTTCGCCCACACCGCTGCCACCAAAAGCGCCCTCTGGGCTTCCCCTGATTTCTCCAACGGCCAATCAATGCTGCTTGATTCAACTTCGCTTGCATTATCAGAACACAATTCACTTTTACGGGCATTTGCCATCAGGGTGGTCCCGCCCAAACTTCGACGAGATTCCCTCTCTTTGGTCGACAATTGAGTTCGAGAAGAATGCAAAGAAGAACCTCGATGATTCGGCGCAAATTTGCATGTATTTGTCGCCAATCACCGCGTTATCATGGGCATTGCCACAACCAGCGGAAGCCATACCGGAGAGTCGCGAAGCCACGAGGCTGAGGGATTTTTCCCTAGGGCAGGGAGGATGCAAAAAGGAACTATCAAGTACTCGGTACGGAGTAATGCTCCATAACAAGACAGACCAAGTCCTGAGGATCGTCTGTGATGGCGACATGGCTCACCGCCGATCACTTTCCAATCCCACAAGAACAGCAGATCACCGCTCATCTCGCGTCGGTGAGAAAGAACACAACCAACTTTCCCATGTTTGTTTCATCCTTCAAAATGAACCTGCACATCACCCCGGCAGTTGCTTTTCCAACTCCACCACCACCGGCATCGAGACGCTACCAACCCTGACCTTGGTGAAATCCGGTTCGAAGCCCTCTTCAATATCAGGATACGGACCCATGGGCGTGATGGCCTTGGGGCTGATATCCCAATGGCTCTTGGTGTAGTTCTCCTTGATATGCTTGAAATCGGTCGTCTCCCTGAATCCCTTGACATTCCAGTACAGGTTCTTCAACCAATTATTCAACTGTGGGTAATCGTGCCGAATCGTGCCTAGGTTACACTTGAAATGCTGCACGTACACGGTATCAAAGCGCACGAGGGTGGCGTATGCCCTGATGTCCAACTCGGTCAGGTCTTTGCCTAGGATGAACGGTCCGCCGTTCTGCGCGACCATCTTTTCCAATTTATTCAGTGCGGCAAACACCACGGGGACATTTTTGTCGTATGCTTCCTGGTTCGGTGCGAATCCGGCCTTGTACACGCCGGTATTCAAGTCCCTCTGCATCCAAACACTCACCTCGTCGATCTTGCCTCGCAAATGCTCCGGATACAGCGTGGCCCTGGCATATTCCTCGGGGAGAAGAAAATTGAACGCCACCTGCAGATTCCTCATTAACTCGGGACTCTCGTTGTTCACGATCGTGCCCGTCTCCTTGTCCCACAGTACGGGGACGGAATACCGTCCTTTGTAGCCTGGGTCAGCCTTGAAGTAGACCTCGTGGAGATACTGGCTTCCGAACAGTTTGTCGACCGTGGCATTGGGGTATTCGTCTTCGGACTTGGGGAACTGCCATCCGGGCCATCCATGCTCGTCGCCCTTGGGGTAAGGTTTCACGATGGAGATGTCTATGAGGTCGGTGAGGCCCTTGAGATGGCGGACGAGGTTTGCCCTGTGCGCGAACGGGCAGAAAAGCCCAATGTACATGTGATAGCGACCTCGCTGCGGTGGAAAGGGACCGTCTGGAGTGATGTGCCCGTGCCACGACTGCGACGATCCCTGGAGGTGCTCGGCCACAGAGCTGGGATTGGGGCGGCCGGGAGCAGCTGTAGTTGTCGACGTCGTCGTTGAAGACATTGGGCCCGGCGGGTTGTGGATTGGATTGAAAGTAGGCTGCTCACTACTATGGACTGAGCCTATCTGATTCGCTAGTGACTGAAGCCGCCTCATCAGGCCTCTGTCTCCCTTTATGTACCAAGTACACCTAGAAGAAAGGGTGTTTATAATAGGAAAATACACGATAGACGCGAAGCGCATGTGTTATTTCATTGTCTGGATTACACATGGAATGGCGCATCAATTCCGTTCTCATATGACGTCAATTTTGTTGATGGCTTGCATGCTCGGGATGCTTCGACAATCCTCAATTTTGCTCAGGCAATTCGCCTTTGCACATCATGCGCTGGCATTCATTCTGCTTCTGTAATGCTATTGAGGGAATGGCATCGGCTTCGTGTGGTCGTTACTTTTCAGCTCAACGACCGCCTATGTCTCCTTCCTCGAATCACATATATACTGCCTATGCCTCCGATTTGACCTTCTCCTTCAATTGCTGCCCTTCTTCAACCTTCTTGGACAACACCTTCTTCACATCCTCAATGGCACTTCTGACTAACTTCTCTGCCTCCTGTCCATGCTTCTGACTCAATTCCTGCAACTGCTGCAACTTCGGCCCAATCTCTGATCCACCAGGCATTATGTTGAGCAACTGCTCAATTCCACCCCCGGCACCTTCTGAGGCCTTGTCCACTTGCTCCTTCACGAAGTTTTGAAGATCGTCTGTATTTCCTGACTGAGCCGCCTCTTGCACCTTCTGCCACAGGTGACCCAAGTCACCCCGAAGCAGCTTGGCCTTGTTCTCCTCCATCAGCTTCTTCATTTGCGGTTGCTTGTCCAACAATGGCTTGGCTTGCTCCATGCCCTTTTGCCAGGCTTGGTCGCCGTACTGCCTCAGCTGTTGTGTCTTGTTCTGCATTAGATCTTGAATTTTCTGCACGGTCGAAAAGCTGACACCGCCGGCAAGGATGCTGCGTGCTTGCCGCCACGTCTCGTCGACTGCCTTCTTGGCTTCTGGACCGTACTGCTCGCCCATCTGCTGCAACTGTTCGAATCTGTCCCCGAACTGGCTCTTGAGTTGAGGGTGGTTGTCCAAGATGTCTTGCCCAGCGCTGGCAGCCAGGCTGCTGATTTGCTTGAAGCAATCTTCAAGGATTCCCCAAGCCTCAACCAGCGCTTCCATGCTGAATCCCTTCTGTGTGACGCCCTTCAGCTTTCCGTAGGTGTCGTTGATGATTTGGTCCACTTCGTCTCCGTGCTTCTCCCGGACCTTGTCCACATCTTCAAAGGCAGAGTCGACGTATTTTGAAGCTCCTGGAATCATCCTTGTGTAGCTTTGTACCGTCTCCTTCAGCCACTGGATAGCTTGGTTCGGCTCCGGGGCGTTCTGAGTAGTCTTCTTGAAGGTGTTCTCAACGTAAGCCTTGGTCGAGTGTATCGTGTTCAGCGCTGATTTTGCACCAGAGAATTGATACCACATGTATCCTAGCACGAATGCAAAGGTGCCACCAGCCAGGCCCCCCAGGAGAGCCTGGCTTGAAGATGACGAGGCATCGGTAGCAGTTTTGGCGGTGGCCGTAGATTGGAAGCGGGCGTTGCGAGAATGTGAAGAGAATTGGACTGGCTGGCGGCCTCTCAACGCCCGACCTGAGCGAAGAGCTGCCCTAGGGGTTCTTGCGAGCATCGTGTAAGGGTATCAAGGATTCAAAGGGGATATAGGAGAAATCTGACACAAAGTACCAGTGGTGCAAAGAACTGTAAATGAGAAGGGTTTGAAAAGCAGCGAAGGAAAGCACACAAAACAAACAAAGAGCTCACTTTTCCACCGCGCAACAATGACGCAGCTTGCGCCTGTCCGGGCGATGCTTTGACTCGTGCTTCCAATACAGTTTCACGATCTTTCATTGGCAGGGTCCTGTATCCAGACCCCAGAGAGAAGCAGCGGCGCAGGACGTCATTGTGGAAGGCACAGACTGCAGACGGCCGGCGCGGGTTCTGCAAATATCACGTCACGCGAGTTCCGTTATTACAGCAACGAAGGGATTCCCCAATTGGTTCTGTTGGCATGACCCTGGGTTTCTGAACACGAGGTGGCTGTCATGGAAATCTTGGAGAAGGCGAGAGGGAAGGACCAGACTTGCAATCAAATGCAAGCGACTGCGGTTCCCCGGATTAGGTGGATTAGGTAAATCAGACGTCATCACCTATTATGTAGTTGCTGCCACTCCCCTGCGAGGCACTGGACCCCAGGCTCGCTTCAAACCTTGCAGCCCTTTTGTTTACCACCACCATTCTCCGTCCTATTCTTCCCAACGCTCTCTTGTCTATATCAGCAGCCGCAGTCATGATTTGTCCAGCCGCTTCAAGGCCGGTCCGATGGACGACAGGCTCCTTTCGTTCGCTCCAAGCCCTTCAACCAAGGCGGACAATATCTGGTCTTTCCCGACCAAACCAGAAAGGCAGATGGCCATCCTCAACATCGTCGCGATATACACATGCGTCGCAAATTTCAGTGTCATTCCACAGCTTCTCCCCCCAATATGCACAATCACCCACCGCCGACGCTCTGATGGAAGATCTAAATGACCTTTACGCCACTGCAAAAGACGAATTCGAAATTGCGGCCGAAGAGACGGAGAAGAAAACAGTCTACGCTGCGGACGATAGAGAGGCGGCAGTGGACGCATTGAAGATGCTGCAAGAGGCCTTCCAAAAAGCACTGAAAGAGACCAGCCCGGAAGTCAGCAAGGAGATTCAGGGTCGTGTGGGACCGAGGATACGAGAGCTAGAAAATGCGGTTAAGGCGATGGAAGAGATGGCCATGGCGGACTGAAACATATGGTCAACTACAGATGAACTAACATTCCTGTGATTAGACGGAACGGCGGGCGTGTCTTCAAGCTACACGGACGGGCCTTGTGAGACCGAGCAGCGTCGGTCAAATTCGACCTCTTCTGCGGGCAGAGACATCTGCTTCGTCTGAGTAGCCCCTCATCTGCTGGAGTATTCCACGGAAGGGCGATCCATGCCTAGAAATCTGGGATGGAGAGAGGATCTATGAAAGAATTGCCGCCGACATAGAGAACATACACGCCACAATGGTCATAAAATTGAAGTAGATTTGAATCGTGGTATTCTCTTGATCAGGCACAGACTTGTCTTCGTGTCCGTACGCCATGCAAAGCTATTTCTCATGTTTGCCAATGCAACCTTGGAAGCAGGCCCTTATCAACTATTTGTTCATTTCCAGGTTCCCTGCGCCACCTAATAGCGCTTGCCTTCTCTCAGAACATCACCATACTCCTCCAGCGGACTTCTGATGAGCTTCGTCTCTTTCCACAAGTTGGGCGTCAAGAATCCGTAAGAGTTGCTAACTGCCACGAATGTCGCCTTCAGGGTGTTCTCCAACGTCTTTGTGCTACCGGCAGATGAAGTGTATGCATCCTGGACACCGGCAAGCTGCAGCAATCTCTTAACGGCCGGGGAAGCGACGAGACCAGTGCCTCGAGGAGCAGGGATCAACCGGACGGTGACGGAACCGCATTTGCCGGATTCCTTGGTGGGCAGGGAGTGAGGCTCACCGAGGTTGGTGCCCCAGTAGCCTCGTCGGATGGGGAGGACGGAGAGTTTGGCAATGATGATGGCGGCACGGATGGCGGTTGCGACTTCTTTCGAGGTTTTGATGCCAAGCCCGACGTGGCCCTCGCTGTCGCCAATGACCACGATGGCCTTGAACCGAGTGCGTTGACCGGCACGGGTCTGCTTCTGGACGGGTTTGATCTGTAGATTCGAGGCGGAACTTGTCAGAAACAAAATTACTCTGGTGAAAAGGCTGTTTCCGTATCGCCCTCCACAAGATCCATGTAGAAAGTGGTCTCTCACCTTCATGACTTCGTCCTTGAGTTTGGGCAAGAACCAATCGACAATCTGGTACTCCTTGATGGGCAGAGAGTGCAGGTAGATCTGTTCCATGCTCTGGATTTTGCCCGCCTTGACAAGACGGCCCAACTTGGTGACTGGCTGCCATTCCTTTTCGTCGGATTTCGCACCACCACGGCGCGGACCCCGTCGTCCTCGACCACGATCACCTCTTCCACGGTCTCCACGACCTCGATCACCGAATCCGCCGCGTCCTCGAGGAGCGTCAGCCATGTTGTGTGATTGCGCAGATGGTGGATTGTCAGGGCAAGGGTGCGCAAGTGGGAGGTTGAGGTTCTGGGTGAGTCTTTGGTGAACCAGCCAATTCGCACTGCAGTCGAAGATTCGCAAATTCACGCCAAGAAATTTGTTTTGGAGTTGTGGGCTATACCCGATTTGGAAGGGCGGATTGACTTTCAGAGATGGCAGCCTCTCCGCCGCCAACGCCAGGGCAAGCCAATGACGCAGTTGGAACCCTGGAAGACAGGTCTCCCTGATTGCCTCCAAAAATTGGTATTTCAATCTACTCCCTCATAGCTTGAGCCAACTGAAAGAGCTAAACGTGGCCTTGTTATGTTATCTCATTGATCTACGAGGTACCTGCGGAATCTTGTTTATCCAAAGCGGAGGACGGAAAGATGCCGATACGCTGGTTCGTTTGGCCACTGGCTCCTTTCTGATATGCTGCCAACTAACCATAGACAAGGTATCAAGCAAAGCTGGCCAAGCGACCGCTTTTGACTCAGTCCGTTACAACCGCGGTAATATAACCTCACTCACTCCTCCAAGATCCAGCTGACCAACAAAGGTGCTTTTTGCCGCTGGCGACACACTTGCCCAGCAGGCGGTGGAGCGGAAAGGTATCAGAAACCATGACAGCGCTCGGACAGCTCGAATGTGCTTATACGGCGGCTGTAAGTTCGCTGATGCTAGTGTACCATGGAGGATGTTGACATGCATAGGTGCGTTCGGTCCAGCAGCCACCAAGTGGTACGCCTTCCTGCAGAAGCACATCAACTTCCAATCGCATAATGTGACAATATTGGCGAGAGTCTTCGCGGATCAAACGATTTTTGCGACATGCCATCTTGCCTTCTTCCTCTCAAGCATGTCGGTATTGGAAGGAAGTGATCCCAAAGAGAAACTCGCAAAGAGTTACCTGCCGGGGCTCAAGGCCAACTGGACAGTATGGCCGCTGGTTCAGGCGGTGAATTTCAAGTTAGTCCCTCTTGAGCACAGGGTTCTCGTTGTGAATGTTGTGAGTCTAGGCTGGAACTGCTTTTTGAGCTATCTGAATAGCTCGAAATAAGTGCGGCACAGCAAGGTATAGATGTTGGCCTTCTGACCCGGCACTTCCTGGTAGACTTCAGGGCAGCACAACAGCATGGCTAGAGATGCAGGATCTGCGAACCAAGTTAAGCAAGTACATACGACAAGGTAAATACACAGGATATCGAGAAACGGACATAGGATGAGGAAAGGTTGAAGTGAAGCAGTCGAGAGCCGAGAAGAACCGGGCGTGTACTGGTGATTGTGCCACGGATCTAAGCTAAACCAGATTTGGCTTCAGCGGATTTTAACATTTCATGTGGCTCTGGCTGCAGCAGCGGAGGAGCAGCCTCAAACTCAACACACCACAGGCTCAAATCTCGACGTTTGTCACTGCCTTTTTTTTTGTATATCACTTGAGCGCCGATTGCTCTTGCCCGACCACGATCTTCGTCTGAACGCACACTGCAGCCAAGCCCGTCTCGCTGTCAAGGGCGCTCGCAATTGACCGAGTTTGCCACAACCCACTCGAAACAAATCTTCGACCTTTTCCGTCGTCGCGTGCGCTTCTCACCTTTTTTGCCTCTGTAGCGAATATTTCATTCCGCTTCACCGAAACTGCAGCCTTATCCAGAAAATCTTTGATTGTTTTCAACGATGGCCGAAGTCGAAATGCCTCAGCCGGTTCCCGGCCCTGTTTCAAACGAAAACGCAGCACCCTCGACATCGGATGATATCAAGACCATCTTCCACGACGTCAACAACTTCAACGTCAAGCACCCTCTGCTCAACACATGGAGTCTCTGGGTGAGTCGCAATGACGCAGTTGCTTCCCTCATGCACTAACTAATTGTGAATAGTTCACCAAACCGCCCTCCTCGAAAGGCGACAATTGGAACGACTTGTTGAAGGAGGTGATCACATTTGACACAGTCGAAGAGTTTTGGGGGGTATACGTATGTTTGCAAGGAGCACTTTTGGGTCAATCTCGTCTAACATGGCACCAGAATAACATCACGGCCACCTCTGACCTTGCTGTCAAATCTGACTATCACCTCTTCAAGCGGGGAGTGCGACCCGAGTGGGAAGATCCTCAGAACAAGCACGGTGGCAAGTGGTCCTATACATTCAAGGATAAGAAGGCCGTCAACATTGATGAGCTATGGCTGCACACCCAACTGGCTGCCATCGGAGAAACTTTGGAAGATGAGGGAGACAACGAGATCATGGGTGTTGTGGTCAACGTGCGAAAAAGCTTTTACCGAATTGGATTATGGACTCGCACCACCGGAAAAGCTGGTGGAAAAGACACACTGATGAAGATCGGTGCCCGGTTCAAGCAAGTCCTTCAAATCCCCGACAACGACCAGCTCGAGTTCAGTGGCCACACCGACGCTGCACATGCAGGCAGCACCCGCGCAAAGACAAAGTATACTGTTTAAGGACGAGGAGAATCAGGCGTCTGCGTCGAAGGCCAGGGCCATTCTGACCACGACATGTTGCTTCAGGCCGGTTTGCCTGGACACAAGGTTTTCAATGGCGTTCGATGACACGGGGTAAAATGGGTCTCAAGTACGAGGGAGGGAATACCTTTGCATGTTTATCGACGGTATGAGCATAGCGACAGGGTGGACGTTGGAGTGCACCCAAGATACGAGCTTGATATTTGATACATTGACAACAGCTCTACTGGTCGAGAGCCATGGCGGCTGGGCCAATCCAGTGGCAGGCTCTCGGTGATCTGGAGAACAAAAAGCAATGAATTTTTCAGCCCTACACCCTCGATCCCCCCTATTCGCGTACTTCGTACTGTTGCCTGGTTATACCTTGCAGCCAGCCGGTGGCGAGAAGGCTGACAAAAAGGAGGAAGTTTGAGGCAAAATGTCACATTTACTTAAGGCCGTGAGTCTCCCAAGAAGAATCGTCCGCGATTTCTTCTCCCTCTCCCCTTCTTCTTCTCTTCATTCTTCCCTCCTCTGGCAGCCTAGTCGTCGTACAGAAATGGCACATTCTTCATTCTTCCGCCACGCAGGATGAGCCAGTGCAACATCCCTGGGCGAGTGGGATGGCGTGATACATAAGCCCAACATTGGTCTTCCCAACGAATATCTTGATGTTGATGCCAAACACGGTGCCAAAGGCCCTCCCAAGCTGCTTACATAAAATCACCAGTTCGCCAAAGTGCCACCCGTTCATCACGCCGGCTCGCCGGGCAGCTGCTTGTGGTCTACTGCAACTGTGTTTCGTCGGCCAGCTTCGGCTCGTTAGGCAGCACGCGGTGTGGTGCGGCTGAGAATCGAGCATCTGGTTGGACAATATCGCAACCGGTGACAGGGGTCAGCATTTCGGTAACGCTTCTTCGCCTTGGAACAACTGAATTGGCACATTCAGCCGTCGCACTGCTGACCTGCTCGCAAACACGCGCTCACCAGCCAGCATGGTGGTGCTTTTCACGCTTGCTTCCTGCTTCGTTTTCAATGGGTTAGACGAACCATCCCGCTCTATCCAACATGCTGCACCCGGCTAGCAGCTGCTGCAATGCCGCCTCCCACCCCAATACCACCACGACAATGCCCCTCACTTTTGTCGATGCCCAGATAGCCAGATACACCATCTGGCATGTCGAGGCGAGCCAGAGCAGATGATGCATTCAAGATGAACAATCTGCGTCGGTCTCACAGTTTGCGACTCCTCGAATTCAATTTCTTCATAAACCCGGCCTGTAGTCGCCTCGTCGCCTGATGCTTCTTTCTCCTTTCGCATTCCTGCCATCCTTCCCCACTCAGTTGCCCAAATCACCCGTTCCAGAGCCTCGCCTCGATTGCTGTGCTTGGGGCATCCTTCTGCCTTTGCTGCCGGAAAACGGGTCGAGATCCATCTACACAGAAAATCGATCAGCCCCTTGAGATCAACTGATTGCCGCTTAGCTTGACCGCAGATGGGGCGCAACCGACGGCAGACTGGCCACCTCCAAGGCACCTTCCCCCCTCCCAGGATTGTACCTAATCAAGGTCCCGGTCTACACAGTCTTTACTCGTCTCAGCCCCAATACAATGAGCCGCCGCAACCGCCGTTTTCCACGTCCGCACAGCAGCCCAATTGGCAGCCTGATCAGCACTCTCGTAACTGTGGATTCATTGTGGCCGGGGAACCAAACACTCCGTCGACCACAGATGCTGCCAGCCCTGTGAGTACCCGGTCCACGCTCTCTCGCGGTAGTGTGGCGACCTCGACAAACACAAGCTATACTGCGGCTTTGGGATATGCTCGGCAATTCTCTCCAGATGTTGATACTCCCCCCAGCCCAAGTGCCAGTGTTTCGACAGTCCATCCCGCTCATCCAGCAGATCATGCCAGTGACCAGTCCTTGCACCAGACAGTCTTCGGGTCTGACTACGTGCTGGATGCTAATCATGCGATGACAGGTCAGATCATTGCTTCATGCCATTCGACCGATTGACGTACTGACAAATTCATCCAGAGGGTCTCCTGGGCATTGATACTCCTGCTCCCCTGGCCGAGACATCGCGTTATCTCTTCCCGAGCCCCCAGTTCCTTTCGCCGCAAAACCCATCACCAGGTCCCTACCCAAGGTTTCCCGGCAGAACCGGTCCATGGAATACACTTCCCTTTCGTCATGAAGATCAATATGTCAATATGGGTACAAGCTCACCGGTGCCCACCATCCGGGGTGACTGTCGCTCACTCACATCACGCGAAAGAGGCGGCGGTGGCGGTGGGAGGACGGGACCTCTTAATCCAACCCAGAGACAACAAGCCAGTGAAGTTCGAAGACGCGGCGCTTGCCTTCGGTGTGCGGTAATGAGGGAAAAGGTTTGTCGACACATCCACATCAGCAGCCGTGCAAAAGCTAACACCTGAAAAGTGCGACTTGGGCAACCCCTGTAATAATTGCTTGACCAAAGAACGGCGAAAATGCCCCAAGTACTGCATTCCTAATCGAAGCGATTGGGATGGTTGTAAGACTAGCTTGTTCCCTGGTAAGACCAGCCCATCGCATCAAGATAGCAGCCGCTGACCAGACAGATGAATTGACATGTCGGCTACGGAAAGGTAATCTGCTCCAGTATCTTGCGAACTCTACCTTTGATGTCTCCCATCGCCCTTTCCAAATTCCGCTGGACATGTACATCGGAATCCCTTTATACGTTTTGGTTAGAGAGTTCCACCCTCTTCAGCCAGCTTTGGAGATCCGGCACGCATTCCAGACGTCTCACGGCCCCAATGGGGAAAAGTCATACGACAGGCAACAGACCTGGAATCCACCCATCATCATGTGCATCCGAAATGGCGAATTGGAGAAGACAGTCAACCAAGTTCGAAACAACATCACCGGGATATTTGACAAACTGCTGGCCGATCCGGAAAAGTACCGCAAATGGACGACAGAGTACTTTGAGGAAAAGGAGGAAGATTTCCAGACCCAAATCCTACGCGTCCTGGGAAGGTACTACAGGAGAGATATTGAAGAGCATTCGACTCTCAAGGCAGCCCTGAGGCTCCTATGGTTCGAGTATCTGCTCCTGAACAAATTTACAGTTCCAGCCGATGCCGTACTGAGCCTTGAAGCCAATCTCGGATCGAAACGCCCTGTTGGTGCTCCCCGGCATCTACACGTCATACCCGACACTATCAACCGCTTTCTCAAAGCCATCATCCTTCCCCTGGCCGAGAAAGCCGCAGAAAAGCTCATAAAAAATCTTCACGAGATGATGTTTAAGATGGCCGTCACCCAGAAAATGCCACAAGGTCGCAGAGATCTGGTTCTTTGTCTGCTTTTTGTCCTGGTGATATTCCTCGGCCGCACCCAAGTCGCCCTTCTCCTCCTCTCCCATACCCCTGCGCCCGAGATCGGTATGGAGTACTCTCAGGAACAAGCGGAATCCAAGATCGAAGAGATGGAACAAATAGTGGGCGACTACCTCCTGTCCTTCCACAGATACACCTTGAGCAGAATGTCCTCCAGGTCGCCGGTGACGGCTAGCGAGTATGATTCTCCAAGTGAACGTCACGCAAGAGAGTTCGATTTGGAGAACCGACTACGCAAAGAGGTCGGGGGCTACGGTAAGCTTTGTGCTTGCTCCTCAAGTCAGAGACTTTGGTCTGACCAAGTCGCAGCGTGCGAGAGACCCGAGAGGCTGGAGCCGGGTGATTATCAGATGAATACGTTCCAATACATGAATGTTCGGCGGTTATGTTGGAAGGTTATTGACAATTTGAATTGAGGCCCCAGCAACTAGTTACTGCATAGATAATTAAAACGAATTCAAGATCCGGGACGCAGAGAAGTCTACATATTTGGCGAGCAAATGCCGCAATGCAGGCGATGCGGTCGCGTGTCGAGAAACCAGGAAGAAGTCATGGTGCTCGTGGAGGAGTGTGCGGTGCGAGGCTATCAAGGCCAGCAATTGCTCGTTGGAGAGCTTGTTTGTGGTTTTTGAGCCTTTGTTGGGCAGGGAAGGGGTGATGTTACGTAAAAGCAGCCAGAGCGAGTACGATAGTAGTCACAGGTAGTTTTTGTTTCGAGGCCTGCCGAGGCAGGAATCTAGAGGCAAGTGATTGCCTGGCAATTTGGGAAATCTATCCAGCGAGCCAGGTATCTATGCAGTGAGCCAGCCTTGCCACCATCCCGCATGATGAGCGTGCAGCCTTGCCAGCAGAAATGCAGATTGTGGCACAATGGTGTTACAGGCGATGACGTCAGAGCACGTCAGTGGTCTATCAAAAAATCAATCACCCTCCCAACCCCAATTGTTCCTCCCTACCCAATCCCTCCAACCTGTAGACGACTCCTATATGTCCCCAGAAGTCGGCCCATGCTATTACTCATACGCCAAACACCAGCCCATATCAGCCGCCCATGTTGATGTCAAGCCTCGAGTACTAGAAAGGAATGTTTTCGTTGCGCGAGGTCTCTGGTCGTATCCGTCGGGATCTGGATGACGACACTAGCATTTCGATCAGCCATTGCGTCGTCTTCTCATCCAAGGTGAGTGGGCTAAGTACCTCTCTCTCTCTCTCTTTTGTTTCTTCTCATCATCCCCAAGCCGTCATGATATTAGTTTTTGTGCCACCCTACAGCTTTGTCAGTCTTCCTCTCTCAAAACTGGGGATGCTCGGGGCACCTACCCCCTTTTGGCTTTGTCGTAGTTGGGGGGCGCTCAATGACTGGTGGAGGTTGGCTGGTCAACCCCATGGCGTGCTTTGCGTGAACTGTTGTCGAAGTCTTGGGTGTCATCGCTGTGGTGAAAGACATTTGAGGTTGATGGGAAGATGACGGGAAGATGTGGGTTGAGGTGGTGATATGGTAGTAAACTGTGTTTGACCTGTGGTGTATGTGCGAGATGTTCAAGGAAGAAGCCAGCAGATGTTGGGGGCGATGCCGGGCTTTTATACTGACATCAGAACAGTAGCGGAGGCTACAGAGACCCGCCAATGCTGTGGAGAGCGCAAGCATCCGAGCAGAGTGAAGAGGGAGCGACAAGGTCACCAGGGTTGGCTGTGCAGGGATTAAAGCCAGGATGCCACAATCCGCAGAAAGGAGCAATGGATCGTCCCATGCGTCACTGGCCAAAGAGGGAAATCAGACTGCACACCGGTATGAAGGGGGATACTGGCTCCCGAGGGGGCAACGGTCGGTGGCAACTCCCAACAACCAACGAGAGCACGGGACTGGGGTTGGAACACATATGGGTCGGCTAAGGCAACAGGCAATCGAAGGCAATGTTGAAAGTTTCGAGTTAACAAGATTGCAAATTCAAAAGAAAATGATCCAAATGAGAGATATCGCGGGCACAAGAGAAGATTCAAGTAAGCAAGTGACGGGGCAGCGCATATGCCCGATAGCCCGGGCAGAATCGAAGCGGGCAGGGAAAGCAGTAGGGTTCGAGATCGCCCACATAGATTTGGGTGGATTGAAAATGGGCGCGGTATGAATGGCGAAGACAGCCAGGCCACAACTGAGGCTAAGCCTGACAGGAACCACCAGCGAAAGCGGGAGTTGCCTCTCTGCGAGAGCAAAAAAACGTCCAAAGGGCTCTCAAGATGCTTTCTGCGGCGGCGGTCCTGTCAGTGGCTGCGCCTCGCAAGTGGATTGACGGGGACATGCAAATGAACAGCGGCGGATTCAGACGTTGGAATTGGCAAGGCTGAAGAACGATTTTGGAGTTGTCTCAAATCTCACGAAAACAACCCGCTCGGACAAGACAAATGAGTCACGGCAAATTGAAAGGACGCGTTAGACAAGAGGAATCATGGCGCTGACGAACGAGAGATGTCCGCTCAGCCCCCTCCGCGAGGGATCAGAAGTGACAGAAGTCACGGTGGGAAGGCATCAAAAAAAGGCAGCACTGCTCAGCCTGAATCCCAAGTTACAGCCTGGCCAACCTAGCGAACTAGTCCGCAAAAAGGCCTGGAGGGGGGATTCGTTGTGGATCCCAATCGACTAGGCCCATTATGGAAAGTCGCTAGAAGCCATGGAAGAGCGTTGGAGGGACGACGGGCTGGCTGTCCAGCCGCCCAAGGGTCATGGCGCACAATCAATGGAGCCAACGAGCAGGGGGGAGGGCAGGGTCGGGACAACGACCAGCACCGTCGTCTCTTGGCCTGAGGTTTCAAAGAGACAGGGGCTGCGGGTTGCGGGCTGTCGAAAGTCCATAGGTCTGGTCCGAGCGCCTGCCGCTGGGGACTCGGAGGGGGGGGGGGCCGTTGGCGAAATTACGACGTCCAGGGTTGGAATCATTCCAGAAGACGCCTCGAACACAGCAACACGCTCTAAGTGATGACGCTGGCCGCGGCAGCAGCGGGAAGAGGGGAGACAGTGACACCCTTAAGTACGAGGCTAGCTACAGACAGCTAAACAGGTTCCGGAAGTGGGTGTGATAGGGGACAGTAGGACAGTGATGACGGTCGAATGAGACACCGGTTCCTGAAATAACGCGGGAGAAGGCTGATGGAAAGAGTGGAACAGAGATCTGGGTGGTTGGGTGTTGTACAGAGGTCGCGGTGCTTGTTAGCTGTCGGACAAGGGGACCAGCTGCAACTAATTTTAGGGGGAGACGAGGGATGGAGGGCGGTTGGTGTGTAATGATGCACGGGACGATATGCACGGAACTTGAGCATCGTATCAGAGATGGGTTGTTGGCAGAAGAGGGGCGTTGCTGCACAAGAGTCAGCTGGGACCACCATTGCAAATACTACGTCCCCCCATCGAAGGGATGGGAAGACGATGAAGGCGATCAGGGGGCTTGTTGGCTTCAGGCCAGCTACAGAGGGAGGGAAGGAGAGTCATGTGTTTTCTTATCACCACGTCCATGACGATGAGGGCAAGAGGGCAAGAGGGCAAGAGGGCAAGAGGGCAAGCAAGCATTAGCAAGATAACCCCAATGCCACGTGGTTGAGAGGCCATTGAAAGGGCGCGAAAGGGCGAGCGAGGGATGAAAGATCGGGAGCCGGGAGCCATGTCACAGTGGGGGGTCATATGCCAGAGGTAGTAATCTTCTGGAACACTGCCTAGTCGGTACCTAGTTGGAAGTCACCAGGCATGCATCGGGGGGGGGGGGGAGGAGGGTGGTCCTCGAAGACCAGGGGCTGCGGTGTTTTGGTGGATGAGATGATTGAAGAGAGAGCGATGGAGAGAGACTTACGGGCGGGACTGAGGGACTTAGAGAGGGCTGGCGGGCTGTCAGCCAACGCCGAAAGCCCTGGGAAAATGAACGAAACTTGCGCAGGCAGACATGGGGAAGGTTGGTGAGGCTTAGTACCTACTTGGTACCCGGTATATCACCTGCTTTTGCAGCCAAGGGGTCTAGTCGGTTAGGCACGACTCCTCCGCAGAGGGTAACCGAGTACCCGATTTTCCAGCGAATAATGAGGCGGGTTAGTCTGCGTGTACTTGGAGCAAGTACCGTTAGAGTAGAGGGCAAACAAGGGCGAACAAGGGCGAACCAGGGCGAACCAGGGCGAACGGAGAGGGGCTCACCAGGCACAGTGCGCAGGGAGGGCAAAGAGGGGCATTGAGTGCCCGCCGCCCTCGTTCTTCCCTCTTCCTTTTCCTCCTTCCTCACAGTGTTTTGTTTCTCTCTGTCTGACCACCACCCGCCGCCTTGCTAAACTCAACCTCGAATCCTCCGTACCCAGTACCCATCCAATCCTCGCTTCGCCTTTCGCTTTTTGCTTTGTTACTCTTGTGATCCTTCTCGCTTATGCCTCACTCTATCTCCTTGTCCTCGTATATGCGTGTACGATCATCAGTACCGAGAAGCGAGTATTCTTCCCTTCCTCGTTCCCGCGATTAGCCAGCTGCATGTAGTAGATGGGAGACTTTGGTCTACCTGACCTTACCCTAACCTAACCTCCCTATTTACCCTAACCCGCCTGCGCCCTTGCACACATACAAGCACACACATACACACACATGCATACCCGTCACAGGTGCAGGACCTGCCCTGTGGAAACGCCTCGCTGGGCTGGGCTGGGCTGGGCTGGGCTGGTGGCGCGGGGTCCGAGTGAGGCGGGGCCTGCGCCATCAAGGACTCAACACACACATGAAAGAGGACAGACGGACTACAAATAACTGATTGAGGTGAGGGCCCTGACGGGGCAGCAAGTAGGCAGACAGGCAGACCAACAGACAGGCCGTGGAAAGAAAAGCTTCGAGGCGGGAGAGACTGCGCCACAACCGCAACCCCTTCGCCCTTCCACTGCTGGAATGCAATGGGTGGATGCGCGAGTGGACTGAGGGGGGTGGAGGGAGGGATAAATGACTGACCAAGAAAGATCTGTAGGTGCAGTGTAGAAGTGGCCGTGCAATGAGGTACCCTGTGGTGTTGGTATGGTCGGTGTATGTATTGTGTAGGTGTTGTAGACGTCCCAGTGCGCCAAGGTGCGTTTTGCATCCGTCACCTCCGTACGCTCTTAGCATTCGAACAAGTGTGCACAGAACATACATTAACTACCTACCAAGGGAGTTAGTAGTACTAACGATAGAATAGTGATGATGGTGGATGAGATAGAGAGCAGCTACATAGCATGCAGGCAGGCCGTGCTCTTGGTTCCGTCACTCATTCAAAAAGGAGGCTCAAAAACCCGCTCTTGACAGATCATCACATGGACATACATACAACTGCGTAAAGTATACGGCATACGTTTGTTTCTCCTGCTCGCGTTGCGTTATACAAGTCAAGCCGTCCTATGTCGCATCGGAACCTGGGTTTCGCCTGGCCTTGCCTGGCCTTGCCTGGCCTTGTCTTCCTTGCTAGAACCTAGGGGCACCGGAGAACAATCAGAATCGTTCATATCAATATCACAATTGCTCCTCGGTGGCGGTCTCGCGTTCCAGCCTCTCCGTCGCCTCCGTCTCAGCAACCCCCTCGCCAAGCGTGACCTTCCTCCTCCTCTTCGTTTTCTTCTTGACGGACCCTTCCTCGTCGCCATCGCCGCCGCCCTCAGGCTCAACCGTGATGGCTTCCTCACCCGTGTGATGCGCCGTCGCGACCTTGGGCCTCGTCTTCTTCTTCTTCTTCCGCCTCACGACCGTGCCCTCGGCGTCCACCCCTTCGCCCATCACCGTCCGCTGCCGCTCCAGCTCACGCTGCATCTCGAGCCTCTTCCTCTCCACCTCGCGCAGCGCAATCGCCATCTCCAGCTCCTCGGCCTCGCGTCGGAGGATCTCCGACTCGGTTTCCGCTGGGCCGGCGCCTTCGAGGCTGAGGTGTTCCAGCGTCGACGAGTCTACCGAGAGGAGTGTGCGCGTTGGCCGAGAGTGTGCGCCGCGCGGTTGCGCGTTGGGACTCAGTGACCGAGTCCGCTGGACCTGGGTTAGGGCCGCGAAGGGGCTCGAGTTCGAGAATGACTGCGAGATGGGTGTGGTCGCCGTTGAAGACTCGAGCGTCTCGTCCGCCGCCACGACGAATCTCCGGGTGGGTTTCTTCTTTCTCGGTTTGCGTTCTTCTCCCTCCGTGTCTGCTCTCGTCGCGGTCGTTTGCTTACGGTCGATATGTAGGTCAATGATTGGGATCGAGTCGACGTCGAGCTCTTCGTCGCCGTTGGTCGTGCTGATGATGTCGTGGAAATGAGGATCCGTGTCATCGGAAGGAGCAATATAGAATGGATCGTCCTTGTTCCGGGCCATCCTCTCAGCCTTACGCCTGGCCAGCGTTGCTGGAGACTCAGGCGCAGATTGGTATGAGAGCGGTGCGCTCTCGGAAGAAGCAGCAGCGGCGGCGTCCAAGTAAGCCGCTGCTGTTTGTGGGTGTAGCGGCGTGATAGCATGTACAGGTTCGCGATCGTGGTAGAAAGACTGAAATGCATCCTCCGCGTGATCGTCTACATCCGCAACCTGCGACTCTTGTAAGACCGTAGACAGGTCGGGATTAATGGGCGCATCGAGGTCTAGATCTTCCGGTAGTGGAACCTTCTTCTGTGCTGCCGCCGAGACAGGGTTGAGTTCCATGCCACTGAAGAGCGTTGGGACTGCAGAGGTCAGCAAGAGCGGTGCCTGAAGACTCTCTCCGCCTTGTGCAGAGAGCGCTTCTGACGCCAGGCGCAGAAGTTCAAGAAATTCCACGCTCCTCTCCTGCACCTCGAGGTTGGGATGGGACGAAAGTTTCTCCAGAAACTCAGTTGTCCTCGCCAGCACTAGAGACATTGTCGCGCCCCTCGAGGCATTCCATTCGCGGTCAGCCGTTGTGGCGATCCGTGCAATGATTTTCGGGATGGCTTGGATGACTATTGCCAAAGTTGTTGGAGTAAATTGTCCGGACGACTCGTGGATCAACGAGTTGAGAACCTCATATGGGTTGGACAAATACATGGCAAATTCACCGCTGATCCAGGCTGCTGATTTGATGACCTGGCTTTGACCGGTGCCATGTTGCGGGTAAGCGATTGCGCGGTTGGACAACAACACCAAGGTTTCGGCGGCCTTAGTCGTTTCTGGTCGGAGATCTTTGACTCGGACCGTGATATCGCGAAGCTGACCTCCGACCCGGGCTCCTAAAGAGGTGTCATCTTCTGGTGCAGCTCTTGACAAAGCCGCATCTGTACCCGCCGGAAGGTGTCTGACCAAATGGACCAGTATTTCGATGTACCATTCGAAATCGGTAATGTTGGCATAAGTGTTGTGAGAGCACATGTCGAGAATTCGGCTGATGATTTCGTAGCGGTATTCATCTGGCAAAGGAATATTTTCCGATCCTCGTTTGTCCGGAACCAGCCTCTGCTCCATGTCTGTTTGCTCTTCTTCCATACGTCCGTTTGCGGCCGCGGTGGCTGATGCTGAGCCGGCAAGCTGTTTAATGAGGCGATTGACAACGGCTTGTAAATTGTCGCTGTTGACCATGCCCGAGACCAATTCCAAAGCCTGCATCTTGATCGAAATATCCGGGTCATCCAAGCAGCCCATAATAACATCCTGCTGCATCGAAACTAGCGCAGGATGGGTGGCCACAATCTTGTTGAACGCCAGGAGAGCGACATATTTCAGATTCGGGTCGCCATCCAATACAATCATTCCTCTCAATTTGGAAATGCAGAGATCGGCCACTTCCTCCACATCTACGCCGCTTTCGGCGCCATCTAAAATTCCTCCTTGGATGATCCCGCTGATACATTCATAGAGTAACGACATTGCTGTTGTCTCTTGGATCAGCTTCGTCAGGGGCCGGACTAGTTTCTTGACCAATCGTGGTTCGAGGGGAGTCAAGACTGCGAACAATTTGATAATCTTGATGCCCATCCAGTTGTTCTTCTGAGCAAGGAGGAGGTCGAACAGCCTTGGTGCCAAGGGCAGAAAATCCTGGGGTCTTCGCCACCCGAGCTCACAGACGACATTTACAGTGGCGGCAGTAACGCTGCTGTCTTCCTGTTCGTCTAGTAACCTCTCCTTGATCTTTGGCCAAGCCACTCTCAGAGTCTCTGGATACACCAGAGCCAGCCTGTACAGCGTAACGATGGTCTTCTTGCGCACGGCGGGTTGTGAATGTGACAGTCGTGGCATAAGCTCAGTCAGAATCGACAGTGCTAAAGACGATGTCACAATGTGCGGCAGTGTGACTAACGGCAGGGTGAGTACAGGTATTGAAGGAGAAGTGAGATCCTTTTTCAACAAATTCTCGGCCAACATCAGGACCTCGGTCTCTGGTCGGAAGCTCTGGACGGCGGCCAGGTAGCCAACTCGTTTCTGGGCCGGCTTAGGGGAGGCCATGACTTCCAAGACGTTGAACGCGGCCCAGGTCATGTCGTAGCCAAACATTTCAAGATAAATGAGCTTGAGCAGTGCGGTCGCCTTGAGGTCCAGGTCCTGGGAACGAATCTCGCTCCGACACTCTTTCAGAGCGCCTTGGATGTATTCCGTCTCATTTCCCTTGTGGCCTCGTAGACCCCGAATAAGGTCGACGAGTGACTTTTCGAACATCTTGGGAAGAGTTGACTAGGATGTCATGAGAACTGAGGCGTCGATATTTCCTTTGAGATCTCGGGAACCCTCATCTCTCACGCGACACATACGTTGGGTTGCGGTTCGGGATATCACTCCTTCACGGAAACCTGGATAGAGAGAGGAAGATGGCACCTTCCTCTTGTCTCTTCGAAGCCCAGCTCACGTCCACGCATTCATCTGTTTGACTTCGCTTGTAGACCGCAAAGCATTAGCAGACCACCAGAAGAGGCGATGATATGTTGAAGTTGCTGAGGGCCTCGTCGTGTGATTGCTAAATGCTCCGTCCGAATGCCAAGACAATTCCTCCGAAGCAGCCTGCGTCGCGATCGAGAGACTAAGGCGGCCAGGGGCAGCCTGCGAGGAGCTCGCTACGTTACTTTCTGTTGGCAGTGGCCTTTGAACCTTGTCAGTGCCTTCTCCCATTGCCTTGTGCTACCTTGACGGCCTCATCTTGCCTATTTCTGCAGAGTACGGATATATTGCCATCTTTCGAAACTCCTATTTCATCCGCGAAGACCACCTCCCCGGTTGACTTTGGTTCTCGTAAAAAACCCCTCCACGGACGTCGTGCAGCACAATGGCGACAGTCGCAGTCAAAGGCCATTCTTCCGATCCTGCCTCCGCTCTGCTCATAGCACAGCAGGCTCCCTCGATCCTTGCAAAGTCGTCATCTGTCAGTACGACCTTTCCTGCATCAATGTTCAACACGGCGGATTCCGCTGAACTATGGGACGAACTTGAACAACTCCTCTATGCCTGCCTACGGACAGGGGACGACAAGTCTGCTTTTCTATGTGTGGAGCGATTGAGTCACCGGTTTGGGTCAACCAATGAAAGAGTTATGGCCTTGAGAGGGCTATATCAGGAAGCCACGGCTGCAGATGAAATGGCACTGCGGAGGATATTAGAAGACTATGCCAGAATACTGATGGAGAATCCCATGAATGTCCCCATTCATAAGCGACGAATTGCGCTTATGAGAAGCCTGGGGAGGCCGCAAGATGCTATCAAGGACCTGGTGGAATTTGTTGATTCCTTTCCCACCGACATGGAAGCGTGGTGTGAGTTGAGCGACCTCTATCGCTCGCAGGGAAGCCTTCCACAAGCTATCTTTTGCCTGGAGGAGGCCGTAATCATCGCTCCCAATGCATGGAACCTTCATGCACGACTCGGCGAACTCGAGTATCTGGCTGCCATGTCGTCAACGGAGAGTGCCGGCGTGGAGAAGCACCTGTCACAGGCAATTCAGCGATTCAGTCGAAGCATTGAACTTTGCGACGACTATCTGCGGGGGTTCTACGGGCTTAAGTTGGCCACGGACAAGCTCCTGCTGACCAACACGACATCAAAGGGGAACACCAGCTCGCCGATCACCCCAGACAAGTTGCAGAAATTGAACCAGTTGGCCACGTCAAAACTGGAGGCTATCATCAAGGACCGCAGCGGACCAAGATCCTCCGGGACCGATCAGTCGGAAGTTATTGCAGCCCAGGAATTGTTGAACAGATCCAAGGGCTGAAACGTCCCGCAAAATCCTGGAGCAGCAAACCAGAAAAGCAGCCCAAGTCCACACGTTTCCTCGAATAAATGAGCTGTGGAAAAGCCACCCACGTACGAACCTCCATGGCTTTTCGCACGGGAGGTGGACCATGCGAAAGTTCCTGCAGAGAACCGAATGGACCATGGGAGAAACGACGGTTCGGCGAAGATCATGTCAGATGCAGGCGTTCCCACTAGCGTGATGCTCGAAGGTGGAAGTTGGGCAGCATTTCGGCGCCGGCCAACGTGGCAGCTTTTCTGAGGATGCCTCGATTATCGCGACACCCAACCGCTAGCGAATGAGGCTCTCACCCCGTCAGCGGCCGTGGGTCGTGCCTGCCCATCACGTCTAATTTAGAGTCGCTGGAGCCTCGCCTTTCCGACAAACTAACAACCACGAGGTCAAGAAACCCACCGTCAGGCCGCTCTGAAGTTGAGGTTTTGTTGGGAGAATCACCAAAAGAAAGGGCATCATCACTCTCAGACACCCAAGGGGAACGGGGGGGGGGGGGTGAATATCAGGCTAATCGCCCTGCGTTACGGAAAACAGGGTGTCCCGGTGGCAATCTTGAAGACCGGGTTGTTTCGGTTTCTGATATGTATATAGACGGAGAATGCCATGACGGATCAAGGGAGTGGATGGCCATCTTTCTGCCTTGATATCAACCCAATGTAGACCATTGCATTCGGCTTGCGCACTTTTGTCACTCCTCATTCCCATTAATAACACCAGACTTACTGCTCTTCACGTCTCCTCCCCAGGAGCCCTCAATGTCTCAGAATCACAAATCCAATCGCGATCGAAGAAAGACAGCGCGCAAGAAGCGCTTACTACTACAACTAGATCCAACCCCTTACAGATCGCTTGCAACCGGGAAAGAATTTTCTGTACGACCACTGCGTCACCTGAGTACCTTTGGACAATCTGCGGGTTGTTGTGGCGACACTCTCCTTTCGCCAACACACATCGTGCATTCTCCCTTTTCAGATTCTGGCGGGAGGCTCATTACTTTCTAGTCTTCCTTTTGCACCGCTGTACCCATTGACGGACGCTGCAGTTTGATCCTGCAGAATTAAAAAACCCCGGGGCGAAAAGCCACACCAAAAGTTCACAATAAAGGGTAAAACAAAAAAGATATTTGTATAAGTCGAGGGACTCTGCAACGTTGGGTGGATTGATATAACCTTTCGAGGTCTGTTTGGACCCGACCACCGCGGACTTGTCAGCGTCACCCAGGGCCGAGTTGTCCTGGGAGACATAGCGTTACCAGAGTTGGTGGTAACCTGACGGGGCCTTTGTTGACATCAGCGATAACAACAACAACACCCACAACACCGTCCCGGACTTGAGTTGACGGCTGGCGTTGACCGAAGCATTGAATACCGTTTTCCACACTGGACAAGGATTTCTCAATTGACGTCGTTGGTGCCTTACAGAAAAAGTTGGAGGCCTAGGAGACAAAGTGCAGACGAGGAGTCAGAGACTGGGGCTCTAGCCTCAAGGCCTGAGGCAACTGGGCCCCACCACCGCCAAATAAACTGCGCCCGCTGGCCGTTGCCTACTGCGCCCGCACAGCGCCTGCACCTGACGAATTAGGGGCACCCAAGGCACCACCCCAAGGGGGGGACCCGTTAAGTGGGTGAGCAATTGGGCATCAGTCACCAATTTCGTTACCCCCCCTCGCCCCCCCTTTTTGACCCTCTTGACTCTCTGGGCGGATCCAAGCACCCAAATCTTGATCCCCCGTCAACACACTTGCACACTACAATCACGCCAAACAATCACTTTGGCGTCAACAACCTGTCCACGCGCCCGCACATCACATTTGCATCTGCATTTGCATTTGCACGCTGGGCAGCCAAACTCACCGTCTCATCTCGCTTCAATTGTCACCTTCCTCCCTTTTCCTCCCTCGACACCCACCCTCATCCTCACCCTTTCCACCACCTCCATCCCCGTCGCCATCACGCATTCATATCCTGCGTTGAAAAATACTCTGTAATTCCCTTTTTCCCTCTTCCGTCGCTTGATCGGCGTTCCTCTCGGCTCCTCGCATATGCAACCTGTTCTGCCTCTGGCCCGACCCTTCGTCCCTTTCCCTCCCCACGGATCCACCTCGCCGGAATTTCACGACGCACCCTGCGCACCTTCACGACACCAGACGCTACCGGCGGCGCACCTGCGGGAGGTGAACCACGCCCCTCGCCAGGTTCCTCTCATTTTCTTCGACCACAATTTGACGCTGGAGGAGACTGGTTTCAAAAATAAAAATACACTGGATCTGGCCCATTTGGACGGTCCTATTGCCTGAAGTCAGCCCTCTTTGGCCCGGTTAGCACATTTCCTTGACACTAACATAACCCTCAAGGCTATCTCGTTCAGCCTTCCCTCTGGGGTAGGTTGGACGCGGTAATTCCTTGACCTCACTCAATCTCTCATGGGGTGGGTTATTTCACCGACATTTTCCACCCACCGGTGCTAACTCTCCCTGCTATTAGGTCTTCAGGTCGTCACAGCCATACACACATTGACATTACCCACATTTCGCGTTCTCCCTCCCCCGGCGGCTCGCAAGACGACGAGCTCCACGAAACCGGTGTCCAGGTCTCTGCTGGAGTCTCCCCTCAATATTCGGTCATCCAGCCTACCCAGAGTCAGAGCGGCTCCTCCTCGCACCACGATTTCGTTCAAGTGCTATATCCGAATGAACTTGGAGAGGCCGATGGCTCAGATTCAGCCTCGAGATTAGACCATCGCGAAAGAGTTCAGCAATACGAGTCCAGGTCCAATTCAGCAAGACGACAGGCGGTGCACCGCCAGCAGGCTATTCGTGAGCCTGCTCGCAGTCGAACCAGAGAATTGCAAGACACATCCCCGACGGAGAGCGGAGACTCGACCGAAGAGTTCCTTGCCAGGCGGGACCTGGGCTCTCACATGCCTCGTCCTCAATCATATTATGAGCACAACGGGTATACTCACAGCAGTTCGTCGGCGTCTTACCCATATCCTCCTGTGCCACATCCCGCAAATCAAGTAATAGCTCTTCAACCGCAACCCATGGCTATACCATTTCCAGCCCACTATCCCCAAGGCCAACCGGTGCCATACCCACCTCACGCTGGATATCCAGCTGGCTTCAGTCACCATGCTCCTTCACAAGTCAGCGCACCATACACCTCGTCTCCTTACGGGCCGCCTACCATTGTTAACTATGGTGCTCCACCTGCCCCGGCGAGCTATTACTCTCAATATCCTCCCCCCTTCGGTGCCCACCAGTATCCGCCACATTACATGCAGTACCCGCAACAGATGCCTTATCCATACTACGCTCCACCTCTTGCGCCTTCCCCACAGCCCGTTTCTGCGAGTGCATCTGCCGAAAAGCTTGAAGCTAAGAACGACGACGACCTTGTTAGACGCCTCAAGGATTTGATGAAAGAAGAACAGATTGCTAAAGACGCGGAAGCGGCCGAAAAGGCCACAATGGCAGCCTCACTTGCTGAGCAAGAAAGCCGTCTTCGAGAACAAGCACTGAGGCAAGTCGAAGAGAAAGTCCGACAAGCTGAGGAGAAGGCTAGACAGGCTGAGGAGAAGGCACGACAGGATGAGAGGGCGCGACAAGACGCACTCCTTCAGGCGGAGGAGAAGGTCCGGCAAGCCGAAGAAAGGGCCCGGCAAGAAGCGATTCGTCAGGCTGAAGAGAAACAGCGACAAGACGCCCTACGAGCGGAAGAAGAGAAACGCATTCGAGAACAGGCCTTGTTAGCGGCCGCAGAAAAGGCCCGAGCAGAAGCGATGGCTGCGGCAGCACGCATGGAAGAAGAGCGGCGGATTCGAGAAGAAGCCGTCCGGGCTGCAGAGGCAAAGGCCCGGGCTGACGCTGCGGCAGAAGCTGAGCGCAGGGCAGCAGAGAAACGAATCCGAGAAGAAGCGAGACAGGAAGCGATTCGGGCTTACGAGGAACAAGTCCGAGCCGCCGCGGAGCAAGCTGCAAGAGAACAGCAGATTCGGAAAGAGGCAGCAGAGGCCGCCCTGAGAGCTGCGGCGGAAGAAGCAGCTGCCAAAGCAGAAAAGGCTGCAGCCCAGAAGAAGATGATCGACGACGCCGCGGCGGCTGCGAAGAACGCAGCCGAAAAGGAGGCGGCGGAGGCAGCAGCTGCCGCCCGAGAGGAGGCAAAAAGGGCAAAAGAAGAAGCCGAAGCTAAACTGAAGGAAGCCGAGGAAGCAGCGGCCAAAGCAAAAGCAGAAGCCGAAGAAGCCGCTGCGAAAGCCGCTGCTGCAAAGGGGCCCGAAAAGAAAGCTCCTGTCAGATTCAAAGATGCGATTGGGCGCAATTACAATTTCCCCTGGGATCGATGTTGCAAATGGCGGGTAAGTTGGTTTGTATAACGCGTCATAACTCCAAATCTGACATTCGGCAGGATATGGAAAATCTCATCGTCCAGGCATTTGCGCACATCGATAACCTTGCAGAACATGTGATGGCCGGTCGTTACGACCTGATCGGCCCGGACAAAGAGATCATCATGCCCAACTATTGGGAATCAACCATTGAGCCCGATATGCACATCACAATGATGTTGTGGCCCATTCCCGAACCCAAGGAAGAAATAATAGAGGAGCCGCCACCACCGCCTCCTCCCCCAGAGATATTAGAGGACACTATCCTAAACCTCGAAGATATTATCAACCCGAAGAAGGAGAAAAAAGGTATGAGACATGGGTTCAACCAGAAACGGCTCGGGAAATGATCCTTGCTGACCATTACGTTCTAGGCCCCAAGAAGAGGAAACCAACTGGAGGCATCGCCGGCTGGATGCTGGGAGGAGCTGCCAGTCGGCCTTCGCGAGCTTTAAAAGGTGATAAAAAGCCTGATGTGGCCGCTAAATCTCAGCACGGTGCCACTGATCAAAGTGCATGCACCGTTATGTGAGCGGCTCTCTTGATATCGACAAGTCGAGTTGGATAGATTGGCCCGTCTCTGGTCCCAAGGATTGTGGGAAAACGACGACGAGGCGGAAGTCGGGTGGCACTGTCCCATCATCTATTTCAGTACCATACACTTCAACGACAACTGCATCTCTCGGTTTTCTACTGCAACCCCCCAATCTATGACAATTTTCAAGGTCGACGAAGGAGGGCCTCTCACATAGGCCACTTCAGGAGGCATGGCTTTATCCTCTCGAGCATTCGGGATTGGTTTTTCATGCCTCAGGGGACGCGACACGTGGATGAATTTCCTTTGTCATGGTTACGACTTACGACAATGTTGGATTTAGCGGGAGTTTCTAAAATACATGTGAGAATTAGCGGTCTGGGGCCGAAGAAAAGCTCGCGATGGAGCGGCGAAACATTTCGACGTTATGTCGTTTGGATGTCGGCTTGAGGACACTGCCGCCTTTGCATGTTGCGGTCTTCTGGCGTTTCTTGCTTGGGGTTTCATATATGATACCCATTTTTCAGGTCGGTCGGCTTAGCTGGCAATGTTGCTTCATTGCCTTGGAGATAAAAAGGCTGGGTAGCAACATAATGAATAAAATAGATCCTGTCAAAGAAGCTGTGTGCTGTCCGTGCTACTTGTACTGCGTCCTCTCGTCTTCTGTATCTAGATCAAGTAGCAGGTGCCACAACCGTGCCTCTCAAAATCTCACTAAGCGGCATGTCACATGACCGTCAGAGAAACCTCACCTCCAGTTCCTCCGTCTCCATCGACACTGATTTAATTCCAAAGGGGAACCAACCATCCGGCCGTCACACACCTACCGATGACAAGTATTAGTAACAGAAAAATCGTGTCAATCATCATAAGCAAGCAGCCTTGTGTGCGGCGCGGAGCCTCATAAATTCCACCGGACTCAATCTTCCAGCACGCGACCGTATTCCGCAATAAGTCAATGGTCTGTGGCTTGAGGGGCTCACACCTTCTCAAGCTCGTCTGCAGATAGACGCCGCTGATGAGCCTGGCGATGAGGGCCCAAGCGCGCGCCATCCGGTGACATTTGACACAATGTCAACCAGGGTGTTGATCCATGATTACCCCCATCGAACAGTGGCCCTTGCAACGGATGAGCATGTCCTGGTGTTTCGCCATTCCCATGCCGCACCAGAGAGTGGTAGAACCTCAATTTCCAGCTCGACCAGCCTTCCCCTGGGCAACACGAGTCGATCAAATTCGACCCCTCGATGTATGGTCGAGTTCGGAGACAAGTCTCTCATCAACCTTGAACATTTTCATCCTGTCACTACCGCGAGGGGAACTTTAGGTCTCATCACCCTCAACAACGACGTCTTCCTTTGCGTCATCACAGGGTCAGAAGAGGTGGCTACTGTGAGGCCAGGCGAGACGGTCCAGAAGATCTTCGCTGTCGAATTCTGTGAGTCAGTTTACTTACCCTGCCACAAAGCCAGCATGCTGATGTACGTTGAGACTGTCTCAACCGTGCGGATTTTGACCATGCGCATGGCCCTTATCCGAACCCGTATCCTGGACAGATCTTTCAGTCAGACGACGTCGACTACACTCAGGGCGACGACGTCTCGGAACATCCATTCCACGCCTTGAGGAAACTCCTGAGCAACGGCAATTTCTACTATAGTGCCGATTTTGACCTTACTCGACGGCTACAGGACCGGTAAGTCGCCATCAGTCGTTTAGGAGAACAGAGCTGACAGATTCCAGTGCCGAGGCAGAAAGCACCGTAGACATTACCAGTCTCGACGAAGGCCTCCTCTGGAACTCTTATATGATTGATCCGCTGATCAAATTCAGGAGCAGGCTTACCGATCACGAGCGAAACGCTCTTGACCGCTCTCGCCTTCTTACCTCTGTGATTCGAGGCTTTGTCAAAAGTTTGCCGATACCACCTTCTTCCTCTCCGATCCGGGGAACTGTGCCAGGTCCACCCACAACCTTAACCATCATCTCTAGATTGTCGTCCAGAAGAGCCGGGACACGTTTCAATTCTCGAGGCATTGATGATGACGGCAACGTTGCCAACTTTGTCGAGACTGAGACCGTCTTCTGGTCTCCCACTGGCCTTTGCTTCTCCTACACTCAAGTGCGCGGCAGCATACCGATATTCTGGGAAAGCTCAAGCAGCCTGATACCTGGCCAACAAAAGATCCAGATTACCCGCTCGCCGGAGGCTACACAGCCGGCCTTTGACAAACATTTCGCAAGCCTGGAGAGAACGTATGGTGCTGTCCACATCGTGAACCTTCTTAGCGCCTCCAAACCGGGCGAGGTCGAGTTGACAGAGAGGTACCGCTATCATGTGAGTAGGAGTCCACTACGACGTCACGAGGAAGGTGAAGTGGAGGAACATCATCTACTTCACGAAACAGAATTCGATTTTCACGAACGGACTCGTGGGCCGAGCGGATATGAAGCAGCGAAAGCAATCCGCCCATATCTGGACGCAAGTGCTGAGTCGTTCGTTTACTTCCTCTCAGAAGAAATAGAGGAGGTCGCCATCGATCACGGCAGAAAAAAGCTTGTCAGAAGACCGATTGTCATCATGCAACAGAACGGCATCTTTCGTGTCAACTGCCTAGACTGCTTAGATCGAACGAACCTTATACAAGGCATAGTCAGCCAAATGGCGCTGGAGTTGTTTCTGTCTCATCGGGACGAACGAGGAAATTCTGACTTTTGGATGCGCCATTCTGCATTGTGGGCTGACAATGGCGATGCTCTTTCGAGAATATATGCTGGGACTGGGGCGTTGAAGAGTTCATTCACCAGGCACGGCAAGATGAGTCTTGCTGGTGCCCTTGCGGATGCCCGGAAGAGTGCTACTCGTCTCTATGTCAATCACTTTGAGGACAAAAACAGGCAGAATACCGTTGATCTATTGCTCGGCAGGTTGGTCGGACAGACGAGCGTAGATCTATTCGACCCCATCAACGACTGGGTCGTCGCAGAAGTTGCGAGACGAAGACCAGAGTTTGAGTCGAGGGATCAGCTCAGGCTTGGCATGGGAACATACAACTTGAATGGCAAAACAACTGGAATCCACGAGGACTTGACTCCATGGCTGGACGTTCGCGGGAAGAACCTGGACATTGTGGTGGTTGGTTTCCAAGAGATAGTCGAGCTGAGTCCACAGCAAATCATGAGCACAGACCCCAATCGTCGAATGCTGTGGGAAAGGGCGGTCAGAAATTGTCTCAACGGGCATGGCCCCGACGAGAAATTCGAGGGAGTACCCACGAAGGGAGACGCATATGTCCTTTTGAGGAGCGGTCAATTGGTGGGAGCTGCATTGATGGTCTTTGTCCGTTCCAGCATTCTGGGCCGAATCAAGAATGTGGAGGGTGCCATCAAGAAAACCGGTATGAGTGGAATTGCTGGAAATAAAGGCGCCGTCGCCATCAGAATGGATATTGAAAGCACGTCGGTATGTTTCGTCACCGCCCATTTGGCCGCAGGATTCGCCAATTACGAAGAACGCAATCGCGATTACAACACAATCACCTCTGGACTGAGGTTCCAACGGAACCGGAGCATTGAGGACCACGAGATCATCGTTTGGGCGGGGGACTTCAACTACCGAATCGGCCTGGGCTATGAGCGAGTCAAAGCCCTCGTCACTGAAGCTATGATCGGGTCGGAGAAAATTAGGGAAGAGGCATTGGGCAAGCTTTATGAAAACGACCAATTAAACATCCAGATGGTGGTGGGAAATTGCTTCAACTATTATCGGGAAGGACGGGTCAAGTTCCTGCCGACATACAAATACGATATTGGCAAAGACGAATTTGACTCGAGTGACAAGCAACGCATACCTGCCTGGACCGACCGTATCCTTTGGAAGGTCAACCACAACCGGAATGCGGTCCAGGCTGGTGGGGTACTCGGCTCCCAAATGAAGCAACTGGAATACGACAGCGTCATGGGCTTAAGATTTAGCGATCACAGGCCAGTATATGCTATATTTGATGTGGGTATCAGGGTGGTAGATGAAGAGAAGAAGGATGCCTTGACCAAAAAACTATACTCTAAGAGAGCGAAAGAAATGAAAAGCAAAGCAGGTGATTCCACAGAAGGGTTGGATGACATTGAGACTGATGACGAAAGCGATAGCGTGATGGAGAGTCTAATGGGATATGAGAGTATTCAAGAAGGTCTACCTCCGGCCAGCAGCGACAAGAGGAAGTGGTGGTTAGACGGAAATAAAGCTGCAAGAAGCGCGATTCGACCACCAAAGGAAGGAATGATGTTGAGCGGGAACCGCGAGGGCAATCCATGGAGGGAGGGTGGAGAGGACGACTGGGTCGAAGTCGAAAGACCTCCTATTATGGACAACAATAAGCCAGGAAGCAGACCAGGAAGCAAGAAACCAGAGCCGCCGCCGCCACGAACGGTGAAAAGAACGGTACCTCCACCCTGGGAGGGAGAACGAGTTGCGATTCCCTCAACAACAGCCGCGGAGATGAAGTCCCTTCGACGTCCAACGCCCCCAACACCACGAGGAGGTTCGGCTCCACGGAACAGAGCTTCAAGCGCTACCACCTCTCCTGTACGGTCAGCCCTGTCTTCAGCAGGCGATTTAGTAAACATCCCTGCGAGATCCTCCTCAGCGGTGGGATTCCCTAAGAAACGACCTCCTCCCAAACCCACGAAGCCGACAGCTCTCACGACTTCGTCAAGCCAAGTGGCCGTCCCGCAACTGAGTCCCCTTGCTGCCCCTGCCCTGCCACGGTTGGCGAGTGTGTCTCGTTCAGACCTGGTCACGGCGCCTGAAGCCGAAGAGCGACCTCCACCGCTGCCCAAACGCAGAGAGACCGCTAGTTCAACAGCCTCGTTCGTGAGCGCCCCTGATTCTGTCACGTCGGGACCTGGTGCGGGAGGCCAGCAGAAGGGCGCCAATCATCCCCCTCCACCGCCACCTGTGAGAATATCAAAACTTCAACAGCAGCAGACACAACGCAACCCCGATGCAAACGACGCTCCGGCACCGCCCTTGCCACCGAGGAGGGATACAGGCAGCAGTAACAGCGCTCCTTTGCCCACGAGGAACAGAAAGGATGGCGATGCGAATGCGAACGGGGGACTCATGGACGAGGATGACAGATCGGGAGCGAGTAGGTTGGACAGGTACAAACCGCTCATGCCCAGTTGAGATAAGGGTACATTCGGGACTCCCGAGGGAGAAGGAAACGTGGGAAATAAATACAACTTTGTACTTGTCGTGGGTGAGAGAAGTATAAGTATGACCTGTCTAGACGAGACCATATGTCTCACTTCATTGTCCTCCAGGGAGACTCCATTTTTACCTTGTCGGTAGTGCTTGGTTCTTCCTCATTTAATAAGGTCAGTACAAAGCCGCTTCCCCAGCTGTTGTAATCCTGAGCACCGAGCACTATGCTTCTCTGAGAGCGTGGATAAGACCCACAGACCTGCACTGCTTTAGCCTTTCTATCATACACTCTTTGACATCAGCCCCATCTCGAGATATGCCTTGTTAAAGCCGTTGGGAATCGGACCTAGGCCTGAAGGAGCAGATTGAATTCGCAGATGTTCGCTGCCTGCAGAAACTGTGCGCTTGCATCATCAAGGCCTGGTTGGCTTCTTCTTGCTCTTGCCCTTTGACTCGTTTCGGGTTCTGTTCTGTCACAGTCACACCAGACAGAACGCATCGGTGCCGTCGACACCCCTACCCCACCCATCACAAATCGAAAGCTCGGACAACTTGTGGACGACCTCGCCAAACACGGAACTCTCAGCGTATCCGCCCGCCGACAGAGTGTCAAAGAGATGAAGATTGACCCGTGGATAGTCGAGTCCTCCAAGACGATCAAGCTGAAGTGATTGCCATCCTCCGGTCGGAGAATTGCCAGGCCGGTACTGCCTTGTAGGATGCACAGCTGGTCGTTGACCAGCAGGCCGTCTTGAGGTTGTGGTTCACACTTATGCACCTTGTTAATTTCCATTGCCTCCATTCTGATACGTAACGTCAGATCTGTGGAGCGGCCTTGTTTTCGTCGCCACTGGGCCTCGAGCTGGTCTGTGGTTTCTTGGACCTTGACGTTATACTCGAACTCAAGTTGCCGTGCTGCACTTTCTATCAAAGAAGCATGCAACTCCTTGAGATGCTTGGAGATTCTGTTGTATGGCCATTTGGGGATCTTTTGCTTGATGGCCGGGAACGGGCTTGCTTCGATATTGCCGTCGAAGACTGATGTGACAACGCCTATGGCGTAGCCTTTCACCCTGAGAGGTTCAGGGTCCTCAGGAGATCCAGAAGATCGGCGCACTGGCGACGGCCTGCGTTGTCTGCGCGGTGCGGACAACGACGCCCGTTGACGAGGGACAGGTTCTGGATCATTTGAAAACGTGTATGGGTCCCTCCAGTCCGGGCACCAAGTAAGCTGGATCGGAATCTGCTGGACGGGAGTCTCGCCTTGGAATTGTCTCAAAATCCACGGAATCCATCCTTCGGGCTGAGCGGGCCCTGGCCGAGGCGCTCTGACAGCGTAAGTGAGCACTGCCAAAGATTCATATCTCTTGATCATGTATCTTGCAACTCTTTCGTATACCGTTTGCACCGGCAGCTTATAGTTGGGCTTCAACTCTGGCACCTCCAGACCGTCGATCGCAAGACCTCGAAGCGCGTATATCCTATCGCGAGGATTTGTTGAGTTCCATGACCGGAAGTGCTGGAGGAGAACCAGCAGCTCTGATTTCGCCTCACTGTCAATCTCTGAACCCATAAAGCCAAGCAAGGGCCCTAGTTCCTCGAGCTTGGAGCGCAATTTCTTGTTCTGCACTCGCGGCAGGAATCGCCTGTGCAGCTTAGCGAAATAATGACCATCGACCTCGTTTCGACCCGAAACGATGAGCAACCGCTTGGCCACGGCAACCTCTTGGACAACCCAGATACGTTTGAACCACGGCACTTGCAATAGTTGCAAGAGGCAATACTCGTCCGTACTCGACAGTTTCAGCTTCACAGCGCTGCCAAAAGCGGACCGTGACGACTTGACAAGCTTCAAAGCGCTGTGGAGCTTATAGCTGGTTCCCGGCTGTCCATACTCGTCAACCTCTCTATGTGGGCCGAGAGAAGCAATCACCGTCTGCGCTTGCGCAAACACATCCCGCATACGATCGACCTGATGATCCTTCTCTGCCAGATTACCTTGGTTGATACAAATCGCGTCGATCCACAATAGGCGATCTCTGTCTGGAACGCGGAGCCGAAGCAGAATATCCTCGACTACTTTCGAGACCATGAAGGGCTTTCCAGACAATTGGATTGTCTGCGTCCTCTCATCATCGCCCCAGGCATACGATACCGCGTCATACTGGACATCCCGATCGTCGTCGAGATGTGTCAACTCAAACTCGCACTTGATCCCGCTGCCGTCCCACGGTTGTATCTCTGCAGGGCCCCCCAGCAGCTTGAGCAGACGTATACTGGGGGCATCTCTGGAAATCGGCTCATATTTGAACATTGACATGTTTGCCAATGCAGTTGGCTGAGAGGGGAGGGCTGGGCTTGGAAGATCGGGGGCAACTCAAAACCGCTTGTAGTCAGAGTTGTGCCAGCACTATGGATCCAAGACGATACCGTTCTGCCGAATAGTCTTGCAATACCACAGATCTACCCAACATTGCAGTCATCTACACATTCGGTGAGGGTTTTGCTTCTAGGTTTCCGAAGGACGATTGCACAAAGTTGGTTGACTTCAGCTACACCAGCTCACATTGTGCGCGGGAGAACGGAATGCCGAAAGTCAACGCCCCAGGGGAGCAGATTGAGCAGTGATTTCCGACCCGTAACAGCTCGCCCATTCGGCAAGAGAAACCGTTCCCATGTAAGCCACGTTTTCATCCTCCAACCGAAATCAAGGAACGCGCCCGCCGCCTGCAGTACTGGAAAATCCATCCTTCTGACATAGCTCCTCCAATGTGGCCCGGGGCCCCAAGTGTTGTGGCTCTCGATCTGTCGTTCTATATGGCGATGTGTAAGTCCCGATACCATCTTCCTTCCTTTCATTAGAATTCAGCATGAGCGAATTCATTTTTTGCGCTCGTTTCTCCCACATATGCCTATGTGGTAGGTCTGGTGGCAATGAAAGCTCAGATCTTGGAGGTGGGTTTGGATAGTCGTTTTCATCACGTTCCTTCCATTCTCCAAGAAGATCCCTGTTGACTGCTTGGCAAAAGAACCTTGTGTGTTCAGGCTTATTCACTGCGGCAAAGGCAAGAAGAACAAAGGCTTCTTTCAGAGAGACTTTGGCCAGTGATAAGAAACAGCGGAAAAGCCCTGGACCACCCCTTGTCTCCATGAGCCAGGCCTTCGACCCATCTTTCCATCTGAGCGCACACACAAGAATCGTGAGAACCGTGATTTCGCAAATAAGTGCTGCAACAGCAAAGATCCAAAGCTTTGTCGTCCCGGTACCTATGATGCCAAAAACAGTAGCTATAAAGCTCAGCGGTACAAAGGTAAAGGCCAACACCGTCAAGCGGTTAACGGCAGTTGCTTGCTCAAAACTCTGCTGAGAGTCTTCCAGAGTAAGTGTGTTCAAATGACGTTCGACGTAACTTTTCAAATCACTCTGGACTAGGTCAAGCTGCCCGACCAGGTATTTATAATCTTGAAGGAGTGCGTCTGCGGATGGGGACTTCGAATCTAGAAATCGAGTCATGGTGCTTCGAGTATTCCGCATATAAAGGCGGATGTCGTGAAAGATCGCCCAGCTCTCTTCGAGGACCCTTGTTTGGGCTTTAGCGCTCGCGCCCTCATAATACTCCGCCTCAAGGACGAAGCTCTGGTGTTGAATCCGATAGAAAACTTCAACTGCGAGCAAGTGGAGGTAAGGGTAGGTGAACTCAACGGGGTTGCGATTCGCAGAGCTGATTGTCTCTGGGGGCAAACGCTCAAGCTGTGCGAGATACCGGGTGCCTAGCGTTTTCTGAGTGAACTCTGCCGTTTTTGACGTGCCCAAAGCGTGTACCAGCTGAGATGGCGACGGGCATCCTTCTCTGTTTACAGCTGACTGACACAGCATGGGATCTCGCAAAAAGATAATAACTGGATACAGGTTAGAATAAGATAGGATGGCAACCTCGATTTGGACTCACCAGTGTTCCGAGGGGCACTGATCTGATCGCCTTGAGTGTGGCAAGCGACGAAGGCGGCGTTCAGGCTGGCATCGACGAAGCAAGCCTCTAAGGACTTTTGCTCACTTGGTAGAGGAAAGGTCCACAACGTGCCCGTTTGGTGTCTATCCATCATATTGGGCGGTCGTAACCTGTCGTTTTTCGCATAGTAATGGTCGAAAACTTGCCAGAAAAAGATAGGCTCCAGGTCAAAGTGCTCTCCCAGAGCTTCAACGACGTTGCGATCGATCGACCATGTTTGTGTATATCTCACAATAACTACTCTTGTCGTCACTTGGTCCGGACGGTCGGATAGAGCCACTGCAATGTCTGATTTCAACTTGTACTGGAGCTCTCTCTTATCTAGTCGAGATCCAGCGCTGTCGAATATGAAAACTTGGGTTTCTGCAGGATGCCCGCCAGGATGGGAAAAGAAACATGAGAGCCAACGGAATTCGGGCTGGAGTTTGGCGAGCTCTTCAACATAGGAAGCGTAACTTGCGAATGGAAAGTTGGCCATGGGAGCTTTAGGATGCTGAGAATTGCCTCGATCGAAAAACCAAAACAACGACGACAACGACAACGACAACGACAATCCTCTGCCTCCAAACTCCAAACTGGTTACTTTGACGATATAATAGTTCTAACATGTCAACATAAATGCATTGATCATGCCATGTATTTTCTTCGCCCTCTGCGTCACACCATGTCATATTTAAGCTTTTCACCTACCAAGTAATTAATGGGACAGTGAGCCGGAAATGGAGACCAGATCCATCATCAAAGAGACAAAGGCCGTTAAGATGATCAACACAAGACCGCAAAAATTATGATATGGACGCACAGCCTATGCTCTTGCGATGAACACTCCCACAGGTAGCAACATCAAAATGAACCCCAAGATCGCGATAACTATCCTCGGGCCGCTCCGCCAACTACCCCCTGTCATATTAAGATCTCGCACGATCTGCCGCTGGAAGATCGTCAATGCAATGGCTGCGAAACTGCCAAACGCAACAGCCAAAACAAATAGGAGCCAACTGACTGTCATGCGGGTTCGAATGTACCTAGTGCACCTGCGATGCCCTCGTTTGGGGTCACTGATGATCGCTGGTGTCTGGTGGCGATATGGTGGAGAAGACGATGGAGAAGAGAAAACCGGCTCCGAGCGTTGATACAGCAATGACGCCTTGAAAGAGGGAGGTCTACAGCTTGACCCATCATTGAGAGGTGAGTTCGCCAATAACCTCTGAAGAATTGCCTTTTTCTCGAGAATAATTTTCCGGACCGCTCTCCTTGTTTCATCTTTCAGCCATTGCAGGTCAGCCCTCATTCACCTCCTCCAGTCTCAAGGGCGGTGGTATCGCTGTAACGAACGGCCGGGTCGGTAATCGCATGTTTGATCAACTCAAAATATTGTTGGAATTCGTCCTCGGGGCTTCGGCTCCCTCCGTCCAGTCGTGGAAAGAGCCCATGATGAGTGCCCAACCAAGATTGCGTCGAACCTAACAGCTCGAGCAGGTTACATCGTTAAGATAACGTTGTCGGCGTTTTCAAAGCTACAACGTGTGGCCACAGGCGTTGTATGATACCTGCAGCCGTTGCGTGAGGGCTATAAGGCACCAAGCTTGGAGTAATCTGAGATCGGGGTGTCCGACGGTCTGGTCCAAGCAAAAGGAAATATTATCAGCATATGGGAAAGCACCCATCGAGGATAGGATGACAGGACATCCTCGACAACAGAAATACGAACCTCATTACGGGGCTAGATGGCCGCGAAAGCTGGCCTCGTCTGATATCTGCACACATTGCGTGAGGCCTCGATCACGATCCAAAGTGTTTAGCGTTCGTTGTGTTGGGTGACGATTGGCAGAAGGCTAAGAAGTTCGCTTTAGCGAACACGAGGCTGAACATCGGCTGATCTTTTGGCTTCGGCCAGCCACACATTTTCCAAGCACGAAAACCGTTCATGCCCAGGCTGCCAGATTTGTGTCATTGAAGCAACCAAGCGAGCATGCAAGGAGTCTGAATCGGGAAAGCCGGACTAGGAGTCTTGGATGTCACACCAGAAAGGTGACAGGATGTGTTCAGACAAGTACTTGTATTTGATAGAGACGAAATATGTCGTCAGAATTCATGCGGTGGCCTCTGTGCAAGATGTGTCACTCCATCGTTCGATCGCACCACGGCGCATTTGATTGAGGGATTCATCTACCACCAACGAATAAGCTGCCATACTTGGCCGGAATCATGATTGTGATATATATCCTGCTCCTGTATGAAGTGTTCATGGTGAGTTGCTCTCATAACAAGATCTTACTCTCGTCTCCCAGAACACACTGCTAAGACTTTCAACTCTTCATCCCCGAGATGCATTTCATCCTTCCACTCATTCTTCTCTTCGCGCCTGGCATGGTCCGACCGGCGCCTCAGGCTGGTGTGCCGGAGGCAACCGTTCCATCAGTCTGCAACCCACTCATGCCAATGGCCGAATATGAAGCCTTCTCAGCACTCAAAGATCTCTGCATGTGTATTGCCAACAAGGATTACGATGCCTGCACCGACGCAGCATTTGCAGCGGACAAACCGGACGACAGCATCCTTTGCGGCGTTCGCCAATGCCAGGACTATAACTGGTGCGAGATACAGAATCCATGCGCCCAGACGCTCATCCCAGGCATCCAGATCCTGGATTGCAGCACCACAGAGAAGAAATACCCGAACTTCTCATCGATCTCGAGGGAGTGGGATAGACGAGGTCTACCTCAGTCGTCTGTGGGGAACTGTCTGCTTTCCTCAAGCGTGTCGATGCCAGCTAGTGTCAAGGTATATTTGGACTTGGTCAAATCCGCCTTTTCCGCCGCTGGAGCAGTCGGCTCTACTCCATAAAAAGAGCCCCCGGCCATCATGAGGCATTCAAGAAGAGGAAATGCACCGCGGTTACTCAGATCAAGCAGAGTACCCGCCCCGCGCTGGCTCTTTCCACTCAATTAAAATTATTTCTGGAATACGTTGAACATGCTGCGATCGCTTCATCGGCCGTTCCCTTTGTCAAAGCATGGTGACACTTAGGTGAAGGTGTTAACACTACCCCCAAGACGGGGACGAGTCTCACCAGATTTTTCGGGCACAACGGTGGAAGATACGGCTGGCAATTGAGTATGAGGTAGGCCCACCAGCCGGAATATACTATTCTACCCAGTATTTGTTAGCGCTAGTTCACTAGCCTAATTAGGCTAGGCTAATTATAAATTGTCTCAATCAATCAACCCATTCTTGACCCCCAGATTGGCTCATTACTATTATCGCGTCGATGCTCCGAATCGCAAGCTCGGAGGACTTGAGGTCGTGAGCTGGTTGGAACCCCTCTATAGGTAGGAGCTGGATTGTGAAATTATGCTTGCCTCGGCTATGGAACGCGCCACGGAAAGAGTCACGGAACAAGCGACCCCTAGTTCTCCGTTCTAGTCTCCGCCGAATTGTCCATCCCGGAATGTCAATTTCGGATCCCCCGTAATAGATTTTGCGGCCAACATCCCTGCTGATTCAATCCTGAAGGACACTAATTTTCTTTCTAGATATGGGGTCAATGTTATATCTGAAGGGCTACTACTTGGCCTCTGATCTTAGCGTGGAGACATCTTTCACCAGTTCATGTACGGAGTGTACTCAAGTTGAACTGCCGGCCTTATCGACAAGAACGAAAAATCTAATCGAACAAAGTCCTAACCAGAACCCCGTTGCCGACTCCATGAATGTGGCTGACCTCTGACACAGGCGTGGCACCGCCTGCTTTCTTCCGGAAACGCTCACATCCTCCGAGCACCTGGGATATAAGAAGACTAGTGCTCTCTGCCTCCTTTCTAGTTCCAAGGCGGGAACATTGGAATCCTCGAGTGCAATAGCAAGTCACGCTTGATCGACATGGCACCCGTCACAGTCAATGACACCGGTGTCACGAAGTCGTTCCAACCCCAGCAAATTGAGGACAGGCTCTTCATCAACGGAGAGTTTGTGCCATCGATATCTGGTAAGAAATTCGACGTCTACAACCCTACAACGGAAAAGCTGGCCGCGTCAGTCTACGAAGCCGACGTTGAAGATGTCGACCTTGCCGTTAAGGCTGCGAAGGAAGCATTCCCGGCCTGGTCTGCCCTATCCGCAGCCGAGCGGACCAGCTATCTGAATCGGCTCGCCGATGCTATCGAAACGAACGCCGGTGAGCTTGCCTATCTCGAGGCTATTACTATGGGCAAGCCATATGTCGACGATTGTAAGCTTTCCACTTTCATTGCCCCCCTGGTCTATTGTAATTCACCACTAACATCCTCACTCATGTCAGTCTCCATCAAACTCTCAGTATATAACCTACGGTACTTCTCGGGGAAAGCACTCGACGTGACGGGCGATTCAAGCCTCAACACCAAGGATTTTGTGAACTTAACATTACGACAACCGTTCGGAGTCTGCGGCGCTATTACTCCTTGGAACGTTCCGCTACTTATGCTGATCAATAAGGTCGGCCCAGCACTCGCCACCGGCAATACGTTAGTATTGAAGTCATCTGAGAAATCGCCTCTCTCTTCTCTCGTCATCGGCCGCCTAGCCCAAGAGATCGGCCTGCCTAAAGGCGTACTCAATATCTTATCTGGCTACGGCCGTCCCTGCGGCGAGGCTATCGCAAAGCATATGGACATTCGTAAGGTGAGCTTTACGGGCAGCGTTGTTGCAGGACGCGCTATCAAAAAGGCTGCTGCAGAGTCGAACCTGAAGAAAGTTACGCTCGAGCTCGGTGGGAAGTCTCCCCTCATCGTGTTTGAGGATGCAGACTTGGCTAAAGCCGTCCCTGCTGCCACAATGAGTATCCTCTTGAACAGTGGGCAGTCTTGTATCGCCAGCTCGCGGATATACGTACACGAGTCTATCGCTACGCAGTTTACTGAGAATATGAAGGCTGCTATGGCAGAACTCTTCCCAGCTGCGGACCCGCTCATAGCGGGGACAGGACGTGGGCCACAGGTCGACAAGGCACAATTCGATCGCGTGATGTCCTATCTCGACTACGCGAGAGAAAAAAAGTTGACTGTACCCTTGGGCGGTGGCCGCCAAGGTACGACAGGATATTTTGTCGAGGCTACCATCATCTCTAACGCCCCAGAGGACTCCAAGGTTATGAAGGAAGAGATCTTCGGGCCTGTTGTGTGTGTCAACACCTTTTCCGATGAGTCAGAAGTTCTTCAACGTGCGAATGATACCGAGTTCGGTCTGTACGCCAGTGTCTTTACGAAGGACATCTCACGGGCATTGAGAGTGGCCAAAGCGCTCGAGGCGGGCAGTGTGGGTGTTAACTGCTCGTCGCCGACCATGGCGGTTGATTTGCCGTTTGGTGGGTGGAAACAGAGTGGGGATGGACGGGAGTTGTCTAAGTATTGTACTGACTATTGGACCGAGCTGAAGAGCGTATTCATCTCGTTGTAGAACCGGCGAGGCCGTGAGGGGCCAGTTACAGAGGAATCAAATGTTCATATCATTCAATCAATGTTGGCTTCCGATGATCGCTTTCCTCTAACAATGCCATCTTCGCTTCCCCCAAGATATTCCCTCTGCAAGGATGGACTAGCAGAGAGACCTGAAAGTTCCCATCAAGGCAATCGTGTCGTTGACACTGTCAATGCCAATATGTATCAAGCAGAAGAGCACTTTCACGTCTTGACAGTAATTGAGTAGGAGCAGAACGTGGGAAAGCCCAGCTCTACACAAATCCAAGTTGCGAACTCGCCAATTCTTCCACAAACCTCGGAACTCCGGGGCTTAGGAGCCAATGGGCAAAAATGGAGCAGCTTGGCTGAACTGTCGCGCCGAATCTCCGGGAAGGGGATCTAACTCGCTTGATCTTAATGTACCCCGGAGTCCAGGCTCTCTGGTTCGATTCCGCAGCTTGTTCCGAGACGAAGCAAGTTATGGTGTTTGCCGGTGACAAATGAGATCTTAGCTTGCATTCATGCCTGTGAAAAGACTTACCAGGATCCGAGCCGCAGCACAGTGTGTCCACCTTTTCGGGAAAGGCTTTCTAGCATTTCACTTTGGAATATCAAACTCCCGACTTCTTCCAAAGGTTCACATTCTCGTCAATCCTTCTAAGATCAAGAATCAAAAACAGCCATGGACTCTTTACCCGGGAAAAATATCCCTACTAAAGCACTTGTTGTTGACAAGCCTAACGCACCTTTCATCCTCGAAGATGTGGTCCTGGATGAAGTACGAGAGAATGAGCTTCTTGTGGAAATCAAATACTCGGGAATATGCCACACTGTGAGAGTCACTTGTTGAAGAAAATGGAACGGCTGCGACTCATTCAAAGCTTTCTAGGACCTTGTTATACAGCAGGGGAAAATGCCCATCGGTGGTTTCCCGGTGGTAGCTGGCCATGAAGGCGCTGGCATTATTCTCAGGCTGGGTAGCGGCCTCGAAGGTTCGGGGCTCAGAGAGGGTGACCGGGTGATACTGGGGTTCGCCTCTTGCATGAGTTGCACAGCATGTCGCGAAGGGAGCAAGGGAGCTTGCGCCAACATCGCCCTTACCAATTTTGGAGGCACAAGAGGCCTTGACGATACTTCAATTCGCCGTCCTAACGGTGACTTTGTAAGAGGTCCAGTGTTTGGCCAGTCGTCATTTTCCAAGCTCGCGGTCTGCGATGCCAGAACTGTGGTTAAATATCCAGGGCCGGTTGAAGACCTATCATTTTTGGCTCCTCTAGGCTGCGGGTTTATGACGGGTGCTGGAACGGTCATGGATGTTTTGAAGCCACAGTCAAGCAGCAGCATCGCTATCTTGGGGCTTGGTGCAGTGGGGCTTTGTGCTCTCATGGCAGCTAAAAGCCTCAACGTTGCTGAAATCGTAGCAATCGATATTGTTGATTCACGGTTGGAATTGGCGAAGTCTCTAGGGGCTACACACGCTCTGGACGGGAGGAAGTACAGGGATATTGAAGCTGCAATTCGAGAAGCGTCTGCGCATGGTGTTGACTATATAGTCGATACTACCGGTCTGATCAGCGCGATCAACAGTGGTATCAGAGCGCTCGCGCAACGGGGAACGCTCGCCATTGTCGGCACGCCTCCACCAAGGGAGTGCCTCAGTGCTGAAGCGATGGAAATGCTCATCCACTGCAAGAAGATTATCGGAATTACAGGTGCTTATGCCAACCCTCAAGAGGTGAGCTTGCACTTTTCGTCGGCAAAATGTGGTTTATTGATGCTATAACAGCTTATACCTCGTCTCGTCAAAATGTTCAAGGATGGGTCATTTCCCATCAGCAGCCTGTCCAAGACATACCCATCAACGGAAATAGAGCAAGCCATTAAGGATATGAAGTCGGGAAAGGTAGGAGTCCTCTTTAGCTCTGATCTGGCCATTTCTCACTCCATTTCAGGTCGTCAAGCCAGTACTAGCTTGGTAGTATCATCATTGGTGCCTGGTTCGAGATGTCACATAAATGTGGACTTCTGAACATGACGGATACTTGGAGATGTGCATAGGCCATGCTGCGTTCCAGTGGAAGAGTGCACAGTGCGAGAGCAGTATTTGATTCCTACGTGTCAGAGCATAATGACATTTGGAAGCAGTAGGGAGGGTTATTCTGTGCATACTTGCCACAATATCGAAGGACGAGGGGACACTTACCGGTGTCTGCCAGATGTCTCAGTTGTCCCTACCCAGCCGCATATAGCCCAGCCAGAGCAGCGCGATTATTTCGTGTTGAGACGACCGCAAACGAAGATAGGCAAATTAGTTTCTTCTAGAATTCCCAGGCAACATGAACCGATATTTGCACCCATGGCCTCCTGGTTACGCTCTCGAGGAGGTTGTAGAGCTCTGAGGACTAGGGGGACTCAGCCTTGCGATTACCCCACAGTCTCCCCGGCCTCCCGGTTCCCAACTGGTGTGTCCAAGTGGGTCTCTCTGACTGATCCAATCGAACTCCGTGAATGGTTCGAGCTTGGCCGGAATTGAATGGACGATCAACGGAATGAGGTTCCAGACAAGCTTCGACATACATTTTTTGAGTCAGCACGAGTGCCACGTTCCTGAAGCTCGCTTCCATGGAGTAGCGAACGCTTTCTCCACAACCCCCTGGCTTGGAAATTTGAAGTCTTTCTTTGGTCTGGGGACCCGTGTCTGGGCTAAGAATATACCCCATCCGGAGAACGCGGACACTCTCACTTCAGGTAATTATTAAAGACTGTTGTTAGGTTTCATACTGGTGATTCCGTTTAACAGGTCTCAGGATTTACATTTCACGCCTCAAGGGTACCACGCTCAATACTTATGTCTTACACCGAGTCCAAAATGGACAAGTCTGAAGAAAAAATCGAGCAGCTGGCCTCGCCGACTGAATCTCTGGATGAGGAGGTTGTCATCTGGAACCATAAAAAAGAATTCGCTCTCCTCTTGGTAAGCTGCTTCCAAGTTCACTCCTAAGATGAGCACACCCTTACTTAATCGTGATGGCAGGCCCTCTGCAGTCAGTATTTCTGTCAGATGCTGTTTATCGTCGGCGCAGGTGTCTACGCTCGATCTATCGCAGCCGTTGTCGGTGGAGAATCTCTTTCTTCATGGCCTGCAACAGCCATCAACATTCTGACGGCTGCCACGATTCCTCCGATTGCGCGAGCCGCCGATCTCTGGGGACGAAAGTGGTTCCTGGCGGTGCCGACCTCCTTGGGTTTTATTGGCAGCATCATCGTTGCTAGAGCATCCTCGATGCAAATGGCCATCGCGGGCTTCGTTCTGGGTGGAGCGTCGTTCGGGGCACAGCCACTTGTTCATGCTGTGGCTTCAGAAACCATGCCTCGCAAATACCGTTCTTTTGCTCAGGGTGCCTGTAATTCTGCCATTGCTCTCGGATCTCTCTTCAGTTTACTTGTTGGCGGAGCATTGACCAACAACAATCCAGCCGGGTTCCGGACATACTGGTACATCTGCGCCGGCATCTACGTTCTATCGACCGTCATGTTGGCAACGCTCTACAACCCACCGCCGAGAGAGTTACAGTTGACCTTGACTTTCAAGGAGAAGGTTCGCTGCCTTGATTGGGTAGGGTTTTTCCTGTATATTGCAGGCTTGGTGCTCTTCTGTCTTGGTCTCTCCTATTCTCAGAACCCCTTCGGCTGGACAAACGCACATATCCTCGCCCCTTTCCTGATCGGAGTGGTTTTTATTCTCATCCTCATTGGCTACGAGTGGAAGGTCAAGAAGGACGGACTATTTCACCATGGACTTTTCCAGAACAGAAATTTCCCCCTTGCTCTGGTGGCGGTCTTCATCGAGGGTTATATTTTCATGTCAGCTAACATCTACTTCCCCTACTCGATGGAGATTGTCAATACAGGGATCTCGACGTTCCGAGTGTTGGTTTGCTACAGCATTGCTTTCATCTGTCTCCTCCTAATGTCATTCCTCATCGGAGGCTACATTTATCGAACAAAGACAGTGCGGGCCACCGCTATGGCTTCTAATATTGGGTTCATCATCTATGCTTCCCTTATGGCTTCTGTCACCGCAAAGACACCTGAATCCCATTTCTGGGGCTATATTACTTTCTACGGTTCTGGTTTGGGATGCGGCGTCATCACGCTTTACACCACGGCCCAACTTTCAACTCCACCTGAACTTATTGCCGTTACATCAGGTTTAATGGGCTCCATAAGAAGTACCGGTGGATCCGTCGCTGTTGCCATCTATGGTGCTCTGTTCAATCAAGGACTCACAAGCAACCTTTTCCCGAAAGTCGCTAGCGCCGTTGTTCCACTTGGTGTGTCAGAGGACAATATTGGAGCTTTGATCGCCGATTTAAGTGCTGGCGCGGTTGAAGCAGCGCTCAAACTGCCTGGTGTTACTATTGAGGTCGTAGAGGCGGCAGGGGAAGCTCTCAAATCGGCTTATGTGATCGGTTTTCGCGATGTTTTCATCTGCGCTGTCGCTTTTGCGACCCTTGGTCTAGGGGGTAAGCTTGCATGTCCAAGTTTGCGTTGATACAGACTGACTAACAAGCTTTAGCTTCTGCCTTTTTAATTAATCCAAGGAAAGAATTCAATGCTAAGATCGATGCACCTCTTGACGTCTTGGAGGTGAAGGCCGAGGATGTTGAAAGAGACATGGCCGTTGAGATAAAGGGTGGGAAGGCAACAACGATCGAGGGCTAGACAGCTGGATTGGATAACCTGTGGAAGAATTCTTCCTGGCTGTCCGGACTCTGCTTATAAGTCTTCAAAGTCTTTTGTCAAGACATATATCTCTTCTAGGGCGACCAGGGAAGGAGATTTTCTATACCAAATAACTAGTCAGGAGGCCCGAGAATACGGAACCGAGTTAAGCTTTTCGCTGTTGATGATCCATTTGTATTCGTACACGCCCTTTATAGTCAATGGACCAATAGGTGAGTAGAAGCACTTTCCAATATCTGACTCAATTTCTGACAATATAGTAAGCGCCTAGACCGAGAACTTGTTCTTTTCCGAGAGATGATTATTCTCTTCCTAAGTCTATTCATAACAGTCCTGTTGCCTTCATGGCTTTCCTCCTGCTAGTGTACCCTCTGCACAGCCAGTCGTCGAAATTTCTCTCTGCGTCTGCGAGAACGTCAAATCCTAACAAGCTTTTCTGATAAGCAGCATCTCCCCAATTGAAACTACAGGCGCCTTGCCAACCAGATGCTGGAAGCCGAGCCAAATCTTGGTCTCGTTTGACTTGCTCATCTCCATCGGATAAATGATAGAAATGCCGCGTATGCACGGCACCAGCTACATTGACTTCCGTTCTCTTCTTCCTCAAATCTTCATATAAATGGAGCAGATCGGCCAATTGTGCGGCCCTCTCCTCCGGGGCGAGCGAAATGCCGCTATTCTGTAATCGGGAGAGAAGAAGTCCCAAGACGGCACCGTCTTCAACAGCCATCGCAGCCCCCTGGCCCTGGTACGGCAGGGTAGGATGGGAAGCGTCGCCGAGCAAAACGACCGGGCCCTGTTTGTATAGGGTGAGCTAAAGTGGCTTCCACACAGGCCTTTTGGAAACACACCTTTGTCCACTGATCGAGCTCTTGAAAATGAAGAAGCTTCCATTTCAACGCAGATTTCAAGCATGAAATGATGGTGTTCAAGCTGGAAAGTCGGTCACCATGGGAACAACAGGTGCGAGGGAGAGGCCATTACCTTGGATCCCAGCCTTCGAAGTTGGCTACCATTTCTTCAAGACTTCCTTGCGACGCCCGAACGCCTTCAGGGAGATTGTCCGCACAACTTGGCATTGGTAAGTTTCGTCGTGTGATCAAAGAAAGGCATAACTCACATCAACACCAGGTTGTACTCTGTCTTGTCTCTTAGTGGATAAAACACCGCATGCCTTCCCGAACCCAGCCAAACTTGGACATTTGATGCTTCGATAAGTTCGTCAACCCTCTTGTCCTGGAAACCTTTCAGTTGTTCTCGACTGAAGGTTCCTCGATATGCAAGATCACCAGTTTCAACAGGCGGCATGGGTCGGCCCAAGACAAACTCTCGAGTTCCAGACCAGAGACCTGCAGGGTGCGTCAAAATCAGACTTCTGGAGCCTCAGCTGCCACACTTACCGTCGGCGCCAACCACAACATCTGCTATTATCCGATTTCCGTCCTTCAGCAGAACAATCTGCTTCCCTAGAGCTTCTCCAGTGCCTTGTTCGATGCCAATTACTTCCGCATTGGTAATGATTTTTGCGCCGTTTTTTCGAGCAGCCTCTAACAAGACGTTCTGGTAGTCTCCTCGGTGAATAGCTCTGTTCCCTGTCAGTGTCTGCTGGCCCGAATTGAAAGTATGTAAAGGGATACGCACAGCCATTCTGCACCATATTCTCGTTCCATTCTTTCTCCCATTGGTTTTTCGACAATGACACTGCCATCTTTGTACCTTCTTAAAGTAAACCCTTCAACAGAATACGCCTTCGCCTGTTTCAACTCTTCTAATAACCCGAGATGCGTGACGATTCTGCAGGCGTTTGGAGGAATATGGATACCTGCGCCGATTGTAAGGATCTCTGGGGCCCGCTCAACAACGGTGACGGCCAGCGGTGGATTTGCTCTTCGACAAGCAATGGCACACGCGAGACCACCGATTCCAGCTCCCACAACGACGACTTGGAGCTGATAGCGGTCCTGTTTCAGCGGACCCTGAGTATTCCCGGCCAATACGTGGAGTCAAGGATTCTTACAAGGGCCTCTTGGTTGTGAGTTTCCATTGAAACTCGATATTTGTTTCTAGATGCTCCTGCAATGGGTATCACACTGATTTTTCTGGGACTTCGAACTATTTGCGCGACTCTCCTAGCTTGCAACCCCGACCTGTCTGGGCCGCCGCAGCCTTTTAGGACGGCAACCTATTCTGCAAATAGCTCTGGGGATGTCACGCATACTGAAAGCGTCCGTTCGAGCACCACCATCCACATCAATGGCGTAGTGACTCGTTCCGTTGGGGCATTCCGTCAAGCTTTTCAGTCAAGGTGGCTCCAGCCGCTAATTGTATGTTTGTGGGATGGGTCTGTGCTTCCGAGTTTGCAACCCAGGTCAAACTTCAAGCCGCGGAGCCACACGACTTCCGGCTTAGGCTGGGGTCACGGGGGATCAATGTTAACCGAGGGCCCGGAAGTGATATTCTTATTCCTGTCTCATTCCTCTGGCCCAAACCGCTGCACGCACAGATAATTTATTCCCGGCTGACAATGCTCGGTGCAAATACAGAACGATTACACAATGCGATAGGACATTCCGAAGGCAGAGTTGGACAGTTTCCTCCGCCCAGACGATCGCGCGCCAAAGACCCAGCCGCCCGGAAAAGGGCGGTATACGTGGAGCAGGCTTGCATGTTCTGCAAAGCCCGTAAGATTCGTTGTGACGGCCAATTGCCGTGCGTACCCTGTCAGCGGCGGTCATCCAACTGCCGATACAGTAAAATCCACAGTGAGGCTCGGGGCAGCGTCAACGAGCAATCAAGTGCAACCCCAGAAAGTCCGGTGTCAAGGACTCCAAACCAAGTGTAACAAACCTAGCATGGCAACTGACTGCTCTCGCTAATGTTCTGGCTAGTGGGTTGGCCGAGCTGACCGATATTGTTTCTCAGCTTCAGACAAAGATTGCCGTTCTAGAACGCCAGCAGCACGAGTCGAGAAGCGAGAAGACAACCCAGAATCATGGCAACCTGATCGATCAGGACGTCCAGAACACCACTCATGGACTGTCACCAGCTTTCGCAGGTCCTACCAGTGCAGAATTCAGCTTGGGTGTGGCAGGCATCATCCTTCAGCAAGAAAGGGGCGCAAGCAATGGAAGGCCGTGGCTCAATGCAGAATTGGCCGGATCGGTTAATTCTGATGAAGAGGGAGAAAATTCCTGCAACCTGCCTCTTAATGAAACATCTTCACCGCTGTACGGGTTACAATTGCAGGATGTACACCGATTGATCCAGCTTTACCACGAGTCCATCGAAATTCTGCATCCAGTCGTGGACAGCAAGTCCTTGCAGCAGCTGGCCACTTCACTTTTTCAGGGTGTAGACTATGCTGCGGATCATATCACCTCTTCGCCTTGCTCTCCTTCTTTTTTATCTGCAGATGTCGATATTGCCCACCTGAAGATGGTGGTGGCTATTTCGTTACTTGCTGAAAGCGGAGGTTTCAACCCGGTGGCCAGAAAAATTCACGACGACCTGATCCCAGTCATCACCAGTCATATCCTGGCCAAAACATTCACCCTTGGGGGTCAAATTCTCCTTCTTCTCACTGTGAGTAGGCCAACCTGTCTTTCAAGGGTTCGAAGCTGACTTATAAGGCGTTTTATCACATATTTCAAGATGACTCTCGCCTTGCTTCACGTTATGTTATCATTGCATCTCGTATCATGGTTGAAGCTGGGCTGCATTTGAAAAATGTACGCCGAAGCCACCTTGCCAGCGATGCCGAAAACGCGCGAGTGCTTGTTGTGCTGTGGACTTGCATGTATCTCGATCGTCAATTAAACTTCAACGCCGGTCTTCCTTTGGGTCTGAATGATTCCGACATTGAGATTCCTGAAATGGTATATTCCCTTACATTTTCTGAGTCCAGGGTTTTACTTACAATGCCATCGAAGGAAAAAATGCCTCCCTATTTGAAAGCAATGACCTCCTACATGAGAATGGGGCCCCGTGCCTGGAACGCCATGACAGATGAGCGTGGCCAACTGAAATGCACGATCAGCAAAGAAGATTTCGAGTTTATCGATTTTCAAGTACAACGCTGGGAGGAAAGCTTGCCTACAGAACTGCGTATCCTCCAACATCGGCCGCTTGTTGACCCAAACGATTCTGTGAAAGCGCCTGACCGAGGGACTCAGCTCCTACGATTCATCTTATACCTGCGCGCGAATCAGTTCAAGATTGTCCTTATGCGGCCGCTATTGTTTTCAACGCAAACATTCCAACAGAATATCCAACAGGTAATGCATATGACTCAGCTCGCAAATGACAACATTGAAATGATTGTCACAGCGGATAAAACATGCGGCTTGTACGCAAAGCAACAGCCGCTCTTCAACCTTTTCCTGTCATCCGCGCTGTCTACACTACTCCTGATATACGTACACAGTTTGCCCGGTCATGGAATGGTTGCCAGTCGCGACGATCTCCCAGAAATGGTCAGGACGGTCCAACTTGGAATAAACAATGGGCTAGAACTCCTACGATCGTACTCTCTCTCGCGCTCGTCGCAGCGGCTATCGACAAAAATCGCCAGCTTGTTGCAATGTCTCGGATTTTCGCTATTGGCAAGCGATAATCAAACTGCCGGAGCGACAAAAGCTCCTTCTAGCTCATCTTCAGAAGGTTCTCACCCTGTGACCATCTCTCCACAACCCCCACGGGAGGGCTGTCTTTCTCAGGACTTTTCCGGCTGGCACAGTCTTCTCCCCGATGACGGCCTGACGAGTGGTGGTATTTTGCAGCATCAGGCCTCTAGCAACCAAGCCTTCGCAATTTCGGAATTGGATCAGGTGGCATTCTGGAATGGCAAAAATTCTTTCGACAATGATATCTTGCTGACGTTTATGAATGAGTTTTCAGGCTGAAGCAAGAGGGAGGAGGGTGAAAACCTCTCCCAATATTTGAGTAGCCTGTTTCGACACAATTGACAAGTCAAAAGTGAAATCACATTGCTACAGTAGCCTTGTGTCAACAGCAAGGATAACTGGTATAATGCTGATAGGCTATGGGAAAACACTATGTGATGAAAATTTGGCAGGACGAGGATCAATGCTGGCCTCAGCCGTTGTCAGCGGAAGCCGGAGGATCCCGAACAAATTGCGTGCCCTATGGCTGTCCTGGCAGTCTGTCCCAATGCAGGCCACGGTGAAACCTCTCACCTGACAACTTTGCGACGGCCGTGACTGATGCCAGAATTCGAGTGCCAATGACGGTGACATGAATTACAATTGAGCTCTTGTCAGTCAAAGAGATTGCCCCTAATCCCACTTCGGGGATTTGAATACAAGATTGTCACAAGGCTTTCGATATCACTTTTTACGGACATCTTAGATCTCTATCCACTTTGAGCAGCTACTCGATGCTCCTGTGATCATATATAAAGCCAAGCCGCTGCTCCCGTAGTACAATGGTGACACTCCTGAAGTCGAGTCGATATCGATTGAAACAATATTTCACTGGGCAAGCTCTCTAGCCCGCAGTCTTACACTCAGCCCTGTCTGGTGGACGAAGACACTATGCGCCGTATTAGGTCCCTGACCTTCAGCCTCGGCTAGCCACTGTCACTTACTAGCAAACCTCTTCCCACTCGGTATTGGCATCGGCAAATTCTACCACAAAATTCCGCAGTAGAGTTGCAAGTACCTAGTCTCTGATGAGCACTGGTCTGTCAACGAAGGCTTGCCTCATTAGCGGGCCTACCTTGGACATTTCCATCCAGCTGATATCTGTGAGGCAACTCATTTAGTCATTTCAATCTTACCGCGAGCCGATGGGTTGGCTTACTCTTGCCGATGCATAGCCTTGAGGCACCTCCAAATGCAAGGTAGCCCGACCCTGTATGAAGAGCCGTCAGCCACGTTGGACGAGCGCCACAGGAGCACTGTACTTACACAGATCATATTTCTGTCCGTCTTCGAGCCACCTCTCCGGACGAAATCGCCTTGCGTCAGGTCCGTAAATGCCTTCGGATCGACCTAGCACATAGGGACTTGTCCCTATTATGACCTGGAGCTGTGAACAAAGGGCAAAGTTGAAGTCGGTCATGACTTACGCCGGCAGGGATGTAATGTTCCCCAATCTGAATCCCTTCTCTGGGAACGACTCGCTGCATATTGTGGCCAACAATAGAATGAATCCGCATCGCCTCGTTCATGACAGCTTGGAGATATGACATCGAGCTCGCCTGCTCGTATGTTACAACCGAATGGGGAGGCATTCTTTCTGTTGCTTTGTCGATCTCTTGGACAAGTTTCTTCATGCAATTTGGGTTCTTGAGCAGGTAGTAGATCATCGAACGAAGAGAGATGGCTGTGGTGTCGCTACCTGCGGCAATATTGCTGGCAGTCATTGAAATGAGAGCAGCCTCATCGAAGTCAACCGGCTTGGCCTTGTTGATTTCCACAAACCTGCCTAGCATATCTCGGTGGTCACTTCCGCGCAGGACCCTAGACTGAACTTGACGGACAGCGAACTCGCGCAGACTTCCATTGCGTGCTGTGAGTGCCAGACGATTTCCGACGATCGGGAGTAAAAGCTGGTGAATTTTGTAGACGTATGGAACTTGACCAACCCACGAAGTCGATCTCAGTACCTTTTTGATCTGCCGAAGAGCTTCCGATTCCTTCCCGGCGTCCATCAAGCCAAAGCGTTGTGAGAAGGTTACTTCGCCAATGACATCTGGCTTCGTCAGCTTGGTGCAATTTCTCAAACCTTCCATCGACGAAGATACCGAAAGCGAACAGTTGTAGCCAAAGCCCCAGATCTAGACATTCTTCTTGGCGGTGATGCAGGGTGTCCATGAAATATGTGATGGCGCTATCCATGTAGGGCTCTAACTCCTGCAATGAAGTGGTGGCATAAGCATTGTTCACCAGCCGCCTGTGATTGCGATGGGTGATTATATCTCTCTCTGCAAATAGGTCAAATTTTCGCTCGCCTTGTTGAGGCCGGTACCATTCGCTCTTGCGGAACTGAGACCCAGCGCCTGGAAGATGAGGATCAATACCATTTTGTTTCAACATTGGCAAACAAAGCCTCACCATAGATCTTCTTGACTGCCTCTGGAGAAATTGTGATGACTTCATCGGGTCCAATTCGCACGATGTCTCCATACTGCTCATGCAGGCGTGTTAAGAGCTGATGGAAGTCTCCTCGCCAGCCATGGTAGGCAAGCCACCATCTGCTAAAGGTTGCAATGAAGGGACCAGGCACTTTCGAAAGTGGTGACGAGAAATGTAAATACAGAACCCGAAATAGCAGACCAAGGGCGATGGCCAAGAATACCCATGTGCCCAACGAGAAACCACTTGTCGGCTGATGCAGGCCGCGGCTTTGATGAACTACTGCCCATTCTTTTCTTGGATGCCACATCTTGCTTGAGTCAACCGTATGACTGCTACGGAGCAACCCCCATTGAAAAGGGACATGGACACGACGGGTAGTCAGAGTATTTGCAACTAACCTCTGATTGATGTGTTATGCAAGCAGCATTGTCTCATTCCGATCCCAACGGAAAGGCACCATCAACGCAACATCTTATACGGAACGACATTCCATCCACTTCCTAGATTTTAAACCTCGATGCCTGATACCTCAGAGTGCGCCCCAAGCGGGTTGGGCCCCGGATCCAGTTTTCCAGAGCGTAGGAAAGGGCTAGCTTAACGGAAGAGCATAGTGGCTAAGTGGCATCTTCCACAGCGTATAAGTTCGCAATCTGAAGAGCCTTCTCCTCGCTCGTGCCACTGTTTTGGGGAGGTAGCGCTCCTTGCGAACCACAACTCCGGAGGACGGAGCTTCGGCCGGAGCTTCGGCCGGAGCTTCGGCAAGGCCAAGACATTGAAAGATCCGATTTGTTGTGGTCCGGCACCATTCTCAGTCACGGGGCTCTTGAACCCTGCTGGGCCAGAGTCTAGAGGCCACATGGGGCAAATAGTCGACCACTGCAAGGGTTCTTAAACCACGAAAGACTTAAATAATAACCAATTACGGAGTACTCCGTACCAAAAAGCCCCAAACTCAGCAGATGGCAAGAGCACCCACCGGAGCCCACCCTGTGGTCTGGACTAAGTACTGGGTAGTTCGTTTGGCTAGACACAAATGGGTTTAGCAACCTAAGCAGCTCGCTTTTGGCCGGGACCCCAGAAGCGCTCCCCAGCTTGTTCCCCAGATTGCTCCCCAGATCCCTCCCAGCTTACTCCTCGGATTCACGAGTAAGGGCTCATCCCCCAAAGGGCCGTCCTTCAAGCTCTACCAGCTGTTCTTGAACTTGGTCGGGGCTCATTCATTAGGCGATCCCCCCAGTCCACAGTGTTGTACAATAAGGTTCCATAAAGGGTGGCTAGGCATAAATTTCTGGAAAGGTGGAACAAGCACTGCAGCTGGCGCCGTGAACAGCGAATGCCGGGACTCCAAGCAAGCTTGAACTATTCCAACAACACTGCCCACAATTTTTGTGCACAACCATGGGCACGCAACAGGACGACATTCGCTTGGGACCTGTTATACCCAAACGCGTCCGCGCCTGCGATTTTTGCAGAGCGAAGAAAATTCGATGTGTTGGCGACAATCCATGCAGCAACTGTATTGAGCATGGTGCAGAATGCATTTTCGCCCCACGCCAGCCTCGCCGGAAGAGGAAACGAGATGGCTTGCCTGATAGTGCGGTTGCACACCCACTTGATCGTTTCCAGGACCTGGTTGAAGCAGCAAGAGCCTCTAGCAATGATAGCAACCAGCTTTCCGACGTTCTCAGCAGGAAGACATCACATTTGCAGCAAGAGGAGCGTGCGCATCAACTTGTGCAATCAAACTGTGCCTCAGGTCAACGACAGCGTCGCCTTTCAGAAGTCACTCGACAGAAACATCAACCCGCATTCCAGGCAGGACAATTTTATAGGGCTGTTGGTGAATCTCTTGACTTCCCGCGAAGTGACCGAGGAAACCAGAGAAGGAGGGGTCTGCCACCTCCTGCAACTAAATCTCCGTCGCAATTTGGCTCCAGCGAGGCGCCCTGGGAGCGTTTTGAGAGTCCCAATCAATCAACCACTGTTGACAGCCCCCAGGACACAGGTGGCTATCACACCTTTAAGGAAGACATTGAATTCTGGGGTCCCAGAACGAGCATGTCCATTTGCTCATTGGCAGGTATAGCGTGGGTCACAGAAAGAGTGAAGCAGCCTGATTTTCGACCTATCGCAAATCGGTTTACTCAAGACGTCGCACGCCGACTGAAGCTGGAGAAAAGACCATCGAAGGAGCGAAAAGGGGATCCCGACTTGAAAGATGCACTCAGATTCACTAGCGCTTATTTCGAAGAAGCCCCTGAGGCAGCTCTTGGGATTGTACGGCGCTCATGCTTGGAGTCGAGACTCCGCTCGTTCTACAATGGGTCAAAGTCTGACGACGACGCATCTTGGTATGCAATGCGAAATATCATCTTTGCTTCTGGTTGCCGAGTGGTGCTATCTAGAGGGGGTACGTATTCCGAGGCTCAGCGAGAGTCGTGGCTGTACTTCGAGAATGCGCTCTCAGTGCACGCGGAGCTCCTTTGTTTTCGGACCTCAGTTATGGGTGTGCAGGCTTTGACTCTTATGGTAACTCTGGTCCTTCGGTACTATTTTTGGGGTAGGGCTGACATCATGTAGGCATATTTTGCAGAGGCTGTTTCATGTCGAATGTTACAATACATTCTTGTCGCTAATGCATATAGACTTGCATGTGGGCAAGGACTGCACGTGCAGCCAGCGCCGTCCTGGAACCTCCCAGAGGAAGAGAAATCTCTGCGGCAATGCATTTTCTGGGCTATCTACTGTCTCGACAAACAGATCGCCTGCCGCTCAGGCCGTCCTTCGGTTCGTTGACTACGAACGGTACCGTTTACGTTTGAGATAAGAAGCTCACTTTTGCAGATAATAGATGACGAAGAAATCAACTGCCAACTCCCAACCTGCGACCGGTCTGATGGCTCCGTCAACGTGAGGTATATACAAGCATGCATTAAAATCAATCACCTTTCCTCCGTGATGCGGAAAATGCTCTTCAAGGCTGCTGCATGGCGGCAAGCGCCAGAAGAATTAGTCAATAATGTTGGAATGCTTCAAAAGAAGCTCGAGGAACTCCGAGTTAGCTTGCGGGATCAATGCCAGATCAACCTCCCAATGAACCTGACGAAGCCGCCAGCCGGGCTCAATATGCAGCAGGCTCTGTCGATACAATTCCTTCATCATAATCTAGCGTGGGATATCCATACAACGTTGGCACATCCTTGGTTTCGCGGTGTGACTGGACTGGACCGGCATCCAGACTTTCAAGGCCAAATTGCCGAGTCCTGTTCGATCGTGGCGGAAACGTCCAGGGCTGCCATACTCGATTGCAGGTTTATCCACGTTGATGCAAGTTGTCCTATGCCGTGAGTGACTATTCAGAGAGTCCAACGGGAGTCCATTCACTGACTCACCTCTAGGGTTGCCTATTACACTCCTTTGTATGCTGTCGTCAATATTTTTATCAATATCCTGTACGATCCTTCTCTTGCTTCGGCTCGGTCGGATCTCCACCTGATGGAAGTTGCAAGCGGATATTTTGCTCGCCTGGAGTATGTCACAGATTCTCAGTGGTCAGTACCGCTTGTTAAAGACACCACGACCCTCGCCAGAAACGCAGTCGAGAGTTTCAGTGGAGGTCCTGATCACCCCATGCATCCCCAAGAGAACTCATCGACAGCTAGCACTGTACTTCCAAGTCTAGAGCCGTTGTGCGAGTCAGCACTTGACGAAACTGGAGTTGGCAAAGAAGTGAGATCGCCATGAAATTCAAGACGAGGATCTTTGATAGCTAATTTTCTGCATCCTAGTGGCTCGATTTGAATCTGCACGACGACCTTAATCTGGAAATTTGGGGAATCTGGCAGCCTGGCGCTGGAGGGGAAAGTTACATGCCAGGTCCATATTCTTGGAATCCTTGAGACACTTTTCATCCAACGCAGAGTCTCATAAATCGTATCGACGACCGTTCCTCGCGAAAGGCTGGCCTCTGGCTCCAAGTTTGGGTTCTCTGGAAGGGCTTTCAAATACGTTGTCGAGCACTGAGGTTATTACAGGATTGGCAATCAAAGTGGTTGGGCATGGGCTGTCTTCGGAAGTGCAATTCCATGAGCAGCCATTACACTTCAGGCGTAAGAACCCCCTTAGCTGGTCGATTGTCTTCAGGAAATCGCCGGTCGGTTCAAGGAGCGGCTTTATCATGAAAACTTGATGGCTTGTCTTGTGACGGTTAGTGATACATGCATCCTGCTAGATGCCAACGTCGTCCCTGTCAGCATCTCCTTTCCCAAGGCAACTTTATGGTTACCGCTTACCAGGTTCTCAGGAAGTTTAAACCAATAGCCTTGCCACTAGAATTTGGATAACAAATAGGACCGCGACAAAGCCTTGGTGATTCAACTTGTCCGATCAACAATTTAAAGCAGGAAATGAGGGCCAGTTATTGCCTTCTAATAAAGGTAGCGCATGTGCTTTTTGCGGAAGGGCGATGGAAAGTGTCAAATGCAAAAAGACGGGCAACGAGACTGCCTCTTTAGAATTTTACCAACAACATCGGCTTACGGAAGTAGAAGAACACCCCTAGCTCTTTATATGGACGAAAGAACTGGGCTGAGAGCTATATGATGATCGAGCAATTGGCGTTCACACGCAGAAGGAGTCTGCGGAGACAAAAATTCCACACCAGTAACTCGTCAGTACTACCTCAATTTATTTTGCTACTAACTCAGCAGCCGCAGGAGCTCCTATTGTAACTGAGAGCGCCAACCTGGCCATCTTGACTACTGCTACTATGTGCCACCAAGGATATGATGCAAACCCATGCTCCGTGCCCTAAAGTTTTTTTCCGGGCCGAAAAAAGCCATTCAGTTTGTTCCGAATGGGCAATCGGCTTCTAGCAGAGCGTGCACCTAAGCTTGCATGCCTTCTCCAGATTTCACCGGTATCTCCAAACATCCGCGTTTGGCCCTATCCTCACGCCTCGTTCCGAGAGATTGCGCCTGTCCATTCTACCACGAGTGTGTCAACCTCAGCATTTATAATGCCATCCCCCGTGGGAACAAAAGTTCCAAGTCCGACCGCCGCGAGCGACATCTCTTCATTCTTTGTACCCTGCAATGGCAGTCCCAATAACCATGATTCAATTGCACACGCTCCCCTGGTCTACAGCCTTATGGACCCTACCGTTGTTGTACATGGTCGCAAAGATTGTTTACAACATCTTTTTTCATCCCTTGTCTAAATATCCTGGACCATTCCTAGCCAAATTCACATCCATATATCCAATGCTGGCAATGTTCAGAATGGATCGAGTTCGATGGCAGCACCGAATGCTTCAGAAGTATGGCAGTCCAGTTCGAGTCGGGACAAATGAGCTCTACTTCTCGGATATGAAATCATGGCAGGACATCTACGGCCAGTCCTCTAATCCGTGCCCCAAGGAAAAGGTCTTCTACGACATGTTCAGCGCTACTGGAGCGGTCAGTATCCTAAATGAGAGGGACAAGGCGGCGCATGCTCGTCTGAGGCGCCTGGTATCTCACGCGTTTTCGTTGAAGGGGCTTCTTCAAGACGAGCCGATGATTCATCAAAAAGTGAAAACGCTCCTGGACATTGTCTTCGCTCCTGCTGCCTCGAAGAAAGAACCAGTGGATATCTTTTCGAAACTAATGGATCACTATCTGGACATAACGACATATTTGAGTTTCGGAAAGTCCTTCGACTGTGTCTCTGGCAAAGGCACCTTGAACCACGATGACTTGGACTCCTTCATGGTTGTTGTACCTACGCAAGCTTTCTTTCCTCAACTACGCTATGTTCCCATCAAAGCGATACAGGACGGCTATAGAGGCTTGGATCGGCTGATTAAGTTTGCCGAGGAATCAGTCACCGACTTCTACGCTAAGATCGAAAAGAACGGGGACAGCTACGCCCGAGGCACTTTCCTGAGGAATCTAGTGGATGCAGTCGACCCTGAGACCGGCAGCAAGCTCACATTCCCGGAATTAGTCGAAAATACCATCCTATTCTTAGTTGCAGGAAGTGACACCACGGCAGTGACCACAATGTACACGGTCTGGGAAATTGGCAAGAGGCCAGACGTGAGAAAAAAACTCGTGGATGAGATTCGTACAAATTTCCCTGACCCTAAGCACGAACCAACATATGAAGAGACATCTAAACTGGTAAGAGACCAACTCCACCCTGAATTTTACAACTCCGTAAGCTAATATACGTTCTACTCCTATTTACAGGAGTACTTGGACGCATGCATTCAGGAGACACTTAGACTCTGGGGCCCCCTCAGCGCTGGCTTTCCACGCGTATCGCCAGGTAAAGTTATCGGCGAGCACTACATTCCCGGGGGCGTTCAAGTCGCAACTCCCGCTTACGCGACCGCCCGCGATCCTAATGTCTTCCCCACCCCCAATGAATATATCCCAGAACGATGGTTGAAAGCGACGCCCGAGATGAGGAATATGTCGAGGCCGTTTAGCTACGGACCAAGGAACTGTATCGGGAAACACTTGGCAGATATCGGGCTCCATCTGACGCTGGTTCGGCTATACCAACTCTACGACATTGCGATTGAACCCAGTATGACTGATGCCATGATGAGACAGAAGGATCGGGGTGTGTGCGCCCCTTGGGACGGGAAATTGTTGGTGCGCCCGACTTTTGTTCACCAGGGTATCGGATCTTGAAATGGTTGAAAAGCTGAGCATGGAGCCCCTGGCATGTGGCTCCTCGTCGATACCTCCACATAAGACTTGAAACTTGAGAAGCGGACGACGGGTCTGAAGAAGTGCGGTACTAGCCTAATGAGGCTAGATTGTATATCTCTTGGCACTGCCGCAACTTGTTCACCTATTTTAAGCCTCTTCTGTCACTCAGACAGACTCCTTCTTCTCTTTTAATTAATTCACTCCTGAATCCAGTTTAGTCCAACAATACCAAATGGGTTGACAGCATCGGGGCTACCTCTTTGACACAAAAATGTGTGATTCATTGTATTTTTGTACATCATGGCCAACTTGAATTCTGGCAGATTCTACCAATTTCACCCGCCGAAGCGCGCAATATGCGAGGCTCGCGCAATGGACATTGACCCCGCTTAATGAACCTCCCCGCCCATGCACTGGACTTCTCATCCCGAAATGTAGTCGTATTAATGGGACAAGCAAGATCAACTCCTCGCATTTAGATGCAAGCCGCCAACCACACATTTCCCACGTGGGGTTTAAAGCATTTTCAGTGCGCTGGATCCGGCGGGTCCGATTGCTGTGGAGCACTTGTGAGCGTTCCACATGAGGTTCCCCTACCGGCAAGATGAGGAGAACTCGTGAGAGTGACTGCCTGCTTTGTTACCGACATGTCTGTTCCTGGGGAAGTCCTACTGCTCGGGGTTGATTTAAGGAGTCGAGCAAGTGCTTCTATTATGTTCCACAGCCACTGTACCAACTGAATCGGTCGCAACATCATTTCTATGAAGACCTTCAGTGTCTCTGACTGCTTCGCAACTGATGATGAGTTTGGCTGACTGTCTGGGGACTTCTTGTCTTGTGGGCGTGTCTCCTGGTCGGGGATCTGGGCGACAATCGGAGGCGCCGGAGCCTCCTCGATGGCATTCTCTGGCCTCGAAGGTCCTGGAGCTGTTATCAGCATTCTATGGTGCCTAACTTGCACAGCGGCTAGCAGAGTCATGACAAGACCCGATACGCCACTTACCGGAAACCAGAGACCTGTTCTTCCATCCAATTTCTACTTCCAGCTCGGCGGCGCCGAACTTCAGCTCTTCCTGGAGGGCTCGAGGCACTACTGTGGCCAGCCCACGTTTCTCTTGCTTTCCAAAAGTCCCTCTCCAGAAATGACCTCGGAGTTTTCCACTCATTGCGACTTCGATAGAAAATGGGACGGATGCATGGCGGATGGCGACGGCAAGGTAAACGCGATGGACCTGTGCCTGCGGCTCCAGTGGATTCGACTCCCATCTCCAGCGCATTCTCTGCTTGTGTGGCCCATCGTCTACAGAGAGCCTGTGACCCGTAAACAACCACTTATATTGGCGCATATGCGTGTTGGAACCCCCCAGAGTGCCAACGCTAAATGCCGCGCCACCCGGGAGGTTGAAAGAAGGATTCAATTCTGCATGGAGCTCAATGTTCTGTTCTCTCTCTGGTCCCCGCAACTCCTTGGGTGCATAGTATTTTACAACTGTTGGACTTGTATCCGCTGCATCCTTGGCTTTGAACGTCATCTGAACTTCTGCATGTTCGAGAAGATACTCCGAAGGTTGCAAAAAGGTGAGGTCAAGGTAGATGATGCCGACGTGCTCACTATTGACCGTACCCCATTTAGACTCTGAGGCGAGGAATCCGCATTCGACCTCAGCTTTTCCAAACTTTTTGTTTCCGATGTTCACATCGTCGAGCTTTTTGCAAGCATCAATGTAGCGGGTGTACTGATATTTAGGCTCGCCTCGGACTTTTTGTTGAGATTTGGCAGACATTTTTCCGTCATATTAAGTGGAAAGTCGTCAAATCGTGTGCAGGATATGGGAGGCTCAAAATGCTCATAAGCTCAAGAGGAGTTGGAACTTTGGCTGTCGGTTTTATTTATCTCCGCTGGGCTGAAAACATGGAGAGTCGCAACTGAGACCAGTGAGCTTCCTCAATACGAGAAGTGGCGGCCGACTCCAGGATCTAGATCGTTCTATTCGGATGGCGGCTGAGAGGGCCAAGAACTCTGCTCGTGTTGATGAAGGAGGGTGCGTGTAGGTGAGGGCTGTTCTCATTGTTACAAGGACAGCCCTTATCTTTTCTTCCCACCTCGCTCTTCCTTTGATAATATTTGCAGGTTTCGTCTCCGGGAGGGCAGTACCAAGCCACCATGTCAGATACAAGGTTTACGATTGCCGAAGACATAGAAGAGAATTTGCCCGAAGAGGTCGATATATTTGTGCGACTCAGCAGACTTGGGAACTTCAAGAGAGGAACAGAATGGTATGAAGCGTCATTATCATCCCAAAGCATGTATTTCCCAATTGCAGCTGAACGCGCCGACTTTCTTCTCGAGCAGGGCTCGTACCGACAACTGGACGATCTTCTTGACGAAGTCACCCACAAGATCGAGCAGAAAGTCTACGTCTTCACGGAGAACGAGGTCCTTCTCTTTCAGATTTTGAAGGCTCTTGCAAAGATGCACATACACGGCGATCTCAATGACGCTTTGGAAGAAGCTAGAATTGTCTGGCGAAGACTACCCAGGGTTGAGCCGGCGGATCCCAGTGAGGTAGAGGTAAGACCAGGAAAGGAAGGCATGATCTCGGCTATTCAATGACATGATTAGATTCATATACTTGAGATTTATCTTCGGATCGTGGCTTTCGCTTCACAGGCTTCCTCCTGGGTTCGTCCTGAGGACACTCAACCTCCTTGGGCCGCGTCTTCGACACCAGTTTGGTTCGGATTCCACAGATGGGCCAAAACACTGGCCGACCAGGGGCGTTTGTGGGAGGCACAAAAGATCATGCGCATGCTGCTAACAGTGCTCTCACCGGAGAACGGGCTGAAACTATGTGAGGAATTCATGGGAAACATGGACGAGGAGGACCTGCCGGAGTCTGCTATAATCTCCAACCTTTCCACAGTCAATGCCTGCACTCGGTATCTTGTCGGTCACACTGGCGTTTCAGACAAGTTGGAAGTTGTATCAAAGGCTCAAGCTTGGTCTTCGTTGGCCAATTCCTTCCAAAAATGCCTGCAAAATATTCAGATTGCAGAGGTCAATGGTCGACCTTATTTTGAGACGAAACTCGCAGATCTCGAGGTCAAAATGTATAAAGGAGTTGATGAGGAGATTCCCGTCTCCAAGGTCTACAGGACGGTCCTCGAAGAAGCCCGTGAGGTGTCAGATCTGCAAGTACAGGCCGAGTCGTCGTGGGCCCTGTACGAGGTGGAGAACGAAATAAAGAATCCGGATTTCCATGGCCTTCAGCAGCTCCAGAAACTTCAATTGGACACCATGGAAGATACGCTTGGGTATGTCACGCATCTGAATCAGTGTTTGCGATCTTATTTGCAGCAGCAAGGAGAAAACGGTGCCCGGGAACGGATCCCTGCGATGTTCCTCGAAACATCTCCGGCAGCAAAAGCAAGATTCAACATACCGAATCTGAAGAAAAACCATCTTGAGAGTCGGCTCCAATTAGCCCAGCTTGAGGGCGACGATACGCATATATCGCAGGCCAAAAAGGAATTGGAAGATTATGCTGATCCTCCCGAGAACAGAACGCGGCGAGCGACAATTCCCCTGCATTGGGCTGTCAGGATTAATGACATATTTGGTGTTCGGCAAGCCCTCGCTGCAGGAGATTCTGTAAATGAAAGAGCAGAAGACGGTTCAACCGCACTGCATTACGCAGTCGAGAGGAGCAAGTCTCTCCAGATTACTACCCTGCTATTGGAGTCTGGTGCTCGACCAAACATTTGTCGAGACAGTGATGGCTACGCTCCTCTCCATGTGCTTGTCAGCACAAGCTATCGTCTCGAGGATGCAGCATATCCCATCCTAGACAAGCTACTGCAGTTCAAGGCCGACTTTCGAATCCGAACAAATGAGAACGGAACCGTGCTTGGGCTGGCGGCCCAGCAGAATCTGGCACGGATCGTCAAAAGACTTCTCGAAGCTGGGGCAGACGTCCACTCTCCACACTGGCAAAATCGATCTGCTCTCAATGTTGCGTCTTGGTTCGCTCACATAGAAACGATGAAAGTTCTCATCGAAGCAGGGGCAAACGTCAACTTTAATGAGTGGACCACGCAGACACCCCTTCTTGAGATCGTCTGCAACAACAAGGGAAACCCCCTTGGGGGCCCTGCTCGATATGTCGAAGGGCTCAAGCTGCTGCTGGACAACGGCGCAGATATTCACGCCAGGGCCGGTGACGAGAATGCATATTACACTGTCCTGGGTCGGGCAGTTTTCAACGGCAACTTGGGAATGGTGAAACACCTGATTGAGCGGGGAGCTGACCCTGTCGACCAACGTCCCTTGGTTGGAGGATCGCTCAAGTCGCTGGTCAACGTGGCGATTGAGGGTGGGCACTACCACACCGCGAGGTATCTGGAGGAAATGGGCGTGCAACGAGACTGACATTGAGCTCCTGTGTATTACTATGCAGTCCGTAGACAGAAAGAGCTATGGTCTTGCCATTCGACGTCGTCGGACATTTCTTCTTCCGAAGCCCGCTTGCTCTCCTCAGAATCCTTCTCAACTGTCTCAGTGTTTCTTGAGCCTCGCAGACGTCTTCTTCCAGCTAACAATCTCAGCATTCAAAGCGGTCCAGATACTTGATGATCACTTGTGATGGTCTTATTGTTGTGGTGTGGAATGAGAGGACTTGTATAATCCTTGTATCGTGTCAAAAAGTACTAGAAGCTGATGAGAAGCCGTTTGTCAGCAACCCTTAGGTTGTTTAGCCTGCCTCCCTCTTTACTATGGATTCGTCGGAGATCTGTCTTTCCAGTTTGCCTGTTTGGACGTAACCGAAGCGTTGTTAAAGAGGCTACGACCGTAATCATCTTCACCATCACATTCAGCTTTCTCCTCTGTCTTGTTATTGATTCGCTTTGGTGTCATATCTAGCCACCTTTGGCAGGACTGCAGGCATATCATCGTTGATAACGGGGAGGACGCCTGTATTAATCATACGGACATCTTCCGGCCGAGTAATAATGCTGCCGTTCATGGCCGCATAGGTACTATTCGCACTGATCGGGTGGGCGATGGAGCCGGCGCCCGCAAACAGGAGAAGTGCAGGGGCGAAACGCATCATGGGGGTCTGAGCGCTTTGTGGATACTGTGGTTGAGCTGGAGGGCAAAAATCGAACCACTAGAGACGGAAGAAGGGGTAAAGAAGTAAGGCGAGGCTCGAGCGACCAATTTTCCGTCTTCTGATGCTCGCGGGAGGAATAGATTGTAGCCGCGGAAGGATAGCAGATTAGGATTCGGAGCAGACTGAGTCTCTGTGTCGTGACTCTGGACAGAAAAGACCAACATTTATATCTCTCCAAGGTTTAATAGGTCCTCGGCGATGAACTGTAAAAAGCTTTGCGACACCGAGCTTGTGGGGACGCGAGGCCCTCTCATCAATCTGGATCGTCCTCTCCGCTCGATTCAGAGAAATCTCTGGAACTTCACCGGTGCATTTCTGCCTCCGCGTCCTTAAAGGTTGGCTGAGTGTTGACACGGCGGCCTCAATTTGGAGAAGGGCCTTCCCATGGTTTCCAAGTGACAACAGCATGGAACTAGTTCATTGAGGTAGTGTTCTCTACCTTGCCGCACAGAATCTCGCTCTTTCTCCCCATATGTCCTCAAGTTGTTCCAGGTCTATGAGCCTTTCGACCTTCGTCCAGTATCCTCACTTCTTGCTCAAGCGACTTGATCTCGCGGTTCTTCTCGTCTTTGAGGTACTCCGTCTCCAGCGTCAACCACGCCCAGTACGCAATTTGATATGTGAGGAATGCCAAAGTGATAGCTTTGAAAAATGCGCGTCCATGGGTGCTGTAGAAATTAACCGGTCGATCCGGTTGAGGAGAGCTTGTGCTCGAAGTATGCTGGGACTGCGCGTGTTTGCAGGTGGTGTTGAAGCTGCGGAGCGGACTTCTGAGGAATTGGGCCTGTGTTGGCCGTAGAGGGGCAAGCGCTCGGAGGAATCTCATATTGAAGATCTTGTAACGGAGTATGAGGCTGTAATTAAGAAGGAAGGTTGACTGATCCAATATTGGCCATGCTTCACTGCTCCGGTTTCACTGTAGCTTCTTCCCTGCCATTTGAGTTGATCAAAGAACTTGGGGAATATGGCGCGTCAACGATCAGTCACCTAAAGTTTGCGATGTTTGTTACGTTTGTTCTATCACGTGATGTTAACTTCGCATAATTATCACGTGATACAATTGCTCTTCCTTCCGTTTTGGGCGATTTCGGTGACGCGCTTACATAGTTCTACTAATATGTATACAGTATAAAGTCCGGGTACAATACAGGATGTAGAAGGTTTCCAGTCTGGCTTGAATCTGCCTCTGAGATGTCTCCGAGATCTCTCCAAGCCGCGAGATTCAAGTTCTCATCAATTCAACGTAGATGAGAAATTCTTAGAGACATCTTGACACAGCATTGGAGAATTCTTAGAGACGTCTCCGAGACAGTATTAGAGAGTTCTCCGATACTATATCGAGCCTGTCTAAAACTTCTTTGGGGGCGGGCAGTACATACACTCGCTATACATTGTATACAATCCCTCGGTGAAGAGCACACTAGTATAATAGAAAAACAACGGAGTTGTAAATTTAGACAGCTAGATGAGATCAATTTCAGCTCGCTCCCACAGGTTCGCTTCGTCAAGTGCATCTTTCTTGTATCGATCTCGCGCATGAATGCCGATGCGTTTGTATTCTTGAATGCTAGTTTCCTCAGTGCGCTCCAAAAGCAGACAGTATTCGCGGCGGTAGAGGAAATCCGTGACATGACAGACTCATAGCGCCGGGAGCAGAACTTCATCGACGTCCGAGTCAAGAATGCTTCTAAGCTTAGGGAGCCCATCCAAATATACCGAAGAGTAGAGTTTGTCGTCCCGGGTGGAACTTGTGAAAATGTCAAATAAGCGGGCTGCACCTCTGTTGATCCTCAGCCGCATGATCTGAACCTCGCCTACTAGACGCAATCTCCCACCGAGGACATGGCCAAATGGGTCCTCAGTCGCTTTTGTTGTGGAAGTCATCAAAATGTCAACGTCCCAAACTGATGATTGACATAGAATATACTGCCGTTCAAAGAGAAAGGGAGAGGTAATGGAGAGACAGGACCAAGTCGGAATTCCAGGAATTCGCTCGCGCCAGCGTTGCGAAGGAACACTAGTAGTCGGGCTTGGCCTCGTACTCCACAGAAGTGTGTTGGGCAGCATGCTTTCCCACATACCACCAAGATATTGGTCGTCGCTGCTGTAATCATTGTAGAATGCCCTTGCTACTCCCGAAAGCGCTGGCAGCTTGTCTGTGGCGACTGTGAAGCGACGTGTATTCAACTCTCTTACGATGTCCATCCACATTCTTATAAGTTCATCTCGATTTTGAGACCTATTCCAACGGCAACGCATCCGTGGATAAAAGATATACTGACCTAAATCAGCTATATCCTCAGCTGATGTGCGGGTGGGATGGTGTTCAGACGCAGCTAACTCTACACAGTTCCAAAACATCCCTATGGCGCTGATATGAAGCGTTCGCGTTGACATGATGCGCTCTTGCAATGTCCAACCCCGCTGGCGGAGTGGAGACCTGCTCACCGCATTGTGAAAACTTTGAGGCACAAGACAGAACGTGAACGTTGATGTGTTTTTTTCCGGGGAATACTAGTACCGAGGTTCCTTGTCAAAGTCGCAGGAACGCGGTGTAAAATCAAAGGACAGTGGGCGCAAAGGATACTCGAATGCAGGCCGACGTCGTAGTAGACCGCCATGAACATCGGACGCATCTTCAGCTATGAGCGTAAACAACGAGTTTGAGTAAATTTGCCCCATCATGCTTGATGTTCCCTTTCCCAATTGGATGAGTCAATCTCGGATGGTTGAATAATAATACACAACGCATCAATCCAAATGTAGAAAATTCCTAGCCGGAACACCACCGACAGGGCTTCTTGAATTGTTTTTGGAAGAGTTTGGATATCGATGTCTAATAGATGTTTTCTGATGGTGTGCTGATTGGTAACCAGCTGAGTTGTACCCTCGCCCCAGCAATAGCTGAGCGCAACGTACTCAAGGTTCCTGAGATCCAATTGCGAGCGAGAACAACAGTATTTTCGACTTTGGAGTGACGGGGTTAGTATTTCAGAAGATGGCACAAGTTTCAGAGGCAAGTGTCCTGCTTCTTTTCTCATTTCCAACAGTCGTGTGGGCAGGAATTTTGCTGGCGACAAAGAGTCGTCCTCGATGGTAGCGGCCCCGATCGGCGACGAGGGTGTCGATTCATGAGTGCAACGTCGCGAAACAAAGTTTTGAAGATGTGCCTGTACTCTGTTATGACAGTTGCGGAGCTGGACAACATTGTTGCGATGGCCGTAGGAGAAGGAAATCAAATCTTGGTTTCGATTTAGAACCAGTGGTCCAGCTGTCGGATCGAATTTGTATTGTCACATCCATCTTGTGCAGATGCCTCTAAAGCTGCCCAATTTTGGTGAAGCTCGACCGCATCCAAGAGTCCTCAGAGTAGGCCATCGAGCACATTCACGCGGCCAACCAACATGTTCGCATGTGGATTCGGCACGTCCGGCGGGAAAAATAAACGGCGAGTGCAACGGCGTCGTCTGATTCTATCATGACACTAGTATTGACAGGAGAGAAAGTGGTAGGGAGGGCTGTGCAAGGAGCCGCAGCTATCGCACGCAGGCACCAGCTGGCTTCCAGCAATAACGCGGGAGAGGACCCTTTCCACTGTCCTAGAACTCGATCTATCACAGCGGCCCAGGCTAGACTACTACTACTCGGTACTAGTGCCTTGGCTATCTGCGCCACCTCAACATCTCTTTACCAGATCCATCATCCCCATCTACCAACTCGAGCCCTTTCATAAGCTTCCTCGCTTCTCAAGCTCCACTGATACGCTGGATCTGCCGCATAGGCATTCGTCGACCCACTCTCGGCTCGGGCTTTGACCCCTTTAAACTCGACCCATCCGAGAATATCGCTATAAAACATGCCGCTGAGGGCATACGGACTCTCAAATGTCATGGAGCACAACTTCTTATCGGAGGTAAGCTGGATCACGCCTTCGTGACTATCTTCGCCACGCCATCGGAATTTGAAGTCGCGAGAACGTGAGGAGGGCAACGACGTGTCGGGAAGCAAGAACTGCGCCGTCGTCGAACTGCTCATAGTAGTAGTAGTAGTACCTTCATCGTCTTGGTCTTCCTCCATTTCCCCATCTTGCGCCTTCGGATTGACGAACCGCATTATACCCTCGATCACGAGGAAGTCAAACTCGGCAAACATTTGCACCAGACCATTGCTGGTGGCCTTGGTGAAGTTGACTGTCAGACCGCATTCACTATCCATCTGCTGCCCCCACTCTTGTTCCACATATGGGCAGCTAATAGTCCATGAGCCCGTCACATCCCATTTTTCTTTCAAGCCCTTCGCACCGCTCGCTTTCATGCTTTTGGCTTGTGTATATCTTCGCTCAAACTCGTTGTTCTGCTCTTGTCTCGCCCTACTCCCGGCGCGTTGGTCGTCTCTCACAAGTTCAGCCAGTTTGGCCCGCACGGTCTGTGCATCCCGCCCTATCACCGCCAGACGCTGACCAGTAGAGAAGGACTCTAGTTTCGTGCATTCACATGAGATCTTCAACGCCGAGGCCACCTCTGTAATCTTGTTTCCCCAGCCGTCGACCATCACGACGAGAACCTCCTTTATTGGTAACACCGGTTTCATGAAGAAGGACTCGTACAACAGCCGCCTCGGCCAGATTTTGGCCTTTTCACTGTTGTCGCCGTCATTCCATCTCTTTTCAATTTCCTCCATGTTCTTAGCGAGATATTCTTCCCTCAACTTGTCTTGGAACTCGGCCATGGCCTTGCTCATTCCTTTATTGCCATGTTCTCTCAGTCTCCCCTGAAGCGCATCCACAGTGCCTCCTACAGGTAACCCGCGAAACCCACATTGTGCCTTCCACCATTTGAGCGGCTGCTTCTCGGTGCCGGGCTGACGCTTTGCAACCTTCCCAGCTTTGGTAAGCTTTGGGGTTAACAGCGGAAGGTAAGGAGAGAGGTCTGCGACAAAACCTGTGAGGTTGTTGGATTGGTCATAGAATCTGAGGCCGTTGCGGTCATCGAAAGAGAAAGTGTATTTGCGGCCTGAGAACGTCTTCTGAAACGAGGGGACTACAAAATTGGGTGATCCGAACTCGTTCTTGACTTGGTCAGTACTATTGATAGCCGACATTTTCTCCTTGAAAGACAGTCTCGAAGTACTGCGCGGGGGGTTCGAAGTCTAAAGAGCATTCAATGGTGGATCGCAAGAAAGCTCAAGAAAGCTCTCATACCCCACGAGATCTGCGTAGGTGGCATAAACCTCGGAGTTGACGCGCCAAGAAAACGCGCAAACGCGAAGTTACGTGATATATAGAGTTCAGTTCCTGACTTCTCTCCATTTTCCTTGGTACTATTCAAAGAAGAACCGCGCCACATTCGACAGTCCTCATCATGAGAAAACCGAGCTGTGTCGTCTGATTCATTCATTACGCTACTTCGGCGCGTCAAATCTATATGAAAGCATTGAGCCCACGAAGCAGGCAAAATGTTATCACATTCTCCGGCTATCCATCTAGTGCTCAGGCCTGCCCAAAGCGTGCCGCAAACAACCGGAACATGAGCCCTAAGCCTTGTGGAGCGACCTTGTTGTGTTCATGTAATAGTATCATATTCATATTAGCTCTGCAAATTCTCTTGAATTAACAGATGGCTCTCTGACTATGTGCTTGTTTGAGAACGTCAGAAGTAGTGGATCGGCGATAAAGACGTAATTGTTATTGCTTCTGCTGAACAGCAATATCAGGAGAATCAACAGTGATCACTACATCGACCGGTACCAAAGCAAGAAACGCCGCTCGCCAGTCCACGACGGTGCCTAGATTCTAAGCCGAGTCCTCGAATCACCCGCTCTGTCCCTACTCATACACGCTATCCCTAGGGACAATATGTCCCATAATCCTCTGCGATGAATAGAAATATGACTTCAAGTTCCTCATGACAGTAACGCCGGCAGGCCACTTCCAAAACGACATAATCTGGCGCGAGGCAAGCTTGAATTCCCTAGTGGTTCATGTTCGAGCTTTCCCAAAAACAACATCTTCAGATACTCAATCGAGCCTCCAAACTGGTATTATCTAGCTGACTTGTCAGGCCGTACAGACACCTGCAGGAACACCTCCACAGGTAGTTGCTGGGAGTACGTCTCCGCAGTTGACAGTCGTCATAGTGAGGCTCCAGATCTCGTCACCAGCATCTGCCTGTTGAGTAGTGACCGTCATTGATGATGCCGAGTATACAGAGTTCTGAGACAGAATAATGGATTTCAGGGCATCTATCTGGTCACTCAGGGTTGAGCATTGTGCAACGTTTTTGCTGTCGCCGGCGAGTTTGCCAGCTACGTAGGCCGAGAGCTGGTTGGATGCGAAACCGGCAATTGTACCTGAATGAAAGCATAAGTTGCTACTCCAATACGAGTACTTGCGATGTTCCGGGCTCACTTACCGGCAATAACTTGGGTAACGAAAGGATTCCCATTGAGCCAGTTGTTGGTCGCGACTAGATTGTTCTTCAAAGAAACCCCAAGTGAGGTAAAGAACGGTCCGCCAACATCGCCAACGGTAACCAACTGAGCCCGCGCCTGTGACACACAGGTCTGGAACGTTTGACATAAGCCTTGAAGAAGGTCTCGCTCACCCAGGTCTCGGATCGTAAGATCGGTGATCGTTTGCCAGTCAACTAAAACCGTATCGTTCCTCACGTATACATTATCGTCCCAATCACCGGAGGGGATGCCCATGAAACCAGTAGCATGGACTTGCCACCATATATATTCAACTCCGTCGAAGCTTGCTGTCCTGCCATGGTACAAGGTTGGTTCTTGGGGGACATTCATTGGAACAGTCGACGAAGTATTGTAGTATCGCCGACGTTCTCCGAGACTTCGCTTCGCGCTCCGTAGCCTCGATGGCTTGTTGGGAATGACTCTGAATGACTGATACGGGGGTGTGACCTCATTATCAACATCCAAGCAGCCTCCATTAGCTTGTGTTGTCTCTGTTCCGACTTGGCAGTTGGTGGAGCTGTAAAATTGAACGGTCGTGCCGTCATCAACGGAACCGGTCGATTGAATAACTGCCCCTTCTGCCACACCCCTATATGCGTTCAGATTACGTTCTAAGCGGAGACTTTTGCTTCATCTGCGATAGCACTTACACATATTCCTGCCTGCATCCTTGACCCTCACCTCCGACCCAAGTCCCAACATACTCTCCTGCGCAGTTCCCGTTTCCGTAAAAAGTAACCTGGAAAGCGGTTGTAGAAAGGAGCATAGAACAAAGAACAAGAAGATAAAGCATATCGAAAGTGCTGGAGCAAGAACTGGAGATTCAGAGATCCTTTGGCGTATTGACGCGGTGAGCTTCGAGGACTCCTGTGCTTTGATTGTGAAAGTGCTGGTGCGAACTTGTTATTCTCCAGGAAGAGGAGGAATGACTTCCGTAGACGATACCATCCTTATATATCCTCATTGCGCTGCGAGGTAAACTATCGCTTTTAGTACTAATTCATATTGAGGCATTGCAGTCTTCTGGCATCCTGGGTAGGTGTATCTGGATGATGGTCTGGTCAACGAATGGCGGCTATAGAGCATCTGAGATTCGTTCACCATCAAAGCACCTTTCCGGGAAAAGAAATATCAAGGGCAATACTTCGTTGACGACCACAAGCGCCGGCGAGGCAGATAGGAATACTGCAGCTGATGAGCCACATCCTCAGTGACTGTTCGGGATGAATCGCTGGCTTCGTAAAGGTCTGGACGGCCATCAAGGTCAATTTAGGGTTGTGGTCTGTGGTCACCTTTAAGTCGGCCCATGGCGAGAACGGTGTGTGAGAACGATCAAATACCTTGGACGCCAGCAGCATCCAAGTTAATGCGTTGGCTGACCCATAATACAAGCCTTCTCGGTGCTCGCTGAGGAGTTAATTCCAGCCCTTCGAATGACCAGTTCCGGAATGTGTCTAGATACGAGAGGAATCCGCTGCGGTAGTCACCGTAGTCGTCGTCTACTTCGGAATAGAACTGATTGTTGATGGCTGGTCTAGGTTCGCCCATGGGCATTGGTGTCTGCCCCGGCCGAAGTCGCTGCTGTTCAGGCGCCAATGACAGGGCTGAAGAAACTTTGATGGAGTTCGACCTCTTTTGACCCGGGACCAACTCCAAATTATGTACCTGGTCGGTAATGACCATGAAAATGCAGCACGATGCTCTCAGGATCATATTGAGGGGCTGTTATTGATCAACCAAACAAGGCTGGGCCGTCGAAGTTACGATTCGATGGGAGCGCGCCTAACAAAACGGGCCTCGCCATCTGTGGGCTGAGGTCTCACCTGCACTAAAGCAACGCTAGGCTCAGTCGGCACCCTGGCTCCTTTGTTCCAGTTGGCGCTCTCCCCACGAAGATAGCGATGTTGTCTCGTCCAACTGGGCCAGTGGGGGTATTGATCCTCGCCTGTGCAAGGCTTTGGAGGCCTGTGTCACAAAAGGACCATCACTGGTGCCAGCGCTTGTTCAGCCGTCATCTGACTCGAGTCTTGGCACTAGTCAGGTTCGCGACGCGGGCTTGCAGCGCTCATCTTTCTCTTCCTGCTGCCCATCCTCTTTGGATAGTTTGAGTTGACCATTGCATTCATTCATTTGCCTACAGCATCTCGTCCGAGTCAGCTCAATCAGTCGTCGGAGAAGGATGGCACACAACTCAGTCCACCCTCATGTGAGCAAGAGCTCAGAGAGTGATGCATACTGGATTGCATACTACTATCCTCTGTTGATCATGCTCTTCAGCGTCCTCTGTCAGTCGGGGATACACGAGCTAATCAAGAATCTCTCGCAAGCCCCAGCATCGGCATCCACGCCAAGTCAACTCGACGCCTCCAAAGCCTCGGATTTGCCTGCGAAAATTCCCTCGGTGTGCTCCCAGCCGTACAGTGCGGTTACTACGGAGCGTGCGGACGAGGAACCAGGCCTACGGTCGACTTCCAATGAGCAGAGCACTGGAAAGTTCGAAAGTTCTCCACCGTCAAATGCTGATGCAAGCCCTCATCAAAACGCTCTCGTCGATGAGGGCTCAACAACGGCCCTAGATCGGCAAATCGCCATCGCTTCGGTATGGCAACTCCTCCAAATCTGCCTGATCCATCGTATGGGGGCGCTGGCGGTGAGGTTCATCCACGAAACGGGTGCCCTCAAAGGCTTGGCGGTGGTAATGCTTGGGGTCTGCACGTTCTTCGTTGGTTTGTCTCTCGCTCGATTGGACCAGGGCTGGGATGCTGTCCACGGGCTCCGTGATACTGGAAGAGAAGAATCGTCAAAGGGAAAGGCCCCTTGGTTCAAAATGTTGGGAAATGTTGCGTTGTACTCATTGTTGATACCGTGGTATAGACTCGTCCGGGCCTGAAGAGAGGCGGTTGTAGGGGTGACGTTGGCTATCGATGGTTCACTCTCCAAGATCAAACGGTATTTGGCGAATAGTTTTCTGGTTTGCGAGTAATCCAGGTCGCATTCAACGAAAAACCTACCGTTTATCTTGCCGTCGTGTTTAGCCACTTGCCACTTCGCTCGCCCTCGGCTCACCTACTATATTTCTTAGTGATGCCTGAGCACCTACTGGGGGCTGGTGATCAAGGGGATGGAGGTGATCCAACGGTACCCCGCAAAATGGACATACGGGGCAATTTCTCTGGCGCATACCTTTAGGTCGCTTTCATCATCGCTTTTTCCGTGTTTATCCATGTGAGTTTCTCAAAATTAGGCAGCAGAAGGCCAGAACACAGAAGAGCTTGTAGATGGTAGGCCTACGGGAGCTGCCAAAGAAGGCCAATGCGTGCGGCCAATGTCGTGCACGGAAGGTCAAATGTAGGCTCGCCCAGTTCTTTTGTCGTGTTTCCGCCAGGGACATTTGAGGCTGACACAAATTGAAAACCATGGTAGGCGATGGAGGAAGCCCTTGTGCTAAATGCCAGGTAATCTACTCGAGTCGCTACCAAATAGGAGCGTATTCTCAAAGTTCGATGCAGGTTTCTCGAGCAGAATGTGTTTATCCCGTATCTCGACGAGGGCGACGAAGAAATGATAAAGGTCTAGAAGCCTCGTTGGAGGGCCGCATAGCCCGGATGGAAGCTATGATCCAGAACCAGAACAGGCTATCTCCGTCGGTGTCTGATACAGCTCATCCTGGCAGTATCAGCAGTCAAAGCACTCTTGTGACGCAGACACTGGTGCCACAGCTTGGAAATGTCATCAATGATGTCGACGCAACATCCACCTGGAACGAGGCACAGCATGTTCGGTCGATGAGCATGGAAAACCCATTGCTCGGAAACTCTCCATCTATGTCTCTTGTGTCTGGAAAAGTTGCTCCGTCATATCAAGATCCGCCCACTTCAGCAATCCAGGATTCGGCGAAAATAGTCCAAGAGTCCGCGCAAAACTTTTCGGGCGGGCATATTGGGCCCAGAGAGAATTCTGATGCTGCAAATGTGGACAAGGAGGCCACTATACTTGCTCCCCAGATGGTAAGCAGACACCCCGTAGGACCATTTCATTATCCGGGCTAACCCCTCTCGAGGTGAACTGGGAACATCATGGTAATAGACCCCTCACTTCGAACACTGAAGCCTCTATCTGATTTCATGACACAGGCCCGGGCTCCTGGCTATCAGTCTGCTCTAGGCCAGGGCTAGATTGGGTTTCACAAAGAACTGGGGTCGCAGATTTTGACAATAGCGCGAGAGAGTTGATATCGACATGGACAAGGCGTTTGACATTGGATCGAAACAAACTTACGGGCACAAAACACCGAGAGCCTGACCCTGAAACTGCGTGGAAATATTGTAACGGCAAGTGACGTGTGTCTGAACCTCTTCCAATCACGGAAACTGACCAGATGTTGTCCAGCATACTTCGAGGATTCGTTCGACTCGACTCTGGGCATTGTGTATAGACCCGAGTTTGAGAGCGCTCTTCGAGCCCACTTCCGTGGAGACCTGGTGTCAGGGGATGACGCCGCCTGGTTCGCCCTGCGCAAAACTGTGTATGCCTCGGGATGTCGAATCTACCTATCCAAAAACACGTCAATGAGTTTCACTGATATCCAAACTGAAGCTTGGAGTTATTTCCAGAGCGCCATGTCTGTCCTCATCGAGCTACTTTTCACCCCTACCGGCCTGCTTGCTGTACGTGCATTGGTCGCAATGGTATAGAGATCCGATTTATTTGTGATGAATATCATCTGACGATATGTGACAGACTTTTTTCTCTGAAGGGCTCGGCAATCCCGCCCTTGAGTACATGTTCTGTACCAGTGCGGCGCGTGTGGCTCAAGCGAAAGGACTACATCGCAGACCTGCCAAAGCTTGGAATCTAGCTGCTCATGATGAACTACACTATAGTTGGTTGTTTTGGGCGATATACTGCTGCGAGAAACACATCGCCCATCGCTCTGGACGACCGTCCGTGAGTGATTGACCTGTTATTTATCAACGACTGGCGGCTCTTCACTTGCTTGCTAATCAATATCTTGCCTAGGCCATAGACGATGACGAGATTAGCTGTCAAATTCCCTCTGAAGCCTGCCCAGGAAGCACTCTTGACGTGGAGGCATTCACATATCTTATCCGGCATGCGCAAATATCCTCTCAGGTTTCCAAACGCCTTATGTCTGTGAAGGCATTTCAGCAGCCACCAAACACCTTGCTTGAAACTGTAGCTCAGCTGGATCATCAGCTACGCGAATGGAGAGATTCTCTTCCGGCAAGCATGAGACCTGATGACCGCCTAAGGTCTCTTCAGGTCCCCCGTGACGCCAGGTATTTCCCTACAATCCTTATGCATTACGCTTATTACGGGAGCTTGATGGCAATCCATACCATCTTTGCCTATCCGTGGGTATACAGCACCATTTTTGGGAATGGCAGGGGTATTGTGACCCAAGATCAAGTGATTTTCAGCTCGAACACGGTTGCCGAAGCTGCGAGGAACATTATCATCATTGCAAGAGGTCTGGAGATCAATGGTGCATCAATCCAATGGTGTGTATGATCAATCGTCCCTTCCTCGCAAATGATGCCTGTATTTTTCTAACAACCAAGGCCGACATTCTACTACCCAATGATTGGACTTATCAATCTTTTCATACACATTCTCAAATTCCCGTCTTTGCCCTCTGCTCGATCGGACGTCGCCTTGCTCGACGTAGCAGCTGGGTACTTTGGACACATGGAATTCATCACCGCTGGTGAGCTCAGCTTCCCTTTTGCTCGAGACGTTGCTACGGTCGCACGACAAACGGTCAACAAGACTTCAAAAACCGATGTGCCCGCGATCACGAGCACGGAGGACGGCTTCAGTCTTGCACCTGATGTGGACATACCATTTTCGGTAAGTAGTTGGCTGGGTTGAGCGCAGCATTTGGGGCTACGTATTGACCATCACCAAAGGATATTTTCTGCGCTAGCCAGGACTTCAACCTCGACGATTGGAGCGTTTTCTCTTCCGTATTCTCTGACGATGCGCTGATGAATCGGGAGATCGCTTTCTGATGGAAGAGGGAATAAAACCAGCAAACTAGCCCAGGGGTTATCTTGAGACGACGAATCAATTAGGACCTGAAGTTTTCGCCTCCCAAAAATGCCTTCGCTGGAGCGGTTTGCACATTTGCTAGCAGGCCTCGGGGTTCGGCGACTTAGCAACGTTCGGGCCGGTCAGGGACGCAAATTCGACACCACTCCATCCTTCACCTACTGGATCAGCAGGCCAGGTATCCGAGAATGTTCCCCCATTGGCTATTAGGCCGAGGTGACTTGATCAAACAACTGGAGTCTCCCCGCTAGATGGGTAAACCGGCAAATCAGTCGTCAGCTCTTCGCAAGTGCAACCCTCCATTTGAACTTGCCTTGTTGCCCCGTGAAGTCCCCCGCAACCCCTTCAAGAACTTCGCCAGGACTTTGCTAAGGCTCCCCGACCTCCTGCCGCCAAATGGGACGGTCCTTGTGTGGATCTTCGGGGACTGGGCTAGCGATGCGGAGCCCCGGATGTTTCGCCCTCGGGATTCCCATCTTGCATTGTTTCGTCTTTTCAGTATATCATCAACTTACCTTTGCTGTTCAAGAGGTATCGTAATTGCTGTTTGTGTCTGTATTTCACACTCTACTTTCCTAGTGGACACCAGTCAAAGTCCAAGCCGCCGCCTCGACATACCGACACAGTTGTGCGGAGGAGAAAACGTCAAGAATGGCACATTCAGCTTTAGCATCGACCGTGTGGCCGCCCACACCGGTCAGCCCGGCTGTCAAAGACCTTCTCGCGCGACTCTTCCACCTCGTCGACCAGAAGGACGACAATGTCGGGTCGTTGCTGGCTGAGGAAATCTTCACCCCTGATGCACGGTTCGTCTCGGCGAACGGCGTGTTCCACGGCAAGGAGGGTACGTTCTTTCATCGAACTTGGTGATCAATGCCGGGAAGCACAATATTGGAATTAGTCAGAGTAGATTGTCGAGCTCAAACATACCTGTCGCCAAGCTGCATCTTTACTCTACATTCAACCCAACTCCTCTTTTTCCCTTACTTGCCCACAGGTTCTATCTTACACCGCCTAACCGTGTCTAATTCTATTATCTAGAAATCACGAATAGCCGAGCGAACGCGTGGAAGGTGGTGACCTTCCGCAAACACACGGTCGACAAAGTCTACGCGGGGGCCGCGGACGGCACGGACCTTGTGCTCACGGGCACGCTTGAGACGCGCACAAAGGATAGCGGTCCTGCGACGACCATCACAGAGTTTGCGGCGAGGGCGGTGATAGATCAGAGTGCCGGCACCACGGGGCCGAGGATCAAGGAGTATCAGGCGTGGATTGGGATGTCGACCACACCGGCTCAACAGTGACCGTAGGGTCGCTTCGAGAAACAGCGAATTGTTGCCCCATAGAAACCCAATTTTTAGTGGTAACTCCTGGGTAACCATACACTTCACTAATTCCCTATTTCTTGCCTAATCTTCGTATTTCTGGAAGAATGTCTTTGCCTCCTCGTATTCTTTCAAGATGGTTTCCTGATGTTGCTCGGATCGGATAGAGAACGAGGCCGAGAATGGATTGGGTCCAAACACGAAGCCATCTGAATAGCCCGTTTCGACGTCCAAGTCCAGTGGCGGTGCATTCTGGTCGGCTTTAATGTCAAAGGCCCAGGCCATTTTGGACATGTTGATCATCTACAGAATTTTCGTCAGTACGTGAGAGGCCCCGCGATTTCTATCTGGGATGCATTGGAACACAACCCAGGCTAACTCACCAGAGAATTTTCCGCAAGGCGTTGACCAGGACAGACTCGCCTTCCGGCCCCAAAGCTGTAAGTCACTCTTCTATTACTCTCATCGTCCTGGGGATTTGGGTTATTGCCCTTGCTACCGAATTTGTCGTTGAGGAACCGTTCGGGTATGAATTCCTCCGGTCTGTCGTATTCCGACGTGTCTTGGTGAATGGACCAGGTGTTGGCAAACACAATGGTGCCTTTCGGAAGGAAGTAGCCTTCGTAGATGTCATCTTGAATCAGCATATGAGGGACGCCACCTGGTGCTACTGGACGCCATCTCAACGTCTGGGGGAGGAGATCCGTCAGTCTCCATTGGGAAGCTTTTAAGTTTTTACACGGTATTTGACCCTCTCACCTCTGTCATGACTGCTTGCATGTAGGGAAGGTTCCTGATATCCTGGGAACCGGGTGATTTTGAGGGTCCGCAGACCTCATCTAATTCTTTCTGCGCCTTTCGCAAGACTTCGGGATATTTGATCATGGCAAGGACAAACGAGTGCAGAGTCGAGGATGTCGTATCAGACCCTGCTTCCATCTTAAAACCGAAGTCAGTACTTGCCGTAAGGAAAGCTAGCTATAGAGCGCAATACCAGAATTCCCCCGGTGTACACAATCTGTTCGTCATCAAGGCCACTTTTCTCCTTTCCCTCCAAGAGTTTGTCCATGAAACAAGGGATCTTATCTTGTTTTCGTGTTCTTGCCTTGGTCTCGTTGAGCAGGCCGGAATATAGAGTCCGTTGCTCTTGCCGAATATTTGCTGCCCAGCGCTTGTAAGGGGCTAAGAATGTAGGCATATATCTCAAGAACGGGAAGGGATCCACGGGGGGTGTGGCTCCTGGAGCCAGTATTTCGGTGAATTGCTCCTGAGCATGATAGAGGGCTTGGACTTTCGGTGCCTCGTAGCTAGCACCTCTCTGGCCAAACACAGATGCGAGAATGACAGCTGTTGAATACCGGCGAATATGCGTGAAGCACTTTTCCGGAGTCGTCATAAGTTCATATGCCGTCTGTGATGCTTCCGCTTCTTGGACGGGCAAGAGCCCGTCCACAGCAGTCACATTCAACAAAGTCTGAACTGCCTTCCGAAGAGCCCTCCAGCCTTGGCCGTATGGGACTAGCAGGATGTGAGTTTCATTGGGGCAAAGAAGTTCATTGCCAACATAGCTATCAGGACGACTTGAATAGATAGCTCCACGTTTGTCAAGGAGTCTGTAAGGAGTCAGGAGAAATTTGATCCAACAGAACTCCGACTTACTCTTTCACACTCCTGTAGTTGTTCAGCACGACGACGTTTTGAGGACCTAGCTTGAGGCCGACCACAGGACCGTACTGTTTGCTCCATTCATGAAATCTGGGTCATTAAACAAGTGATTTGCCGCCGACCTGGAGTGACTTACTTAATGAAGGGTTTTTTGAGAGGGAATTGGTGAAGATTCCCGATTACTGGCAGTGATGGTGGTCCAGGCGGAAAACCTCGAGGTCGACGACTGGCAGTGGCGTAGCGAGCAAATACGAGTAAAAGTACTGCGAGGGAGGCAAGAACCAGCCTGCTGGCAACAGAAAATACTGTCACATTCATGACTTGTCTGATATGGTAGACTTTCTGTACGCACACCTCGCAACTCGATTGTCTCAAGGGTTTCGTTAAATCATGCCTATCTTTTGTCACTTGGAGCCAGCGGGGACCTTCATTTGATTGCCCCCTTTCCTAAACATGCCGTTGCCGCTGGAGCAATTCCTGTTTCGGGATTCGGTGAAAGTGGCTCTATAACTTCTCCACATCTCGGGTTCTTGGCTTGGGGTGCGAGTTGGGCGGCGAGGCGGTCATGCACAGTGACATGTCTTTCGTCGGCGGAGAAACTGTCGCCTTTGCCGAAGCTCCGAAAAGAGCCCCGTGGGCAGGTGTGTAGTAGACGTGGTGTTAAATGGCCGGGTCGGATGCTCATTTTGTAGGGCATTCTTCACTCGGCAAAAGTCACGGTTCGTTCGACACAACGCAGGATGGCTCGAGATCTGGATTTCCCCGTCATCATTACTGGAGGTGGAGGATGTGGTTTGTCCATGTCATCGTTCCTCTCTGACTACGGGGTCGATCACATTTTGTTCGACCGCAAGACCGTGGCCTCAGCTCTTCCAAAGGCACATTACCTCAATCAGAGGACCATGGAGACGTTTAGGTTGCATGACATGCACAGAGAAATCCAGAAAAAGAGCTGTCCTCCCAGCCGAATGAGTCAGGTTGCATGGGCCACTTCACTCGGAGGTAATGGGCACCTGGACAGGAAAGTGATTCACCAATTCCCATGCTTTGGTGGCGATGATGGCGGCTTCAAATCACAGGCATACAAAAGAGACGGTCCAGAAGGATCGGCCAATCTTCCACTTTGCAGAATGGAACCCATCTTACGGCGAATGGCGGAAGAAAGGAATCCCGGACGTATCTGTTTCGGATGTACGGTCGTCGATTTTCAAGATATCGGTGAGTACGTTGAGGTTACTGTCCAAGACACGGCGGGAAACCTTTCAGCTTATCGAACGCGATATCTCATTGGTGCAGACGGCGGACGCACCGTTGGGCATAAGATCGGTGTCACAATGGAAGGTCGTACTGGAATCACAGATATGGTCTCTGTGCACTTCGGAGCAGACCTCTCCCAGTACTGGGACGAAACCTTTTTCGCCTGCCATTTCATAAACGGCGAATGCGGAACGATCTTTGAGAGCGGAGCTATAGTCCCCATGGGTCCAACCTGGGGCAGGCAATCTGAAGAATGGGTCATGCATTTTGGTTTCGCATTGGACGACGAAGCCAGGCACCAAGAGGACAAACTGATACCTCGAATCCGCGATCTCCTCAAGATTCCAGATCTAGAGATCAAAGTTCACAGAATAAGTCATTGGATTATCGAAAAAGTGGTGGCGGACAAGTACCGCGTTGGCAACGTTTTCATTGCTGGCGATGCTGCTCACAAACGTCCTCCAACCACCGGGCTGGGCTTGAATACGGCGATAGAAGACGCCTTCAATCTATCTTGGAAGTTGGCCATGGTCCTCAAGCACAACGTCGACACCAAGATCCTCGATACTTATGAGCTGGAACGACGACCAGTCGGCAAAAGAAACGCCGACTGGGGTCTGTTCACCTTCGAGAACTCCGCTGTAATTAATGCCGCTATTGGCTTGGTTGCCGGACAGAAGGAGAACAACAAGTCCAGATTCGAGGCAGTGTTTGAAGACTCTTTAACAGGGCGAAGCATCCAAGCGCAGGTCAAGAAGATGATTGAATCTCAAAGCATCGAATTTGGAGCACATGGGATCGAGCTTGGGTTCACGTACGAGGATGGTCTCAAAATCCCAGACGGCACCCAAACTCCGGAGGTAGATCCTCTCGGCCAGAAATACTTCCCGACAACTCGACCAGGGCACCGTCTCCCTCATGCATGGTTGGTTTCGGAGGGTCGAGTCATCTCGACGCACGATCTGGTTGGACCTAAAGGGTCATTTTTGCTTCTGACTGATGAAAATGGGCTGGAATGGGCGGCAGCTGCAAAGCGACTAGTTCTTCGGTACAAGATTCCTATCCAGACCGCTCGAACTGGTGAGTCTCTGAGGGACATAACAGACCAGTGGAAGAGCGTTAAGCAACTCGAGGATGGCGGTGCAATTTTGGTGCGGCCTGATAATTTCATTGCTTGGAGATCACGGGGCCCGTCGAAGGCGAATGGTCAGGAGCTGGAGGCCTCGTTTGCTGTGCTGTTGGGACTTTCGCAGCCAATTTTCGAACCAAGACAGCTGTCAGTTGATTGATTGATTGATCCAAGAAGGAAGAAGGAAGAGAAGAAATTTGTATGAGGGTGGTGTGGAGTGAGAAAAGTGGTTCCGCAATGCCAGGCCACTTATCACTAACCTGATCCGGCGTCTATGCAATACCTGTTAGGGTAAATGGCATCCACCGAGTACGTCATTGACATTGAATTTTGTCTATGTCCTGTCTAACGAAGGAAACTTGATGTTTTCGGGATACCTTGTGATAGAGAAATGCCTATTGCGTCTATATTCCCCTAATGGAAAGTTTCGATTCTGCCTTCCTGGGGGAAGATTTGTCTTACGCTGCCAACTCCGCTCGCCTCCGGAATTCGGGGAACTCGATTTCTTGTCACCGAGCTGCCCTCCTTAACCCAGACATGGCAGGGAATAAACCCCGTAATCTACAGGTCGTATGAGACGCCACGAGTGCAGCACCTTCCCGTTCCTCGAAGGATTGAGGGCTCATTTTTCACACCTTGGGGACATAAAACAAGGACGTTGGAAGGCATAAAACGACCAGTTTCTGCGTGGTTGCCGACACGAGCATATATGCTCAACACTTATCTCAGAACCTATCCGAGGCTCACTTACAGCATTCGACCTACTACTGATATCGAGCCACAATGGCGACTCACCTCAATGGTACCGCAAACGACGTTGCCAGGAATGGTCAGAACCCGGTACAGAAAAACAAAGTCAAGTCTCCAATTTCTCTGGCCCACGTTGTCCTGCGCACGTCTAACTATGAGGCTATGGTCCAATTCTGGCAGACATTCCTGGGTGCCGATATAAACTTCAAAGACCACCAGCTAGCATTCCTCCGCTACGACGCCGAGCACCATCGCATTGCCATCATCAACGTGCCGGGCACGGGGCCCAAGGAACAGGCCTCAGCGGGCCTCGAGCACATTGCTTTCACATTTGAGACGCTCGACGACCTACTTGAGTCGTACTTGCAGCGCAAAGCATTGGGTATGATGCCGTGCTGGTGCATCAACCACGGCCCGACAACCAGCATTTACTATCGAGATCCCGACGGCAACCGGGTTGAAACCCAAGTTGACAACTTCGACACCGTGGACGAGGCTCATGCATTCATGACATCGACACTGTTCAAGGAGAACCCTATTGGCACCGATTTCGATCCTGAGGATCTAATCAAGCGACTCAAGGCAGGAGAGGATCACAGGAGCATCAAGACCAGGGTCGAAATTGGGCCACGTTCGTTTCCGGAGGGGTTTTGAGATAGACTAGACTTTGTCCCACCTTCGAGAATAAAGACCCTCATTCATAGTGACTTTTGGTGCATTTCGTGTATATCCATGTTTCGCTCGTCTGTTTTGTTTGCGATGTGGCAGAGCATAGCAAGACAGCTTGCTCAAGTTTCTGCAGCCTTCCTCGTCCGGCTAGTCGCTGAAGATATCGTACAGATGGGCCGATCCTAGGTAAAATTCGCATTTCGCGTCCTTGGCGCTTTCTCATCCCCTCAGGATGCACAAAGACCTTGACGCCATATTAAGGTGCATCACTGCCGCGATAAGCAGATAGACCCGTACTGTCCCACTTCGGAGTTCGGCTTCTTGGCAGTAGATGACCCTCTTGCGGGGTATTTACCTGCATATCTGGGGTATAGTCCGGGGTGTCGGGGTAACAATCCAAGCCAATTAATTGCCTCTTTCTTTTCTTTTTGTCGCCCTCATTGATGCATTCTCGCGCAACTGATACCTTCCTTGACGGCTATCAAAGCCAAGAGCCCGATGCCAAATACTCCCAGTTGGAGACAGTAAACCCGAATGATCTCTGAACCGCCGACAAGTCAACATCTTAGGTCCCCCCCCCCTACCACAGACATCGTCAACTCTCATATTTCAAATCTACGCCGACCATTGCAAAATTTGCAAATGGAAGAACCTCCCCACATCCGCCTTGACTTCTATCCCGGCGCCGAGTTCCGATCAGGAGTTATGCGTTGTACTCGGAGGGGCATGTATATATGTCTCCTGTGTGTGAAGAGTTATATCAGGTGAGGTTTGACTTCGAGGTTGTTTTTGCCTGTACACTCAATCGGCTCTTGGCATCGAAGCGGTTTCCTTAACCGTCGCTGAAGGCCATGCTTGGCCTTTTCCCACGATGCTCAGCAACGATGTTTTCGTGCTTGTGTCCGCAATTGCACTTTTCCTTTGGCTGGGACGCCTTCTCCTGTTTTCTAAGTCACGCCGTCTTCCCCCTGGGCCTCCCCGCCTCCCCATAATTGGCAATCTGCATCAAGCGCCCCAGGTGTACCCGTGGCGCGTCTACCAAGAATGGACCAAGAAGTACGGACCTGTGTACAGTCTTCAATATGGCATGAATACAATTATCATGCTCGGCACCTACCAGGCGGCGCATGATCTGTTGAACAAGCGAAGCCACATCTACAGTTCCCGCCCCAGAGCTGTCATGGGTGGAGAGTGTCTCAGCAGAGGCTTGCGAACTCTTCTTATGCCGTATGGTCAACAATGGCGAAATCACCAACGTCTCCAAGCTTCATACCTCAACGTTCGCATATCTCAGAGCTACCGATGCCTCCAAGACCTCGAGAGCAAACAGCTTGTGTACGAATTCCTCTCCCCAGGAGTTGACTTTGTGGATCGCTACCATCGATACTCCTCTAGCCTTATCTTCGCTCTCGCCTACGGCCGACGTCTCCCTACTGGCGACGAGCCGGAAATCAAGGCCATCGACGAGGTGATGAAAAACTTTCTCTACGCCGCTCGCGTCGGAACCTGGCTGGTCGACGCAGTCCCCGTTTTGAACTATCTACCCAAATTTCTTGCTCCGTGGAGGCGACTCGGTGATAGGCTTCATAAGCTTGAGTCTACTCTTTCTATAAACAACATGACCCAGGGCCTCAATTCCGCGTCGTGGAACTGGTCAAAACACGTCAAAGGGATGAAAGAGGGAAGAGAGATGTCGACTAAGGAACTGGCATATGATGTCGGTATTATCTACGAGGCTGGGAGCGATACGACATCCATGGCTCTCGAGATCTTTACGCTGGCGATGCTGGTGTATCCCGATGTGATGAAGAAGGCGCAGGCCGAAATCGACAGTCAAGTTGGCGATCGATATCCTGCCTTTGAGGACAAAGATTTCCTACCTTATATGGACGCTATGATTAAAGAAGTCTTACGCTGGCGCCCGGTGAGTGCTGGCGGGATCCCACATGCCGTTATTCAGGACGACGAGTATCTTGGCTACCATATTCCGGCTGGCGCGACCGTCATTGGGAACCACTGGTCAATCCACCTCGACGAAGACGTCTACAAGGACCCATACGACTTCAACCCTGACCGGTGGATCGAGGATCCTTCCCTCCCGTTAGCGCCGTTCGGCTTTGGCAGGCGGATCTGCACTGGCCAGCATCTCGCACGGAACAGCCTCTTTATCAACATGGTGAGAATCCTCTGGGCGTTTGACATCACGCATGCATACGAGAGCGTGATGGAGATAGACGAGAAGGGCCGGAGAGTGGAAGTCTGGAGAAGGTGTGAAGTTGATCCGCTTGCCTTCACGCAGGGGTTGAACTCCAAGCCGATGCCTTTCAAGGTCGAGTTCAAAGTGAGATCTCCGGAGAGAGCGCAGATTGTCCGGGAACAATGGGAGAGCGCGGATAAAAGAATTGACGTATTGTTGGAAAGCATCCGGGCTGATATGGGTGGGAAGTGAAGTAGTGGGAAGGATGACCAGACCATTTAGCAGGAGCGGAGTCTTCATTGTATCCACTTGTCGATAGGCATTTGCTAGACCTTGAGATCCAATAGCTGTCTGTCTGTATGCTCAACCTTTCTCCCTTCTCCAAACCTAGATTGGGCGTAGCGAATGGAGGCGGCCAACAGTTTCCGCCCTGTAATGGTCAACCGCAAAGACAAATTGTCCAGCCTCGTGGCCTCCGCCCTGCTGAATACAAATTTGATATATTTGCGTGCCCGTGTAACTACGTCAGGTCTATGGCTCCTTGTTTTCCAATGTCTGACTGCCCCGTGTCGGATGAGTAGCTCCGTCACTTCTATCCAAGTTTGCCGGCTGTCATGGTCAAGGTACCGAATTTCGCGGTGTAGAAAATCCAAAAAAGTGTATCCAAACAGTGAGATGGTCAAACCGTTCGTTGGGATTGCCGCCATGACAGAGGATAAGTCGAACCAACTCAATGTCAGGCTGGTAGTGAACCCCTCTACGTAAAGCATAATCCAGGAGCGGCCGCTGTCGCTTCAGAAATACGAGACCTGGCTGCGACTGTAGACATGTTTTGGCGTAAAAATCAAAACCATATAGAATTGCGAGTGGTAAAAGAGGCCGAGGGCCTTCATTAGCACAGGCCCAGGTATAAATGCGATAGTCTCCCGTTGAGTCCCCCCGCCAATTACTCCAACGATGAGAGTACAAGACCTCATCTAGGTGGTTGAATAGATGCAGGGATGACTCGGAAGACTTATCTTCGAGCTTTCGAGCGTGCCACATGAAGGTTTGGAGAAATCCTTTGTTGGCGCATCAGTCATCTTCATCTGAGCCACCACAGTCTCACATACAAAGCGATGAACGGTGAAGGAAGCGACAGCCTCCATCTGCAGTAAAATTTCGGGATTGTCCAAAAGGAAATCTCGTGCCATCCGATGTAAGAAGTCGACACTGTCTCGACACATCAAGCGTCTATCGCCGCGAAGTGTTTTAGTTTCCAACAACCCTAAGCATCGCACGTTGATGCGACTGGCGGTCTCAGTTAGTCGCTCCTCAATTTTATGTGCAGAAACAGCCTTCGTGGGCACATTGAGGGCACAGTTCGGGTTGACTTCATCCAAAAAGGAGCATGTCATGAGTGATAGTCCGTCCACGGAGTTCAGAGCAATCTTGAGAAGCTTGAGAGCGCTCGAGCGGTAAACCTTGTCGATGCCGGAGAGCATCTGACAGAAGTAGGCCTCCAATTCGCTCGGAATTTGGCTTAGCCTGTCCAGAAGGTCCGCAATTGTGTCTTTATGTTCCAAGCCGCGCAGAAGGGAGCGAATAACAAGGACTACCCGGAGAAAAACGCCTCCAGCCTTGTCGAGGATCTCGGTAACAAGTTTGGAACACAGCGCGTGGTTGTTTTCTCTTAATGCTTTGAATTTATCATCGGCCTGGAGCTCTGCGGTGATATACTTTTCAATGTCATTGCGGTTCAGGAGTTCAAGGCGTAGATTAGAATTTTTCGCTAACCTGATTTTGAAGATTTCCAATGGGCGGCTTGAAACGCACATTTTGACATGAGGGAGGCCGAAAGCTCTTTGAGGAGCTCCAGGATTTGGGTTCGGTGAGTGTCGTGCTCAGCACACTCATCTAAGCCATCAATGAAGAGGCATACTCGTGCATCTTGAGCAGTATCCTGAATGATTGTATGGACTGCAATAAGCAAATCAGATTCGGTCCGGGCTGGGAAATATTCCAGTTCTAGATCGTATGATCGCCACCTAGCTGGAGAGATTGGAAGCGTCGACTGTGGCCACTGCCGTAATAAGTTGTAAAGAAGAGACCGCAATAGTCCTGAAAAGGATTTCTGAAGAGAGCTGCCGGAACTCCAAAAGAAATAGTTTGCCGTCAGTAATTTCTTATTCCCAGCCCATGATTCCAGAAGTTCCTTCGTGCGCGATTCGTAGAGTAGCCACTTCATCAGTGTACTCTTGCCAGAGCCAGCTTTGCCTGATACCCAGTATAGGCTGTCAGGTCCTTGAAGCCATGCCGACATATCAGACCACTGAGATTGGTACTTGGCCGGAGGATTGAAGGCCCAGTCTAATGTCACCTCTGCTTTTGGGTCAATTTTGCTTTCACTGTCGTCGATCCTGTCAAATAAGAGAGCGTCGAGGACTTTCCTTTGATGTGATTTCTTCTTTGCCTGCTCATCCTTTTCTTGAACGCTTTGCGCGATTAGATCGAGAGCGTCTTCGTTTTGTATTCGCCATTGGTCCAAAAGTTGTACACTCCCCGTCTCCTTCAACTGGTAATCTCGTCTCCTCTTGCGCTGCTCATCTGCCAGCTTCTTCAAGTCTTCAGCCAACTTTTGCACTTCTTGTTTTATCCCATCACTGTGTTGCGACTCCGTCGCATATTCTTCCTTCCAGGAGGTCGATTTCCGTGTTCATGTTTGCGAATGATTCAGCCTGGGTATTACTGGATGAGTTAACTTGTCAGCAAAGAGGAAGCTTTCGCTCCTTGTTCGAAGAGAGACAGACTTTACAACAACCAGGAGATGAATGATGGCTTGCTGCCGGAGGCGATCCAACTTCGCAAGACGTTCTTCTATGCCTTCTTCTTTCCATACGCTCTACATGGCTTGACGGAAGCTCTTCCATCTCCGGTGAGTGCCACTGACTCCCAGCTCATCTATGGCCATCGTGAAACTCTCCGCTGCTTCCTTGCATTCAAGCAAGACTTCGACCAAAGCCTGCTCAGCTGGTGAAAGCTTCTTTCCATTTGCAACCTTCGTTTGTGATTCCATCAGTCCCCTGCTCAACTGAGCAAGCCTAGACGAGACAGCGGCTTGTTCTGCGTGATCTGTGAGAACTCCTTCAGCGCTTTTGTAGATTTCCTTGCTTTTGCAGATAAGTTTCGTGCCAAATTCGACGAACGAAACGACAGAACTGACGACACTGAGCAACGTTGCCGGGTCCATGTAGCTGTTTAGTCAACAGAACATGCGTTTGCTGGAGCTCTGAGCTAAGGAGAAGCGAATGTGCTGATCAAAGTACTAGGCCTGAATTCCACTCCAGGAAAATAAAAATTCCAGAGTACGAGTACTGTCAAACTCCTATTGCCCAGGGATAAATTTTACCAGTTTATTGAGATCAAAACTGATTCTCCAGCAGATCTGGAAGTTCAAGGCGCCGGATCCATTTTTCAGGCTCCTTGATTTAGGCTCGCCAAAACGTGCTCGATAGTTGGACACTGACGGGGCACTGCTGTGGCTAGGTTAGGGGAACTGCTTGCCGAAATTGGGGGCTGTGTGTGGGAAGGAGCACGGTGCCCTACCGACGAGGCTGTCGTCACTTTTACTTCACAGCCACCACGGCTGGTGACGGGTGCTGAGATCATGAACTCTGGGAGAGCTTCTTCCAGCATTCGACATCCATCTATTGTGTGTAATCAACATGCCAGTCTCCCTGAGAACTTGGGCTTAGCCACGTTCACTTTATCATATGCTGTCGCGGCCAGGTTAGACTTTTCTTTTGCTGTTTGATATTGCTGCGACAACCACTGAGCAGCGAGAAGGTGTGCTTCGGGTCATAAGATGAAACCGACATGCCAGTGCCTGCTCGGATCACTTTGGCAGTGCCAAAAGAGGTGTCCTCCTAGTGAATATGATTGGGCACGGTGAGCAGCACAAAACTACTGATGCTCCCAGCACGAAGTGCCAAATCCTATCCCCTGACCCAAGGAACGACCAATTGATCAAGTGTCATGAGCGCAAACACGAAAGCATCATATGCTGGTCAAGGTTGATCGTCGTTGGGAACTTTTGGAAGAGCCAATCAAGCACGCTGGTCTTGTTTTGAACCTCCTATACCTCTTGACAGGAAGGCCAGAGATAAGTAGGGCCTCAGAGAAGCGTCGTCTCTCGAGTTGACTCATACTGCCTGCATTTGGCAGAGAATGATGAGGGGGTCAGAATAGTTTGTGAGCGGTATACTTCCTTTCGCACCCTGCATGTTGCCTGCTCTTGGGCGTGATGTCGGCAATTCTGGTTATTGATCGGAAGAGGCTCTGTCCACAAGGCGCCAGTGTTCATGGCTAACTTCAGTGTCACAAGAAGCGACTTTCAGCCTCATTCCCTGGAATTGAATACTCTGTACAAAGAACCACATGTCGTTACCTTCACCAGACCACAAGCACTATGGGCCTGAAGCGAACGCGCAGCGCCATCGTTTTCGGGGCTTTAGAGACCAATTACATCCACTACGTCTTGTGACTGTTCCACATCACACATCTAAAAAGTCTCATTCATTTCCAAGGCTCCGAGGAAGGCGATCCTCTAAAGTGGAAATGGTGGGTGTTGTGTATAGAAGCCATCCGTTTGTGTGCAAATGGCTGATCTCAAGATAGGCAAGGGACAGTACGGTTATTGAGATCATGGCGAACAAGAAGGGGAATGGCCGAAATACACGCTATCGAGAGCTTCCGATGCGCGAGGACTCAAGGGTAGATCGCTACCTGGTTTCAGGGAAGGTCGCAAACATGTTGCTGGAGGATAGCCAGGCAGAGCGTATCGGACCGCAAAGCGTGTGCCTGAGCGATGGCAAAACATACCAGTGCGTGGCCAAATTTGAAGCTCGATAGTGGGAAAGTCCCACCCGGAGACCGCTGCGGTAACTCTGTACGTTGCTGGGGGCATCCATGACGTGGCAATTGTTATACACAGAGCAGGGGTGATTCTACCTGATTGATTGTGTCTTGGCCCTCTGCCTATTCAGGGAGACTCTACCTATTTATATACACTTGGGCCTGTGATCTGAAGGCCTTTCCTGAAACCTTCTATTCCGTCGTCATACTATCATAGATCAGCGAGAACGACGGTGTTAAGGTAAGTGGCGTAGTTGGTGAGACAGCTAATGTCTTAGGTGGTTTGCCACAGTGGCGACCTTAGAAACCTGTCAACAGTTGCCTCGACCTAGCTCACCTTGGTGGAGACCAGCACTAACGCCTAAAGTTGGCCTTCCTAATCTAGAGTCTGGGTAGGCTCCCTGCTCTGGATTTTGTCTAATAGAAACGCGAGATCGAATTGAAAGGTGCCGTCGTTGTAGGCCGCATTACGTATCAAGAGACACTTCAACTTGGAGCTCACTCGTAAACACAAGGCTGTCTCGAAGTACATTGATGTCGCTCTAAAAAGCCAAATGAAGCCGTGCTGCACACGTCATTCCAAGATATTATCCTGGTGCCGACTTCCCTCCCTTCGAAATCATGTCATCCAAACCCAATAACCGTCCCATTCAAGAAAATCGGCTGGATATTGCTGAAGTTCTTGAGATCATCAACCATCATGGTCATGCTGTCACTCGTCGTCGCTTTGTTAAAGCTCTCCGCTGAATCCCAGGTCATGGAAGCTGCAGCAATGTAGGTTCTTGACCCATCGGAGCTTTTGTCGAAGCTGACGACTTGCCAGTGCAGCAAGCCGTACTGTGCCCAGTGTTGAAATACCATTGGCAAATGATTTTCGACGTAGTATTTTTCGTTGAAATTGGTGCCCGGGATATCGGGATATGCGACCATTGCGATGTAAGGCATTTTGTGTGAGTTTGCCGCGCGGAGAGGGACTTGGGAGTTTTTCGTAGCTGAGGATGCGGTTTTGTAGTAGCCAGATCCTGTGCTACCTGAGCAGGTTGTCTTTCCTGTACAAGTATTCCGGCGCTGGACCTGACAACCTACCTAGCTACTTACGTGGACGATGCGACTTCAGCTTCAAAGGTCTACCCCATAGGAGCCGGCAATACGAGAAATCATGGATAACTCTTCGGGACGGGGTTTCCATCACGGGTAGGTGTGATATTTGGATGGATTTTCTACTCATGGCTATCGCCAGGGGCCGTGCGATATGTTGATCCTCAAGCGGTCCTTCGAGCGTATCATGTCTTCTCCGAGTTCTTGCCTTAGGCAGGCCTCGGAGCCCCATAGGTGGAACTCGACGCGACAGCATGTAAGTTCGTCGTGCGGCCCTACCTTTGCTCTGATTCAAGCTGGCAGGCTGGCCTCGATCTCTTGTCATGGGCCGCCCAATGGTCATGTTAACCATGTCCTTCTGCTCCATGCGGGCACCCCATCCTCAGCCGCAGCCACATTTTCAGCACGAACGGTAAACATGGAGACCAGAACCTGGAGCTAGTGAAAGTCTGGGGTAGGGCCTGGCCATAGGGTGGCATCGAATGTCAATGCGAACTCCGGCTCCGAATTGTGCAGTGTTCTTCACATTGAACGCACTTATGCATTCGAGAGTGTACTGACCTGGCTTCAGACGTCAAGACCAGACGCGGCTGTGGTGCCCCAACTTTCTTCGAAGCATCTCCCCATGCCCTTTCCACAGCAATTTCGACCGTGCAGGCTAACAGCGTAAATAGCCCGCTTATTTCCCCAGATCACCTGTGTTCTCTCGAATTTTGTCATCAGAAGTCCACTCTATCCAGACACCTACACAATGGGTCAAAGTGAGGCAGCAATCCAGGATCGATCAGTCATGTCTACAGACCTCGACACCGTCGAAGACGGCGCTGTAACTAGATGGAATCATGTTAAGACCTTCGCGCTCGTCGGAGTAAGTTTCCGTGACAAGTCTGATTCCGGGGATGGCTGATTGACTGACTCTCACATAGGCGGTCCTGAGCTTGTTCTTCTGCGAACTGATCGTCCTCGTCGGGGGCGGAACTTTTGCTCAGCATGTCGCTGCTCAGATTGGGGGAGCTGGGCTTACCTCATGGCCGTCGTTGGCAGTGATCATCTTCACTGTCGCCCTTGCTGCACCCCTCTCTCAAGCTTCCGACTAGTGAGTTAGATCTCGAAACATCAGACCTGTTGATGTATGCTGACATGACCGCTCAGCTGGGGGAGAAAATGGATCCTCGTCATTCCCAATGTTGGTGGTATCTTTGGAGCGATCATCTCTGCGCGTGCGACTTCAATGGGCATGTATATCGCCGGCTTCTGTGTCGGAGGCATAGGTTTCGGCGCGCAAGGTCTCATTCTAGCAGTCATCTCCGAGGTGCTACCACGCAAGTTTCGTTCCTGGGCTCAAGCCTCTGCCAACATCATGAACGCTCTCGGATCAATCTTCGCTCTCACCATTGGTGGTTACTTGGTCCAGTCACGCCCAGATGGCTTTCGGATCTACTTCTACATCTGTGCCGGCATCTACGCTGTTGCCGTCCTACTCGTGGTTTTGCTCTACAGGCCGCCACCCAGAGAGCTGCAGTCTCTGAGTTTCAAGGATAAGGTCCACGCTCTCGACTGGACAGCATATATACTACTTGGATCTGGCACCGTTCTCCTCTGCCTAGGACTTTTGTGGGCTGAAAATCCTTACGCTTGGAAAGATGCTCATGTCCTTGCACCTCTGCTTATTGGCGCAGCATTGCTCATCGTTCTGGCTGTTTACGCCACGAGATTCAAGAAAGACGGTCTGTTTCACCACGACCTCTTCCATGACCGCAACTTTCCCATTTCAGCAACCGCATCTGCTATCGAAGGCATGGGATACATGACAGCCGCTGTCTTTTTCCCCTACGCTCTGGCAGTCTTACAAGCGGGTCAGTTGAGCACCTATCGACAATATCTATGTCAAATGGTCGGTTTCTGCGCCTTTGGTCTCGCCTGTTTTTTATCAGGTCTCTATATCTACAAAACCAAATCGGTCAGAGTTACCGGCGTGGGAACTTTTGTCCTGTTCCTGATCTTCATGTGCCTAATGGCCAGTGTGAACGAAAATACCCCCTCAACCCACTACTGGGGCTATATCCTCTTCTATGGCATGGGCCTTGGCCTGGCTCTTGTCACATTCTTCACCGCTGCACAGTTTGCAACTCCAGCGGAGCTAATCGCCACTGCCTCCGGTATCTGCACTGGCATCCGTAGTCTGGGAGGCTCGGTTGGATTAGCAATCATCAATGCTATCTTTGCAAGTGGCCTCTCTGCCAACCTTGCTCCAAAGGTTGCCAACGCCGTCGTTCCACTTGGTTTACCAAAGACGAGCATTGGACCACTTATTGGCGCGTTGAGCTCAGGCAATGCGGCTTTGCTGGAGAAGGTACCAGGTGTCTCCCCTGAGATCATATCAGCCGCAGGTCTGGCCATCAAGCAAGCCTATGTTGTTAGCTTCAGAAATGTCTTCATCTGTGGAGCAGCTTTCATGGCTTTGGGTATCATATGTAAGTCTACAGCATCCAACCCGAAACAGTCTCTATAATGACTTACGATACAGTGACTTCCTTCATGCGCAACCCTCGCACGGAGTTCAACGGCAAGGTCGATGCGCCTATTGAGGTCTCGTCGGATGTTGATCTTGAGGATGAACCAAAGGCGGTTCACGACCAGCACATTGAGAATAATGAGGTCCGATGAGCAGGTTTGCAGTTTTGTAAATTTCCGTGGAGGAGGTCTGCTGAGTTTTGATTCACGAATCGAGTGAACACTTCTGCGAGGAGGAAGTCGTAGGTGTTGTCGAAGGGTTCTGTTGTTGCTGATGAAGAAGACGATTCGGACTCCATGGTGATCGTACGAGGATTGCTCAACTATGAGATTGACCTTGTTAATCTGCACTTTGTCTATGCTTAGTCGGTGAGTAGCTAACTTACCATTTCGATGAAGAATCCAAGACCGTCAACGAATCCTGCAGCGGATAGGCTGATACTTTATTAAGGCATTGCTCTTCCCTTTGTGGATTTTTGTCGATACCCTGCTCTCCTCAGCAGCAGAAACATTTCACAGTGTCATTGAGATGTCTAGCTCGTTGTAAAATCTGCGCCACAATTAACAAAGAGCCCAGAAGCTTCCAGCAGTCTCTAAACGAAACCTGGATTGTATCATCAAGGCGCTTACAACTGGTTGGTTAGGCCAAATAACAGCTTTGGCTTGATTCTCCTGGTCTGGACGCTCTTTTTATTATTCTGCAAGAGTCTCCACGCCACAGCTTTCTTTTACTAATACTGGAGGGCAAGTGCACCTCCATCGCATCTAACTACAGTTCCCGTGATATTGCTTGCCTCATCGCTCAGCAAGAACACAATAGTGTGCGCTTGTTCCATAGGCTTAGCTCCTCTCTTAAGAGCTGTGGCTTGGATTCCAGGTTCAACATATTCTTTCGCGACACTCAGGAGACGCCTCGTGAGTGTCAACCCTGTTGCAATAGCATTGACCCGAATCCCTTTAGGTCCATACTCGGTCGCTGTGGCTGTGCTTAAGGTACTGATTGCCGCTTTCGAAGCGCCGTACAAGCTGATGCCTGGTTCCGTCTGCGTAGCCGAGATCGAGCTCATATTGACGATAGCTGATCCAGACTTCATGTGGGGAATCTGGGACCGCATACAGTAGTATACACCCCTTGTGTTCATGTCGATCGAGAAGTCGAAGTCTTCTGTGACGGTATCGGCCATCTTGTTGTAGTTATGGACGGCGCCAGCAATATTGGCTGCCCCGTCGAGATGGCCGAACCTGTCGATGGTCTCATCGATCCAAGCCTTGACCTCGCCCTCTTTGCTAACATCGGCCACCTTGGTGTAGAACTTCTGGCCGGGTAAGGCCTCCTTCGACTTTTCTTGGAGTGCCGCTTCTAGCTCTGCTATTCCCTTGGCGTTATTACTCATGGCGGAAACTGTGGCACCACGTGTCCAGAGGAGAAGTGTAGTAGCCAAACCGATACCAGAGCTTGCTCCCGTAACTGCAATCACCTTCCCAGCAAAAGGGGTGGGCGAGAGTGGGGCTGGAAAGTCAACCTCGAGAGTCATTGTGAATCTTCGTGGGCCAAGAGTCTCAGAGGCTGTAGAGCGCTGAATCCAAGAAGCCAAATATCAAAATGAACGCTTTTCGTTACGAACCTACCGTTCTCCATGGATTCTCAACGATATATACCTAGTGGTGTAATCAACCACGGAGTCAGCAGCCTATTCACACACCCAGCAGAGCCTGGTGAGCCCCCGCCAAGCTCCACCGGTAACCCCCAACATGAACGGCTCCTTACCGGCTCGCCAGCAGTGCAAGAGGCTATCCTCTCTTTCAATCTGAATATTTTCAAGTGTGTCGCGAAATAACCATCACGTCGTTGCTTGGGCCTTTCGGTCTTGGGCAATTAGTAAGCGGCTTCATGCGTCTGCCAAGACCCCACACGTTCCGATTGGCCCCCAGTGCTGTGCCCCCACCTAGGGCGTCTCTGGGGGTACCTCAGTCTTTTCCCCGTTCTGTGCCTTCTGCTGCATGCGGCGCCAATCCATGGCCCTCACTCCATGTTTAAGTCCATCTCCAGAAATCGAGGCAACTGGGGTGCATTCGTGGAAGCGGCTGGACAAGATTGCGGCGAAACTTCGAAAGCTTGGTCAACGAGTTTTGGTTCCTTCTCGCGACCACGACATTTGCAGCTCCGTCAGTGTCATTGACCGGTGGTGGTAGGCGCTGCCATTTTGTTTTCTCTATTTGCTGTTTGGATCTTGCCTTTGTATGCACCTGAGCATTCCAGCGGCAAGCATCATGTGGAAAACAGTACTGCGGCCTCAGTCTCCATTTGATGTGAGAGCGATCCGATACGTCAGGTCGAAGCCATTTCTTGTCAGAGAGCTAGCGAAGAGTCCCTGCGGCATTCGCACATATGCAAATGTGGTAGATGTACGTATCAGACCTGCCGCACCGAAGACTGTGGCAACATTGACCGCGAGCATTAGGTACCCAAATACGACACAGAATTTGATGTGATAGTCGTCGGTTCGGGGGCGGCAGGGTTGACAGCTGCCTTAACCGCAACACTATCGGGAAATCAGAAAGTTCTTGTCGCTGAAAAGACGAAATTGTTCGGTGGCACATCAGCATACTCTGGAGGAGCTCTATGGGTACCAATGAATCCTGTGTCACAGGCCGCAGGGTTTAAAGATACGCCAGAACAAGCGGATACGTACCTCCGAAACTATCTGAAAGACGAATACGATGCCGCCAAACCTATGATATCTGCCTATCTAGAAGCCGCGCCAGCAATGGTCAAGTTCCTGGAAAGCAACTCGGCAACGCAGTTCGTTGCTGCGCCAACTCCGGACTACTATATGCATCTCGACGGTGCTTGCAAGGCCGGAAGGACTGTCTTGAATGCTCCATACGACGGGCGAAGACTTCGAGGAATGGTTAACCAAATACGTTACCCTCTACAAGGCTACTGTGCCTTTGGTTCTCTACAGGTTGACCTACTTGCCCTGAATACCTGGAGACAGCCATTCAGAAGCTGGAAAAACTTTTCGGCAGTCACTAGAGGGGTCCTGCGATACGCAGCTGACCGTGTGCGGTGGGGCAAGGGAACTGAGCTATGCAACGGAAATGCGTTGGTTGGTCGACTGTTTGAGAAAGCCACGGAGTCTGGTGTCCAACTTTGGAACAACGCTCCAGCGGTACAGCCACTCCTGGAAAATGGTCGGGTCGTTGGCATGGTTATCAACAAAGATGACCGAGAGCTGAGAGTCTATGCAAAGCGTGGAGTCATCCTTGCAAGTGGTGGATTTGCGCGATCTGCCGAACTCAGCCGCAAATATCTATCAAATCCCGACTGGACGGTCAGCCCTCGGGGAAATGTGGGCGATGGATTGCGATTCGGGCTTGAAAGTGGAGGGAAGTTACCTGCTCCGCTCGGGGAAAATGCTGCTCTATGGTCGCCCATTTCCATATTACGCCCTCCGAAAGGGCCGGCTCGATCTTATCCTCACTTCGCAACTGCTATCACAAAGCCAGGCTCGATTATGGTGGACAGCGACGGTAGACGATTTGCAAACGAAGCAGCATCATACCAGGATCTAGGACGAGCGACTCATGAGGCTGGAGTTCGCGTATCCTACTTGATTGGTGATAAGCGGCACCTTCAGAATTACGGAATGGGTATGGCTTTACCAGGAGGCTACCCTATCAGGCACCTGATCAAACGCGGCTATCTCATCACCGCTCGAACGATTCCTGCTCTTGCGCACAAACTTGGGATTGATCCTAACAACCTGTCGACTACAATTGAGCGGTTTAACGACTTCGCTAGGAAAGGTAAAGACGAAGACTTCGGGCGAGGGGATGGATCGTTCGATCAAGCATATGGAGATTTCGAAGTGAAGCCAAACCCGAGCCTGGCACCATTGGAGAAGAGTCCATTCTATGCGTTAACTCTCTACTCTGGGAACGGTATCACTATGTATGGGTTAGACACAAACAGGGACGGCCAGGTACTGAAGGACTCGGGTGAGCCAGTGCCTGGTCTGTACGCCGTGGGTGCGGATTCGAATCATTTCTTGAAAGGACGTTATCCATCGGGGGGTTTGACTTTGGGACCATCAATGGTGTTTGGATACCGTGCAGGTCTTCATATTGCAAAGCAATAAGTACACAGATTGTAGTAACGCATGAATATAGGAGTTTCGAGCCTACAAAGGGATTGCAGCGACTGACAAGGTTGAGCACTTTCCCTTTGATTGCTGATTCACGCACCGTTGCCGGGTTACCACTGTACACAAGGAAAGCTCCTACCAGCGGCCTCGTATAACATTCTTACTGGCTCGTGTGGCCCATAGACACTAGAACTCTCTGCCCCGAAGAGCTGCCAGATGTTCGCATCCCACCAATGATCCATCTAGTTTTCCTTAGTAAAGCTCGTGAGTCGTGACTCCAGAACGGCCCGCTAAGACCTTTACTCCCATTCCAACTTGAGGGAAGGACCCTGCAAACACCTTAGTGTCGGGCCCATTTCCTTACGATCCAATCGGAACCAGCTCATTCTCGAGGACTAGTCCAATATCAATCACTAGTGAGATAGCTACTGGTAGTCAAACTCAGAAGACTGTGCTCCAGACGAAAAATTCTTGCTACCGGTAAAGCATGGGGGCTTGCATGGTCCCTCGGCCGCACAGTCCAGCTACATCCCATTATTTACCGTATGTTCTTGCATATGTTGCTGACAATTGACACCCTCGGCGAACGTCAAGAACCTTGCAAACCCCCAGTTAATTTGTGGCTTGCAACTAGAATATCACCGCCTTCACGGGACCTTTTGAGTAGCATCGTCTTGAGAAAGAAGCGGAAGCATTCTAGATCAAAGCTTGCTTGCAAACTGCTTGCAGTTTCCCTCGAATTGCAATTGCCCTGCACGCTCCCAGTGGTTCTCAGACTATCAAGATGGCTTCATCAGTCGCCAAAGGTGTAAGTTACCTTGGTACAGTTATCAATGGCACAGCTAACCACACGTGGTAGGCAGCTGGGAAATCTTCTGTTCTCAAAATCGTCGGTCTGTTCAAGAGGAAGCCAGGAATATCCGTGGAAGCATTCAGAGAATATTATGAGAACAAGCATGTCAAATTATTCGAACAGCACGTCGCGCTGCCTGGTGTTTTGCGGTACTCTCGCCGCTATCTAACCCAAATTGATGGCATGTCATCACCACTTCCAACAACTACCGGCGGCTATGATGTTATCATGGAAGTGTGGTACAAGGATCCGGAACTATTCGAGTCTTTGAGAAGCAAATCAAACCCAGAATTCACCAAGATTACAATTGAGGATGAGGAGCAATTTCTAGACCGCAGCTCGATGACCATGTATCTTTCGGACGATGTCGAAAGTAAGGATGGACCATGGAATGTATGAGGGAAGGGCACCGTCTCCAAGAGACGGTGGGTGTACTTGAGCCTGCTGCGCGAAGTGTATTGGTGACACAGAAGGTCGATAAAAACCATATCTTCGCAGACCTAGATATCACGCGTAGAAAAAGACCAGAAGTCAAAGGTTCTTGTGCAAGAACTCTTGCACTCGAATACGATTGAGCTTTAGAACTCCGAATTCTCATCACAACATTTCTCGACCCGGGACCCGATGAAACAATCTTTTTTTCCCCCTTTGTTCAGCCCTGACCAAGTGAATCTTGCCAGATTCAGCCCAGAGATGAAAAGCCCTCCTTTCTTCTTCTCGTTGCAAGAATACACCTACCCAGGCCTAGACCAATCACCACAAGCTTGTGATGTATAGTGTGCTTGAATGATCTTGCGGCACTCCTAGTCTACCATGATGAAAACCTTGAGGCCTCAGGCCGATGAATGAACTGGTCGCGAAGGGGTCCCGGGGCGGCAATCGTGGAGTTGAATGGGCTGAACAGCTAACCTCTCCGCGACCAGTAAGCCTCACGGCATGACGGCCCCAGGCCTCAACGTAACACTATTATATGCTCGAGAATGGTGCTTGTAAGGAACGCTCTTGTACAAGATCGCCCAGAGCGTATTCGACCCCGAAGGTAGATAAGTGAGGCACCATACCCCGCCAGCCAAATCGATCCACAGTCGAGATATCAGCATTTATCGACATGTCTGACATCGGTAACCTTTCCAATAAAGTTGCTCTCATCACTGGTGCCAGCTCCGGTGTGGGAAGGGCAGTGGCAGAAGCGTATGCGTCTGCCGGCGCGTATATTGTTGTGGCAGACTTGACCCCAAATCCACCACATGCACCTGTCTATGCGGAAACCATGAGGGAGGCGGGCATAGACAAGGTCACGCCAACTGTCGACTTGATCAATCAGAATTATGCTTCCACACGATCCCCACCCCGGGCAGTGTTCGTGCAATGTGATGTCGCCAACTCAGACTCTGTCAAGGATGCTGTGGCATCTGCGGTCAAACATTACGGCCGCCTCGACATCATGGTCAACAATGCCGGGATATCTTCCGTGTTCAAATCCAAGTCTTTCTTGAGCGGACAACTTGGCAAGCCCCACCAAATAGACGACGGCGTTCTCGAGAAAGATTTGGCCGTTAACGTGCGGGGCGTTTTCCTGGGGATCAAACACGCAGCGGCACAATTTTTGGAGCAAACACCTCACTCTTCTGGCGATAGAGGCTGGATCATAAACACGTGCAGCGTGAATGGGATGGTCGGTTCGCCTGGTTCGGTGTCATATTGTGGTTCCAAGGGAGCGGTCCTCATGATGACGAGAGCTACGGCTCTGGACTACGCGGCGGACAAAATACATATCAATTGTGTGGTGCCTTGTTGGGTAAAGACAGCGATGCTGGAGCCAGTCTTCGGCGGAGGAAAATCGCAAGCTAATTCACAGACAGAGAAGATTGGTGGTATGCCTCCCTGGGGAAGAATGGCGTATCCGGAGGAAATTGCAAAAATGTATGTCTTTTTGGGAGGACCAGGTGCATCGTTCTGTACAGGTCAAGCATTTGTAGTTGATGGAGGATATACTGCGCAGTAGTGTTGCGCCAATCTTGCACAGCTGGTCCTTGGGCAGCAGCGCAGTAGTTTGTTTCTCTGCAAACAGCCTGCCAGCCTCAAAATCTGCGTAATCCTGATATGAGAAATTGGCCTCTATGACATTGCTTCCAAAACAGCATGAGAGCGGATCATAACACTTTTGAGATCAATTCGCAAGTGAAGATAACTGGATGTGCTGATTCTATATCCATGTGGTTTGCAGGGCGCCATTCAGTGAAGCCCTTGGCCCATGACACGCAATCAAACTCGTGCAGGAGGTTTTGACCTCTTCCAAGCTGAGACGTACCGAATGTGATTGCCATAGTCTCGAAGTCCTCCTCACCTGCAATGTACCGGACCAACTAGAGTCAGGCTTCCCAATGAGAAGCTGTGGGCAAGGCAAACGAATCAATGAAACATAGGTATGACTTGATCTGTGACCTGTGTCGTGTGCATAGACCCGAATACGTCGCGAGCATCCGAGGCTTTTTCATCCACCAACCGTAGCCTCAGGTACCCAGTTTTTCTCAGGAATATCACTGTAGTTCAGACTCCGATTGCCCATCGCTTACCCCAAGGGTTCATTCCCACATCGGTCTAGACGTTCTCGTTCCAGCTCGGTCAAGCTGCATGCCCCGACTCGAAGACGGAACCCCAGAGCCTGCTTGACCTTGTTACTTATAGACGATATTACAAGATGCAATACCGACGAAACCGGATTGCTGCTAAGAAGATTTCGATCCAGCGACAGCGAGCAAAGTCCTGATCCCCATCACAATGACCACCTACCTGTTTCTGAGCAGCGTTGTCCTTTCGACATGCTTTCTCATTTATGTCTTCTGTTCTTCCGGGAGGCGAGGTCGCAACTTACCCAATGGTGAGCATGTTAGTCCCAAGAGCAAAGGAGGCACGACCTGATGTGATGATCAAGGCCCACCCACTTTGCCAATCATTGGAAATATGCACCAGCTTCCCAAGCATAAGCCATACTTGCAGTACGTTTTGTTCATTCACCCGCACGGGTTAGATATTCTCACCCAGACTCAGGTTCACAGAATGGGCAAAGAAGTATGGGGGCATGTTCAGTCTCAAGATGGGTCCGGGCACTGTGGTTGTACTCACCGACCGACGAATCGTCAAGCAACTACTGGACAAGAAAGCTTCGACCTCGAGCAACCGGCCTGTGTCGTTGGTCACGCAGAATCTCATTACCGAGGGAGACCATATGCTGATGATGGATAACACACCGAGATGGCGCTTAATGAGGAAGCTGATCCATCAAGACTTGACCGAATCTCTTTGCGACAGGGAGCACAGCAAGCTGCACCAAGCTGAAAGTGTCCAATTACTCTACGATATGCTCCATAATCCAGATGACTGGGTTTTCCATCTCAAGAGGTACAGCAATAGTATCATTATGTGTATCGGTAGGTGCCACAAGGGAAGGCCATCTTGTGAAGAAGATACTAATTTTCAAAAGTGTACGGAATTCGAACGCCATCCATTGAGGCTCCCTGGACGCAGAAACTCAACGAGATCGTCGAGCTATGGGCAAGGATAAATGAATTTGGCGCAACTCCTCCAGTGGATCTATTTCCGTTCCTCAAGTGGATTCCCGAGCGATTCTTGGGGAATTGGTTGACTCGATCGAAAGTTGTACATGACGAAGTCCACAGTCTATATGGAGGGCTTCTTAAGGCTGTCGAAACACGAAGAGCGACGACTGGATCTGTCTATTGTATTGCAGATCGAATTCTGGATCAAAATGAGAAAAGCGGCTTGACTAATCACAATGTGATGCTGCTTGCTGGTGTCACACTCAAGGGAGGCTCCGACACTACGGCTTCAACTTTGGCTTCCTTCGTACAGGCAATGCTCGCTTTCCCGGAGGTGCAGAAGAAGGCACAGGCGGAAATTGATGCGGTTGTGGGTGAGACTCGAATTCCAGTTTGGTCCGACTACGACGGTATGCCGTACGTTGCAGCTGTTGTTAAAGAGACAATGAGATGGCGACCCACCGCGCCTTTAGGATTCCCACATGCGCTGTCCGAAGGTACGTTCAACTCTGACCTTACAGTGCTTTCTGATTCGGTCCTAGATGAGTGGGTGGACGGCAAGTTACTCCCAAAAGGCACGGTTGTGTTTGTCAATGTCTGGGGTCTACATCACGATGAGACGAAGTTCCCAGATCCCGATACTTTCGACCCCGATCATTACAAAGGACGAATAGCATTGTCATCCGAATATGCGAACTCTGCCGACTATGAGAATCGCGACCATTACGGATTCGGTAGGTCTATGCTCGCCTGATTGATCTCTGTCACTGACGTCGTTTTGAAGGCAATGGTCGTCGCCTGTGCCCAGGTATTCACCTCGCAGACAGAAATCTGTGGCATGCCATTTCCAAGCTGCTCTGGGCTTTCAATTTTGAGAAGAAAATCGACCCACAGACTGGCAAGCTGGTTGCTCTCGACACCACCGTCGAGACAGGTTATAGAGAGGGGCTCACAATGTGTCCCTATGAGTTCCCATGCAAGACTACAATCAGATCAGAAATGAGAAGACAGGTCATCTTGAAGGATCTGAAAGAGGCGCAGACAAACTTCTTCCCACAGTATGAGAAGGTGGATTTGTTCATGCCGAAGAAACAATGATGCTGTGGACGAATCCAATGTACAGAAAAGCTTCATCTGAATCGTTCACAGAACATGCTACCATGAGTAAATTCTTCTATGTTATAATGTGACTGCAAATACAAATCTCAACATCAATACAATATTGCACAAATAGCGACTGTGGATAAGACTCTGGCGAGCGAAGGCTAGACAGCTAGACCTCGAATACTCCAGCATGGAGATGTGAAATATGCCAAGCCGCTTGTAATTGTGGCTATAAAAGCAGCCTCCCAAGGCGCATAGATTTAGCTAGTTCCAATACACTTTTACCTCTCAATTTCACAGGGATGCTAGCGCCAAGGTGGGTGGGTATGGCTAGGCACCCCAAATCAACCCGGAAGATTCTGGGGACCCGTACTCGGCGCAGTCTTCCAAGCCTCCGCATCCGCAGTTCGCTGGGGAGACCCCGCCCCCATACAGATCCGCAATGCTATGTACTGTCGGAAGATGGAGGTCTCGCTAAGAATTTATACCACATGAACCGTGGGTAGCGTGATTGGTGGCTTAAATCGAGTAAGGGCGAAGCAACCAACACGTTTCAGCAGAATCCTGTCCCCAAATACGCTTTTTGTGGCAGCATGAGCCACCAGATGCCTGGACACGCCGGAGGCCTTATTGTTAGCATTGCTGGGCGAATACTTTTTTTTTCTTTAGAGGAATGGCAATGATTGACTTGAACATAGAGACCGTTGTGTGATCCTCTTACTCTACTTCTATACACTGCTTCAGCATTCTTGCCACCTCCAGCCCTGTTTCTCTCCCTTGCAAGTCATGGCCTCACTCAAAGACAAAGTAATCGCTGTCACCGGAGCTGCAGGCGGGATTGGATCCACCACTGCTGTTATTCTTGCTTCCAGAGGAGCGGACCTTTCATTAGCCGACAGGGATCTCAAGGCTCTGGATCGTATTGCCGCAGAGATACGCACCACGTACAAGAGAGACGTGCTCACGACCGAACTGGACGTCTCAAATTCCGAACAAGTGAACGAGTGGATCGCATCTACCGTTAAGCACTTCTCAAAGCTATCTGGAGCTGTGAATCTGGCCGGAATAGTGGGCAAGGAGTTTGGATTGAAAGCTGCGCACGAAGTTACGGACGGAGATTTTGATTTGGTAATGGCAACCAATGTGAAGGGCATTATGGCATGCCAGCGTGCTCAGTTACGGCATGTTGAGGATGGAGGAAGCATCGTCAATACTGCCAGCGTCGCGGGCAAAATGGGCATGCCTAATATGCTCGCATATAGCGCCAGCAAGCATGCTGTTATTGGAATGACCAGGGTTGCCGCCATTGAGAATGGCCATCGGAATGTGCGAGTGAATGCGATTGCCCCGTCGGTCCTTTCCATGCTCGACCTTGACTTTTTGGCTGACTCGTGCAGGGGAAGTATCGATACTAAGATGCTGGACATTGCTCGCCAGGTGAACTTGTCTGAGAGCGACAAGGGTGCCTCTCCGATCAATCGGGCAGGGAAGCCAGAGGAAGTTGGAGCCTTGATTGCGTTTCTGTTGAGTGATGATGCTGGGTTCACAACCGGTGCAGTCTACACCATTGACGGTGGATTGACCCCCTAGATCTGTTTCAACTGGCCCCAAGTGCTTTTCGACGTTGATTTGTAGTAGACGCGTATCATATTGATGGCCCAGATCTCTGCAGTCAGCGCATTGATGCGGTTGGCTGCGTAACTAGATGTTTCCACTTTCGAGAACCTTGTTTGATATTCCAACATTCGACATGTTAATTGCCGGACTAAACAAGTACGAGCGGCCTGAGTTCAACCGGTTGACCGGGGACCAATCATGTGAAGCTCGTGCCATACAAAAAGCCTCAACCCCATCGGTACCAGGTCAAATCTACGGTTGCATAAAGTTGTGGCCCCTTGCTATCCATTTCAGTTTCGACCATTGATCCGAATCATTTGGCTCTGTCTCGCCAATATGTCCAAAGCACTTCAAATCCCTCACGAGGGCATTACTTTCCATGTTACCTACAAGATCGACCCTAGCAACGTCGATAAATTCATCGAAGCTCTTCGACCAGCATGGGAAGCCACATGCAACATGCCCGAGTGTATATATTTTGACGTCTTCCATTTCTCATCGGAGCCCGGCACGTTCCGCATCACGGAGGTCTGGAACAGAGATATGGAATGGATCGAGGAAAATCATGTCGCCAAGGATCATTACCAGCGGTACCGGAATGCCATCGGATCAATAGTGCTGAAGAGGGAGTTCGAAATCCTCGATCGTCTGCAGAAGTGGAGCATCGTCAAAAAAGGATACTTGGAAGGAAGTGTCAAAACGAAGGACGAGCTGTGAGAATGCAGGATTGAGAAGTGTTACAAAGACAAGGTCGATTATCCTGGTGCTGCGCAAGGCTGACCAGACATGATTTGTATATCCGAGTCATGCAATTCGCCAGTCGCTCGGAACCCCATTTCTCATCTATACAAGCAACTCCAAATGTACAATGGGGGAGAATTTTGTGCGAGTTTGGTCCTGCAACAAAAGCAACTATTTTGTGCACACAACCTCAAGGATTGCGAAGACATGATTTGGTTCTTGTGCCTCTATTTTACCTCGCTCAAGACACGGGCTAGTAGTTGAGCAATGTGCACTTTGTGTAGTGACAGGATTCGTTCGCCTCTTATGATTGAAGCCTGGGCGGACGAGGTCGAAACAGTTGTTTCACCAATCATCGCGCCACACCAAATGATCAAAGTCGCGAAGTATACCGCGTATGGTACGTGAGGCGTCTCAAATGGTAGATATCGTGGCTCAGTGCCCGAGGATGAGCGTATGGGTGCTTGCTGCAAGTTTGACTGCTCTGACCTGCTCGATGGAGATGTGAAAGCACCTTCGACTGCGGCAATCATATGCTCAGCGTGCCAATGTGCGATTTTATAATGCCTGCTTCGTGTCCACGCATGTATTTCCACGGCAGCCAGACTTTGCTTTGGGTCTCTTGCTGCCGAGTCGGGTGCGGAATGGACGAAGCTCTGTATGACAGTGAGGTTCGCATGAAGCATGATGTTCATTAGGTGGTACACTGTTAGGTCCGAAGCTGTCGCATGGTCCTGGGATCGAAGCCAGGTGTCGCAGGCGAGCTCGACCAAGTCTCCTTTCCACAGAGAAACACTTTCGACCGTCACATCATTGTCCCCGTACCTATTTTGACGGGGATATATTGCGGGCCATAGAAATGGGCTTAGAGAAGCCAGACTCGCAAGACCAGATTCCGTGCCACTGCTTTGGATGGTCGTGCGGCTGTTGTTAGGAATTGTCGCTACCATGTGGTGCAACTGGGAAATCCGCTCGATCGGAGAAGATACTTGAGTGACTGAATCTGGATGATGCCATGCCAAGGAAGGCGGACACTGCATAATAATGACGCGGTAACAGTCGAGGATGTACAATGTCTCAAGCAGTCTATGAGGGTCAACCATCTGTAATAATTTCTGATAGATCTTCTTACCGAGTGCTCTCTTCTTGTCTTTCGTTATCTAATGTTGCACCTCTGCACTGTCGATTGAACTCTTGTGCCGACTAGATAGCCTTAGCCCGATGTAGATTAAATAGACAAGTGACAGCATACATGGATTAGGTGGGCGTGAAAAGCCTCGGTAAATTCGTAGCTCCTTTTGTCACCACTGCATAGTCCATAGAGAGCAAGGAGAACAAACTGTTCCGGTCAATAAACGTCGACAAGGAGCAGGTGTCACGTACAGTCTTCACCGTCATGAGCTTGTCTTCAGAGGTCGCGGACACATCCCCAAGAATGTTTCTCCTGTTGAACTATATATCGTCAGCATTAGCAGTCTGTCGGGATGATTGACATACCGAGGCCAGCACTAACCTCCGGGCATCGTTGTACATCGACTTCGAAACCTCGGAACTGCCAGAGACGGCACAGAAGAGCCCGCCCACGGCCGCCATTGCGAGAGTATATGCAGCTGGACCTTTGCGGCGAGAGGTTGTTTCCTTGAAGAGGTTGAATGTTTGCGGTATATTCTTGCGGAAGATATTCAATAAAATTCGGACGATATCTTCGTTGTGATTATTCAGCGTTGGCGGCACGGAACACCAAACATTGCTCGCTTTGAGCGACGGTGAAGTTGCTCTTGATTTAGCATCAAAATACTCTTGCATACATCTAGTCAGGTCTGCCATCGAAGACGGCATTTCGCGATTCGAGGAAGGCGGGTTTGAGTCGAGGAATACGTCACTCCAAGCAGAGTCGGATTCGCCAAACCAGAATGGGACATTCTAGAGGATGTCAGCGCGATTAGGGCGTAAAAGGCTAGGGTTATACCACTGGGGTCGTCTGCCATTGCCCTCTCATGCCCTCGGCACTGAAGAACTGTAAGAAGTCGTCATCGGGACTAATGGGCATTGCAAGTACGTCACAACTCATGCTATCAAGTGTAGAAGCTGCTGGTCTTGAAAGTCCGAGACGTGGCACATTTCGGTCATCGTTGTCCAGCGAGTCGAGGTCGACTGTTTCGCAATTTGAGGGACCTGTCGAAGACGCTTCAAGATGCAAGCCGGGGTATTGCGAAGCGAATTCTCCCGCCACATTGGCTGTGGTGGGAACCAGGAGAGGAGCGTTGAAGTCTCCTGTTGCCTGGAATGAGTACGCTTCGGTTGGAGTTCTAGCGCTCAGAGTATCGCTTGGCACGGACGATGAGCTCGCTGGCGCTGAATATTGGCAGGCAGAGTCGGTGGACAGACATTTCGCACAAGGGTCGTTACCGTCACACCGCATTTTTCTTCTTCTGCAACCATCGCAGGCAATGCGAGCGCGTTTTCGTGCACCATCATCATTGGACTGATTTGAAGGGGCTGCATAGCACTTTCGGACGTGGGCAGCTTTTACATCCGAGCGCTGAAAAGACCTTCGACAATAAGGACACGTGAATGGTTTCTCTTTGGTGTCTGCAGCAGGTCAATAACAGTCGGAGAAGCAAGGTTTCGAAGCTTACGAATTCGACGATGCCGTGTCAGATGCTCCGACCTAGAAAAGCTGCGGAGACAAATCTCGCACTGCCATAACGGTCAGTTTTCATCCGGGGAAACAACCTCTCTGGCATAGTCTGCAGTAGTTTGCAGGATAGGGTTGTACGTACCGACTTCCCCTGCTGGCTCTCTACAGACATGTCGTCGACACTAGCCATCCCGGCGCCCTTGCTACAACACTGACAACAATGCTTCTCTTCTGAGGCAACGGATGCGGGGCAATATTGAAGAGAACAGCTTACCCCAGAAATGCCGCGGACAAAGCTGGAGGTCACCCGCGGACAAAGCCGGAAGGCGAGCCGCAGACAGAGTGGAGGCCAGATCTGGACATACCTTCGAGTACGTAAGCTTGAGGCTTCAAACACTCTTGAAAAGCTCACATCGAGATTATGGCGGCCAGTACAACGGTCCCTGACAAGTCATGTCACAATTCTGCGACCGAGTCTCATCCGAGGCTCTATAGGCCGGGACAATGGCCTGGTGAACGACGACACCCGACTCGCTGGGATGTTCACGACGCAATTGATAGTCCTGCGGCAACGTTCCTGGAACGCTTTCGGGTTGCTCTCCTCCACAGTGAAGGCGCGGCAGAAGATGTGTTGTTGGACCCGGAATCTGTGATCAATGCGTCCGAACCGGTAGTCGCAGTGAGTCGAAGGCATCATTGTCCGGGCACTTCCCCTAAGCTCTAAGATTGCAGGATACGACTTCAACGTACGCCTATCCGGTGGTAATGTTGTCTGATATTCCAACACTTCCGCCAGAGGAAACACTCGCCCGACTGGAGGCATCATTCTTCGATTCCTTCGAACAGCATGTATTCCTCCATTCAGTACGCATCTCAAATTGGTGCTCAGGACGACAGCCTTTGTACTTCCAGGTTGCGTTAGCGTGCCTTGGTTCCATAACTTCTACAAGCTCGATCAGCGACATCGTGGCACCGGGAACGTCTCGCGCCGAACTCGCTGCTGGGTTGTTCATTGCTGGCGTGAATATATGGATTGTGATGCTGGAAGTTGATAACCGAGAAAGCCGGCTGTGTGAGGCAGTGATTGCGGTAAGAATTTGCCAATAAAAAGGCAACGAATGCTGACCCTGGCAAACTTAGGCGGCACTGCTGTGCACTTATGGTACACTGTCAGCGGATTCTAAGTATCGTGAAAATGTGTCAGGCATCTTATGCAACTTAGCCACAGTATGTTCTGTAGTTTCTTTTCTTGATAAAAGTATCCACTGACGACGGAAGATGTCTAGGCGTACACATTTAATTGACGGCTATTCGCCAGTTTACGCTTCTACACAATTGCCGGAGAAAGCCTTTGGAATCAAGAGGTGAGGCCTGCCATATACAATTCTTTCGCCCAGCTGACCGTTTGTAGTTCTCTTGTCGGCTATTTGATATTGATTGATACTATGCACGCAGTACATTGCCAGCCAATGCCGAACTTCTCGACGAGTGAGCTGTATATTAGAATGCCCACTTCTAATCACCATTTTCGAGCAGTCTACAACTCTATGATTCACGGTTACACTTTGCCAGCCGATGTCAAGAGCGGTGAAGATGCTCTTCTTCTACTGGTGGCACTGTTGAGTGACATAATCTACATGCAGCACTGCCATTGTTCAGTGCCTGGGTACCATGATGGAGAAGTCACTGGCGTGCCTTTGCGAAACCCATTCATACCACTGTCCGTGCAGGGTGAGCGCTGCCGTCTGACCGCTGACATGTCAGCCGCCCTTTCGCGATGGGAGCGGCAGTTCAAGCACCAAATCGGGAAGGACATCCTTGCATTGTACTACTTTGCCCATCTACGGTTGACATGCCTTGGCCTCGGAGATCTCAATTATGCAGCAATGTCGGGGTGTAACAGCAGCTCTATCAAAATTATCGAAATTCCAGACAAAGCACTAGATCTTGCATGGCTCATCCTCGAGCAATGCCATCGGCTTCGAGAAGACCAGAGGGTGGCGATATGGCTTCCTATCGTTTTGTTTCAATCGGCGCTGGTCGTCTGGCAGAAATTGAAATCTCCGACCCCCCACCGCAAGTATGGAACATTAAGCGTTCTCCATGCTTTCAGTAACGAGATTGCCAAATTGCCTTGGTCATGTTGTGGGGAGATGACAGAGATACTCGACAAGCTCACCGAAAGCTAGGCTTCCCCAGAAATAGTCATACGGGACGGCACGCCACCATTGCCTGAGCACTTCCCAGCGATCAAACTAAGCACGCTGTGGCACAAGGATGTCGAGATTGATCAAAACCATATCTGTCAAGTTCTGAATTTGTTCTCAAGTCGGCAGTGGTGGTGCGATTTGATCGAGTGATAAATGGAGGAGGTCAGCCTACGAACAGACTGCATTGAGCAAAGTGCCGACGACTCAAAAGCCTGTTTCGCTATCGTCCAGTGAGCTGGCCATGGTGAATGGGCACAGCGAGATAGGAGTGCAAGTATTGGTCGTTGATTTGCGTACGAGGCAGTGGGCTTGGGCGTCGACCCACGAGGGAACACACAAGGGTTGGTGCTGCGAAGGGGATGGGAAGACACCGTGAGAACTGGCCATGCTCAACCAGCATGAGGCCTAAATGAGACAGAGAACGAGAGATCGTGGCAGGCGGGCAAGGATACACAATTTCAACGAGTCCTTTACTTAGCCCTGTTACAATCTATCATGTCCTCCATTGAGGCACAGCTTTACTCATCTTTTCATGGTAAGTTGTGCCAGTATGCGGGGCATCACGTGGGCGACATCCGCCGACGTTTTACCGAGATCGGGCGATCTTCCGGAACTACCCCGCCCAGCCCACCTTTCCAATTTTATCAACTTTAACAAGATAAGCGCCCAAGAGTGCCACATATATTAAGCTGGCAATCTACTTCGTCTCAGGCATCCACCTCTCAAATGACTTCGTCTTCTCCTGACCTCTTTTGACCATCATGTAGCCGCGCGCTATCGAGAGATTGGCACACATATATATATATATATATATTGAGTTCTCAGTACCTTCAGCTTCCCTTTCTAATTTTTTTGGAGTTCGCAGCACCCTTTCTTGCCCTTACTATGGCGGAACCTATAGGCCTGGCATCTGGCGTTCTAACCTTGACGGTTTTCACTCTTCAGTCGACAAAGACCCTCTATGAAGTTGTGGACAGCTTTCGAAACAACAGCAGAAACATCCGAGAACTCAAACAAGAACTTGAGGCGCTAGAAGCTGTGCTTAGTTCTCTAAACAATATCCAAAGCGACGAGCAAATCGATCTGTCAGCCTTGAAGTTGCCCCTCCTTCGATGTGGTCAGGCATGTCGAGACTTCGCAGACATCATTGAGAAGTGTACAGCCCGTTCCAACGGGGATAAATCTAGCTTCCGTGACTGGGTCATGTTGACGTACCGAGGCAAAGATATTGTCGGGTTTAAGAACATCATCGGGGCGTACAAATCAACTATTACAATTGCACTTGCAGATGTAAATATGTGAGTTTGTGGTCGTCTGCTAGGCCTCCTGCCAACGGCTAATTCTGCAGACGGCACACCATGGTGACTAGTCAGCTCCTTCGCGAGTACAAGGAGATGATCGATAACACCACCTCGGATCTCCAAGAAATTCTGGAACAGACTAACAACGAACTGGCTCAATCTCCGGTGCAGGGAGAAGCATCATCTCTGAGCAGTGCCGATAACCTTAATCAATCCGTCGTTGAAGAGGAGAGAGCAAATATCGAATATTGCCTCAGCGTGTGTAAACAGGTCGCAAACCACTTGGCACAAGTCCAGGCGGAGATCTTTACGACTGCTTCCATCCGCGAGGTCGCCAATGATCGGAGTCTTCCCCAGACGCGGCAAAGCCTAGCCCGTCGGATTACAAGCGAAAAGTTGCGTGATTGCAGGACTGGGATTCGGTTCACGATGTCTGAACTCCAGCTGCGTCTGCAGGACGCCGACCATCGACTTCAGAGGCTATTGCACCCTACTCAGCGTGAGAGAGGTGTGGGGGGAGATATCCCTCACACCCAAGAAGTGTTCGAAGACCTTGAAACCATCAGACAATGCCTTTCTATCTGTGATGAGGCTACAGAGGAACTCGCAAGGGACCGAATAAATGTGTTTGAAGATGTCCGCATGACCGACGATGGCCAACAAGTCATTGTAGCGACTCTGGGAGATCTAATTTCAGCCAGAAAGGTCTCGGCTGGGGCAAGGTCGAAGCAGTGGTTAGGCCAAATGTCGGACGCCTCGCTTCAACAGATTTCCAGAGACAGTTTCTCGAATGGAGATATTACTGCAACCAAGGACCTCCCCACCGTTGTTCCCGGCAGCGATATACTGCAGGATGTTACCACGGAAAAATTATCAGGGATCGGACATCATCGATTTGAAGGCCGACACGGAGCAGGACGCCCACTAGGATAGACTGTATCTCTCAACGCCGTGAAATCTACGAGATGTTTGTACGCATTGACACCGTGACAGGGGACAGGTGAAGGTTGTGATGATCTTCGACACATTCTAGCAGAGTAGCATTCTTTGTTTCCTCATTTTCAAGGTCTTTCAATCGCTGCTCGCAGGCAACATGTTGTGCTGCTAAAAGGATTGGAGATTGGAGTCTAGAATAATAGAGTCAAGCCACGGCAGCCGTCTAGAGATGAACCTGGCTGGACCAAAAATCAGTCGAGCGAATCCGCTTGTGCTCAGGAGGATCCCAAGTAGCATGACTAATGGTTTGCTCCGTTGTCGATAGAATATCGCTGCGTACGTCTTCAGCTGCCTATCTCCAGTCAACTACGTCCGCCTCTGCAGCACACCTCGCTGCTTGCAACAGCTGAGAGAGCGACGGTCGCCAGATATTCCCTTGGCGGCTTGCAACAGTTCCTCGTATCGTCAGTTTACAGGATTACTGTCCTAAATTGTCTCCCGACATCTTACCATGACTCTCATTTTCTCTCAAGTTTATTACTACTTGTAGCAGACCTCGCCCTGATTCGTCGTTTTGGACAGAGCTTGGACGAAAGAACCGCACGAAGAGCGATCACCTCTCTGCAGGCGCCTAAAGTTTGGCCAGACAAATCATGGCTTGCCACTTGTTGTGTCTCGTGTTGCTTTGCATTCCCATTTGAAATGCCATTGGTTCCTTATTGCAAACCCTGTACTTGTAAAACACAAGGAGGACAAGGGATGTTTGTGTTGGGCTAAGTAGAACTGTTGTGGTTCCTCTTCCGTATGCCCCCTGTGACTGTTCTCGCTTTAAGTGTTGTTTTGCACGTCAGAGCCTCGTTTGACGCCAGGAGCTCTTAGCATTGTCCAGTGGCTGGCACTGTCGACTAGGGCCAGTGGGAATTCATCTTGATGTCCATTTTTTCAGGCCAGAGATTGGGAGATTCGACTTTCCACAATCCCACATGAAGAGGGCGCGGCAAGAACGACAATTGAAGAGACTCCCAGGTCATAGCATTCCGCGCCCACTGCAGTATCGCGGCTCTTCGACAGAATTCTTAACCAAAATACTGGTGGACAGCTCTCACAGCCGAATTGTCAGGTGATTTCCACAGCACCTCTGTGGACAAAAAAGGACGCTCCCAGCTACCTGCAGCTCGGTGCTGTTACTATATCTTCCTGGTTAGAAGAGACCAAACTGGGGGGCGGAAATCATGAAGCTAGGCTGTTCTTTTGGTGCAGTCCTCTTCTCCAGGAAACTATGGCCCTGGCTGATGGTCTATCCGCGTAGCATCGCCGCAGCGATCAGTCAGAAACCCTTGGATTTGATGTACAAACTGAGACTTAGATACGCAACAAAGGGAGATCGCAGTCTGCAGAGCTGGCGCTATTAACGCTCGACAAGAATTTCCTTTCATAAATTGTCCTTGGATCTCAGGTGACTACCAGTGACCGACATCATCTAATGTCCACAGGCCACAGCCAAGCCAGAATCGCTTCATCTTGGGTGTGCAGCATCTTCGCATTTCGTTCCCCGCCCGTCAGCACTTCCGACCAATTCACATCTCTGTTTCTCCGCGATCAAGTTGACGTTCCCGATGTCACGTCGACGGGCTTCTTGAAGATGCCGTAGAACCCCACTGTCCGCATCTATTGAGTCCAGATATTATCTGAATCCGGCTCAACACCAGATTCACGAGTTGTCTCTGGATGAGATTGGACGTCTGTGTCACCACAACCAACCCCTCTGCTGCCTCAAAGGCAACGAGAAGGCTACGGAGCGACTGCAATTCAGCAACAGCCATCCTCGTTTTCGTTGCCCCAAGGGGCGCAAACCCCGGAATTTGGTCTGATTTTGAACGGTGCTCTTCAGTCGGGGATTGCGGCGGAATGTGGTCCAAAGGAATGTCATTGATGCCTGCCATCAGTGACCAGGTCTTACGTTTACCATGAGTTAATATATACAGCAGGCTCACTTGGAAATTTCGACGTTTGGGTATATCAACAAAATCTCCCTTTCCCATCAAACGCAGCGGCCGTCAACAACTACCAATGACCCTCTCTCCTTCGAAGTCGCAAATATGCCGGCCGTTATTGTCGTAGAGTACGACTCTGCATGGCCAGCTCACCTTCAAGAAATATCTCAGATGCTCAGATGCTATCTTTCCCGCTGTGAAATGAAATTCACATCCATTGAACATGTTAGCAGCACAAAGTGACCCGGATGAGCAAGGTGAGGTCACGTGTGATCACCAGCGACTCCCGAGTCTCTTGCCGCAAGCGCGAAGCCAGTCAGCACCAGTCAGTCAGCAGCAGTAGTTCATGAAGCATGGGTCAGCATCCTATATGGAATTCATCCGAGGGTCTAGATTTGAGCTCTTGTGGCCATCCTATGCACCGTCTGGCACCCCAGTATCTCTCTTGCGATATTCTTTCCTATGGCCTCTCAAAAGCCTCTTGTGCGCTTCCACTTTGTCGATGAGAATGATCCCGAGAAGCGACACAAATCTCGGGCGCATCTCGCAAGAGAGCTCCATCGGATGAAGCGCCAGCGTTGGAGAGTCAGTCCCTCCCACCGGTCCATTTCTCAGGGTAGTTTTGGGTTTGACGAATTCAAATGGCCAGTCGACGTCGTGGTCAGAACAGCCTGTCCACCAACAGTCGATATCCCTCGAGATCTAACGGCTTCGGAAAAGTGTCTCTTACATCACTGTATGCTCCCCAAAACGTTTCCGCTACCTATAACTAAAAGCCATGCAGATGCAACCGTGATGCCGGAACTATACAAAGCCCGTTGGAGACATATCGGGGATGCGATAGCAGTGAGAGACTTGTTCCAGCTATACTGCCGCGACGAAGTATCTTTTCAAGCCATGATGTTCGATGCAGCAACTCATCGGTCAGCCCTCCAGGGTAAACCCGCTCCACTCGAATACGAAAATCGTCTTGTGCGAGCTGTCAGGTCCAACCTCCACACGCTCAATACAGGCATCATTGTTGCCACCGCCGTTCTCTGCAACCTCAAACGCATGGAAGGGTCGCACAGTCTCTCGCACTGGGTAGCGCTCAAAGAGATGATCACGTTACACGGCGGATTATCTTCGTTCACAGGCGACCATATCATGTTTACAAAGGTCGTGTGGACCTTCGTTGCCCTGCCTGGACCTCTGACAGGATTCGACTTTGCCCCAGATTTGGAAGATGGGCTAAGGGACCTCAACGATTTACTTCGAAGTCGTCAGAAGGCCATTGTCGATCTGTTGCCTACTTCAGAGGAAGAGATGGACCGCTTGTCTGACTTGAGGAGGATCAAGGTGTTCCGATCGTCGAAATTAAGAAATCTGCTTCAGACACCATCCTCGGAACATCCAACGGAACGTAATTGTCGCCTAGCGGTCATCTTATTTCTCGCATCGGCACTAATGCTCCACGGAGACTTTGATCCGGCCACTGATTCTTGTATCGAGGCCATCAGCCAACACCTAGAAGAAGCCCGAGATGATGCATCAGTCTCACCGGTCCATTTGTTGTGGTTTGTGGTTCGACTGAGTGTCTCGGCATCGATCGGTGAGAGGTATGCTCAGATCTGGACCGGGGTCATACGGATTTTGACAGCACTCCATCGGTTGAAGCCTTTAGTACAAGATAACGCAGAGAGACTTCTGTTTGCTTCACTAGAAATCCCAGAGAGCTGCGGGGAGATACCAGCTACGTACGGGCTAGATGGAGAACTACAAATTGACGCAGAACCATTGCGCCAGGACGTGCACGATCGATCTGTCCCCGCGGAATGCTTTTGCGAGCTGCTTTGGTTCACGGCGCCTCCAAATGAATAGCGTCAACCTGCTGTTGCAAGACCCAAGCATTCTCGCTATGTCTTTGCAGATGCAGGTGCGGATACGGCTACCGGTCCCCCTCCACTGGTCCTGCCATCTGATGATGCATATACAGAGCGAGATGCTACTCCATTCACATCCGTAAGGGGCTCCTTCTGCGCACATTCGAGCCCTTGCTTTTGGCCAACCAAACGAATCAATCCTGCGCACATGTAGCTGGTCATCAGCGCCCAACCGCTCGAGACAGTCTGATTCCTCAAGACGGAGCATTGGGTCGACCATGAGAGCCCGCGCTCCGTGGCCGAACGGCGTTATGGAGTGGAACCGGGACACCAGGCGAGATTGCCGCCGACGTGGGAGTTCTAGCTTCATAAATAGACAATACAGATCGGGTTCTCGGACATACCGAGTACGGCGTGGTTTATTGGTTGCATAAGCGAGCAAGTGATTGATTGGTGGCCCCAATTTAGTTTCCTACCTCGCCCCTTCCTTGCCCTGCCTCAGCCTCACCACGGCAAACATCCCCGAAGACTATCTTATTGTGATCAGTTCTGCCATCCTGCTGTTCCTGTCATTGACGAGACAGACACGACCAGGACTGGACGCTTCAGTGTGCTTTAATTTGTTCATCTAGACGACCTCGACCACCATTTTTGCGTCGCATCTCCTCAAATGTCAAAAGGGGCTTCAGCCTTGCGCGAGGCGAGTTCCGAACTTAATAACACCTCTCTATCGACCACCTCCACACAAGACTTAAACCCTGCATCACAAGAGGTGAGCAAGGCTCTCGAAGGACTATATCTGGGCTCTGCTTTTAGGATCATCAAATTTCTCCGAACCGAGAACCACGGAGACGTCTATTTGCTCGTCGGCAATCTCGATTCCGAACGGACGAAGAAATGTTATTATGTGGCCAAAGCCATCGACTTTGGAGGAAGTTGTGCGTCGAAATTGCAAGCGCACAGGCAGAAGCACCTGAAAAGATTGAAAGCGTCATCTTCCTTTGTATGTGTGGTTGAAGAGCATGGCTTAAAGTGGATGATTCGGAACTCTGAAGAACGATGCGCTCCCGTTATTGGTGTCGCATCTGGGCCTGAGTTCGTGGAGCTTGATAGGATAAGATCCGGTGGTCCCCTTCCCGTAAATGTGGATCTGGCAAGTGAATCACACTTCACGGATATTGGGGCGAACGACGACGACTCGGCGAGCCAAGCAAGCCGTCAATGTTCCAAGACCGACGTCGATCTTCCGCCTGATGGAACCCGCGATGGGTATTCCATCCCAGAGTCGTATACGACCAAAGATGAATCACAACCCGCACTGGACGAAGGCGACAACATTGTGGTCAATCAAAAAGTACAGCAGCAGCCCGATGTTTTCGAATGCGCGGGCGACGCGTCAGTGCCAGCAGCTGCTGCAGATGCAGGTAGAGACAGCAGCGAAGGAATCGCGTCGGATGAAGACACCACCAGCCAAGAGCAAAGGAGAGAAGTACGGAAACAAACGGGGAAATCTCAATGGAGGAAAATCCAAAGGGAGAAGCGCCGGATGAATAAATTGGAGTGCGTGGCGAGCCTGAGATCCATCTTGCAGCCTCGAACAGCGCCGGTCCAGTTGCTGATCCCGAGATGAGAACGCAGGCGGATGTCTAGATTTCTGACGACGTTGGAACCCACGATGGAAGGCCACAGAATCTACTTCGCCGGCTCTTTGACAAAGAATTGTGCCGTAAAAGGAAATTGCGGTTTAGGATTTTCATAACCTGAGATTTTGGAAAATTCCTAAGAGACCATCCACACTCTCTCAAGTTTTGCTCGCTAAGCATACCACATCCACAGCGCCCCGGATCGTCTTTACGACATTGGATCTACTAGATCCGGGAGCCGAAAAATGTACTATTTACGAACTATTTAAGAGTTGGCCAAAGATTAGGTGGTTGGAGCTCCCTTGGTAAGACTTGATTTAAACTAGCCCTATTTCTAGTTGCGGACCTCGTAAGTTAATTAAGTATCTTACCGCGATTTCTAAGCCTGTGTAAACCGTGTCTATATGGTATACACACCGTTCCGCACAATGACACCGTAGCCTTTCATCATTGATAAAGAGGTAGTTCCTAAATGATTACGGTTTCAACGTGATTACGTATTATGTAGGGTACAGTTTTATTAGATTATACAGTATTTAAAGGAATACACACTATTGGCGGAATACGTACTATACAAAATTACGGTTCTATCAAGAGGTACCGGATCAAATATGACATATAATAGAAAAATGACCGTAGTCTTGCCGTCGCTGGTCGCACTGGGGTAGTTATAAGACTATCCGACCTGTTGACCGGCATTTGGCGACATCCGGGGTGGAAACTGAGACTGAACTGTCAGGGATTGGATTGTCTACAAGAGGGCGAGATTAACTGACTATATACCGGTGTCCTGAAGGCAACCAAGGAGGAGGTTGGCCTTCTGATATTTCGACATGAACTTGTTGGAATTTGCCTCCTTGATGAAATAGATGAACGAGATAGCTATGATCTGGCAATCAGCTGGGTATATTTCTCTCCTACTAATGCCTTTAATCATGACAGCGCTGGAAGATAGGACAAAGAATAGAGCAACGAGAAACGATCATCCGCATATGATGCCCTGCCACCACGTCCCGGTGATCCATACTCCGGAGGTACGTGCCCAACACTCGAACAACGAAATCAGTGAACCCTCGTCTCAAATCCCAATACGTCATCCCAACTCCTAATCAGTCAATCCCAAATCCCAATCAGCGCAAACTAAACCCAACACTCCGTCGCCAGACTTGATTGGTAGCGTTGGCAGTTCTTACCGTGCCGTATGAGATGGTCCCTCCGCTTGTAGGATTTCCCGCATGCACACCTGAAAGAGTCCGGAGCCCGAGATGAAGTGGCATGAACTGTCCTCAAGTGACGTTCGAGCGTTCGCCGATCGTTCTTCAGAAGGACTTCACAGCCTTGGAAGCCACACTTTTGGCTCGTATGTTTTGCTAGATGTTCCCTGTATCTGTCAGAGCTCAAATGCCATCATGATGGGGTTGAATTGCTCACCGGAAATGTTGAGCCTGGATATGGCCCGAGCCGTAACGCTGGTCGCAATGCGGACATCTGAGAAAGGAGGACGCAGTAATGCTGGCCGTTGGTAGGAGTTGCGGGTCGCCTTCGACTCGTTTGGGCCCGTGCAATGACAGGCTGGAGGGGAAATCCACTACAACTTCAGCAGACTCGAGGCGACCCCTTGATGGGGTTTGAGAGTAGCCACCAACTCCACCGGGCTGCTGGGCCGGTACATTGGAGAGGGAAGTCTCTCTGCTTCCACTGTGGGACGTGATGGAGGAGGGCGTCGGTGCAAAGTCGGTCCCGGAACTGCTAGGGGATTTGTTCTGGCAAACGATTGCTGATCCAGGAAGATCACAAAGACACTCGATTCCGGGAACAGCTTGGCAAGTCATACAAGGATCGTGAACAAGGAACTTCTGATCGATGAACTCTTCGAAGGCCCTGAAGAATTCATGGTCGTCGGCTACACTCTGTGCAAGATAACCGTGGCCTGGAGCCGCAAGAGAGGGGTTGGCGGGAAGGAGAGTCGAAGTTGATAGCTGAAGGCTTGCGTCGAGGGGTTCAACCGCATAACCCTGAAGAGAATGGCGTTCCTGAGACGGGCTGAGAGCATCATAACTTATCGGAGATCGTAATGACTGTTATGGATGACGGCTGTGCGAAGACGTGGTGTCTCCGCGCAGAACCGTCACCCCAGGTGGATTGGAAAGACTCCTGTTGCGCGAAATATAAGAATGGTAGCTAAGATAGGCTGCGGGAGGGGGGTGTCAATGCCTTCGAGTCTAGTTCTGATGCTTCTTTATGGGCGATTTTCTGTGTTGTCAGGTGTCAAAGACAACCCCGGAGGTTGGAGAGAAGATCAGGACAGGTCAGAGTAGTGGGAGGTCGGGGGATTTAAATGCCTATTGCTCAGTTGACAGTAGCTCAGCCACCTGCCCTGGCCTTGAGGCCTGCCACTACATTAGCTCGATGTCACAACCTCCGCGACGTGGGCCAGCCCCAACATCCAATCGTCCCAGCAGGGCCTGCATACAGAGCACTAGAAGACAGATGCAAGAATGAGCAGGGGGTGTTGAGGCCACCAATGAAGTTCCCCAAGAGGGGATTCCCGGTCCAGCGCTCTATTGGTGCCTGCATGGTTGCATTGACCCTGGACTCAGTCGCTGGGAGTAATGCCGGGTGTATTGGGGCCTTCAACAAACACCTCAGGACATATCTTGGGGGCCTGCCACAGTATTTTATCAAAAGGAGTTGAAAGAATGAGGCCGCTGTCCATATCCAAAGACCAACATCGCCTTATGCGGTACTACAGACAGCTATTGACCTGGACATATAAGATGGAGAGGTTCTCTCATCATATATGGACGGGCGGATAGCTGGAAGGCGAGTTCGAATGCTCTCTGCGGTGTACGGAGCACTGCTTCTACATTCCTCTTGTTGTCCACATTAGCCGTACCATGAGCAACCCAGGAACACTAGGAGCGAAATATCCGACGCCTGCGGACGTCTCGCCAATGCAACGATTCATGGACGAAGATGCCAGAACGCAACCCTGGCACGCCCTCAGCTCTCCCAACGCCAGCTGTACCATCTCAAGCACGGGGGGCGGAAAACCGAGAACATGGTCTGTCTGTCTCAGCCCATCGACGATGGCAGCAACGAAGCGCTCGACTTCGAGAAACGACGACGCAGCACCCTCCAACGATACTGGAACGGCACCACCAAGAGGCCCAATCACCAGCGACTCCACCAGCGAACACCAGGAGGAGCCGTCACTCACCCATGATCTAAAGTATGTCGGCCAGATCTTCGCGGAGGAGAAGAGACCCAAGAGGAAGTCGATCCCCAAGGGCAAGGATCTTTGACTGTTGTGCTGGTGGATGGGATGGCCACGCATGATGGAATCTGGATGGATGATAGTGGGCGCAGAGTTCATTTGGACTTTTGTATCACGGCCAGCATTCAACTTCTACTTACAAGTTCGTCGCGACTAGCCCCGAGCCTCAACCTAATCATGATCTTGACTACCCTTTCAATTTTTCTTGTCACGCCAACCCGAACATTCACAGGTATCCACGCGCCCAAGTCGGGTCCAATATGGGGCTCATGCCTTCTTCGTACAGAGCTTTCCACGATACCAAGCGAAAGGCCGCCGCACTGGCAGTCTAATTGGCGTTTTCCTTTACTAAAATAGGCCGGATTGTAATAATACCACCTCACGCACAAAAATCCATGTCCGTGGGAAGCATGTTCCTTAGTCACACACCGATAATAGACGCATCGTAGCCTTGTGTTGCCCATAACAATTCCGCCAAGACTAGTCCAGCTTAATTCTCCACACCAATGTGGACATTCTTCTCTCCCTCGGGCAGGATCTGTGTCTCCTTCTCACCCTTCAGATTGGGAAGTTCCGCCACCGCCTCCGCGATGATGGCCAAGGCCCGGTTGATTTCTTCTTCGGTGATGACTAGCGGCGGGGCAAGACGAATGATGTTCTGGTGCGTCGGTTTTGCCTGTCATATCATATATGCAGTTAGAACAGTCGTTTGTCTTGCAAAACCCCATGCATGCTCCAGGAAGCGAAAACCCTCAGAGGTAGTAGAAGAACTTACCAATAGTCCTTTCTCCTTCATCAACATACACAAATCCCACGCGCTATGTCCGTTCGTCTTGGCCTCGTCGATGACAATCGCATTCAGCAAGCCCTTGCCCCGAACCGTCTTGATCAAGTCCGAGTTCAGCCCTCTCAGTCCCTCGCGGAAAATCTGCCCGAGTTTCTCGGCCCGCTCAATCATCTTTTCTTCGCGGACGACCTCCAGAGCGCGTATGGCGACTGCACAACCAAGCGGGTTGCCACCGTAGGTAGATCCGTGCGTGCCCGGTTCGATGGTGAGCATTACATCTCTGCGGCCGAGAACGCAGGAGACGGGGTACATTCCGCCTGAGATGGCTTTGCCGAGCAGAACAAGGTCTGGTTTTATCCCGGCCCATTCGTGGCAGAGAAGTTTCCCCGTGCGGGCGATGCCGGTTTGGATCTCGTCGCAGATGAGGAGGACGTTGTGCTTATCGCACAGTGCGCGGAGTTCAGTAAGATAGTTGTCGTCAGGGACCACAATGCCGGCTTCGCCCTGGATGGGCTCAACGAGGAAGCCCGCGATCTTGTCGCCGTGGGATTCGAATGCCGTGCGGACGGCGGGGATGTCGTTGTAGGGGATCACTTTGCCGGTGGCTGGAGAGATGCTCCCTACGCCGGGTAGATAGGGGCCGTAATTGTCGCGGGATTCAGGGTCTGTAGACATGGAGATGGCGGAGAATGTCCGCCCGTGAAAGTTCTCGGCCACACTGAGCACGATGGCCTCGTCGTGGGGTATACCCTTAGATTTATATCCCCATTTCCTGGCGATTTTGATGGCGGTTTCAACCGCTTCGGCACCGGTATTCATGGGTAAAACCATGTCGAAGTTGAAATACTTGGTGACGAACTCTGCAAAACGCGGGAATACGTCATTGTAAAATGCCCGCGAGCTCAGGGTGAGTGTGGAGGCTTGTTCAACGAGGGCTTTGACCAGCTCAGGGTGGCAATGGCCCTGGTTCACGGCAGAATATGCGGACAAGAAGTCCAGATACTGTCGGCCTTCCGGATCCCACACTGTTGTCCCCAGGGCGCGTGCAAAGACAACCGGTAGAGGATGATAGTTGTGAGCGGCATATTCGCCCTCGGCGTGGATGGCTTCTTGAGAGGATGAAGCATGATACCTTGATCGGTCGGAAGTGCCAGCGGGGTGGAATGCAGGAGCCGTTGCTTTCAGCTGAGTGCCGGTTGTCTGGCCATTTGTCTTTGTGATGCCGTTAGTGCCATCACCACTGGTTGCCGATGGTGCCATTGTTGATGGTGTCCTTCTTAGTATGGATCTTGAAGACTGAAGGTGGCCTCGATCTTATAAAGTCCAGCAGGGTGTACAAGGATGTAGTAATGGTTGTACCTTCCATAAGAATGCTGGGGCAACCCTACTTAAGTACCCTTGATTATCGGTCCACCCTCGTTAGGTCATGTGCAGAGATTTTTCCACATGGAACTGGAACTCGCCTGTTGCTATACCCCTAAGTGCAGGTGTAGCCTTAATGGAGGGCGGCTTAAGCGTATCGCACGCCTGACCCGCAATGGCGGATAGCGATTTGAGTGGATGGGCTTGACGGTTGGATGTTTGGGAAGCGTAATGAGATATGCAAGGGCAATGAGAGGCGGAACAGAGAGGGCGACGAGGGGTCGTCGAGGGGCAAATGGGCTGATGTCTTGACCCTGCAAAATGTCGTCTGCGGCTAAGCGCGGCATGTCTTCCCCAGTCAAGCCTCCCTAGCCTCACTAGCCCTTTGCTCCTCACTGACACTCCAACTGCGACAAGGCGCACTTACTCTAGACCTCAGCTCAGAAAAGAGTCCGAGACCGCACTTTCAAGCTTTGATCCTTGTCTTGACTGAGAATGGCAACTCTCAAGGGCCCCGGCGCCCCTCAGAAACACGATGGCTCTGGCCTGCGAGTCGCAATAGTCCATGCCCGGTGGAACAACACCATAATCGATGCCTTGGTCAGCGGGGCAAAGAAAGCCATGCTCGGCCAAGGAGTGAAAGAGGAGAATATCGTCGTCGAATCAGTGCCCGGGTCCTACGAGCTTCCTCTTGCAGTCCAACGCGTCTATGCCGCCTCTCAGATACAGAGCACAGCAAGCGCAGTCGCCGGGGGAATGGGTAGTCTCGCGAGTGGCATTGGAGACCTTCTAGGAGGGAGTAACTCGACAACAGACCTGCAGGGAAGTCTACAACCAGGGCCGCCAGAGCCGGAGAAGAAAGATGTCAAAGGACTGAGACATACCTTTGATGCCATCATAGCCATTGGAGTGCTCATTAAAGGCGAATCTATGCACTTCGAATATATTGCCGACGCCGTGAGCCACGGACTGATGAGAGTGCAGCTGGACACAGGTGTCCCAGTCATCTTTGGCCTCCTAACTGTTCTGAACGAAGGCCAGGGTTTGGCAAGAGCTGGTCTTGAAGGAGGCACAGGCAAGGAGGCCAAGGGACATAACCACGGAGAGGACTGGGGCAATGCAGCTGTCGAGCTTGGAGTGAAGAGGAAGGGCTGGGGCGAAGGCAAGATTGCCGGAACTTGACACAGGCCGCATTGCCCATCTGCTTGTATTGGTCTTCTGGAGGACATCACAAGCCTGGGAATCTCTCTCGCGTCAAGCTTTGGAAAGCAAGAGACGGAGAGAGCCACCAAAAATAGATATCCCGTTGATGGTTGGTTCCCGTCTCCATTTTGAACTAGAAAACCAGACCCCATCGACCGTTTCCAACGCCGGTAATGCTACAGTGCTGGAAAGGCGGGATCAATTACTCCTGCATGGCATCCTCCTCCTCTTCGTCTTCGTCGTCTCCTTCCAAGCTCTTCTTCGCTGCTTTCTCAGCCTCCTCGAGTAACTGTTGCGGAACACGCTCATGTCGGCCCTTCGTGGGACCGTCGAGACTTGAGATCCAGGTCATCTCGAGTTCAAATTCCTTGTCTTTCGAGTCTTCATGCGCGACGTAAATGATCCTGGCAGCTTCCATGACGGCTTCTTTGAGAGTAATGGCGCAGGTTGGTGAACCCAGATCAAGCTTCTCCAGCTCAGCTTTGGCAGCTTGCCGGCCTTTGCCTGTTGCAGCACCGTAGTAGCCCTAGGGAACTTGGTCAGCACGGTTTCTCGTGGCCACGCTTATCAACCCACCCAGTACAGCCCACTGGGCTCGATCATATAGAGACCTGGACCACCTCGTTTGACAGCTTCGCCCTCCAACTTGCCTCCCGCGCCTGACGCGGGACCTTCTCCAACCTGACCATCTACGCCGTGTTCCGCTTCAGAATCCCAGCCACCCAAAATGGCGGTTACACCAAAGGGCCGTACGCTGGAGTACAAAGTGTACGCCTGCGCATAACCTCCTACTCTTGACGCTAAAGCGTGTATGGGAATGGGGGCTTTGTATGTTTGTCTCCAACTACTGGCCTCGTCTCTTGCTCTGCTGGTGAGGTGACGGCCATCTGGTAGTAGTCCGGAAGTGACGATGCCGGCGTTACGGTCGACCGTGGATATTCTCTTATTGGAACCTGGCTTCAATAGCTTTGAGGTGATGATCTTCTCGCAGGCGAGAACCACTCCATGCTTTGTCCGGATTCCGATACACGTCCCGCCGTTTTCCACCGCCTTCACGGCGTATTCGACTTGGAAATTTCGTCCATCTGGCGAGAAGACGGAGTTAGAGAGATCGTAGCCTGTTCCTATTGACGTCTAGGAAAAATATAATTAGTGTTCTGCAAGACCTCGATGGGGCTCTAGGTGATATACCATGGCGACGGGATAGCTTGAGGAGATCCCAGTGTTTTGGTGACGGGTGTGAGCTCAGTGAAGAATCTCAGGTCAGAGAAGTCTCAGCAAGGATATATTTCGAGACTGGGAGAAGGATTGTGCAGAAGGAACTTCTAGTATCGAGGCCAAAGTTTCAATGAATGCGATCGCAGGCTCCCCAGAGCCGCGCCATTGCAGATGTAGAGCATCCACCCCAAAAGGGCCTAGTGTTGCCAAGGCATGCATCGGAAGTTTTTTGGCGTGTTTGGGCAGCAGCGAGCGCTACATACGTGTCATCAGTGCCTCCCCGACTGGTCATGTGTGATAATACCCAGTATCTGCCGCCTGTTGCTGCCCCTTCCAACTTCACCTCCTCACCTTCTTCACCTTTCAGCTTCCTCTCTGTCCCTGCTCCCTACGAACTTCTCCCAGCTTCAAAAAATCTCGAAGATATTTCGCAGACTCCTTTCTTCTCCACCAGACGGCCCTCACGCTTTGATGTTGAGCTGAGTCCCGCCTTCTGTAACCCGACGAACTCAGAACACAATTTACCAAATCCTCCTTACCCCGCTCCTCTGCTCCCTTTAACCTCGTCCTCTTCCCCTTGACTTCATATCTCTTCACAAACAGATCAACAGCTTCTTGACTCCAGGCCTCTTCTGGATCGGACATCTGGACCTAAGCTCGCTCTTTGTTCTGGACTTTGGACCCTCGGCCTGCCTGGACTCTTCCCAACGGGATCTGGAAACCGGACCTCGCTGGACTCTCTGGAGCTTCTATAGCAGACTGTGTGTTAGTTAGTACAATACGAATTTGAAGCCTAAATCCCAGAATTTTTGCTTCTTCCTCTTCCCTGCCTGGTTCTCGTTTTGCAGACAAAGGATCTCTAACCGCTGGTGTTGTTCTCAAATCTGAAGTCATCAGATTATGGCATCCGCTTTTCACAGATGCCAGCATTGTGGCTACGAGACAGACCTCTCGAACAATCTGGCAGCCTTTGAAGAGAACCCTCATTGCAGACAGGTTTGTCCAGTTCCAATCCCGGTTCATGACCTTCTGATTCTTTGCTCTAGTGCGGACTATCGGCCTCGGAGAGCGACATCAAGATGCAGGACGACCTGATCAACATGATGACACGCAATCTGCATCTCGATCCCTTCCAGTCTCCACAGGACATGTCGATGCCTCCGACCCCTCAAGTCGTCCCGCAGTCGGCGCCGATCGCCTATATTACACAGCACTATCATCACTCGGCACACCAGGCACCACATGATCTTCCTGTCTCGACGATCCTCGAACGATCTGGCATCAACGCCTCGGCGTTGTTTCCATCTCAATTGCAGTTGTTCAAGAATGCAGAGCCTGAACAAAGGCTGAGGTTGGTAGAACTTTGGCAAATCGCCCCTCCAACGTACGGCAGTCAGATGCACCCTGACGATTTGGCAAATTGGCCACAGACAAGCATGGAAAAGGAAGAAGAAGCCGCCAAGTATCGGTTGCAGATGGTGGAGCAAGAAAGATTGAAGAATCTATGTGCTTTGCCCGCTGGTGAGATGAGGCACACTGCCGAGCCGTACATATTGCATGGCTATGAGGCACAGCAAAGCACCAACGGTGTCACAGCTTCAACGGAACTTGGCCCTATTATGATGAAGGAGGATAGCTACAAGCAATCGAAGGACCCTGCATACAACAGCAGAGAGTGGTGGCATCTGTCCGACGACGAACCTATGGAACATCAATACGGTATGCTCCAGCAGATGTATGGGTATGGGATCGACTATTCTGCTGGTAGACGCAGTGATGGAGATTCAGAAATGTCTTGAGTCGCAGAATCAGATCAAGAATGGCGACTACGCATACGTTGAAAGTGGTGGCCTGAGGTTGGCGTTGGTCTTGGTTGAGATGTGTTTGGTCTCATTGCCGCATAGATTGGATTGTAGATAGCCATCAACTTTCTTTTGTTCAGTGAGAAAATTGCACATATAATCACAAGCATATTCTGTATCTTTTGAATCAGTCGTCAGGACCAATATTCCCCTTCAGCACGAAGCGGTATTGTCGATAAGACACCGAGAACGGCTCCATAGGTATTATTATTCGCTGGACCATTTTCCAGATGAGGGTATCTGGGGGTTCTAGCACTGCAACCCCTTATGTAATTGCGGCAAGCGCAGATGGACGAACAAAGGATAGCTCAGATATCATACCACTCAATGAAGTGCCGCAAGAGATATTGGTAATCGATTCTGCGAGGACCAAAGGCTCAATGCTGTGTTAATTTGTCGCAATGAGCTGAAGCGTCGGAGATCCATCGCGTCGACCAACCTCGAGCTTCGCACGTCGCATCTTCCACGCCAATTTCGCTCCGCTCCGCACCGCATGTCGTGAAGCGACCTTCGGCTCGACTCAATTTTCGCCACGATCCTATCGGACACCCGCCGCGCAACTCGACATGGCCTCGATGAGCAAGAGAACGCAGGCGCGGAACGAGCGGGAGCTTCACGAGTTGCTCTCCGTCCCCGGCAATTCACAATGCGCCGATTGTGGTGCGAAGAACCCGGCGTGGGCGAGCTGGAATCTGGGAATCTTCCTCTGCATGCGGTGCGCGTCCCTGCATCGTAAACTGGGCACGCACATTTCCAAGGTCAAGTCCTTGAGTATGGACACCTGGTCGACCGAGCAGGTCGAGGTGGGCAGAATCCTCACTCCATCTCAGAGTGTATTCACTGATGCATCGCGCAGAACATGAGGCGCAACGGCAACAACGCGGTCAACAAGATTTACAATCCCAAGAACAAGAAGCCCGACATGCCGCTTGACGTCGACGAAGTCGACTCGGCCATGGAAAGATTCATACGCAAGAAATACCAGGAAAAGAGTCTGTCACATGGCAAACCGGAACCTCCCCAACGTGACGATGATTTACCTTTGAGTTATTCCAGACCTCAAGCTGGCGATCCAGATTCACCTCCGCCTCCTTTACCTCCCAAGAAGGGCAAATTCTTCGGCTTTGGTCTTCGAGCCTCCTCGTCCGCTTATACTTTGTCAAAACACGATAAAAAGAAGCATCATAAAGAGCCTCAAGTGGATAGCACATTCCGCATCCCCACTGGAGCGTATGATTCGAGGATGGACGATACGCGCTTTGAGATGACAGACGCCGAACTCCAAATGAAGTTGGCGACATTACGAGACATGGGTTTTAGCAACACCGACCAGAACACGAAATTTCTGCGACGTCTGAATGGGAACTTGGAAAGGACCATTGAGGCCCTGGTGAAACATGGCCCAAGTAAAAATGGCGATACTGTTTCCTCCAGAAGACAGGGACCAACGCCAGCTGCAAGACAAGAGCCCACGTCCAGGTCTCAAGAGCCATCATACAACCCATTTACTTCCATAACTAACCAGCAGACTGTTGGACTATCACTGGCGAAATCGCAAGAGCCCTCAACTCCGACCAGCACAACAACTTATGGCAGCAACAATCCCTATGGCCAGCCTAATCACGGCTCGACCGAGACTGGACTCGAGCAATCCTTTCAGCCCGTGCAAGTTTCTCAGCCCCTGTTTCCTCACAGTACTGGTGGATATCCGAGCCAACCTGTTCCTCTACAAGATCCCCGCTTTCAGTATTCAATGACACCTCCAGTCACGTCGACGCAATACCAACAAGCCTATGCAGCGTCCCCGGCAGCGATCCCTGTAGTCAGAAATCCCTTCTTCCAGCCTGCCTCAGTTTCAGCTCAGTCGACAGGGAACAACCCATTCCTTTCCCAGGTGCCTCCTTCTCCCTCCTCAAACCCTTTTCTGAATCTCCAGTCACCTGGACAATCAGCACCACCACCACTACCACAACAACAACAACAACATCATCATCAACAACGGCAGAGCTCGCTTCCGGTTACCTTCAATCCTTTTGGAATACCACCTTCCCAATATTCGCCTCCTCAAACAACACAACAGCCGCAGTTGCAACCGCAAGACCTGTTCGGCACTGCTCCTCAGAGTCAGCCCCAGCCGAACAATCCTTTTCAACAACAGAGCATGCAACAGCAACATCAGTCTCAAATCTCGGGTCCGCAAATGCCTCAGATTCCATCTCCCTTCCCCAATTTCCAATACAATCAACCTCAAGTACAGGCCTATGCTCAGACACAACCTCAGCAACAGACACAGACGCAATCGATGCCGACACAAATGCCTCAATTTCAGCAACAACCATCATATCCCCAACCGCAACTCTCTCAGCAAACCCAGCAGCCTACGATGCCCCAGCAAACAGGCCGCTTCGACAAAAGCTCCATATTAGCCCTCTACAACTATTCCCAACTCGCTCCCCAGCCGCTCGCTTCAATCCCAGAACCTGCGTCCGAACAGCAACAGCAGCAACAATCGCAACAAGCAGTCTCATATGCACCCTCAGGTGATATATTTGGCAACAGCCATGTCTCACCGGCAAAACGCAGCGCTACTATGCCTGTGTCGCTGTCCAATATGCATTCTGCCGGTGGAAGTGGGAACCGAAACCCTTTCATGACCAACGTTAGCAACGCTAATATGAATACCGTCAATACAAATGCAGGGTTGAATCCATTCGCTAGTGGAGGTGGCAGCCCATTTACATCACCCCCTCCAAGCCAGGCCCAGACTCAAACCCAAAGTTTTGGACAGAGTTTCGGATCAGGGCAACCTTTCGGGCAGGGGATGAACATGCCTGCAGGCATGGGCGCTGGTATAGGAGTACAGAGGCCACAGCAGGGTATCGCAGCAAGGCATGCGAGCGCTGAGAGCATGAGCATCAACAATTTGGAAGCGGGAAGGCACAGCCCCGACGCATTTGCGAATTTGAGCGCGAGATATATGAGATGAGACCACAGATGCCACGACGGCGCACGAGGCGATGGTGAGTGGGGCAAAATCGAGTCATGACGAGCCAGCGGAAGTAGTATTACAACTTTTTTACATCTCACGTACCTAATTTTTGATATCACAGCGAGAAGCGAGAAGCGAGCTTGCTGGATCTGGTCTTTTAGTCTACTGTGAAGAAGGAGGAAGGAGGAAGGAAAGACGAAGGCGGAGCGTATGGAGTTCCCGGATGAGACTCAATGGCCTCCTACTTACCTCCCTGCCTATATTCTCGGTACTCACGGAATTTTGAAGTATTCGTGTATCTCCTCAAATTCTCCTTCCGCCTGAGAAGGTCCTTCCTTTCCTAATTCCCATCTCAGCGACTATACCTACCGAGGTGATTATGTGTTGATATACCCTGTCTATATCTGTCGATCCATCTGCCCTATTTCCCCCGGGTTGTCCAAGTAGTTAAGATTATTTTTCATGTTTATGTCGACTAGTCTGAATGCTGCAGCAGCCCGGACTACCTCCATGCTTCTTTCTCGTGGGGGTTTCCGTCCACGTTGGATATTACCCATACCTATACTCATACCTATGCCTATATCTATATCTCTTCCACGAGATCATGAAATACTGTCCTAAGGCGCTTTTGGTACCACCATCCCAGATACGCAATGACGGCCATGAAAACAGTCCCAGTGGCGCCGGTGGGAAACCACCACTTCTGCGAGTTGTACAGCTGCGAGTCGGTGGCGCCGTTCCAGAAGATGACCGCCTCGGGATTCGTCATGATGTCCATCCAATACCTCGCCTGGCTCTCTGGATAATCAGCACATCTTTGCTTGCGCTTGCTTTGCGCTAGGCCGGTCGGGATAGTGGATGATCTCACTCACTGGGGTAAAGCACAAGCAATTGCTGAATAACCCGATCATGATAAAAACTAAGACAAGGATTCGGTATGTTAACTTCACCGCAGAGGAGAGACATCATACTAGGTACATGAGAAACCGGCGGGAGGTAGCTGACTTACTTGTCCCACCAATAGATGTAAATACACTGACGCAGACGGAGAAGGCGAAGCTAGCATACCATACGTGCCCACACCATGTGCCAGCCTTTCCGACCATAGCAGCATCGTGGATCACTTTCCCGTCGTCACCGCGTTGCCAGATGAGAATGCTCACTAGCCAGAGGATGATAAGAAGGAGCTGAATAACCCCATAGGATAACATCGTCAAAGACCAGCAGCCGAGTCCGACGGAAGGCGTATGATAACTAAAAAGATTTCGACAACGGCGCGGACATGTCAGCTTTTGAAGTTTTCCAATAACCCAGCTGGAGACCAAACGGGCCAAAAAAAAAAAGAACCCACCTCACCATCCCTCCAAAGAAGACCGGGATGAAAATGAGAATGAAGGCTGACAACCCAGCAACCCACAGGGTGCTCCCGAAGCGACGGCCCAGGACCTCTTTATGAACCGAGTCAAGATGGGGACGATACTCGTCGACAAACCTTGCGACCCATCTCGCCTTGTTGGACCCTTGATTCCAGATCCACGCGGCCCTGTAGGGCGAGTTGCTGTGCATGGATCCGTAAGGGATTTGGACTTTCCCTAGCCTCCGGGAGGGGGACCGTGTCTGCGCTCGAACGTCGTCGGTCTTGCCGTTCTCCAAGTGCGCGGATATGCTGGCCGGCCGTCCATCCCGCGGGACGGCGGCCTGGAAAACGCTAGGGTTGCTTCCAGCAAGGAGAAGGCTGGTGACGAGCGCGATGTGGGGGATCGTCATCCACAACAGGCCGAATGCGATTTGATGTGCCGATTGGCTAGATTTTGAGACAAATTAGACTTCCTGCGATCCGACTTGTGAAGTCCTTGTATGATGATGATGATGATGATGAAGAAGAAGAAAACTTACTAGGTGCCATAGGAAGACTCGATTTCGTAAACGCTCCATATGAAGGAAGCGAGGTAGAACAACACCGGTGCCCCAACCGTGGTCCCGAAGCTAGGCTGGGAGTCCAACATGGCTCGGAGTTTGGATTTCACGGATTGTAGCTGGAAGGGCGCGAATTCACCGCCCCGAGAAACCTCTAGCGGCATGGGAGTTATTGGCGAGACTGTTGTCAAGCCTCCTTTGGCTTCAACCACCGCATCCAGACTGGCAGGCGATGGGCTCGTTGAGGATGCTTCGCCAGTGGCAGCCGCGGGCTCGCTGGGCGGAGGCAAGAAATCGTCTTGGGGAAGTTCTCGGACAAACAGCTTGGAATGGTGCCAGGCAGGTTCAAAGTCGAGGTTGCCGAGCAGAACGACCAGCAACAGATGAGCGCGACTGCGGATGGTCGTACCATTGGAGCCAGGGTGCCTTTGGAGGAATCTGAGGATCCTGGCATCGAGCAGCGCGTCGTAGATGGCGGAAACCAGAATGGGACCAGAGGTGGCGAAAACGACCGAGAGCCATACAAGGACATCGACAGCAACGATGACGAACGCTGCAGGAATCTTGATAGCGTAGAGCAGCGCTCCTCGGACTCCACCCGGGCCAGAAAAGAGGCTCCCGGGGATCTCAATTCGCCGTCTTCGTGGGATGCTGAGGCAGAAGATAAGGGATGGCAGGATGAATGCTATCAGTGGCTTCAGCCAGTTGGCGAAGCCTTCCGGCTTTGTAGCGGCCCATCCAGGGCAACGACGGCGGCACCAAGAATACGGCGTCCAGAAGTCCTCAGGTGGCCCCGCCATGGTGCCGTTGAACTTGGCAAAACAAGGAAAAGAAGGGAATCTTTCCAACGTTGCCATATCCCCACGATAGAACGTCTGGCCGGGTCGGATGCGGAGGGTATCATTGTCAATGACAAGGCTTTCATTGACGACTAACTGGCAGCAAACGTCAAAGCTTTGTCCGCCTAGGAAAGGGTTAAACCGTGCAGGACTCTGGGGCAGGTTGGTAAGGAAGGGCCTGTAGATGTCAGCCAGAATGGTTGACGAGTTAGAGGAGATGGTCTCGGTCCTGCAGGGGTGACTGAAGAAGAGGAATGCAATGAAGAGGGCCAATGTTAGCTGATACATTGTGTCGAATCCCTTGGTGTGCACAACACATAACTACTCGTAGGAAAAATAGAGAGCGTCGACAGGAGTCGCATCGCCGAGATGGTTAGTTTTAAGCAAGAACCCGCGAGGCTGTGTACCACGAACCATCCCTGGCATGGCCCCCTTGGGCAGAAGCAGCCTTGCGTGCACAGCGTGTCTTTTTTTTTCCTTCCAGTAACCTTTACTCAATTAACAATGTTGGACCAATCTGGGGCCATAACTTCCAGGTTGATTGATTGATTCGTAAAGGAAGAGAAGTTCAATCTGTGACAGGTAGGCTTAATACCAGCCTCTGGTACATAGCCAGGGCCGTAGCGCCAAGAGATATCCTGTCTAGCTTGATCAGGCTAGTCCAATCGACAAGTCATACCTCGTACTGCCGACAGAGATGCCCAAGCGGCCCACGCTGCCCAAGCTCGGCGGTTCATGCCACTCTCCCGCCAAAATGATCAACGGGGTGGAAGAGGCTACCTGTAGGTCAGGTGCGTCCATTATGTTGACGTGGCGATTAAGTTACGGATTCGGTTGACAAGGTCACGGTGCTAGCCTGACTAAGCCTAAGCTTAACTTGGTCTAACGCAGCCATCAAGTCTTGGCATCGGCATTGGCTAAGCAACTTCTCCTGCTGAAACTTCTCTCTGGATTTAGACTCTCTCCGTACTAAATCTTATCAATACTACTATTGTTACATACCACTCGTTCGAACCGTGATATGCGGGCCATCCTGAACCCCTGGCGGAGAGCTGCATCCCACATGACAGGTTGTGCTTACCTGCCAACGCAGCTGAAATCCACGTGGGCGGTATCAGGGTTATTTCGCGCCTTGCGAATGTGAGTTGGCCACTACGACGTGAACCCAAAGCAAGCGATGTGTTTTTTATACCTCGTGTTGTGTACGAGGTGACGAATACAGTCCCCTCTTGCAAAGATTGCACGCCCAAATGCTGCATCAAGCTTGAAGGATCACCGTGTGCCTGCCCACCCTTTTTGTATGCTCACACTTCATCCCGAATGTTCCTAGTTAACCAAGTGGCCTTGTCTGTGAAATGGTGGGCAGAGCCGTGGATCAGGTATTTCCTGGAGGCCCTTTGCTCCAGGTAGTCATATCTCTTTGTTGGCGCCAGATTTCCAACGGAAGCAAAAATTCTCACAGCAGGATATATTCCATCCGGCTACCTAGGCACCTTCGGATTAAGCTAGTAAGCATCACAATAGCGGAAACTCGTGTATTACTCCCCCAAGCGGCCTCCAAGACCAGGGAAGTTGGTTCTCAATTATCAAATTGCTAGCTTACACATTCTCAACGCACTCGATGGCGAGCGTTGACATTAAGGGGGCTGAGGTCGAGGCCGCTGAGATCGAGGCCGAGATGGAGACGGCAGACAAAATAGTCGAGGTGTTCAAATCCCCAATTCCGTCCTTCAGTCCTGGAGAATTGGAGTACGAACGTTCCGTCGCAACTGCAAATCTCTTGTACCGTTTCTCGAGGCCTTACTTCGTCGTCCAGCCTGAAAGCCCTGCACAGGTTCAGACCATTATCAAAACAGCCGTTTCGAATGGGCTGAAGATCACGGTCAAGAACGGAGGTCACTCCTTCGCAGGATTTTCCACCACCGATCGAGGCATCCTGCTAGACCTTGCCCGGATGCAAGATGTTCGCCTCCACAAAGGGCCTAACGACAAACCAGTGGCGGTCACGCTCGGAGGTGGGGCGCAATGGGGCCATGCGTACAAGGCATTGGTCGCCGGTCGTTACGACGGGTACATGGTCAATGGTGGACGATGTCCCACCGTCGGAGTCAGTGGGTTCGTTTTGGGGGGTGGTCTCGGCCCCTTCACCAGAAAATTCGGCATGGGCTGCGACTCGCTGACAGAGGCAACCATTGTCACCGCGAAGGGAGACCTTGTCACCGTCAAAGAAACCGATGATAAACAATCGAACGAAGGTAAGCTCTTCTGGGCACTTCGCGGTGCTGGTGGCGGGAACTTTGGGGTTGTGGTTGAGCTGAAGATGAAGGTCCAGCGGGTGCACGACCGCATAGTAGCCGGGCGATTCACGTATTCACAGCTGGATGAGCCGTTCATGGGCGCGATGAAGGAACTCTACCGATTCGACTGGCCAGTCAATGCCACGATTGACACCCACTGGGTGTGCGAGGTCAAGCCCAACGACGCTAGTTCTTATGTTCGTTTCGTCGCCTATTTCAACGGCGAGGAGAGGGAGTTTAGGGGTCTGATCGACCGTGCCATTGGAAACGTGCATCCAGAACTAGCGGCTAGGATGAAGGAGCGGACACTGTCCGAACCGTCGACGCTTTTCCTTCATGAGACGCTTGTGGCTCAGTGGTGGGAGGAAACCACGAGGGCATTTCCCTCCAACAAAGCTTACAGCCTCTACACATCCTTCGTCTTCGAGAAGCGACTCGAAATCGTCAACATCGTTGCCGACAAGGTCAAGCACTGGCTAGACAAATTCCAAAGCTCTTTCAGCGAGGACGAAGCTATCCTCGAAGTCACGTGGGTTCACGCCGGAGGGCATGCCAGCGTCGTGGGAAGCGACCAGACGGCGTTCCCCTGGCGTGCTGGCACGTACTTCACATACATCATGGTCCGGTGGTATGACAAATGGCTGTCGGCGAAGATGGGGCAATTTTTGGAAGCGTTCAAGAGTGACTTGAGGCGCTTTTCCATGGAAAGTGAGGCGGCATACATCAACTTTGCAGATGTATCGCTGAGCGATTACGCATCGGCATACTACGGGCCCAACTACCCGAGGCTGCAGGAGGTCAAGCAGATCTGGGACATGTACGACTACTTTCACCCGCCCCAAGGTGTTCGACTTCCGAAAAGCAAGGACAGCGCGGGGAATGACGGGGACTGGGTGGACTTGCCGCGACGGCAGTGGGAGAGCCGCGGCGCGTTCCCAGCCCGGAAGAAGGCCGACTTTGCGGGAATCATTCGAGACTTGACCGACCTGGGGTTTTGATGTTTCTGTACTTGAGACTGGACCATTCGGGGAGATTTTGGTGTCACCACTGCGTTTTCTTATGCGCAGGGCTAAAAAGATCACATTTTCGCTCAGTGTAACTAATTGAGTCTAGCGTCACCAAAGCTTCCACGCTATAGCCCACTAGCCCCACTCAAGCCTCGCGCCCGCCACCGCAGTCGATGCCCTTATCCAGCTCGCCAGTACCTATGATTGACGCCAGTAAAGCCACCACTCCATACCATCACCAGTCCATTAAATAAAACCAAACGCCTACACAAAGATTGTCTTGCCTACTAACTCCACCGTCCAACATCTTCAGAGTAAAAGAAAATAGAAAATCTCGAACCCCGATCTCAAGCCGTGTTTGGGGGAGTGGGGGAGGAAATTACTAGCTCTAAAGCATAGCCGCTTCGTATTCCTTGCCGCACCTCGACGCCGTGGCGTGGTGGAGCGAGAACGTTCCTGGCGGTCTGCAAGTGATGCTGGGCCACGATTTTGGGTAGGTTAGGCTTGTCTGGCGTTTGTTGGGTGGGATAGGGGTCCTGGGACAGGACGGCCCAAACAACGGGAGAAAAGGCACACATAACGGATTAGAATCAGGGCTGCAAGAGTTTCGACTTCTGCTTTTTATGCAATCTCGCACCATTTTGGAAAGACGGTCTGATACCCGAGGACTCTTGTTCGAGTAATTCATATTCACGACCGGAAAGATGGATATGAAAGGATCTCCCTATCCTCCGGACCGAGCAAAGGCCGGATCAAAATTTGGGGCTAAGCGACCTGGGAATTTTCAGCCTCCGATCTGCTGCTCTAGCAAAGTTAGCTGCGTTGGAAGAGCAGACATGTCCTCACCGCCAGAGAGCTTTCCAGACAACTCTGCAAACCGAGATGGGAACTTCCTGCCGACCAATCAGCTAGTCCTAGATGACCACCTCAATGTGCATTTCCCGTGGAAAACGAGCCATGTCTGAAGAGAAGAGATATTTTTATCAGCGACATAAAGTGAGAGGATATGATAATCTGGTTGCTGATGCAAACTGATATATTTGCTCCCGAATCTACTGCTCCTGGACCGCCGCGGTCTCCACTGCCTCAATGTGTATCTCCTTCGAAAAGACAGCTGCATCGGAAGAGCAGATATTGTCCTTCCAAGTCGATCTGCTTAAAAGGTCGAGGACGACAAATTGCACTTCACCAAGACAAAGGCAGGTCTGGATGTCAGCAATGGGGATGACCGACTGCAAAAATTCTTCCTGCGTGGTAACTTTCTTCCGGCCGGATTGAACGTCTTTGTGAATCCGACATCGGGGTAAGATGCAGACTGAGGCATTGGAGTCTAGCGCGAAAGCGGTCGTTAAAAGAGAAGGGTGGTAAACATGCCTCTGCTTTCTGAGCAGTATATTCTTCTCAAGTCAACGATGACCCGGAAGCATTGGAATGTCAGTAAGCCTAAGACTCTCTTGATTTCTGATGTAATAGAGCGTTAACATTGCAGGCCGAATGAGGGGGACGAGGTGCCAAATATACCAGCAGTACCTTTCAACTCCCTTGGGCTTGGATATATCTACCGCCATCACGGTGGAGGATCTAGTCCTGACTTTTTAGCCCTAACACGAGAGCTTCCACGGTGTGGCTCTGGTTTACCCCTTCCGCCTACTCAGCCTCGTGCGAGTGGAAACCCACGCAGAAGTGTAAGAGGTAGAAGGTTTCCCAAGTTCTGCAAAGGACGGGGCAAAAGCTTTCTTCTTGAGCAGAAATCTCCCACAAAAGCTTCACAATTCTAGGATTCGGCAGCTTAAGAGATTGAGATCTCGAGAATCATACATTTGCTCCATAACACACGAGGACGGGGAGTTTGTGTTCAGCGGGATTCAAGAGATTGACGAGGCAATACAGGGTGGCGGACGTTCACAGCAGCAACATGGCAGATCTGAGAAGAACGTCTCGGTCAGTCTTCACTTGAAAAGGGGCACAAGGGAATTTCAAGGTGACTTTTCTTCCTTGCTCCCCGTAAAGTCGGCAACCGCTGTACAAAAAGGACGACCAGGTAGGCCCTTCCCAGCTGTCAGGGCCTCTGAGCCATCCTCGTTAAGCTACGCGCACGTGGCAAAAGACGGTGGTGTCATTGCCCTGCTCGGCAAGGAAAAGGCGATGAGCCTGTAAAAATCACCGGCCAGAATGAAAAAGAACATTAGGAAGCTTGCAGCGAAGATGGGAATTCCAGATGAACATTCCGGGATAGTGTGATGATTTTCGACGAGGGTGGAAGAAATATTTCAACACATCACTGCGCAGAAAGCAGAAGCCTTGTCCCAAATCAAGAATGTCGGCCAGGAAAGTAAAACCAACAAACCGGTCTCCCACACAATCAAAGGCCTGTTTCGAAAAGTCTTGGGAGAAAATAGCACACCAAAATGACTCGATTTTTTCCACTTCGTCGTCAATCAATTCGACACGATCTAGGACGGCGGAGGAGAAGGTCCTTCCTGGGTGTCGTGTATCCGCATCTGGCGGTGTATGGCGTATCATTGGGTTTCGAGTGTTTATATCTCATATGCCGTTTCAAGGAACGTTCGCTCATGGGTTCGCTCATAGTGCAGCCCTCGACATTGCACTGGACTAGCTTATGGCTGTGGCTTTACATGTGTGACCTGGGTCGTGGCAACAGTAGCATTTTCAAGTGAGACTTGAGATTTTTCGAATTTTGAGAGACAAGAAACTTACTTGAACTGACGTCCCTTGGTCATGAAGCTTTGGCGGCACTGGAGACAACGGAACACTTTGGGCGGGTCTAATGGTAATCTCGAAGGCTCGAATTTAGTTTGAGGATGGAGCGTCGGAGTTTCTACCATTGTCGATTGGACAGGCGCAACAGGCGCCATTGGAAGAAAAGGTTGCTGCAGAAGCTGACGTCCAGGATAAGATGACAGCTCTGGCGTCATTGATAGGGGGAGGAGCCATTGCTGCCCTGCCGACAAGGCTCAGTTCGATTTCGGTGTCGAAGGGATTTGTGTATACTGGCGATGCATGCAAGACTTCGGAGTCGATAGTCTGAACAACTGCAAATCCCTCAGTCGAATTGCTTGTAAGGATAAGAGGTGTTGGAATGGACGGAATCGAGGAGGTGCCGGTGCTTTCTGGAGGGTTGGAAGCGAATTGATCGAAAGGGGCACTGTCAAATTCGTACGGAGAGAAAAAGCGAGCAACTATAGCAGCATCTTGGCCGAAGCTGGATTCAGCAAGCCAATGCCTCCAATGCTGGTCCACACGAACACCGCTTGGACTCGACGCTAGTTCTCCCGTGACGGGATAGTCATAGACAGACTGACCCGACGAGTTGAGGGTCTGTTCGTACCACTCTCCACTTGGAATGCCTCGTTCTAGGTCTGGAGAGCCGTGGGAGGACGCATCATGAGTTATGCGACGATCATATCAGTACCGTTGAATGGCGGGTGCGCGAAGACAAAAGGTCCCCGCGCCGCCTCGTCGCTCAAAGTGTTAGGGGTTGTTGGAGGTTGAGCTGGCACAGAGACAGGGAGAGGGAGCCCGAGAGTTAGCTGCGTGGTTTTCGAGATGACAAGAGAACTGGGGGCACTCAGTTACCTGTCAAAATGACAGCTGTTGATTGTTGAAGGATCAGCTGCGAAGTTCGAGGGGCGTGGATGGTTCCAAACACCACCACACCGGACGCTCCAGGAGCGAGGCAGGCGGTTTAAGCAGCAGCGGTAGCAGCAGTAGCAGCAGTAGCAGCTGCAGCCGACGAAGAAGAATAGCCTGTTCACCCTCATTTGCGATATGCCTGACTTATATGCCATCGGCACACTAAGGGCAGCCCCCCACCGGGCGTTACTAGTCAATGGATGCAATTGGTGGTTCCTTTTTTTTTTTAACTAGGGGGGAAACAAGGGTGGGACGTGGTAAAATGATACAGCTGTGCAGTGTAAGAACCTGGATGTAGCCTCTCTGTATCTCGTATTAATCGCGTCGCTTCGAGTCAAATCAAACGGCAATATCCAGCGGACGAAGAAAACGAATGGAAGAATTGACTGGCTGCGGTAGCAGTGCCTGTATCAATAAGAAATCGAGGACACATGTGTGTCTTTTCAGTCCATGTGCTAAAGAAGAGTAGAGTAATAGAGGAGAAGATATCTATTTACAACAAGTGACCTCTTGATCCAGGACGGTGAGGACGTATAGATTGTCAGATCAACTAACTAACGAACCTATCTAACCAGTCAGTCAAGTCAGTCAGTCGTCTGGCTCTCGGACTTTCCAGAAAGGTTTCTCTACGACCCTCGTCCTCGTTCTGTCCGTTTCCCGGTGATCCTCCTTTGCCTTCCTGGTCTTCGCGCCACCGCCCAGCACCTTCTGCCCTATCCTCCCCGTACCGGTATCAGGGTCGTGAATCGCGTCTTCGATTTCCTCCATTCCAACGGTCCGTGATCCGACATTCCCCCCTTGTAGGGTCGTCTTCGGTTCCCTCTGTTTCGCTGGGTCGAGACACCACACAACCACATCGCCCTGCCTCCTCCGGTCATCGTGCCAGTGAGAGTTGAATAGCCGTTTGCACTGGCCGTACCCGCTTCCTCGTAAGACCACTTGTAAGGTCGGTTCCAGTTGGGCGAAGAAAACGAGATAATCCGGCCACGGCTTTCGACCTTGACCGCTGCCGCCACGCCAGAATTGCTCCGCGCGTTCGCTTTCAAGGATGTCTCGGGGGATGGTGTCAATTTTCCCATGTTGACTGTGGGCGGCGAAGATTCCTGAGACCGAGCCAGCTGGTTGAGTGTTACCTTTGTGGTGTGGAGGATAGCGGGACATGTGTTTCTTTATCCAAATCGACGGGTTGGCGTAGAACTGGTCTGCCTCGTCTAGATAGCTGGATTTCTCGGTTGCATTTAGGTTGAGCGGTGGTTCGCATGTTAATGCCCAGGCTCGGATTCCCGGATGCGTCGAGGACGGGGGATATTGTAAATGAGAGCGCCAGGGGGTGGAGTGGCAGGGCATGAGCATGCCGACCGTCATGCTCAAGGGCATGGGAGAGTCGAGATAAACCATTTCGAATTCGTGGCGCAAATAATCGGTCAGGCCAATGATGCCGGAGTTGTGGATTTGTGTGGTGTAGAATGATATCGTGAAATTCAAGGACAAGATGAGGAAGAGTAACAGTCGTTTTGCAAGGTGTAACGATGGGGAACGACTTGTTAATGGGTGGAAGAAGGACGCTAGCGGCAGGGCGGTCAAAGTATGCAGAGCCGGCAATAAGGGATAGATGAAGCGCACCTCCTTATGTGCGATGACTGAGAAGGCCGCTGGGACGAGAAGACATGTGATGGATAAAGAATAGAGTGCATTGCGGCCTGCTGGAGGTGTTTGGGCAAAAGACGGATCTTTCGAGGAGCTCAAGACTCGAAACAATCCGATCATTGTAAACGGTAGCGCCGTCGTAAGGAGCAGAGGATACCCCTGAGAGACGTAGTAATGCCAATCGTTATTACCGTAGAATGTTGCCAACGATTGAACGACATTGATCCGGAGGAAATTCAAGGGTGGGAAGACCCATGCATCGTAGCATATCCGATCAAGTATGGCTGAAGAGAGTAAAATAATGCCCCCACAGAGAACTGTTTCGCGGAAGAACACAATACATTCCACCCAGTTGAGGCCTATCGAATTCCAGTCCCGAACGAATGTGAGAAATGTGAGGATCATCCAAATGAGAATATTCGTGGGCCGCAGGATTGTAGCCACTGCAGCACAGAGCAACGCTCTCCTGAGGCGTGTCACCTCGTCTGCAGAAGCTTTTTCGGTTGTAGAATTGTCTTGAGTGAGGATTCTCTTCTTCTCCTGCTTGGTTTTGAGTGCATCGTCGTTTCCATCGTGTGGCAGAGTCCGATTCCAGGGCCAATTATATAGCGCGATAATCGTCAAGGTCGTTTCCAGCGAATTTGAGAATGTTCGTGTCGAACAAAACCATTGCCACGGGCTAACGACAGTCAAGAGAAGAGTTGCCAGAGATGCCGTCGAGCCGTCTCCATAAACCGAGGATGCAAGTCTCCAGGTGTAGAAATCCGCCGTCGCGGCAAAGATGGCCTGCAAGGTCTTGGGAGCAGCAAGCAGGACCTCCGAGCGCATAGGGTTCTGCAGCATCAGGTGCTCGGCAACGGAGTCCGCTAGTTGGTAACAGAGTCCGAAGATTGCAGGGTGTATTGCAGATCGCAGATGGTTCTTCCACTCCTGTTGTCCTTCATGAGCTTCTTTCCTTCGCTGCTGTGTGCCGCGTTTCTGTTATCGCACCCATGTTATCCATGCTCCTGCGCCTTCTCCAAACGCCCACTGCCATGCTGGCTCCAACGCTTGAAAGTATTCATCTGGTTGAAAGAACGTCCTTGTCGTCAAAGCGTTGACCACCCGAAATCCAACTAGGAACAGGAAGACGTTATGGGGCGCAATAGAGAACGATTGTCGCGCCGTGGGAGGAGACGAAGTGTGTCTGCGACGGACGGCCACTGCATTTTCATCCTGTGGGCGCACAGCTTCGGCCGCCATTGACTCATCTAGAGGCATCGCTTTCCATGTGAGAATCTCGAAATGACAAAAGAGCCTTCGGAACAAATTGGCATCGGTCAGTTCAACTTGAAATGCGAAGCTGCAAGACGTCAAGAGACTTCTCCAAATTTCTCCAACTCAGCCTTGCGATCTCAGCCTCACGGTCGCAGCAGACTTTCAACACCTCTGAGTGGTGTGAAGGGGACCTCAACGCAGGAGCAAAAAAACAGGAAGAACAAGCAAAGAAATTTGTTGTTCTTATTCTTCTTAGAGTACTCTACCAGAAGCTCATGTACGTCCTACAAGCAACCTTTCTTCCTATGGCCGCTCCCAGATCCTTTCCTAAGATGATCCTTCATAGTGCAGACAAGCACTATACGCAGAGGCCAGAAGCCCTCCCCGCAAACCAGCTTTACTCAACGGTGACAGACTTCGCCAGATTACGCGGGAAATCGACGTTCAATCCCTCAGCAACGGCAAGCCAGTAGGCAATCAGCTGCAATGGAATGACGTTTAACAAGCCTTGCAAGCAGTCGACAGTCTTTGGCACCTCAATGCGCTCGGTCTTGGAAGGTGGGAATTCTGGATCGTCCTGGTTGCAAATGACAATAGGTCGACCGGCACGAGCAATCACTGACAAGTTGTTAGCTATGACCATAGGTGAGAAATGAAGGTAGTCCTTACCTTGCTGATAGGCGTTCAATGACTTGGGGAAGATGTCGTCTCTAGTAAGGATCATAATGATGGGCAAGTTTTCATCGACAAGCGCCAAAACACCATGCTTGAGCTCTCCAGACATAACGGCTTCACAGTGGAGATATGAAATTTCCTTGATTTTCAAAGCACCTTCCAAAGCGGTTGAATATTGACTGCCTCGGCCGAGCAGCAACAAAGATTTCTGGTTCTGTAGGAATTTGGCGCACATTTCCTTGATCGAGTCGTTGAGCTTGAGGATTTGCCGGAATTGCTCGCTGACCTTGGCCAGGCCGTCGATAATCTCGTGGCGGCGCTGAGCCTTGGAGGCACGGTCCTCGCTCAGGGACAAGGCAAACATGATCATGGCCACAAACTGGGAAGTGTAAGCCTTGGTCGAGGCGACGCCAATTTCAGGTCCGGCGTTGATGTGGACACCACAGTGGGTGAGCATCGAGATGGACGAGCCGACCACGTTGACAATTCCCACGGTAAGCGCACCACGCTCCAAACAGTATCGAAGAGCCATTAGCGAATCTGCAGTCTCTCCGGACTGTGACACGAACACGCAGGTATCGTCCCGGAAGACAGGTGCTTGTCTGTCGAGAAAGTCTGAAGCCAACTCGACCGAAATTGGGATCTCAGTAAGCTCCTCAAAGGCACCTCGGACAGCCATGCAGGAATGGTAGCTGGTGCCACAAGCGATGAAGATGAGTCTTCTGCATCTTCGGATGGTGCTCATGTATTGTCTGAGACCTCCCAAGGTGACAGTCTTGTTTGCAACATCCAAACGACCACGCATTGTGTTGACAACCGATTCGGGCTGCTCAAAGATTTCCTTTTGCATGAAGTGGTCGAATTTGCCCTTCATAATCTCTTGAAGCTCAAGCTCGATGGTCTGAATAGCACGCACATTGCTAGTACCGTCATCTTTGGTCAGTCTGTGAATGTTGAGTTGGCCATCGTGGATGTGGGCAATGTCGTCGTCCTCAAGATACAAAACTTTCTTGGTGTGCTCAACCAGGGCCGAAGCATCGGACGAGAGGAAGAATTCAGCAGGTTGAGGCATGCCGTCGTCCGACAAGAATGCTCTGGACTGCGACCGGTGGAGGAGAGACTTGTCAGGAGGGGCCAGCAGGCCACCGGGCGATAAAAGACCCGCGGTAGACTTCTTGACTGCAACATTGTGGTTTGCGATCTCAGCAGCCAAGGCACCACCATCTTCAGAGTACTCTACGTCCACAAAGTCGACCTTCATCTTCTTGGCCGTCTTGACTCCCACGACCAGAGGTGAGCCTTTCCGAGCCGCAATGCATTCGTGAGGGTAGTGGACGGATTTCATGAGCAGACCGAAGGCTCCCTGGAGCTCTTTGATAATGGCCTTGCCGAGAGTGGTGAAATCAATGTCAGGGTGCTGGTCATAGAGGTACTTGGCAAGCTTCGCAATGCACTCGGTGTCGGTATCGGTCTCGAATTTGAAGCCCTTGCCCTCGAGCAAGGCCTTCAGTTCCTTGTAGTTTGTGATGATACCATTGTGGACAACAGCAAATTCCCACTTGGGATCAGATCTGCGATTGGTTAAAGATGGATCGTTCCCGTGTGAGGTGGTTGCTGGACTAACCTGTGAGGATGGCAGTTGAGCCTGGAAGGCTGGCCGTGGGTAGCCCATCGAGTGTGAGCAATACCGCAGTGAGAGTCAAAGACTTTGGTCATATCGACGCCAGACTTCTCCACCATCTCTCGGAGCTTGGCCACCTTTCCCACCTCTTTGAATGCAAAGACCTCATTTTTCTTGTCGCCGTCGATAGCCAGACCGGCGGAGTCGTAGCCTCGGTATTCGAGACGGGCGAGACCTGAACAAGACCATGTTAGATGACTGAACTGAGTGACTGCTTGGGGCCTTGCAAGGCACGACATACCATTGAGCAAAGTGTCAAGAATGAATCTGCGGTCCTTCTCGACCAAGTAATTGATGTAGCCAAAGATGCCACTGATGCCATGTCAGCACTCACCCTCAACATTGCCCAATGGCAGGAGGGTATACGAACCACATGTTGACGACGATTCAGCGTATGTTTGAAGAGATTGGTTTCACCCGAGGCGAAAACAGAAGAGAGTGTCACAAAGCGCTGCCAGCCTTGGTTGTAGTAAGGTTGTGGTCCTGTCAAGGACAAAGGAAAGGATAGGCTTTTCTGAGGACAATAAAGGAGGGGCGGTCAAGGCAGGACTGCGAGCAACGATGGATCTGAGGCGAGCCGGAAGGGAGGGTTTTGAGGGTGAGGAAGAGCAAGAGACTGATAGAGAGAGAGAGAGAGAGATATGTAGGGATGGATCAGCTGGAAGGAAACAATCAGCAAAATAGTTGTAGCACCGTGGAATCGGTTGCTGACGTCCAAATCAGCGGTATCCAGGTCAGGGCTGAAATTCAAACCTCGACCGAACAAAGCTGCATGCAAGTCTCGGACACGGAACGCGCATCAGAGGCGCACCCCAGTGACCAGGGCGACAACAGCCAGCAGCAGCAGCTAAGCTCAACTCGGCTCGCTCGCCAGCCGCATGTGGCCCAGTAGCAGGCACCGAGCAAGTAGCACGAAGACGTAACACGCAGGGTCCTTTTGCCCCCTTAAGTAGCTACTACCTTTTGGCCTCCACTTGGTGGCTCAGTGGGGAGGTGGTAAGCTCGATCATGTGTACGAGGTAATTCGTAGTAGCTGTGGTGGCGGTTGGGGGGGGACCCTCATAGGTTGGTATACCTACCGAAGTACCTACCTACTACCTCGTACTGCCTAGGAAGGTATTGCCCACGAGGATTGCCCGCTGCCCTCTGTCTGCTGCCCACCGCCCATGCCCACCCACCATCACTGGCACGGCAACGCCCAAATATGCCCCTTGGCAGGAACAATTCGCTCGAGAAACAAGCAATCAAAGCACCCAGCGCATATTTCCTTGAGCGGGGCCCGTGCAGGCTGTGCAGAGCACACCTCTACCCAAGCTTTCAATAACCCATTCACTCCGCCATAAGTAGCTATCCAGATTCGACCATGCTTGTCCGTTGGTGGTGAAACACCGTCTGCTATAGCCTCAACCCCTCTTGCTGGTGCCACGGTCGCGGAGCATCTGCTTGGAAGCACCCGGGATCCCTCGTACTGCCACCACAGGTCCCGTCATATTTAGCTGCAAACCGGACATATCAATCAGCCTTCGCTAAGTCATCGTATTACTCTGGTCTGTAGTGTCTACGGAGAATTTTGCGTATAACCAAAGGCCTCGCTCTGCATGAGCCTAACTCGATTCTGCGAGCTGATATGGACCAAACAGGCTACCCTCCCAGGCGAGTTTATGCGAGGTTGCTCCCTCTTGAACAGCCTCGGAATAGCTCCACCAGTAGAGACTAGTCGGTGGCTGAAGTCCAAAAATATGGAGGTTCGTCAGCCTCTCCTAGCGTCAACTGCCATGTCACCGTCATCTTCGGGAGCCGCCATCGTCGCTTGCTGAGACAATCTGGCCCCCGAAGAATCTAGATCGGTTGCTTCCCTGCTTGAGGAACCGTGCCAGCTCCATGCGGCGAGTCGTTGCAGTCGCCTGTCATGGACGAAATAGGGGTTGACTATCATTTGGATGTTCTATTCGCTCTGCCCCCCTACTCCAAGAGGTGTCAATGCGTCTTCTATGATTGATAATATTCATTTTCATATCTCACAATTGGACAGCCCCGTTTGTCATCTGTGGTATCGAACTCATGGCTTTCATCAGTTGTGTAAACATGTCCTGTCGTCTGGGCTCTAAAGCGTCGAACGCTCGCTCTGCAGTGCCAATGGGCACCTGCTCCCGTCCACTAGCCAATCCAGCATATGCCTGCAACATTGCAGTCAGTCGCCGCCACCATTGACGACCTCTGGGAGCTGGAAACAAACCTTCTCCGCGAACTCGTCAAGGGGCATTCCAATCGATCTGCCGTTCTTGATATGCGGTTGGTGCTTTTCGTCATGGAGCTCCGTCTGCACCGCAGGTGGCATCAGTTCGACCACCTTGATGTTGGAGCCCTTCAATTGTTGGCGCAGGCAGAGGATAAATTGATGCAAGGCCGCCTTGGAAGCACAATAATTTGCACATATAGGCATTGGCACCAGAGCGAGTTGTGACGTGACAAATATCAAGGCACTCTCTGCATCCTTTTTCTGCAGATCTGGTAAGAAAGCCTTGGTCAGTGCGAGCTGAGAAAGGTAATTGGTGGTGAATTCGAGATTGAGGACATCCACATCGATGGAACCAGGGTTCCTAAAGTCCGACTTCCTCTGAATGCCCGAATTCAAAATGATACAGTCAACATCGGGGTGAGCGTGGGTGATGTTTGTGGCAAAGTTTGGGATGGATGCGAGATTGGTAATGTCGAAGGGCACGGCCTGGACCTTTTCGTGGCCATACTGCTGGACGAGCGCCTCGAGGTTCTCCTTGCGCCGGCCAACAGCGACCACAGAGGAGCCATCCTCGACTAGTCGTTTGGCCAGCGCCTCGCCAATGCCTATCCCGTTAGTGGTACTGCTTGGTGGAGTTCAAAATAACGAATCCTCATACCACTCGTCGCTCCGACGACGACCACTTTCTTGTACGGGAACGGCATGTTGGTCGGTCCAGAGAATGACGGCGGTTGAGCAAGGGCAATCCGCAGAATGAAAGACTGGAGATGTGCTTCTTGCTACTGATCCTGCCCTTTTGAACAGCAGTGGTCCGCGTGCGCTGGGTATGTAAGTACCCAGATGGACAAACTTTGTGCTTGAGAGAGATACGTACGTACCTACAGGAGCAGCTTGAAGCTTGACACGGCGACGTCGACCAATTGAAATCTTCCAGGCAAAATCAAATGATATCGTCAACTCAAGTGCCGAAGCCACTTAGGTCGTGGAGATGGATTCATAGCGCACACTGCGTCGCTCCAAACGATGAAACCAGTACTCTGACGCCCTCATCTCGTGAATGGAGGTTTAGACCTTGAGCTCATCCTTGTCAATGTCGGGATGATTCATTCTGAATTCCGTTCGTCACATTCCCGGACATTCGACTTGTCCAATGGCGAATCCGCAACCCATATGCCAACGGCCGTAATATCTCGGTCGGCGTCGGATTGAGCCAGCTTCGCCATAGACGCGACGGATGAGATTGCTTCTATACAGGCTCCACGGTTTGAGTCTGGGCCATGAAAAGGCATTGCAGTGGCTAACCTGGACTGAAGAGCGTCCAGCATGCTCCTTCGCTCGGAGTGCATTTGCTAGTCGCAGCGGTGGTATGTTCGAAACAATCCTTTGTCGTGCTTGTCTTCCATAGTCGCCATCGCAAAGCTAGATACCTATATGTCGGTGCATTTAGGCCGACCTGGAACATAATGCTTAGCTGTTCTGATGCCCAGATTCCCTGGTAAAAGGCTCATCGACGTGATCTCCTTGAGGCCAACTGCGCAAAACGGAACATCCTCACGGACGCTCAAGATAGGTCCCCGCCGTTGTCGACAGTTTTGTTGGGTCGGCCCAGTAGCCATGCGGCTCCGGAGTTGAGTTCGAACATGGCGTTTTGGGATTTGGATGCCATGACATTGTGGCTGTCTCTTCTGATCAAAGTAAAGATTTTAACAAGCAGTCATCCGTACTCGTAGAATAGGGCTGCGAAGTGCGGTCCTACTAGCACCGCCCTAGTCGGTTAGTGGTGTGCCATGGGTGTGCTAATGACATGGAGACCCCACAACTTCGCTAATATTAATCTCCAATGAATACTGCATACGAAGCGAAGGTTTAATCATAGGTCAATTAAAAATTACGTAGCTAGATAGCATGCCATCGCTATGTGTTAACTATTCTAAGAGTATACTGAGTTGAATGACGGAGGTCACCACCTTTCAGGGTACAGTCGATCGCCTAACTGAGAGATAGTGAAGGAGCAACTGGTGTCAACAAAAAGGGAAAGACGTGCGGACGTCAAAGCGTCGCGGAAAGGACCGACTAGGTCACTGCAGGAGTCAACGACAAAGAAGGATGGAAGTAAATTAATGAGGAAGGGCTGCATTCAGTGAAATATCGACATTGAATCTGTGTACAGAGAGGTATCTCCTCTCAATCAAAAGCCATCGCTCAGCCATGTCAATGCAGCAATCTTCCACCAGGCGGAAGACGAATCGTTATGCACTTTCCCTTTCCCCCGCCTCCGACAACCATATGATGGGAGATTCAGTGAGCCGTTCCTTCGTAGCAAGACTGTCGCTGCATCGTACATTTGCCATCGCATAATCAGGGGTATCGGATTGGAAGAGGCTGTCGACGTGGTCAATTAGTGGGCGCCGGTGAGAATGACTGAAGATAACATACCTGTCCATTAACGACTCCAAGCGTCTTGCTCGTCTCGGGATTCCCCTTGGATAATTTCTGGACCGAGGTTGGCCCATTAATTTCGCGGTCGAGATTCATATACTCCTTGGCAGCATCTTTGGTGCCTCTCTCAAGCAGGTACTTCATGTAAGTGGTGACCAGCTCTTGAACGGTGGGCTCTGGGAGAACGCTCTTGCCGAGGATCTCGTCCACGACCCGTCGGATCTGATCGTAGTGCTGTTGTTCCGTCTCACTACTTGTGGGTTGATCAATTTCAAACCGAAGGTAGCTGGTCCAGAAAGCGGGGCTCTCGAGGTACCAATGTTGGTTTTTCTGGAAAACCTGGCGAGCTTCTTCCGGCGAGCCCTTGACCTTCCAAAGGAGTTTCGCCCATTCCGCCACGAGAGCAGCTTTGGCTGCAGAATCAATGCTTGGAGACTCGAGGTGACTTTGGTACACAGCGACAGCAGCCTCCAAGCCTGAATGGCGACGATTTATGTTCGCCAGCGAGACAATTGTCTCGACGTGACCAGGTAATTGGATAAGGATGGCGTCGTGTATATCCTTTGCCACATCGACTCGACCGGTCATTTCTTCGAAATATGCGTACTGAAGTCTGGTTGTCGGTAGAGCAATTGGGACATAAAAGCAAGATGCTCTTTGATAGATATTTCGAACTTCCTCTTCCTTGCCCTGCTGGGCTAGCATCCACCTGGCGTATCTCAACCAGAATTCATCATGCTGAGCACAAGTGACCAGGCAACGTTCATATAAAAATTGGATGCGGGTGTAGTCACCTTCTGACTCCTCAAAGTCGAGATATTTGCGCCAATTTGTCAGTTGGGCTTCGTCTAGATCTGTCACGTGGAAATACGGTCGTTTGATTTCAGACTCGTAGGTCCATCGCTTTGTAGTCTCGGTCTGTGTCCGCCTGAAGACCTCGAGGTGGTAATTGTCAATCCGGGTTCGCAACTCTCGTTCCACTTCTGCCTGGCTTCGGCCGGCTTTATAACCGGTGCCTTCGTTCTCAATGTCCATCTGCAGCTGAGTGAGAGTACCCGGAGGTGCGATAGCGGTAAGCGGGCGTGACTGTGCCATCTGCCGGTATTTCTCGAAGTATCTCGCATATTGATGCATGGGTATGTGGATGATCCTGCCCAGGATGGCAAAGATTCGGTCGTATGCTTCCATGCGCTCTTCAAATTCGATGTACTTATCCCAGAAGGGATGAGCGAGAAAGTCGAGGCCGACACAAACTGCTCCTCTCTCAAAAAGCCTGGTCATCAGCTGGTTAGCCTCACTGTAGGATACCTTTGCGAGGGACCCGGAGAAGAGGGGGGAGGAAGCAAACATGGAGGATGGGGAATGTACGCGTGATAATAGTCCTTCAATTGCTTTTGCAACAAGTTGAAATAGTCCTGCAGAAAGGGTGGACGGGCAAAGGCCGAATTCTCGGGCAAATCAAATCAAAGCACCTGACTGGTGATGAGTGAGAAGCAAGCTCGGAAGGGGAAGGACAGCGACGATGAGCTCACCAAAGCTGCGGTGGCCATCATCATCAATTTCATCGCCAGCTCCTTCTGCTAATGAAGTTGTGTCATGCTATGTTTAGGTTCTCGACAAGAGGGAATACATGTTTCATACTTACTCTCGAATGCCATCGGAATCGTGGCTTGTCTCGGTCTTGAATGAGCAGTAGTTTGTCCACAGATCCACCGAGTTGGTGATGCTGGCGATTCCGCGTTCGTAGACCTGTCCGACTTTTAAGCACGCGAGTCTCTCTTCTTGTTCGCAATGGGGTTCCTAACCATGTCGGCGGCCTCGGTTCCGGCTATCGAGAACTCGAGGTCGGCATACTTTTTCCAGTAACCGAAGAAAAGAGGGAATTTTAAGAGGAAGCGGTCATAGACGCTGCGGACGGCTGTGATTGCTTGCGAACTCGAGTTTCTATTGATTCCGCCCTCTAGGGCCTCGGCGGCGCGTACGAGCTTCTCCCAGCTCTCGAAGTTGTCCGAGTCGTCGTTCTGCAAGCTAAACGTAAGTCAAGGAGCATGGCCATGTCTCATAGATATCACATACCACCTCGGCCAAGAGCTTCCGCAACTCGGCGCTCTCTTCATCGTTTCCGCCGTAGGCGTCCATTTGGACTCAGCCTGGTCGAGCGCAAGATGGACGTTTCGGACGGTGTAGGCAATGATGAATGAGTTAATAGTGAATCCAGGGATATCTCTTAGGAGGAAGGATTCAGTAGACGGTATTCCGCAAACATGTGATAGCGATATGGAGTGGGAGGGCTGAAGACGCATGTGAGGTGGGAAAAAAATGGCGAGAGGCTGAAGCAGCAGAAGCGGCTCCCGTCCGCCAAGCCTGCGGAGATTGTCGAGAAATCGTGCTCCAACAACTTTTTCCAACCTGGTGAATGTTTGGATGCTCCAAAGTCACCAATATACCCTCTTCACCAGTTAGGTACGATCGAACAGGTGACCAGCACACCCCCGTTCCCTTCTCCCAGAAACGGCGAAACAAAGCCCTCTTGTCTCAGTCTCTCCGACCTCGACATCCTTTGACATTGACCCCCCCGTTATCCTGGCCATGGCGGAGCTCAATGCTCTGCCACTCCGGCTGAGGAACTTCTTCGCGCGGTATCCCCCTCAGCTCTATTCGGCAAAATTCACGGGCGTCACCATACCGCTGACGCGGAGAGAAGCAAAAGAGGCCGCCATCGCACGAGCCGCCGAGCTACAGAACCAAGCATCTTCTTCACAACCACCTTCGCGGCCGGTCGCGAGCATCCTTGCACAGCCTATATCGGTATCAACAACAGCGTCCTCTTCACCGTCGGAAACATCAACAGCGGTGGCACCCGAGGAAGCAGCACCTCCAACACCCACACCCGTATCGGCGTCCAGTATGCTGCAGAAATTCCCGCCAAACCCCTTCCTCCCACGCAAAAACTTCGTGACCGGTCGCTGGGCCGGTCCCAAGATCGGTCTACGCCGGCAAGCAGACCTCGTGAGACTCGCAAAGCAGTTCGATATCGAAGAACTCCTCCCACCCGGGCGGAAATCCTCCGCGTTCAAGGAGACACGGTTGCTGCAGAGGGGGTTGAGGATTAGAGGGACGGGCGAGGGACAGAAGGTCAAGGGCCACAAGTGGGAGAGACAAATGGGCGCGACGCTGGAGAAGAGGAGGAAGGCGATGGAAAGCATGCCCGAGTTGATAAGGGAGTGGAAGCAAAAAGGCCATGGGCGAGGTTGGAAGAAGTATCCAAAATGAAACGCTGTCGGTCGGAGCGCCCTGCTCTCCTCGTTGTGTTTGTTTGCATTCGAACAGGGGTGCTATATCCGTCCAAGGCGAGAAACTGGGACCTTCCTCTACGAGGGTTAAGGTCCCAAAGTGCTACACTTACGGTCAACTAAGGGAGGTTACCCAATCGCCCCCTCAAAACTATTTTCATGCCATCGAGCGAATATCTTCCCCACTGGATCATACAATCACGGCCTCAGATGGAAACTTCAGCACCAGGTGCACAGGATGGAGAACATCTTATCGTCCAAAAAGCCCACGATTGCATTTTTGTTCGCCCAAAATACCGGATGACTTCTTTTGTATATATCAAATTTCTCCCGTCATATGCAGTTGACCTCGTGGTGGAAACACTGATGGGTTGTCCTGTGGACCTGTAAAACTAGCTCACCATAAAACTCGAGACCCAAAACTTCCATGTATATCTTGATAGATGCCATACGCATCTGGACATACGCCATGCAAGATTCTCGTTTTCCATCCCGTGACCTTTGTGCGCTGCTTCTTCATTACACGTCCCTCACTCTAATCACAACCACTCAAACCCAGACCGGTAAGCCTCAAGGTTGCGCTCTCCATGTACCAAGACCCCGGCAACTCTGACGAGGACTTCCAGTTTTCATACGCTCGAATTCTTTTCCTCCCCTGGGTGTCCTCTTGCATCGTGTTGACCGGCGTAGCTGCCAGCAGTAGCGTCGGCATAGTTACTACCGCGGCTCTGCAACCGCTTGACTAGTCGTTCAAAGCAAGAAGATTGTTTCGACGTCTGCCGCGGTCGCATATCAGCGGGGTCTTCTGCATTCTTGCCACTCTCCACATCTGCAGCTGAGGAGGTCGAGTCCTGCGAACGCACACACGTCTCTGGTCTCCAGAAAAGAGGAGTCGATTTTGGAATCTGTGGTAGCGACGAACTCGTCGATGATGTATCTGATTGAGTCAGACTGTGGCGAGACTTATTAGCAGATCTCGCCTTCGGTCTGGACGTGTGTTTGATGCCGACGTTACGCAGCTCCTTCTCGAATTCATCTGCCCAACTGAATTGACGGCGCCAAATATTCCGGGAGGGCAAGTCCTGAAGTGGCAGATTTAGATTGGCATGGTACCGCTGAGCTTGTGGGAAAGTCAGGAGAGAAGTGCTGTGTGTGAGTTTTCGAGGCCGCATCTCGTCGTTGAAACCTGGGAAACAGCTGGAGGTGGTATTGCCGTTGCCTCCGCTCGGGTCACGGATGTTCCCTCTAAGCCGTGGTGAGGCGGTGGCGATGGTTAGACGCGAACCGTAGTGACCGTCTGTTTGCTCTTCTTCGACGGGGCTGAGTTGTTGTAACTCCCCCATTACTCGCTCTTCTCCTCGTACATGTGACACATCATGTCGCGTTGATCGTCTTGTCGTTGACGGTAGGCGAGAAACACTTGATGGAGGTTGCGATTTATGGGAAGGGTCGGTCTTGGGCTCTTGCTCTGGTCGTAGCTTGTATATGTCAATGAAGGCTTCGAGTTCATCGTTGTCTAGCCCAAGAGGCATGGTGGTAGATCTTGCTGGAAGTAAATAGACTGAGAAGAAGCCGGTCTTGCTTTGCCGTGCGAAAATGTATATCTTTTGGAAGGCGCTTCCCTTTATTGACGTCTGGTCTGGGGATGATCATGCGGAGGAGGGCTTGGGGCCGAAAAGCGGTGGGCTATTTATGTAGCACGCCGTCTGAGCTGAGATGCAGATCACGGGTTTTGCGTTTCTCGGTAATATGTCGTGAGGCATCTGAACCCGTTTGGCTCAGTCTTGGGAGGGCGTTGCGACTGGGTACCATAATTTCATAAAGTTCATGAGGAACCTTAGGCTCGAGACATGGACTTAGGCAGCCAGTGACGAAATGACCCTAGACTAAGATTTTGCAATCTCTCTTCTTTACCAAGGTGAACCAAAGGCATAGTTGTAACACAGTTCCGACCATCATGACAAGGCCGCTGAAGAGTTGCAGTCCGACATAATGCCGCCCATCGTCACCAACCAGGGCACCGGCGATCGGACTACCGATGAGAGAAGCGGTAGCGCCGATCGCTTGAGCCATACCAAGCCGGGCCCCCAGTACCTTCGGGTCAGGACAGACAACGGGGAATATGCTGGGCGGAAGTGGAATGAGAGCGCCGCTGAAGAAGCCTGTACGCTATTTGTTACCACGACAGTGGGAATAATGGTTGGAATGTTGGGATGTCTCACCATAAAGGGCGGCAAAAGCGCAGAAGGAAGCTATGCTGTTAATGCCTATCCAGGCCAGGCAAAGAATGGCGGAGACGAAGCCACATGTCAACCAGGGGATCATCACACCTATGTGCAGTGCAACGGTCGAGGCTATCATTCGGCCCACCACCGAAGATCCCTGCGCAATTACGACCGAATAAAGCGCTAGAGCTCGCGATGTGCCCAGTGCAAGCTGTGCGTAACTAGGTATGTAGAAAAAAGGAACGAGGTAGCCGGTAAACAACTGCGACAGTCAGCTTTGTGAACTGACATGGTTTTTTGGGCGGCCCAACGACTCACGAAGAAGTTGGTCCAGGTATAACACCAGAATCCGAGATCCTTAAGAGCTGCTCTGTCGAAGAGCTTTCGCGCAGTGCCCGAGCTGATGTCGCCGATATTGGTGGCGCCCCAAAGCAACAGGGGGAATGCAAGGAGAAACGAGGCAAGCATGATGAAACCCATGACCCTGACAGTCCAAGCAAAACCCAAGGGGTCGATCAGCTGCTGGAAAACAATGGTATAAATGATACCACCTTTTTTTTTACGGTAAGCACGAATCCTTTTTGACAAGAATCAGAGCTTCCACCTACCAAATGGTGCGCCGCAACTAACGAGGCCCAGTGCAATTGCCCTTCGCGCTTTGAATGAACGGCTGACAAGTGCCATCCCTGGGATAAAAAGCACGCCACAGCCCAAGCCGGTGCAGATACCCTGGGTTAATATGATCTGGTAATATTGGCTCGACAAACTTAACATGAAAATTCCAAAGCATGACATCGTCGCACCACCAAAGAGCATAATGCGATAATGACCGAGGTCAAACAATGGCCCAGAAATGACGCCCATGACGATCAACAGGTAGGATGCAAGAGTTCCAATCCAGGATATGTCGGATGGAGAGCTGCTTTTCAAGAAGCCCGTCTCGTAATAGTTTTGAAAGAGGCCGAATGCAAAGGTGAACCCCCTGGAGACCAACTGCAATTAGCAATTTGGTTTCCCACGAAGAATAGGAGCACCGTACCAGACATTGAAGAAGACAAGGAAACACCCAATGACCTGGAGCCATGCCCGGAAACCCCCATCTGTGAGGGTTATTGGTGGTATAGAAACGATGGTTGTCTGTTCGATCTCGATTTCTTTGCTCGTGGGAGCGTCAATGGGTATGGCATGGCCACCAGTTTTGGAAATAGCATGCCGAGGGTCTGACATGACGATCGGTGTATGTGCAAACAGATGGAGATATTGGTTTGCCTCTCCTCCTCCGTCAAACCGTCGAGAATTGGGTCAGAAGCAGCAAGACAGTCATTGACTACAAAGACCCATGACCAACGCAATACCGATCAATAGCACACCACGATGCTCTGTCTTTCTAGGGCGCACGATGAGACGGGGAAAAGAAGTAGAAAGTGAAGTTCCAAGACAACTGGGGTACTGCAAAGGTACCGTCTAGGGAACGGCAGGACATGGAGCATTTGTAAGAAGCGGTTGCTAGCGTGTAGGAAACATGGCTAAATCCGCAAATGGCGTCGTCTCTGATCCCCATGGGAATCCAAGGTTCCATTTGCCAGCGAGATTGCATTGCATGTACCGAGGCTAGCAGCCGCTTCTGCTGGTCCAAGATCCGACGGCACAATGGCGGAATTCTGGCATAACCACCCATCACCAAGGGCGTCGACAGCAGAGCGGCCCACCCCAGTTGCCCTCTTTGTCCATAGTTGACATAGACGCGTAAATTGCTATAGATATTTAGGTGGCACCAGCTGCAGGACACGCTTCGACGTTGAAACCGCGTGAATATCTCGCCGTCGCCATTGTCCTCGAACTGCTAGTTGTAGTTTGTGCGGAATGCTGCCATTTTAGTTTGATTGCCGTCGTCGATCGGAGCTTTTGAAGGCGCAAGATTCTCGATGCGGGGAAAGCGCCAAAAGGACAAGCCAAGGACAGCACAAGCCGGGGCGCCAGGGAATTCTGGTTAGAGCAACGTGCGCCGAAGTCCGCCTCTTCCAGGTGGTACAAGTGGTCTCTTCAACTATTGGAGAGCAAGACTATGAAGCCGGGCTCTTGAGGGTTGGTGTTGGTCGTGCTAGTGTGTGTCAACTCACCAACTCCCATGGAGAGGTCCAGGAGGATATGAAGGTACGACAGAGTAGGCCAAGTAATACATAGGATGAGTCGGTTGAACTGATTGAACATTACAAGTTCGAACATTGCAGGGGCCAGCGGGGGCGAAAAGGTGGCGGCAAGATGTGAGAGACGGATATTAAACCGATAATCTGCCGACAATGTCCCTAAAGTCGTTGCTAGTCCTTCCAGCTTCGCGTGTCCTGCTCGTCTTTGCCTCAAGTATCAATAACTACCTCGTACAGGTCCGTCCTTTTTACTCTAACTACGCCCTTCTCAGATCAATTAATCACAAACGGGCAAGGTATGCCAGGGGCAGCATACCATGCCCTGATCCGAACCCACCACATTACCTCCAGGAAGAAGATTGCCCGGCTCAAAGCTGCTGCAAAACAGTACCAATGCTACGCCCTGCTTCGGTCAGGGGGCATTCCTGGCGTCATGTATGTTCGTGGCAGCGAGCGATCGAATGTCCAGAAATGGGTTGATACGGTCCATGACCTGAGATATAAAGACTACCAACTAGCAGCGCCTGTTCATGCTGCTTTATCCGAGTTTCAGGGGGGTGGTCTCCCGCAAGACGATACAAAAGTGGGTTATCTCGAAGAAGTTGCGACGGTCAAGGAAATGGCCACCCATATGGAGGCGAGGGGGCTTCAGAGTTGGTGGCGCATCGCCATGGGCTTCATACAGGAATAGAAACCGAAGCCATCTATTGCAGGCTGCGGTAAGCCTTGACTCCACCCCTGACGGTCGTCTCGCTATGCAATGCACGGAATCCCAGCCACCCAATGATATCTTACAATTTCTGGTATTCCAACTTGCCCTCAAGTTTCTTCGCCTCCGCCACTTTCCTCACCGCCTTGTTGAAGTCGTCCTGGTTGACCGCATCTCTGTAATCCTTGATGGCGAACAAGCCGGCTTCGGTGACGACGTTTCGCAAGTCGGCGCCGTTGAGACCGTCGCTCATCTTGACCACACTTTCAAAGTCAATGTTGCCTTCGGTCACCACTCCGGCAGCATGGATCTTCAGAATCTCCAAACGGCCAACCTCATTAGGCAGCGGAATCTCAATCTTTCGGTCCAGTCTACCTGCTCGCAACAATGCAGGATCCAGGGTGTCGGGTCGGTTGGTGGCCATGATGATCTTGGTCTTTCCTAGGTAGTCGAAACCATCGAGCTGGTTCAGAAGCTCCATCAACGTCCTCTGAATTTCTCGGTCGGCAGAAGTTCCTTCGCTGAAACGTCTCCCGCCAATAGCATCGATTTCGTCCATGAAGATGATACAAGGCTCATGTTCTTTCGCGTAGCCGAACATCTCGCGGATCAGCCTCGCCGACTCGCCGATGTATTTGTCAACAATCGCAGACGACACAACTGGAATGAAGTCAGCATCGATCCCGGGAGCCACTGACGATCGGGGAACTCACCTTTCAAGAAATTTGTGTCTAGACTGCTCGCCACTGCTCTTGCCAACAACGTCTTCCCCGTTCCCGGAGGCCCATAGAGCAACACGCCTTTGGGAGGCTTGATACCAACTCGGAGAAACAACTCGGGATTCTTGAGAGGCAGCTCGATTACCTCCCGCAGTTCTCGGATTTGATCGTTCAACCCACCAATTCCGGCGAAGGAGACTTGACCAGGATCTTCTAAAGACATGTTATAGACCAAGGGGTCGACTTCTCTTGGAAGCATTCTCATGATAGTCAGAGTGGTCATGTCGAGCGCCACTCGCGTGCCTTGTTTCAGTTTGGACTTGTCGACTTTGGATCGGCAGCCGACGACGTATCTTGGGCCGGAGGATGCCTTGACAATGACTAGACTATGTTAACAGTGTTCCAAAATGAGATAGATCCGGCAAACATACATCGCTCCTCGTCAAGCTGCTTCAGAACTTCACCGATGATTTGTCCGACGCTCTGTAATGCCTTGATGTTCTCCTCTGTTGTTTCAAACTCTTTTTGGAGGCCTTTGATGTCCATTCGAAGGGCTTTTAACTTGGCCTCCCATTCTCTGGAATCTAGTAATTTCTGTTTATAGAGTTCAAGGGCCAGCTGCCGCTCTGGATCACCGCTTCCATCCATGTTGGCTGGTTGGAAGAATTTGAGATGAGATACTCGGCGGTTGCGAATCTGTTGGGAGTAATCGTGTGTGAGCTCGATGTTAGAGGAGTGAGAGCGTGGTAATCCGTGTCTCAAAGACTGGAGATGTTGTTGCCGATTGTCGAGATGATTTCGGGATCAGTAATTGTCTGAGAGTTCCAGAAACTGTGAAGCTTGCGCGCTGCAGGTACCAATAGCACTACGCGGCAAGGGCGCAGGCAGGGCTGGGCAAAGGCGGGAAGGTCTTCCGATCAAAATCACGTGTAAATGGCAGAGCGGCAAGTCGGGCTCGGCGGGCACCAAAGGAGTAACGTAATAATCCAAGCCCGACGATGGTGACGATAGGCCCTGGGGCGGGCCACTAGGCTGGCGAGCTGGGTAGCGGGCAGGGCGGGTTGGGCGCGGGAGGACCCCTGGCCTATCCGCAATCGGTGGCCATCGATGAGCACTTGGTTAAACCACAGCTTTGGAGGGGCTCAATCAGGTTCCCCCGCTCTGCATCGCTGCTGAAGAAGAAATGCTGAGTTGAAGTTTTGTAGCGATCAGCATCCTCAATCGCTCCTGCCCATACCCCACCGAAAAACAATAAAAAGTTTCACTGCTCTTGATATCTTTCGCTTTGTCCTTTCGCATCATCCTCTTCTCTTCTGTCACTCCGTTGCAAGAGGAACTTGTACTCCTCCTTCCCCTTCAGGTTCATCACTAAGCAGTCGTTTACTGACTCAACACTTCCATCACACCACTGAAAACACCAAGTAAGTACCTTGCTCGAGCTCTCCTCAGCCCTCTTCATGAAGCTCCCCAGTCCACTTCGCTGTCGCCATCAATAGCTCCCTTTACTCCCTGACTTTACTTCAGCGGCTCTTGGCCCTTGGTTCTCAACTCATCTTTGCCATTGTTCCGATATCTTCCATTCACTGACCCACCAACAGCCATGCCTATCGTCAAGGTGCACGCCCGCTCCGTCTACGACTCCCGGGGTAACCCGACAGTCGAGGTTGACGTCGTGACTGAGACCGGCCTGCACCGCGCTATTGTTCCTTCTGGCGCCTCCACCGGCCAGCACGAAGCCTGCGAGCTCCGAGATGGTGACAAGACACATTGGGGAGGGAAGGGTGTCCTGAAGGCTGTCAACAACGTGAACACCATCATCGGACCAAAGTTGATTGAGAAGAACATCGATTGCACAGATCAGTCCTCTGTCGACAAGTTCCTTATCGAGCTTGATGGAACAGAAAACAAGACCAACCTCGGTGCCAATGCTATTCTGGGCGTCAGTCTTGCGGTGGCCAAAGCTGGAGCTGCTCAGAAAGGTGTCCCTCTCTACGCACATGTCTCCGACCTGGCAGGCACAAAGAAGCCATACGTGCTCCCCGTCCCGTTCATGAACGTCCTCAATGGAGGTTCGCATGCCGGTGGTCGTCTCGCCTTCCAAGAATTCATGATTGTCCCCGAGTATGTGGCCCAGAGGTAAAACACTTCGAGCTGAGCTAATAACACACACAGCCAAGCCCCGTCGTTCAGTGAAGGTCTCCGATGGGGTGCTGAAGTCTACCAGAAGCTGAAGGCGCTGGCAAAGAAGAAGTACGGCCAATCCGCCGGCAATGTCGGTGACGAGGGTGGTGTTGCTCCAGATATTCAAACCGCCGAAGAGGCCTTGGACCTGATCTCTGCAGCAATTGAGGAAGCTGGTTACAAGGGCAAGATGAACATCGCCATGGATGTCGCCTCCAGCGAGTTCTACAAGGAGAAGGAGAACAAGTACGATCTCGACTTCAAGAACCCCGACAGCGACCCAAGCAAGTGGATCACCTATGAGCAACTGGCCGACATGTACAAGTCTCTAGCGAGCAAGTATCCAATTGTCTCAATCGAGGATCCCTTTGCTGAGGACGATTGGGAGGCATGGAGCTACTTCTTCAAGACGTCCAACTTCCAGATTGTCGGGTAAGTCCTCGCGTCTGATGGCAGAGAGTGCCACGATTGCTGAACAGACTTAGTGACGACTTGACCGTGACGAATCCCAAGCGCATTAAGAGAGCCATTGAGTCAAAAGCTTGCAATGCTCTATTGCTGAAGGTCAACCAAATTGGCACGCTTACCGAATCCATCCAAGCCGCTAAAGACTCCTATGCAGCTGGTTGGGGAGTGATGGTTTCTCACCGTTCTGGGGAGACTGAGGACGTTACCATTGCTGACATAGTGGTCGGCATTCGAGCTGGTGAGATCAAGACTGGCGCGCCAGCACGATCTGAACGCCTTGCCAAACTCAATCAGATCTTGCGCATCGAGGAGGAGTTGGGATCCAACGCTATCTACGCTGGCACCAACTTCCGCAAGTCTGTCACCTTGTGAGCGGTAGGATTCCCAGGACCATGAAATATCAAGCCACGGAGGAAGGGGCAGGGGAAAACGAGAACGTCAGACATCCACACTTCGGGTAGCCTGAGGCAGGGTTATGCGTGTTTGATGCACTTTGCAGGAATAAAGAACGAAATTATTTTCACTCCTCGTATAAGTCAGACAGAGGCGGTTTCCACTACAGTAGAGCCGCGTGTACGGGTAGGGATGGTGATGTAATTGGCATGGTTCAGCCCTGTCAGCCGTGACTGGAGACATTCCCACCGATCACATGCCACTCTAAATTGCCCGGCACTAGCCAGCCCTTTCGGTAGAGTTACCCAAAATGCTCTCACAGGTCACGTGTATATCCTACTCCAGTATAGAAGTCTTGGCATTTTTGTCGTCTGCAACCCGAATTTTGTTGGATCGCCTTTTTGTCGTCACAGCTTGAGAATCGAATCCTCATATCCTATTCAAGTTACCGTACTCTCCTCTGCTTTGCGGGGACCCAACTCATCGCCCATATCGCGACTATTGCCTTTGGCGCGCAACAAATTGATCAATAACAAGGCGAAAACCCTAGACCTTTTTCGCTCAACCGCACTATGCCTCCTTCAAAGTGGGGTGAGTCGCATTCTTACAAGTCGTGGGGAGGGAAATTTACTTTCTCTTCCCCTATCTCTGAATACCGAGAACATCTTGTTAATACTGCTATCTGGACAGATGATGAGTCTGAAGAATCTTCTGAGGAAGAGTCGGTAGACGTTCCCGTTGCCCGACGCAAGTTTGCCGACGAAGAAGATTCTGATGAAGTACGTTGGGCTGCTACTCGGACCAATTAACAGAAAGGCTGATGAATACCAGGTTGCTGAGAACTGGGAGGAGGAGGAAGACTCTGAAGCGGAGCGAGAGAAAGCTACCAAAGCGGCCGCAGCCAAAGCCAAAGCTGACGCAGAATCCGCAGCCACGAAGAAGACCAAGTCTCAGCGGATAGAAGAACACCGGGATGCAAACCGACGGAAACGGGCTGAAGAAGAAGAGGACGAGGAAGAGAGTTCAGAAGAAGATGAAACAACTAGACGTGCAAGACTACGGAAGTCAGAACAGGACTCCGACCTCAAACACGCACAAGATCTGTTTGCCGATGCGGCGCTGGAACCCAAGTCGCGTGCTGCGCCGAACAAGGCGGTGATAATAGAAGACAAAGCAAATCCGGGTCAGACGATCGATTTGTCACAACTGCCTCTGTTCAAGCCTGCCACCAAGTCACAGTTCGACGCCCTTTCGACAACTCTGGTACCTCTACTGACGGCCGCTTCTTTAAAACCGCACTTTGCCATATGGCTGCCAACCTTCGTGAAGCAAATATGCGCCGACCTACCCAGTGCAGAGATTAAAAAGGCGGCGAGTGCCCTGACGGCTCTGAGTAACGAGAAGATGAAGGAGGAGAAGGCGCAAGAGAAGGGTGGCAAAAGGTCCAAGGCAGCAAAGACCAAATCGACTCTTGCAGCAACCCGGGACATGGGCAGAGGGATAGCGGACGTGACTAGCTACGATGATGGCCTTGGGGACGATGACTTTATGTGATTGACTTCTTGATGCATTCCTTTTTTCTGTTCTTAACCTCTTTTCGGGACATCGCATAAGACGTGCGAAGTCAAGCCACATCGTTTATGAGAAATGAAAAGGATGCGCGAGAGACAGGCGGCCTTAGATTATGAATTTATCAGAGTTTTCTTGATACAAATGACAGCATCATTATGGCACATTTATAAGTATATGACGCCCCGACGAAATTTTGAATTGAGCATTGCTTTGGAGACCCGAACCAGGAACGAAGGGTTGCCATCGGATGCATTAGAGACCTAACCCCGTTGACCTCGTCTTGGGCGCTCCTTCGACTACAAAGTATTCTGTTCCAATATTATCCAATTCCATTCTTGTTTCCATATCCATTGATTTGATCGACTTGCAGAGCTGTTCTTAACTGACTTTCTCTCTTCTGGATCGTCAAAATCACAAATCCTCTGGTACATTCATCATATCACCATACGACTTGTGGAGCGGACCTACATTGATAACTTCGCCTTCAGCCCCGTCCCTGCCTGCAATGCACTTTGGTAACCATTTTCTGTCAGAGGCCTGCGACTGATTGGTGCTCCACCATGGCGGCGGAAGAGGACTGTCTCCTTGATAGGGAGCGCCACATCAAGTATTGGAAACGGTGTGCGCAGATCCTGCCCGAACCCTACACGTCTGGTGAAGCCAGCCGAATGAGTTTCGGCTTCTTTATTGTCGCCGCGTTGGATCTGCTGGGGGCACTTGACACTGTCATTACGCCGTCCGAGAAGCGAGGCTGGATTGAATGGATCTACACCTGTCAGGTCCCTCACACAGGCGGCTTCAGAGGTTTCACAGGGACAATGCTAGGCGGCCAGAGAAGTTACCACAACTGGCACTGGGATCCGGCTAATCTGCCAAATACCTACTTTGCACTGGTTACGTTGGTGATTTTGGGAGACGACCTTTCCAGAGTCAAGCGGAGAGAATGCCTTGCCTGGGTGGCAGGGTTGCAAAGGCCGAATGGCAGTTTTGGGGAGTTTCTGGGAGAAAACGATGTGGTGGAAGGGGCAGACGATCCACGACACTTCATGTGCGCCGTGGGAATCATCAAAATATTGCAAGGAAACGGGGAGCATGCAGAAAGGCCGGGCTTCGACGAAGCAGGCTTGCAGAGGTATATTGCCAATTGCCAGGTGAGGATTCAATAGTCTGCTAAATGGCGACCAGGGCTGACGTCTATTCGAGTCTCATGAAGGCGGAATCGGCCAAGCTCCTCTTCTTGAAGCTCACTGTAATATGCCTGCCTGTCTAATTACCTATTATTTTTGCTGATCTCTCTGCTAGCCGGGCTGAACTATTGTGGCATCGCGACACTCTCATTTCTCGCCCTGCTTCAGAAACCCGCGGTGTCCGTGCAAGAGATGGCGGAACGAGCCAACGTCGACACCTCCATCTGTACCCGATGGATGCTGGATCGACAAACAACCTGGATAGAAGAGGACGAGGACGAAGATGAGGACGAAGACAATCAACGTGGAGACCGCGCCGATATTGAGACCAAGCAAGAAGCAGCACAACCATTGTCGCCCGATGTGTCCAAGATGCAGATCAGCTTGGTCGCGCAGAAGCCGATTGCTGGATTTTGCGGCCGCTGTGGGAAGATTGCAGACACCTGTTACTGCTTCTGGAATGTGGGAGCTCTCGCCGTCGGTGTGCCCAATTAATACATCCTGACCTATTTCGCTGATGACCCAGCAGATCCTGCAACAGCATCATCTGGTTGATGTCGACTCACTAAGGAGATATCTCCTGGGGAAGGTCACCCACATAATCGGAGGATTTGCGAAGAGCCCTGGCGAACTGCCGGGTGAGTGGTCACAACCTTTTGCAGAAACTCAGCCTGCTAATGGTCCCTCCAGATCTTCTGCACTCATATCTAGGGCTCGCAACGCTGGCAATATACAACGAGCCCGGATTGAAGGAGCTGGATCCCACATTTTGTATCAGCAAAGACGCTGTAGAAAGATTGACGAAGGTAGCAGGGTGGCGAAACTAATATATATATGGAGTACGGCTTCGGCTTCGGCTCGTACATACCTACAAGTAGGTAAAGCAGGTCCAGTGAGGCGGAGCAGGCCTCAACCGACCAACTGAGGTCAATTTCGTAAGAACTTATTCAACCATCAATTTATTCAACCATCAATTTTGGCTCGGCCTGGCCCGGGCATGGCCTAGGTAGTGGCTCGCCAGGCCATACATGGCCCTAGTCATGAGCATGGCCGGGCGATGCATATGGGTGTCGCTGCCTCCCCTTTGTTTCCCTTTCTCCCTATATCTGGCTACGTGTACGGAGTATTGCTGTCAATCCAGAAAACTAGCCCTTCTCACCCTGCTGCGACAGAATGTAACTCTACGTTTCGAAATGTTCGCGTGTCAAAAGCGCAGCAATGCAGGGCTTGCTGCTCGACGCTCCGCCTCTGTCTATCTTGGATCTAGCCGAAAAGGTAGGTGTCAACGCGATCAGGAGGCTGGAGCAAAGGGTCGCGGGGATGGGGCAAGGATGGACTCCGGCCACTCGCAGCAACGCTCTGCGCCCGTCGCGTCAGCCACAGTACATATTCACCTTGAGAATTATGTACCTAGGAGGTGATAAGCACTAGCTATTCTTAGGTGAATTCTTACCAAGACGGTCGTTTGCTTTTAACGGGATCTAGGCTCTTCCCAGGCACAGCTGCAGCTTGTCTTGGGCTGAGTCGTTCAAATTCGGACGATCCCCTTCTCTCTCTGGCCTCAGTGTGAGAGTTTAGAGCAGCAACGGGAATACCAGGTCATTGTTTACCTTTTTAACTATTAAATCCTTCGAGATTTCACGCATCTCCAAGGATCACAATTGACAGCAAGCGAGCAAGCGAGAAACAAGTCCCATCCAGCCAACTGACCGCCATCGCCATGCCGAAACGCACGCTTTTCACCAACATTACCCCTCTTCCTCCTCAGGTCTCGCGCGAGGTGGCGATTGCCATGCTTCACAATCACGATGAAATGATAGAGCTGAACCCGCTGGTCATCGAACATCACCCGATCAAAACTCCCAGAGATGCTCCGGCCGACGAATTCTTGGACTGCGCATGGCAACAGCTGACGGACAAGATCCATTACCTGCCTGGAGGCATCGTCAAAGGGAAAGTCAGCTACAAGGCTTGCTTTCATGACACTCCATATGGGCTCCAGACACACATTTATGCTCCTATGGGGCTGGATATCCGGGAAAAATGGTCGATTGGAGGGTCCCTACCTGGGGAGCCTCCGGAGCCGCGAGAACTTGGTGTGGATGTGCCACGAACAGGCCTTTACCTCCGCGAAGATGGGGACATGAGGTGCAACATGCTCTTGACTTCATTTGTTCGCAAGAACCTCGACAACTCACACAAAGTCCTGGTTGAGCGTATTCTCAAAAAGGCCGAGCGCGTTGAGGAACAAGTCCAGACCTTGGGGGCGCCCATGACCCCGGTTCCCGAAACCCCTCGATTCCAATCCGGCTCTCACATGTCGAATTCGCAAATCCTCAATACACCCGCCATCTACCAAAGACCCCTCTCTCCTCAGATGCTGTCGCCGCAGCAAGACTTGGGCTGGCAGACAATGGCGCTTCACCCGGCATTCCGGCCCGATGACAAGCGAATGAGCACCTACAGCCTACCTCCATACCAAGCCAATGCCCAACAACAACGGATGAGTTATTACGCGCCGCTGAAGCAACCCGATCCGCCCAAACAATTCCTGGCCGAGCTGCCTGGTTCGACGTATCACACAGGCCACCTTGCCCCACCTGCCTGCGATACTCCTCCTTTGGATCACCGAATGAGCATGGTGTCTGAACTGTCTGGGTCTGACGGAACGCTCATGGGCTCACCAAATCTGCAGGCTCAATCCGACCAGGCTAGCCTGGTGGCAGAGAATTTTCAGGTCCGGAGGCTGAGTGCAAAAGACTACTCGCAGGATGGTGCCCCGTCGATCGCGTCGGGTGCATCAGGACATCGCAGTGGTTCGGACCGGACAAGCGTCATCTCTGAATTACCCTCATCACTGTATACGGAGAACAGGTATTACCAGGCTCCAAGGTCTTGAATTTAAGACCCTGCTGGACGACGACGATCATGATAACGATCTTGTGTTGATTTGGAACGTTAAGATGCACGTGTATAATGTATAGAATCCCAAAATGTTTTGTTATTGAGCTTGGAGTTGTGGATAATACCTTGAGATCTTGGAGATATCAGACCCATCTTGGTGGAAACGAGGATTCAACTGTCAAGTTGAACATCATTAAAAGTGCCATTTCCCATATTTCCTATATCGTATTCTCACTTCCCTTCCATCCATGCCTGGCTTGCTGGGTGGGAGTTTCAACATTGTGACACACGTGCAATGTGGAGATGTCAGTATCGAGTACTCGGTATGTGTTCTAGCAACCACTGCGGCGTGTATGCATCCAGGGAATCCAATTGCATGAGCAGGCATTGCACGTGTAGATCATTGGTGTGCAGCGGCCTGAGTGGGGACCAGGATCTTGTAGAGATTTCTAAAGATATAGAGATCAGCACGTCGGCCAGATCCAAGGTGCCTAACAACTCCTTCTCTGTGTATGCATGCTGCTGGAAGGAAGACAGAGTGAGGTAAGTCAGGGTGAGGGTCCAGGGATACACGACGATCAGCCCTCCACACCACGCACCAAAACCCGGCGCAGCCTCTCGCTCCCTCCCGCCTTTTCCCACTGAGCACACTAGCACCTCCAGCACCTCCACACAACCCTGAACAAACTCAGTGTTTTGGGCCGCTGGCAATTGGTCTCTAGATCCCAAACTCTCAATCTTCCCGCCTTGTCACCGCTTGCATCACATCCCGCTGTTCAACGTCACTGATTTTGCGGAGTGCCAGAGACCCCCCCCCCCAACTCGGACTTTTCAGGTAACCAGACTCAAATGCGCTTTTAGACGGATTGCATCCAGACCCGACCTTGACTTGCCCTCAATTGCTCCTCAACTGCTGGCTGTCTCCTGAAAACGCGAACATACCACCGACCGGCGGAGCCTCCCCTCTTGGATTTGCCCACATGTTATCCTTACCCTCGAGAAGCCGTATGAACTCCTACTCCAATCTGCAGGGTCCAGTTGTCGCGAGGAATGCAAGCTCAAAGGACCAAAGCCGAGCTTCAGCAACATAAAGCAAAAGTAGGACTACAATCGATGCATGTTGGCGTGCCTCGCATGCAATGGGCTGACTAGGAATCGCGAACAGCTTGCCAACTCCTACTCGGAGTTGCTCGAGTAAGATCTTACATTTGCCCTTCGTCGAGGCATTCGAAGTCCGCGCTGACACTCCCCAACCAGCCAATTCGCCTCGAAAGAACTCAAGACCGTCGGAAACTACTCGTTAGGGAAACTCATTGGAAAAGGCTCCTTCGGCAAGGTCTATCTTGCCAAACACAATTTGACAAATGGCTCCAAGGTCAGTCCTGACACGGTCGTCACCCTGCTATCCCAACCCGCAGCCGCTGACCAGAACTGCGAAAAACAGGTGGTACTCAAGGCCTCGAAGAAGGACGACCCAAACCTCGCGAGAGAAATTCACCACCACCGACAGTTCATTCATCCTCATATCGCTCGACTTTACGAAGTTATAATAACGGAATCTCTTGTGTGGCTAGTTTTGGAATATTGCCCTGGTATGAAGATGCGAGCGCAACGATTTTGACAAGTTGTGCCGACTAATAGCGCACCAGGTGACGAGTTGTACAATTATCTATGCAAGAATGGGCCTCTTCCCGTCGAGACTGTACAGAAGATCTTCACTCAGCTGGTCGGAGCGGTTTCATATATTCACAGTAAATCATGTGTCCATCGAGATTTGAAGCTGGAGAACGTCCTTCTCGACAAGAACGATAACGTTAAACTCTGCGATTTTGGCTTCACCAGGGAGTACGAGGGCAAAGCGAATTATCTGCAAACATTTTGCGGTACTGTGTGTTATAGTGCACCCGAAATGCTGAAAGGAGAGAAATATGCCGGCGAGAAGGTCGACGTCTGGAGTTTGGGCATCATTCTTTACGCGCTGTTGAAGGGGGAACTGCCCTTCGATGAAGATGACGATGCTGCCACAAAGGCCAAGATATTAAAAGACGATCCTGTTTATCCCGATACTTTTCCCGAAGCCGCAAAGACGCTGGTTTCCAAACTGCTCTCGAAGCGGCCTCTGCACAGGCCAACCTTGTCAGACATTCTCGCAGACCCTTTTCTGTCCGACCATGCACCTCATCAGCAAGCGATCCTGAAACTTTCACAGCCAGCGGCATTCACCACCCAGTTAGAAAAGGAGACCCTTGAACGAATGAAATCTGCAGGGGTGGATATTGACAAAGTCATCGAGAACGTACTTTCGCAACGTTGTGACGCGCTGGCTGGATGGTGGGCATTACTCATTGAGAAAGAAACAAGGAAGCAAGCGCGGAGAGAACGCAAACGGAAGGAAAGAGAAGCAGAGTTGAAGATCCTTAGGCGGTTGAGTGGTGCTAGTAGCAGATTGGAGAGGATTGCACCCACCCTGGTTGAGGTCGACGAAGAGCATTCTCCTGGCGAGACCGAAGGCCGTCGGAGCAGCAGTCGAGGCAGGACGCAGCGAAGGAGTACGCCTCAGATATTGGTCGGTGACTTGCCTCAACTTCCCGAAGGCGATGTCATAAAGTCTCCCGAGGCTGAAACACCACCGCCACCACCGATCGATAAAGACTCGGTGCGCTCTCGGAGCGGCTCTCGACCCCCCATACCACCCAAGGAACGCAAACGCCGGAGCAGCACGCTACAACTCGTGACGACGAATCCCGAGTTACTGGGTCCCATGAATGGAGTGAACAAGAGACGAAGTGGGCGGTTCCGCAATCGACAATTTCTAAGCCAGCTCACAGCATTGAAGCAGTGGATAGTCGACTCCACGAAGCGAGCCAGGTCACCAGTCAACACTAGGGTGGTGGACAAAATCTTGAATGGGCATTCCAGCAACGACTCAAAAGCGACCCTCTCGAAAGATTCTAACCAAATGAACAAGAGCACCAGAAATGTGGCAGGCACGGCAAATCCCAACAGATCGTCGAACGGGTCCGCGCTCACCCCTGTCACCTCCAATTTCAAGCCTCTTCCTTCTGTGGCAAACCCAGCGCCTCGGATTGATACAGCCCGTGCGAGACCTCATCGCAACTCTCTCTCGCCTTCACCTGTAACTCCCCGCTCCTCATACCGACGCAGTTCCACCGGCCTACGGAGCCGTAAATCGACATCTTCATCCGTCTCATCGATTCGCAGCATGCCCCGACATAACGCCTCTCACAGCAAAGCCTCTTCCCAAAGTTCTAACAGTCTCGACACGATTCACAGTCCCACCAGCCGTACGGTTAGTCTCAACGGCCGCTCGCCTCACCCCTCAATAAAAGTCCTCCCAGTGACACCTACAGCCAATGCTTTCCCTTCGAATATCCGTCTAGTCCGAACGTCTAGAGGCTCGGACGCTGGCCTTCAACCCCGCCCGCTTTCTGGGATCGGCAATGACATACTCAATCATCCACCGGCTACACCGCAAGGCCACGGCTTCGGCTCAAATGTCATGTTCGCTCGACGGAAGAAGTCACCTTTCAAAGGCCCTATGCTTAACTCAGCCTTTTTCTCTGCATCCACGCTCCCCGCCGCATTCGGAAGCCCCGCTGTTGTTGGCGCTGGGAGAAACCGTGAAGGTTCGGAGGGGAAGCTCAACTTGGGCCTGAAGGATTTTATGAGCGGAGGTGGCAGAAGAGGCAGCAGTTCGAAGAGGAAAAATCAGATCATCGAGGAAGAGGAAGAAGATGAACATGCTGTCATCGGTGAAGAAGAGGAGGAGGATGTCGAAGAAGTAGACGCATTCCAGGCGGTTCACTTGAACAAGGGCGAAAGACTGGACAGTATTACGATTTGGAGTGATGCTGTTCCGGAAGGTGCAGCTGCAGATGATGATGGCGACGACTACAGACGAAAGGAAGGTGTCGGAATTTACAGCTGACAATGATTGCGAAAGAGCGTTGCTTGCATCTATTTGGCACTGTCCTTTGATGGGCGAAGGCGTAGCCAAATCAAACGGGTTATGAATATGCTTTGGGGGAATACGATGTCTCTATTTCGATTGCTTCGAGTGAACAGATGGATTGGACAGAGTTATGGCGAGGATGGGATCGGCCGGTTTGAAGCTGGAGTTTTTCCTTGTTCGACGAAGGTTACAGCAATGGATATGAAACGGCTTGTTGATATAAGAGTGTGGGTCTCACACTCTTAATTTTCTTGTACGATATGTTAATGAAACACCTAACTAAAATACTTCTTTGAATCGTGGTCTTGACGAGTGCGTTCCCCTCGAGGTTGAACTTCAGGAGGGCCTTACCAGTCACTGGGGACTTGTCGCGGATCTGCACCCTTGGCTGGAGGGACTAAGCCGTATTGTCACTAGCGCGCTCCTTGCCGGAAAATTGAATCGCCGGAAACTTGGCCCTCCAGGCTCGCATCGGTCTTATTCCAGCTTTCTAGGCTCGACAACTGCGCTTTCACCATAGACTTCTATCGCCATTCCGATCTTTTCCTGCTCAAGAGGCTAACCCTCCTTCCGTAAAACTACTGGCTTCACACGGCTCGCGTTCTTTTCTTATTCCAAAACTTTCGTCTGGTCGAGGGCCGGTGAGAGATCCAAGCCAGCGCAACATACGCCAGGATGGCAGATACAATGGTGAACGGCCACCACGAAGTTGAAATGCCAGCACCTCCTGTTGACCCTGTTTCAAGACCACAGACACCGCCGCCTCCCCCGTCCGCTGAAAATGAACCTCCTCCGCCTCCGCTAGAATCAAGATTTGCACCGCCACCTCCTCCCACAGATTCAAGCGTCCCCCCTCCCCCGCCTGAGCAGGTGCCGCCTCCTCCTCGCGACGAGCCAGACACTATAATAAGTGCCATCAAGCCACAACTGCCGAAGAAGAAAGGATGGGGCTCCACCAAGGTAGCGAAGACAACACCGCTGAGTGTGGAGGAACTTCTGAAGAAGAAGAGAGAAGCCGATCTTGCGGCCAGTAGGCCAAAGTTCCTCTCGAGGGCGCAGCGTGAAAAACTTGCATTGGAGAAGCGGCAGAAGGAGGTTGAGGCGGCTTCTGCCCACAAAAACCAGAACGGGGTAGCAAGGAACGGCTCATCTGCAGCGCCGGAACCGTCCAAGCCAAGTGTAGCACCGACTGGACCGAAAGCCCTCCGCAATGGAGATGTTCCCACCGGTCCTGCTGCAATGCGGTCACGAGAACCCAACAAAGGCGTCGATTTCACGCCGCCCACGGCACCCAAGCCAATGGCGTTCGGCGGGGATTCTAAAGCATCTAAAGCACAAAAACGAGGAGCGGAGGACGATCGGACTGAAAAGCCAGAATCGGAAATTATCCGGCAGAGGTATATGGGTGCTGATCTGAATGTATCGACATTCTCGGCGATGAAGAAGCGACGGCGTACCACCGAGAAGAAATTTAACTTTGAATGGAATGCCGAGGAGGACACTACACCGGACTACAATCCCATCTACAACAATCGCGCCGAGGTCAATTTCTTTGGAAGAGGCCGGCTGGGCGGATTTGATGAACAAGCGGCCGATGCAGCCGCACGAAAGTATGCAGCTGCGTTGCAATCGAGAGACACGGTTGCCGGAGCAGCTCGCGCTCAAGAGATTCTCGAAATGGAGCGCAAGAGGAAAGAAGAATCTGGCCGGATGTCTATTGACAAACATTGGAGTGAGAAGAAACTGGAGCACATGCGCGAACGCGACTGGCGCATTTTCAAGGAGGATTTCAATATCAGCACCAAAGGCGGAGGCATTCCCAACCCAATGCGCAATTGGAAAGAATCTGGACTTCCCAGCAAGCTATTGGAAATCATCGACCAAGTAGGATATGTCGATCCTTCACCCATTCAAAGGGCCGCTATCCCCATCGCCCTCCAAAACCGCGACCTCATCGGCGTTGCCGTAACAGGTTCGGGAAAAACTGCAGCCTTCCTCCTCCCTTTACTTGTATACATCGCCGAACTTCCCCGCCTAGATGAAGACGATATGCGCCGCAATAACGGCCCCTATGCCATCATCCTTGCTCCGACCCGCGAACTGGCACAACAGATCGAAATTGAAGCTAAAAAGTTCGCAACGCCACTAGGGTTTACGGTTGTCTCAATAGTAGGGGGTCACAGTATCGAGGAACAAGCTTACAATCTTCGCAACGGTGCAGAGATTATCATCGCCACGCCGGGTCGTCTGGTGGATTGTATCGATCGTCGCATCATCGTGCTGGAACAATGCTGCTACGTGATTATGGATGAAGCGGACCGCATGATCGACCTAGGGTTTGAAGAGCCCGTGAATAAAATCCTCGATGCCCTGCCTGTAAGCAATGAGAAACCCGACAGCGAAGCCGCAGAAGATGGGAGAGCTATGTCCCGGCCCATTGGCGGAAAGGACCGATATCGCCAGACAATGATGTACACTGCAACCATGCCGGCCGCGGTCGAGAGAATTGCACGAAAATACCTAAGAAGACCTGCGATCGTGACGATTGGTAATGTGGGCGAAGCAGTCGACACTGTCGAGCAACGGGTAGAATTCGTCGCCGGCGAAGATAAACGCAAGAAGAGACTGAACGAAATCCTTTCCAGTGGGGAATTCCGTCCACCGATTATTGTCTTTGTGAATATCAAGAGGAATTGCGACGCTGTTGCAAGGGACATCAAATCGATGGGCTTCAGCAGTGTCACATTACACGGGTCCAAAACGCAGGAACAGCGCGAGGCAGCTCTGCAATCAGTCCGGGACGGCAAAACCGATGTCCTTGTGGCCACTGACCTTGCAGGTCGTGGTATTGATGTCCCCGACGTGAGCTTGGTGGTGAATTTCAACATGGCGACCAACATTGAGTCCTACACGCACCGCATCGGGCGTACCGGACGAGCAGGCAAATCTGGCGTGGCCATCACCTTCTTGGGCAATGAGGATAACGACGTCCTCTATGATTTGAAGCAGATGCTGATGAAGAGTTCGATCAGCAGGGTGCCGGAGGAGCTCAGGAAGCACGAGGCAGCACAGCAGAAGAGGGGCGCTGGGTTGGCAGGAGGTGATAAGATGAAGGGTGGAAAGTCGGCCGGCGATGAAAGCGGCGGTTTTGGAGGGAAGGGCGGAGGTGGCTGGTAGACAGAGCAGGTTGAAGGGTTGAGCAAAGTAGATCCCCTCCTCCCGCCCGGAAAGCAATGATGAATTGCTGCTATTGGAACAAGGAGATGGGCTCTTGACTGTATATGCCACGTATGAGAGAGTAGCAGGGGAGAATGAATGCTGCGAGCGTGTTTGTCCGAGACTACCTATCACGAGGCAATACGAGTATGTTGCTACAAACTGTCTGTACACAACCTAGCGCACCGCTCCTTTTCAACTCCGCCGCCAGCAATCAATCCAGTTGGTCCAGTCAGTCAGTCAGTCAGTCAGTCAGTCAGTCAGTCATGGGGTCTTCATTCCAATAATACTACCTCCTAGGTAGTTTGTCAAATCCAAAGATCCAGAGATTCAACTAACTCCACATCCAAAGGCTGAAGCTAAGGCCAAAGAAAGGGTAGAGTCAAAACTCCAAACTCCTACCCACATCGTGTCACATTATATCGAATCACCAAGCATCGGCCAGAGGAAGATCAATCAAATCGGACTCCTCCTCAAAGCACCCACGCGCTTAATAGGCGTCGTGTGCATCATTGCCTCCTGCATCTCTGGCGGGATGGCCGCTCTGGGCACCGTTTGCTCCCACGCAGCTGCCGCGTCGACAGTTCCTTTTTCTTCCAGCTGTGATCGAGGGAGCGGGTGGTGAGAAGACACCTTGCCTGATATCGACAGGGATGGGTTGAAATTTTCTTTCTCAGAGGATGGATGGTGCTGATTTTGATGGTGCTGGAACAAAGGCTGAGGGTTGACCTTTTCGAGACGCTGCTTGGGGACCGGGAGAGCTTTCTTTTGTAGAGGGTTGGTGCGTTTCGGAGCCAGAGGGGATCGCTTGGGCGCCACTGGAGTTGAAGCTGGAGCCAAAGTCGAAGGTACTGTTGTTGTCTTTGAGGAATCCGTTGAGAAAACAGGCTGGGGGACTGAAGCAATCGTAGTTTCCTCTTTCTTCGTCTCTTGTCTCACCTTGTCCTGCCTGCACAACCACTCTTGGAGGCCATGGATTGCGCTGACAAACGCCCCCTCGCCCAGGACTCTACTCTCAGCCTCCTTTCCCAACGCGTGTTGCACTTTCCTACCCTTCCCACCACTCAGCAATTCCACCGAACGCCCATATACTGCATGTGCAGTTACGCTAGTTGAAGCGACAATATCGCCATCATTCAGAATCGCGACAGTTATCGCAAACTCGATGTCAATCCGCCCGTGTTCCAAGGTGATCAGCATGACTTTGACCCCGAGTTTCTCATCGCTGAGAATTGAGACCGTTGCGATGCCCACGAGATTCAGAAGCCGAAGTTCTTCAGAGATTTTGCATGCAAGATCCCAGCCCTGAGAAACAGTTGACAACATGGTTTTAGATGATACTGATCGCTTTGGCATCATTGCAAACGCATGGAGTTGGCTTCTGACTAATTGCAAGAAGAAGCGTTTCTCGGTGGGGGGCTCTGACTGTTTCGCATCGGAGTCTTCTTCGTCTGCGGGAGCGTAAGTCAAGCTGATAGGGGCATTTGGGCCACTTGTCGATGCTGATCTCCTCCCTGACCTGCGCCGCGGCGCATCTGAAGCCTTGTATTGGAAAGCCTGAGGGTAAAAGAAGAGTCGCAAGTGATCCTTGTACATCATAGTGAGAGCGGGACCATAGTCAGTTGGTTGATCCACCTCTTCTTCTGCAGTCATTAATCGCCAGCCAGTCTGCTTCTCAATGGCATCAACCTTTGACCTGAGGCTCAGGACATCGGCAACGGGCCAACCTTTGTTTTCCTCCCTTACTCGATCTGCTTCCGCAATCTGATCTTTCATCTCGGTCTTGAGTTCGGCAGCAGCTAGAAGTGCTTCTTCCTTTTCTCTCATCTGTTCGCGCAATGAGTCGAGCAAAGTAGATCTTTGAAGACAATATTCGTCAGCATTCTGTAATTCTCGCCGGCAATTTGTCAAAGACTCATGGTGAACGCTGTCCAATTCTTCCAGGCTCTGCTGCAACGATGCCTTCTGGTATTCGAGTTCAATTCGTTCTTGATTCAACCGGGGAAGCACAGAATCCAGTATCAGCTGCTGTTGCTGTAAGAGTTGGAGGTCCGCCCGCATGCCTTGATCGATGCCCTCTAGCCCATTCTTGAGACCTTCTACTAGCTGCGCTCTCCATTGATACCATCCTTCTTTGCTTTGCAGACGAGCATTAGCCTTTCCATTGCGGAATTGGTTGTCCATAACTATCTTCACGTCTGGGCGAGCATCGACGTATTCACGAAAGAGTGGTGGCTGGTCAGCAAGAGTCTCCGCTTCAATGGAGCGGATAATCTTGCGACCCGCAGAGATGTAGGACTTTAGTTCTCTTGTCGCATGTTGATATAGTTCGAGGAGAGGCAGCGTTGTGGCCGCTGCAACAAAGTTGTCCGCTGTGTCGCTGCCGTCCATATTCGTCTGAGATCCTGCCGCTTGCACTGACTGTGCCATTGTATGTCTCCTCTTTGTGGTTGACAGTTCGATGAAATGGATATTGGTCATGTTCAAGAACTGCTGAAGAGAGATCTTGTCCTCTCCCCCCCGGGCAGATCCTTCTTCCATCTGAACTGTGGAGATGTCAAGGGCCCCAACCACGTTATCAAGTTTGTCCTCGAATGACTCTGGCCTTGCTTCATCGTTGACCTTGATATCCTTAAAGCGTTTAGTGGTGGCTGGGCTTGGTGCCACAGCGCTTTTGCTGGGGGAAGCAGCTCCAAGATTTGGAGTTGCGTTGTCATTGTCAGCCATCTCTTGAAGCGATTTCTGGAGTTTTGTGCCGAGTCTGCCGGTCGTTTCGTCCTTGCTAGGTGGCTTCGGTAAATGAACCTTTTTCACAGGGCTGCCCTCCCTGGAAACCACTCTTAGGCGCTTCGGAGTCGAGTCGGCCTCATCATCATCGTCCATGTCGAGTTCTGCAGGTCTCTTTCCCAGAAGACCTTTGGCACCTCCAACTGCAAGGCTCTTTCTGCCTTTGAGCTTGCCAGATTTTGGTTTCTGCGGCGTCATCGACTCAATCATATCTTTAAGCTGTAAAGTAAGATTCTCATCCTGAGGTTCATCGGCCTCTTGTTCCATAATGAATCTGCCGCTCTCTCGTCGCTGCTCTTGTGCCCTCTCAGCTTCGACCTTTTGCACAAGTTGTTGTGGGTCTTCAGAGTGCAACATTGTCGGCTCGATACTAACAAGCTTAAACTGAGGTGCGGCGTCTCCAATTGAGGATCGACGGTCCAGTAGTTCAGTAACTCGCGGGGAGCCGATTCCATCTTTGTCAATGCCAATCCCGCTCGACCGCCGACGTCCAATCTGTGGTTTTGGCGCTTTCAGAATGACACTGGGAGTCTGATTACCGGGAGAAAAAAGTGCGTTTCGTTTTGCAGATGCCGGCGATGTCCTGGCTTTGATCTCAGCCTTGAATAGCTTCTTTGGAGATGCGCTTCTGTGTGAGACACTTGCAGACGATGGAGTTTTATTAGGGGTTTCGGCTCGTGGAGGAAGTGGAGTGATCTGCTTTGAAGGGGTGCCTTGTTGCGTTCTCATTTGTGACTTGACGGGCGTGCTATTCTGCTGTTCCGTTTGTGGAGCAGCAACGGTCTTTGCAGCGCTCCGCTGAGATCTGCCTGATAGTCGCGGTTTCAAAGCAATACTCGGACTGCCGGTTTCTGAAGCTGTAGATGTCCTGTGCTGATGTGTCTTTGGTGGAGACTTTGGCTTGGTTTCTTCGGCTGGTAAACGTCGCGGTGAAGTAAGCGTAGCATTTCGAGGAGATTGTCTCGTTACCCGGTTGTTGTCAGGAAAGATGCCGCCTACGGCCCTGGTCATGTCCATCGCCACGGTCTGCTCTTCCACATCCGTCTGGGGCTCTGTCTGCTCCTCAATAGGGGGCAGGATTCCTCCAACAGCCGTGGTCATATCCATAGCCAGGTTTTCCTCAGTCTGTTCAGATACCATGGAGTATCCAGTAACAGCTCCGCTCAGGACACCTCCAGCTGCATGTGTGAATTCCATGCTAATGTCTTCATCGGATACCCGGCTGTTCACCGTTGGTTCAGCTTCAGCACTAATGATCCCTCCTTGCATAACTGTAAAGTCCATGGTCTCATCAAACGTGGACTCATTACCAGATGAGCGACGGCGACGAATTGTGCTTCGGCGACGTGCGACAGGCGATCTTGAACATGTCTTGCTAGGAGATCGGCTAGTTACTATGCCGCCAACAGCACTTGTGACATCCATACTCATCTCGCCGCTCTGGTCGTCACTTTCATCTTCGATCTCGACGTCATTCTCCTGCCTGGCTGGCAGCAAATCTTCGTGTGGGTCCAGATTTTCCGGGTCAAGCATCTCGTCGTTTGCGATTTCATGAGCTCGACCTTGTGCCCAGTTTTGAAAAGCATTTGTCACGGTGCCGGTGACCATCTCCATTGGAAAGTCCTCGCCATACTCATCATACTCTATACCGCGGGTTCCAGCTTGATCAGCCGCCTGCCGGAGGCGTTCTTCCAGACTGGAAGGAGTGCTTGATCCTGAATCTTCAGAAGCTACGGTGTGCGACGTGCCATCTTCCAGACTCATTGCAGTATCGCCGTCTGTGTCTGACTCATCGGAAGACTCGATACCTTCTTCGACGCGGACAGGGCTGCTATTGGTGGTGACATCACCTGAAGGACTTGAAGAATACATCGACTCTTCAACATCATCCAGCATGGGCTCCGCGAGGCCTGAGCTTCTGCGTCGGCGTTTCTTTTGGTGAACATCCTTTTGTTTCGCAGGAGACTCCTTGACAAGCAGCTCCGCTGTCTGCTCAGCAGGGATTAAAGGCACATTTGCAGTTTCGGGCGATCCTATCGATTTGATAGGGGATTGTGCCGCTGTCATCGAAGATTGCCTTCTTGTAGAGTTTGAGGCTGAGCTTGTTGTTGAGTCCTCTGCGAGTTCCATGACACTCCATGTGTGCAAAGTAGCCTCTGGTGCGAATGAAACCCTTCGGTTCGCCAGGGATTTTCTCCTCGCAGCTCTCCGTTCCAATATAGCTTCCTTCTCTGCCAGCCGCTTCCGCTCTTGTTCCTGCTCGCGTTCTAGAGCTTCCGCGCTTCCACCGACTCCGTCAATCTTCCTCGGGGATCGTCGCGCCATGGGACTAAATGGGTCTGCAACATTCTCGGCGCCGGACATCAAGACTGCTCCTGCATCCTGCCCACTAGGACCGGGGGTTGAGAAATCGATGAGAAGCTCTTCGGGGTTGCTCTTCGCTTGTGGCCGGTCTTTTCCTGTACTCCGCTTGCGGAGTTCGTCAAAGGATGGTATAGCCTTAGGTGGCGTCAGGGGGATGGAAGGTTTAAGAATTGATTTTATTTGGAAAGGTGTCGTGGTCTGTGAGAAGTCAACAAAATGCGCCTCGTCACGAGATACGGTCGCTTTACCTTCGTTGCGTTTCCGGTCGACTCTTTCAGGGCCTCAAGGCCTCCCGGACCGAGACTCTTGCCGCGCGACTTCTTCTTTGCCGCTTTGGCCTCTGTATGTCGAGCTTGCAGAGCAGCAATGTCGGTTGTCGCATTGTCCCTTGAAGCGTACGTCTTCGCAGACGGCATATGAGCGATTGACTGTCTGGATTTAGGTCTGCTTGACCTCCGATCTGTGGTAGAGTCGGCCATTGCAGCGCTTTATCGCCTCTCCAAGGCAATATACTCGTAACGTCGCTCTAAGGATGCTGTATGTTATCAATGATGTTGGTTCGGATCGAGGCCAATCTGCGTCCCCACCGAAAGTCTTAGCGCGACGAGCTAAACCCAAGCAAGGGCTATGTAAACACGAGGCTATGGCGTGATCACGTGGTGATATTCCGGCCAATATTAGACTAGCTTGCTGGACGTCTTGGCAGAATTTTGAATGCGCACCATCAATTGTCAAGGCAGTTTGCTAGCGTCCTGGAGACTAAAATTCCACTTTGCGCAACTCAACTTCCTCCCTGTCAACAAACCGCAATCATGGCGACCGAGTTGACAGTCCAGTCTGAGCGCGCCTACCAAAAACAGCCTCACATCTTCCTCAACCACAAATTCAAGGCGGCGAAGAGCAGGAGAGTGGGCAAGGGCGGCCGAAGATGGTACAAGGATGTCGGGCTGGGCTTCAGAACACCCAAGACTGCGATTGAGGGATCCTACATCGGTTAGTGGTGTTGAATTCTCATTTGATTTTGTCGACTGCGCTAGAGAGCTGAAGGGATCTGTTCAAAAGACTGCCTGGAACTTGCAGCGTCTGTCAAGCGTAAAAAACGAGGTGATCTGATTCTGACATATTTTCCCTTTCGCCAGACAAGAAATGCCCTTTCACCGGTATGGTCTCCATCCGAGGCCGTATCCTGACCGGCACCGTTGTTTCCACCAAGATGCACCGAACCTTGATCATCCGCCGAGAATACCTTCACTTCGTCCCCAAATACGCCCGATATGAGAAGAGACACAAGAACCTCGCCGCACATGTTTCCCCGGCTTTCCGTGTGGAGGAAGGTGACCAGGTTACTGTGGGCCAGTGCAGACCATTGAGCAAGACTGTAAGAATTCTTGCCCACTCTCGAGACGATCTGTGACAGTCCCGCTGAGGAGTGAAATACTGACAATGCGGGCAAAATCCCAGGTCCGATTCAATGTTCTCCGTGTGTTGCCCAGGACCGGAAAGGCAGTGAAGGCGTTCCAGAAATTCTGAGCGCGTGAAGGGAAAGTCAGTTGCGGTAGTGGAAAGGCCAGTCAAAAGGAGAGTGCTGTATCTGCACCATTCAACACGGCAAATGCATGATGCCTGTGGAATAAAGATCGTGGGGCAGGGGTCATTTTCGGCGTCTGGAAGCACAGATCAGAAGGTAGATGATTTGTTGCTGGCATATGGCCAGGCATGAAAACCCGGTCCGAAAATCCGAACAACAAATTGAGCAAGGTCCAAAAAAAGAAGCTGCATGCAGTCTCGATCAGGGTTGTGTATTCGTGTCTACGATATTCTAACGGTTTATATCCAACTCATCGGTGCGCTCATCAGTGGTATCCACTTCAAAGTCCAATTCGCAGGGCTCTCAAGTCTCGAGATAGGCAAAGCCAATTTCCGCCTTGAGCGGCGGGTAGCCCGAGCTGTCGACGACGGGCAAGATGCTGGCCTTCCTCTCGACCTCCTTCTCATCTGCGTCCATCCAGCGCTTGACCTCGTTCTCGTCACTCCAGTCACTGATCAGCTCGTGCCCTTTCCCAATCTGATGTATTTGCGTGCCACTCGAGTTCGTGTTCAGAGGCAATGGCGAAAAGTTCTCAATGGCGCCGGTGATCCTCCCGCTCAGAATCTCTTTGGAAAAGTACGGCTCTTGGGCAAACGGTCTGCCGATTCCCACCCCGTCGCACGCGCCGCATTCGACGGCTCGAACTATGCCCACCGCAGTCCTCAGCCCGCCTGTGATGTACACCTTCGTCTTCTTGAGGAGCGGCCTGATCATCTCGGCAAACTCAATAAAGTACGCCTCGCGCGCCTTGGTGCTTTCCTTCTTGTGCTGAAATGCTCGACCCTCAAACGTGCCGCCGCTCAAGTCGACAAAGTCAACGCGCGCCTCTTCCAGCTTCAGACACAGGTCCCGGGCGTTCTCGGGCGTGGTGCCTTTGTCCTGGAACTCGACCGAATTGAGCTTCACGCAGAGGATGAATGACGGGTCCGGCACACGGCGATGGATCTCGTCAATAATCTCGAAGACGATGCGAGAGCGGTTGTTCAGGTCCCCACCGTATTCGTCAGTGCGGCGGTTCGTGGTGGGACTCAGGAATTGGGCCAGGAGGTAGCCGTGGGCGCAGTGCACTATCGAGGGTCTTGCTCAGCTCCGTTTTCGCCTTACCAGCGATCAGGAAGAAGGGGCGAGGTTGGATGCTTACCTTGAATGCCGTCGAACCCGGCTTTCCAGCACAGATACGCCGTCTCGCCCCAGCTTTTGACCATTTCTTTAATCTCCGGAATGGTCATTGGTCTGGGCTTGTTGAACTCATTTCCTGCCCACTTGATGGCCAATTGCACGTCGCTCGCGCTGACAGGGTTCGGGTTGAGGTACTTGCCGCCCTGCCTTCCCGGATGGGAGAGTTGGGCAATGACAAGCGACCCATGGGCCTTTGCGGCGTCGGTGACTGCCTTGAACTTGGCGAGACGGCCGTCATGATCGTCAACGAGGATGGGATTGCCATATGCTTCGACAGCGTCGTACCGGACCATGATGTTGCCACTGACTATGATGCCGATTTCGGCCTCGCCCCATCGTCTGTACAGGTTGAGATACTCGGGACTAGGTACGCCTCGGCCTGACTGGAAGTTGAGGTCAATAGATGTTCAAAAATGGCAGGGAGCAGCTTGTCCATACGATATCCTCGCCCTCCTTGGGCCAATGGCACAGCCTTTCGGTCATAGGCGCCTTGAGGAATCTATTCTTTGCAGTTCGACCCGAGAACCCGAACGTGACGGGCTCGTTGAGAATGGAGACATCCATGGGCTTGCCGTGAACCCTTATGCGACCTCGACTCGAGCCGGCCGTGCTCTTCTCATGGTTGACCTTATCCGGGACGGGCGCCCCATTGAGGGTCGAAGCATCGTATTCCATGATTCCCCTGGTCTCTTTTTTCTCTCTCTCTTGGTCTTCTTCTTCCTTTCTGTCTATCGAAACCGTTCTTGGCTCAGAATACCCAATAGCACTCGCAAATTTTCTCTGCCCCTGTTTCCAAAACGTTTATATCTACAAACTCCCGCTACCGGAGCATCAATTGATAATGCGATGGTTGTCAAAACAGGCAATCAACAAATGTTGAGCCGAAGAAATCAAATCACCGAGGTGAATGCTGAGGGGACTGTTTCCAGGCGTTTTATGGATCACATCCATTCGCCTCCAGGCGATGTGCCGTGAACTTTACCATTCCAGTCCCCATGTCGACGCATGGGACCAAAAGGAGTTCATGGACGGTGGTGATGGGTTGCTCGAGTTGGAGAAGCAGAGGAGAACGACGCATCGATGCGGGGTACAGTGAGGAGGCCATTTCAAAAATGGGAACGTGATCGGATATTATATATTGATATAGTCTACGACGAAAATATTGATCTGATTTGACACACAAAAAAATTAGTTCCTTAGTTGAGTCATCCGATACCCTGCCACTACATAAGCTAACTATCGCAGGTGTAGTGGTTCATCACATCTCCTTTACATGAATTCCCCCCACCTTCTCGCGAAAGAGAGGAATTATGCAGCGGAGAAGGTCATGGGTTCGATCCCCATAGGAACTATTGTTTTTGTTCTTTTTGCCGATTCCACTGTAGATTATGATTTCAGACAAGAGGGGCAGGTTTTCGTGCAACGAGTGCGCAGGAGCCGAACTTGATGGGTATTTTTTGTCTTACTCTGGCTTTGCCGTTGGCTCTGGACGAGGCTGTCTCCGTGGAGTTGCCCATTTAGGGTATGTGGGATTTTAGACCCATCGGCTGGAACCCTGGTTAGGCAATTATGGAGTCGAAGCAAGGTCAATAGTAAAAGTCTCCAAGGCGTGAAGAGGCCGGGTAAACCCTGCAGGCCAGGCACAGCTACGGAGTACAATCCTATTGACAAGGCTGCGAGCCCCTGGGTATATATAGCAGTCCAGCTCGCCAGCTTGTTATCATCTCTGCCTCCATCAAGCAGCCGTGTCTCCACCACAATCTATGTTCAACAACTCCATTCCCACACCCACCACCAAAACCCTTAATGTAAGCCCTGCCTTCTGGTTATCCTCGTTACTATTTACGATGGTCCCCTGATCATCTTCAATAACCTGTAGACCACTGACATCCGCGACTGCTGTCCATCCACTTCCGAGGGGGTAGACCTGGATGGCTTCAAACAACTGATCATCCTCGACTCGGCTCAGAAGAGGGTCACCGTTCTTTTCCGAGCGGACATGTACATTCCAAACTCTGACGCGCTGGTCGTTTCCCACAGTAACCACCACAACTGAAAAGCCTGTTCGTGTGCGCCTAGGATCTGTGATCTTCAAGGCTGTGAGAGCAGCGGCGTGGGCGGCGGGAATGACGATCGTTCGGAAGTGGTGTGGTAATTGCCTTCGGGTGTCGTTTTCTTCGTACGCGATCGTCGCCAAAGGCCGAGAAGTAAGCAGTGTCAAACCCAGCGCATTGTCATCGCCACCTGTTGCGATGAGGCAAGCTGTCCGGCTAACGGATACGATGTCGATGGCCAGGACGCTGCTTTGATGCACCTTATGAACTTCCATTTGGAGTCGTGACTCTGCATGTGGTAAGACAGCCAAGTGCTTGGGTAGAGGGCGTGAATCCAGAAGGCTGAGATTCAGAAACCCATTGGTGCCCGCAGATATCGTCTTGATCTGATGCTCGTCGGGTCCAAAGGTTGAAGCCGAGGTGAAAGAGGGCGAAAGGAACAAAGCCTGCATGACGCAGAAGGAACCGTGGCTGATTTCTTGTAGTGTCTCAAACATCTCTTGGTTTCTGGTCGGTGCAGGAGTGTATCGTACCACCTTTGTCTTTCCGTTGGAATATGCCATCACAATCCTGTAAACTTCTTTGGCGTCCTTACTTCCATTGCTCGCACACCGCAAGTCGAAACTCATGATCCGCGCATCCGAATCCTCTTCCTCCGTCGGCATCACGTCCCACAACACGACCCCAGCTTCAATGCCAGGCACATTAAAGCTGAGTTTCCACACATAGAACTCGTCGCATCCAGCACTGCTGAAAAGATATCCTCCAACTGGTGAGAATAAAAGATGTTGGATGCCTGTGTTGTGTCGCTTCAGAGTTGATATAGCCCGAAATGTAGAGGAATTTGTCAGCGCCAAATTCGCTGAGGGTTGAGATCGGTAGGAATTTTCTGTAGCAACGGGCACAGCAAAGAGTTGAATATTGGTGTCTTCAGCTCCTGTAGCTATAAGAACTCGCGCGTGGCCTTCGTTTCTGAAGTCCGTGTAAGGCAGAGGACTACGCGCCACGGCTTTGATCTCGCGCCCGTGACCTCCTTTTTGAAGCACTTTATGGCTAGAACCTTGGTCTGAGTGCCAGTTCAATCTGCCAGCTTTGGTCCAAACAAAGGACTTCATGACGCCGTCGCAAAACATGGAAGAGTCTCGAAAAGACCAGCTCCGATGAGACCCACCACATTCAATGGATAACACTTCGGACTGCTGCGTTTCATTCCAGACGACAAAGAACGTCGAACGAAAGCCATAGAGTATCAAATCTGGCTCTGTTGTAGGTGGTAATCCTTCAGTGGAAGTAAAGAAAGCGCCTTCAATGCTGGGGCCGAATGGAGGCGCAGAGAGGTGAACGATGGACACAGTGGGTCCTGTCCCGTCTCCAGATGATAGCCAGTTGACACGATGTATCGCATAAATGCCGTCGCGCCCTGTTGTTAGGATGTGTATCGATTTTGTGAAAGGCTTCGGATCTTGCCCTAGAATACTGATCGAAGTGACACTATCCGTGCCGTGGGCATGGCGGAGGCAGCGCGGTTCCCCGGATGTTTCTGATTCAGCTGTCACATGGGGGTATACCGCAAGCGCACCAGCACGAGAGCCCAGAAGCAACAGTCCGCTTGAGCTGTCGTAACAACAGGATGTAATAATGAATGTTTCTGGCATTCTCAGACGTGTATGGCTCACCTGAACTGAACTGTCTTTCATGTTCACCCAGAGGATGAGTGCATTTTTGTTCGCCAGGACGGCAATAACGCAAGTTGTCGAAGTCGGTACTCTCGTCGACCGTTGAGAGGCAAGCTGCATCCAAGAGATTCCACATTCAAGGTCACATTTGACTGGTACTACAGATTTGAGACCAATGAGAAACGCAGTAAGTCCGCCTCTCTGAGATGCAACGAGAACGAGCTGTTGGCTTCCAGCCGGGCATAGCACAAGACCACCTTTTCCTGGATTCTGCATCAGTTTACTCCAGTTCAGCCCGCCGTGCTCAGCGGTCAGTCGGAACAGATCGCCGTTGTCCGTGGTCGCGAGGCATTCATGCGAGTCCACCAATAAATAATTCTTCAATGCCATCGAAGAACCAGTAATTTCCGCAAAGGGTTCTGAGAGGGTTAAAGAGTAACCCATGCTTCCACGAGGGATGTCGAGTTTTCTGGAGATTATCTGCCCGTCAGCACCGCCAGTGTGAACGAGCAAACCTTGGCCTTCATTGACGCAAGACATAGACCATGCATTCTTCCCAAAGTGATGTCGATCACTTGACTCTGGTCTGAGAAGTGTCGTTGAATGCAACTCCGGTCGAGTCTGGGCAGGGAGCTCAATGGTCCACAATTGACATGCACCATCTTCACCTCGTGATAAAAGCCACAATCTATTTCCGTTCTCGCCGACCTGTTCTTGTACGAATTGCACGCCCCAGATGCGAGACAGATGACCCCACGCGGATGCAATCTGATCCTTGCCACCGTGAGCAGCATGTCCAAAGCCGGTTTCCCTCGACCCCATATCGCCCCCGGCGTCGTATTGCGTATATTCACAGTCACCAATGCACCAAATTCTTACCGTACGGTCGTCGGAACAGCTTGCCAACAAGCGGCTGTGTGTACCCCCCAGCTCGAAAGCTTCCGAAATAGACACACCAAAAACGGAGCCCCTGTGGCCATTAAAGATGTGTCTGAGCGATGGCGACCACTGCCCATCGTTTTCTTTCCTTGAGCAAATCCAGACTAGAATTTCTCCAAAGACAGTTCCGGACGCCACGACTATCAGTCCCGGTTGGGCAACAAAGAGAGACCCGGAGTACAGAAATGACCTCGGACCAATCACCAGGGCTGGCTTTCCGCACTCCAGGGCCTTTTCATTTGTGACCTCGAGAACGGGCACCTCCTGGAGCTGATCGTGTGCTGTGAGTAGGAAAATGCAGGATTCGTGAATAGCGGCGTCCAGAATCCAGTCTCTGCAGTTCAACTGTCTTGACAAAATGAGTTTAGGCACTGTATGAGGTGAAGCAGTAGTGGGTTTCTGAATCGTCAACCGGCCGAGTCGCAACAACGCCCCTCCCCAGAACACGACCCGAGGATTTTGAACCCCGTCTTGATCTGCATCTTTTGAATCTGTCTGGACACCACAGACTGGTTGAGTCTCGAAGATCCGTGTAGATATGATTATGGCCCCGCTTTCATCATAGATATGAAGAAAGGGGCCCTGCCCTGCGAGAACCAGCAAGTCTCCATCAACCAGGACCGACCTAAGAGCAGTTACTGGGAGACATGCGGCTTGTGACTGGGTTCGTCAGCAACTGGGTTCGTAGGGGGTCTTGACAATTCACCTCTATAGAGCATGTTATCATTGGGGTGCAATATTGGTCCGATCTATTTGCCTTGTGGCTGGCTTGACCTGTGGAAGATGAGGGAGTTCAAGAGGCACACAGAAATCCTCAAGACGTGGGAAGGCGGCGCGTGAGCTAGTCTAGAATGGGGGGAAATATGCCGCTGCTCTACTGTTATGCCGGGAGGTTGTCGGTATGTAGCCAATCTACTTCGTAATTCGAGTAGTCTATTTAGAAGCAGCGACGAGGCTGAGTGTTCTCCTATCCACGGGTATGCTTTCGCCCTTCCAATAGCCGATATCATTCTAATTCTCTTCATCTCTGAGTTTTGCTTCTACAGCCAAGGAAGCACCAAGCACTGGCCTGCTGCTGCTCTTAGAGATGTGCCTTTGCAGTTGTTGCTGGCAGCTGTTGCCCAACTTCCCAATCCGCCAGAAATCGCACATTGACGTTTCTTCCTCTGAGACCGTTTACTCCCACTTTAACCTCCTGTCCTGGCAGTATATCGAACATGTTATCGTCCCACAGTGGCTCGGGCTCGTCCTCTTTTTCACTTCCGTCGTACACAGGCTCAAGCCAACAACCCTTGAGCGGCTGATTAGTAGTGACTGTCACCAGATTCTCAAAATGCGTATCGTTGAAGTTGGTATTGGTGCGATCATTCTTCACGCTCTGGACGGAAACCGTTACTCTTGTGTCGGTAGGCCACTGCAGATACCGGTATGGCTCGGGCCAGTCAGTGAATCTTGCTAACACCTTTTTGCTCGATGGGTCGATGAGGCTTGCGTCAAGAATGATCAGACTTTCTTCGGTCCACGATGAATGGGGTTCCAGGCTTCCGAGTTCGGTATTGTAACCTGCTGACAAGGTCACCTCGGAGCTCACTCCAGCCCAGTTCAAGTCAACCGCCTTTCCGCTATGAAGGTCGTATGCTCTCATTTCCAGGGTGCACTTAACTTCGTCTGAAGTTGTATTGTGTGCGAAGAGGGCGAAATTCGGGATGTATGAATCTTTGGGCTTATCTTCGTCGATCCACCGAGAGCGAGGCGTGCGTTCAATGCCGACACTAATCGGGGCAAAGTTTCGGCGAATCGTATAGAAGGCAGGTTTCGGACGGAGATAGTAGTCGATGTATGCCCAGCTTGTCACCGGGTAAACATCATTCAGTTGCCAGATGATGGCTCCTGCACATTCCTCTTTCCCTTTGCCCCCAAACTTCCGCTTCCAATCGCGCAAGGCATAGCCGTATGCCTCACTTTGCAAAAGCTGAGAGCAGTATGCGAAATTCTCAAGCTTCATATCATATCGGAAGTTCTCTGACAAGTACCGAGCGATACGCGTCTCCGCGCCGTGACCCTTGTTGTGGCAGTCAATGGTGCGAGATTGGGGATGACGGTCCTTCGGATCAGGTGCAAAAACATCCACTGTACGCATGATGGGGAACCCGTGCATGCCGAATTCGGAGACAAACCGTCCGGAGAGCTCTCCATATTTTTGGTAAGAGTGCTGCGGCCCGTGCCATACAGCCCACTGGTGAAGATCCCCGAATGTAGTATCACTTGCATTTACACCCTCTTCGCCCCAAGGGGACGATGGCCAGTATTGCACCGTAGGACACAGGTTCTCGCAGACCTTCGGGAGAAGGTCGAGATAGATCTTCCGTGCAGGGAAAGTACTATTTTCGAAGGGTCCTTTATGGTCTTTAAAATCGTATGGCTCGCCAAAAAAGTCCTGGATCCCGAAATCTTCGTTGTTTCCACACAAAAGGGCTAGTGAGGCGCGGTTGCGCATTCGAATAGTCTGTGCTTCGGCCTCAGCTTTAACGCTGTCGAGAAATTCTTTGTGGACAGGATAGTCACCACATGCAAATGCATAGTCGTGCCAAACCAGCATGCCCATCTCGTCGCAGGCATCAAAGAAGTCCTCTGTCTCATAAATTCCGCCTCCCCAGACCCGAATCATGTTCAGATGGTGGTACTTGGAAAGTCGAATCCAATCAAAGTATCTTTCACGCGTCATAGTCGGCAATAAGTTGTCTCCGGGAATCCAGTTGCCTCCTTGGCAGAAGATATCGCGGCCATTGACATTGAAGAGAAATGTCTTGCCCGGAGCATTATCGAGAGGGCGTTGAATCACTTTGATGGTCCTTATACCATATCGAATGGTACTAGCATCAAGCTGGCCCGAGGATTCGTCTAGAAGAGACACCGAAACATTGTATAGATGTTGTGGGCCTTGACCATTAGGCCACCAGAGTTTGGGCTCTACTATAGTGACCCTAGCCGAACCTTTTTTTGAGTTGTCCAGTGCGATATCGAACTCCTGTGACACTTGTGAAAGAGCTTGATCGAGAATGCTGACTTTGGCTACCCTAGCAGGCGGTCCAGCTGCTTGCACGCCAATTGTTAGCGTAGCTGTTGAGTGGTCCCCGGCCAGCTCTGTAGTGATGTAGACATCGTCCAGTCTTGCAGTGTACGTCTCCAGATAGATGGGCATGTATGGACCAGCGGTCACTATTACCGGACCCCAGTCCCAGCCCCAGTGGTACTATATCATCATCAATAGAAAGATAAGGCCTTCGAAAAGTCGACGCGTACCTGTGCCTTCCGAATATGGTTCCTCCTTTTGTCTCGAATCACTTGTTTTCTAGGACCAAACTTAGCCTCCAATTCATCACCCTTCTTCAACGCACTCTCAAAGAGTATCAAAAGTTCGTTCTCTTGTCCCTCGGGATTCAAGTGACTGGTCACATCCACTCGATAAGGGATAAACATGTTGTCGCTTTTGAGGATCTCTCTGCCGTTCAAGGAGACAGTTGCAAATGTGTCCAATCCCTCAAACACCAAATCAGCAATGCCTGAGTTGCCGAGACCGTTCGGTGTCGGAAAAGAGCAGGAATACTCCCAGTCCATACCACCAACCCACTGGATCTGACGCTCGTTTTCGCCTAGATTTGGGTCCGGAATGATATTCTTTGCGAGGAGCTCCATTTGTACGACCGATGGGAAAGCAGTAACCGGAGTCCAAGTCTTGGGATCTAGGATGCTGTCTGTTTTGGATATGCCATTGGCATCTGCTAGACGCCATTTCCACCTTGCGGCTAATGCATGTCGCTGCTTCGCTGCCATTTTGAGATCGTGACCGGGTGAGTTGTTGAGGACGAAAGCAGGCAGATCCCACGGTCCAAAAAAGTTACAAAAAGCAGCCTTAATATCAACCTAGCATTATGCAGCCATTGCTGTCAATCAACTCGAGTCTGACTCGGCAAGACAACATCCTCTAGTAAGTCCGAAATGCCGGATAGGAAGCCTCGGTCTCTGCGCTGGCTCCATTTTCGGTTTGGTGTTCACGTCGTCGACCCTAGGATGTATCTTGGCGGACCTGATGTGAAAATCTTGTGGGGTAGTAGTCTTCGAATACTTGCCGAGGGTGCAACGCTTCTGTTATTGATGGTGTAGGAAGGAATAGATGTAAGCGGGCATATATAGTCCCGAAATGTATCCACACTCAGCGGAAGTACATATCTCCTCCAATCAGTGAGAGAAAGTAGTGTGGTTCCGTAGTTAAAAGCAACATCACACGTTCGATGTCAACCTCACCTGCTCAGCACCACCGAGAGCTAGAGAATCCTCCATGGAGAGGTGAAGTTCCACCATCTGCATTTCAGTCCAGTTCAGCAGGCATGGGAATGAGATACGACTGCTCTATAGCCGGGGGGAGGGTCGTCTTGTCCATCAGATGCCGGGGGCGAAGTGAAGCAATTGTCGTGCCTAGTCAGCATTTGATTGTCAGTAGGTCTCTAATGGAAGCCGACCCATGTAGTCCGCAATGGATCCACAGGTGAGCTCAGGCAAGTATTCAATCACTTCATGTTGTGGCTCCAAACTCCCGACACAACAATTCAGTTGAGTGATTTGATCGTCGCTCAAGCTTCGCATTTTACTTTTCCATCATCAGAGACTCGTTCTGGGTTTCCTAAACGAATCTTACCACCTCACCTGTTTGGTGACTACCACGACTGCTTACTCGGAATTCGGCTCTCCGCTTCAAGAATGTTGGACGTGAAGGTATAGTGATGAGGTCCTTTGTAGTGGCTGGATTGTGAGCAGAGCCGTGTGTGGCGTTCAGCATCCGTTTCAGATTATGCCTGTGGTTTAGTCTCCGGCCTCCTTACTGTAACAACTAGCTCACTAACGGTCGTAGAGCTGTAGATACGATTGATCACCAGATCGAACCGAATACCAACCGTTACAATTTGCAACAGACAGTTGCCAGTCCCTTCAGAATTTCTTGTGATCAAAAAACCGTGTTCAGACATATTGACTTCGTGGGTGACTTCTTAGAACAATTCTGGCGAAGCTTGGTTTTCGACGATTAGGACTTTTTCTTCGAGTTGCTCGTAAGGGATTATAACAAGGCTTTCGATTGGGGTTTTTTTAAAAATAAAAATAAAAATAAAAATAAAAAAAAAAGGAAAAGAAGAGGGGGCAACAATGTCGGTTGCTTGGACATCGGAGTCTGTGGAAGAAATTCCAATCTTCGGGTAAAACACGACTCAAGCAGCACTCCCTGACCTGAGAGTGGCAGATGTGCAGCCCTGCACAGTCTCTTTTGGGACTGTCGGAATTCCTGCGTTTTTGGTTACGCAAAGACAACCATGTCATGTTTGCGCAAGCAGCATCCATGGCTCTCTCTCAAGCTCCTCAGGATACTCTGGGCACTAAAACAGCAGCACGAGTTGTACCTCAAAATCCGTCGTATTTGGCCAGCCAATTTTGGTTTGGTATCTTCATCTCTGTCCACTCTGCACCGGCAAATGTAAGCTGCATTTCAAAGGCGTCACTGGATGGTTTAAATGTTGAGGATTTGTAACCCAGGGTTTTTGGTCTGAACAATGTGATGAGTTGATTGATCGTGGACTGAGGAATGAAAGATTTGTAGGAACAAAAGCTTGCACGGGGGCAAAACCTTGTCATAGTACAGCGACGGGAAATTGACGCCATCAGCCTGTCGCCTCAAAGGTTGACACATGGGAAAGCAAGGCCACTCGACTGCATGCAAGCCGCGACAACCTCATTGCAGACCCAGTCAATTAGTGAAGCCCGGCAACTCTGGTACATCCTGATGGTGGAAAAACGGTGGTCAGCATCGAGCTACCTCTCGGAAAGCATCCCACTAATCTTGAGTTGGGCCCGGATTTATGTATTCATCGACCTCAAACATCAGGGAGCGGGTACCAGTTCAGTTGTTGATCCCCAAATGCAAGATCATAATTGAACCACTCCAAGAACGGACCTGGCGCTGTGATGTCCTGGCCGTCATAGTTCATAAAGTCCGCCGCGTTCCCCGATCTGATATTCGCAAGAAACTCTGTATATTGATCGATATCGACAGCGAGTTCAGAGTGCTGATCGTTCCAAGCCATGATACCATCGCGCAGCGCCTCAATAATGCTGCCGTATCTGTCCGCTGGCCTAGTATAGGGAGCCATGTCTTTGAATGCACGTATAGCGGCCTCCAGACTCTGTTTCCATTCATTGACAGCGGCATCATCATATAGACTCAATTTCTTAGCCACGGCGATAGAGAGTAGAGGAATCAGGCAGGCCTGAAAAAGCGCGAAAGTCGAGTGCCAGACTGAAACTCTATCGTGATGAAGGCCAGAACAGATCAGGTCGATAACCTCACTTGCTGAATTTTGACAGAGTGATACGACATTCCAGTCCTCGTCTGTGAATGCATTGTGGGCCATTCCATCGTCTGCCAGCCGCATCAGATGTGGCCGCGACAACAGGACGCGCACACCCAAGAAACGATATAACATAGTCTCCCGACTTAACCAGAAACGTTTTGGACATGAATTCTCCGACAAGAAGCGAAAATGATGGGATTTGCTCCAGATCTCGAGTTCGTCACTGAATGCGAATATTTCCCGGGGGGTAATATATGATAGCTGTGCCATTCGGTCTCCGATTTTCTGAGCAATGATGCAAAACTCGGCAGTGACGCGAAGTGATATCCCATGCCAATCTCTGTCATCAGACTCGATTTGTCCTTGCCGTGCAACACTCTCAGAGTGAGCAGAACTCGACGAGAGCTTGGTACTAGGCAAAGCAGTGTCCATTGTAAGCGGATCCCATCTTCCAACCCTAGGACGATGTAACAACAACCCTTGCCAGGCGTTAGCGCAGATCAGGCTCCACCAAGTTCTCCGTCTGACTTCAGCTCGAGACAATGCCAATGCTTCCTCATCCGGGTTCTGGCCGAGCTTTATCGTTCTGGCCGGTTCGCGATGTAGACCGATTGCGATGGCCATTCGAAACGCTGTACCCATGACCAGAAAGGCGGTGTTGGGCGAATTGATGTAGTATAGGTACAAGCCGCTCAAGAGAACTAACGCTTGCAGCATTTCCAGGTTTCCTGAGGTAAACATATTGTATCCAAGAACCTGCCGCGCCCGCTCGTGGTAAATGAAGTGAGATTGGTCGTCTCCTGCTGCTATGGAACCTAACGCCAGGACCATACTTGAAAGCGCCCTCCACCCGTCATCTGTTCGTTGTTGGGTGGAGAAATCCTCTCGGAAGCGAGCTTCATCCACCACCGGAACCAGGGCGTGGATCTGTTCGAAATACGCATCGACCACTATCTGTTGAGTAGACGGCAATGAGGAAAGCGTTGAAGATACAGGGCTGACATTCTGCACGGCTTGCGGAGACTCTTTGCTTGAACCCCGAATGACGAGCTGCTTTGGTTTCTGAAACGCAGATTTTCCTAGGTCCAAGAACGTTTGCTTTGCAGGGGGGCATATACTAAAAAGGACGTGCAAGAAGGCACCAGTGGAGGAGATGCGCGAGTAAGAGCCGGGGCGCTGGTGGAGAGCAAGGCCGTTAACAACATCGCCAACTGGCGGCTCCGAATCTTCCTCGTTCTGGGCCTCATTCCATTCTTCTTCGTCGGCTGGTATGTCGCTGAAAGAATGCGAAGCGTCAACGACGTCACGGGCAACGCCGCCGTCGGCCGCTGGCGAAGGGGTCTGGACCTCAACCTCGTTGCTGATCAGCCGGATGACACTCTCTCTCGACAGACCGGGGAGACTGTCGAAGTCAACGGCGGGCAAAAGCTGCTTGATAACCTGATTGCGAGCATTCAGAGCCTCGTTTAACTGGTCTATTGTCCTGGGTACCAGGCAGTCAGACGGAGCCGCAGACGCAAGCTTGCAAACTCACTTCCAAGAGGGATTTGTTCTCCGTTGTCGCTTTCTGTAACTACATCTGGATTCCAGCGAATGCTTCCGACAGTTTTGGCAGGGCAGAGAGCCACAGCATTTTATTTTCCTCCTTGTGCATTCGACGCAAGCACGATTGGTCCTGCGCGGTTCGGGGCGGGTGTGAAGTCTCTGTGGGCTCTGGCCTGGCGCGAAGAAAGTGGCATCGCCCGTGTCATCCATGATGCATTGCCACCGCTATTTGTTCAGTGGCATTTGATCTTCAGATGCGAGGATCATGCTTTTGATGAAAAAGGGGTCAAAAGAGATGTCGGGGTAATTCGATACCACGACGTACAAAGAGACGTTGGACAAAAGTTTGTTGCTTGTGCCTATGTCAGCCTTCGCCTGGGGATCGACCGATCTAGGGCCAGTTGGGTATCGGGTGCTCGGGGGCTCGGGGGCTCGGGGGCTCAGTGGCTGCACATCAGAGCGCACGGGGAGTGGGGGGCTTCTCTCAGGGGGTCACTAGGTCAAGTTGGGGGGCACCTGAAGCAGGACCAGAGGGGAGCCAAAGGGGGGAGCTTGGTGACGTTGGTGAAAGGTGGCTCCGGCTCTTGGCACTGGGACTAGCGAGGACAAGAAGGAAGAAGGCGAGAAAGATTGCTCTGCAAATTATTAGTACTGTAATACAAGGCACTCCGTACCGAATACCGAAGACCCCGGACACCGAGGTCGCAATCAGCCAACCTACCTGCCAGGTACAAGGACCTCGTTTAGTCACAATCGTAGAACAAAGACTCGATGCTCCAAGCGACCATTGTAGACACGGCTCAGATGATTCGAGTGGCCAGAATATTAGGTATCCTTGGGGCATGAGTTTCGACCCTGTGAAGGCTGCCCCGCGGGACATTCAAGACAACCTCCAAGAGCGCTTTTACGAAGAGAACAGAGCACAAAAAAAGCCAATCAGGTCAAATATCTAGGTAGATATATGAATGCAAATCTGTAGGGAATCTAGCGAGCCGTGATAATGCTTTGGTCTGCACTATATATCGAGAGAGTACCTCGTATGTAATGGGGACCATATGTACCTCGTACTTGGCGGGGCATGCGTCGATTCTCCTGATTGGTCGGTAAAAGCAGCGATTTACCCGCCAAACCCTTGAAGAAACTCCTGCCGTCTTGGCTCTCGTCGCCGATTTTACGAGGCGCTAACCTCCCATTTGTGTCCAGCTGGACCAGCCGTGCGTTTAATATACGCAATAACTACAGAATGCAAGCAAATCTAGTAACTTCAAGCAGTCACCAAACCACCTGCAAGACCGAGAGTCTCGCCTCCACTTCAGTTTTCGCGTCTCCAAACACGGAGCGAATACAATGAAGCACAACCAGCCCCAGACTATTGCCTTGTCCGACCCGGGCTCAGACTCAGACGAGGAGCCACCCAAGAATGAGAGAGCCTCAACGACCACTCGGCCTGTGCAAAAAGATTTGACAGACCATGGTCCTGATAAGCAGGTTGACGTGCGACGCCGGTTCATGCCACCGTCACCAGCGGCAGCACCCTTCTTGGCAAGACTGCGCGACTTAGCAAACAGTCAAGCAAAGCGATCAGCGGCAGGGCCACCCCAGAGTCCATCAACAAGACCCCTAACAAAAAACCCCTCAAGAGAAACACCGCTGAATACATCGTATACACCCATCCCATCTCCACCGCGAGAACGAAGCAGAGCATCTCTTACAGCACCGTTTCTTGGAGAACGATCGACTTCACAGAGCAAAAGTATAGTTCCATCCAAAAGCTCGACTTCTCCCACAAAACAACGGCATGGCGTCCGGAATACTAATTTGTCCACGGCTCATCAACGACCCCAGTCCCAGATATTGAATCACAAACAATCACCCGGCCTGGCGATTTCATCCTCTCCTGCAGGTTCCACGCCTCCCATTGCTCGAAATGGACAAAACGATAGCGCACCCAGTGGCAACGCAGAGCCACTCTCAAAAACTCACCCTCATGTTGCAAATAACCTTGACTGCAGCAGTTGTGCTCGGGCTCGCCTCGCGTGCGACGGTAAGACACCGGTCTGTGGTCATTGTCAGGAACAGGGAGTGGCCTGCCCTCACCGAGGCCCACCAAATTCTCCAGAAAAATCTAAAACGCCAGTATTCAAGTTGGACATGACAATCTCTGCTCGAAATACTAGCTCAGAAACCACCAAACAGACAACTCTACAAAAAGGGCAATCATCGAGTGAAAGCGATTCGGATGACTCGAGTGAGGACGAGATATCAGACTCAAGTAACCCAGACCCGGATCAAGAGCCTCCACTCAGGCTTGTTTTCCGTCCTCAGCCATCACAAAATTCAGATGCGGAACAAGAAGCGCCCACTGAAAAGCAGTCTCAAAAGAGCAGAGTAATCGAAGTCGAGAAAGATGAGAGTGTTGAGGAAGATGGCGGTGCTGAGGGGTCGTCCGCTGTGAGCGGGGAAGATGAGGATGATGACTGCATCAGTGTCTCGTCTGACTCTTCAGTCGAATCTATAGAGAAAGCCACCTTCCGTCCCTCTGTCAAATCTTTCACAAATTTACTGAAACGCATACGCCAGCAATTACGTGAATACCAGCAAACAAATGTCCTAGCCGATTTGAGGCAGGCAACTATCGACGCCAGGAAGTATTCTGGTCCCAAGCTCGACCCAAGTCTCCCATACCCTTTCAAGACACTCACCGAGGAGAGACGGAGAGGGTGGGATCCAGACGCAGAGGAAAACAAGGATGTGGAGGTAATTCCAGCACCTCAAAAGTGGGATCACACCGGCTCGATAATCCTGCCAAAAGCCAAGTCCATCGGCAGAGTCAATTCAAGTTTTCTTGCGCCAAATGTTCGGATCGCCACACATAGAGCCTACGATGATGAAGACGAGGACGATCCGGACTCCAGCATAAAATATGAAGAGTTCGAACTGCGCTACAAAACTGACTTCCAGGGGATGGAGCAGCAACGCCTATGCCAGGAGTTAATATACCTTTGGGAGCCCTGGGTCGAAGAACTATTGAAGCGCCTCCGAATCCAGAAGAGCGACGTCCTATACTTCTTTACGCAAGACCATTTTGAACCTGATCGCCAAATCGAGTTTAAATGCTGTGAGGGGTCTCGAACGGCGTGGAGAACAGAACAGAAGAGTGTTTGCAACACATGCAAACTGGCTGACCCACAGAGTCGCCAGAGCTATCTTGGTGAAGGCTTCAAGCGTCTGCCACGGCCTGATGACCGAAGCCTAGTTTTCGCAGGGCTAGCGGCTCGCGCCTTCCATAAGATGACAGGGTCAAGTCTGTGGCACATTGCCCTTGGCAGTACAATACAACCGCGAAATATGGACTCCGAGGCGGCCACGACGCAAGACCCCGGCTTCTGCTTAATCTGTTTTCGCCACCAGTGTCCAGATCACGGATCCTACGAGGAGCCTCCCGACGATGACGAAGGCCCGGAAACATCCAGAGCCTTTATAAACGACGATGAATCTGATCGGAACGTACGAAAGTTCGTGTCGCTGCCTCGTGCCAAGCGTGACGTTGAAAATAAGTCACATATATGCGGAATATTCTGCGTAGAATCGTCGACCAACTTGCGACAGATACTCGGCCGACAGCTCAACGGGAATATCAGCGGAGAGAGTCGGCCGCCAGAAAACTACATTAGGCCCATACTAGCAGATGATCACTTGTGCAGTTCGTCGTGCTTCTGGGATGTCACCAACCGCCGCGATATCACGGTATCAGAAGTAGAATTCCGCCCGTTTGTATCGGAGTCACAAAAAATCTCTGTCGAGAAGCTCATGGGCTTCTACCTCTACAATAAACGAGGCCCTTGCCTTATCTCACGAGTGATCAAGGAAGTAAGCTGCATGATGATTTTCAATCACATCATCTTCGCAATATTCAGAGTCAAGCATCCTCCCAATCCATGCCCGATAGCTACTAACACAAGTCCTACTCGGGGAGGTTCCAGCCAGATGGCACGCGGGAAGAAGAAACCAGCGCAGATAATTGATGTCTCCAGAAGTTCGGACTTAGAAAAGCGGGAGCCTTTTTTCCCTTGTTCCCATGAGGGACCGTGCATCAACAACCCGGCATGCTCATGCGCGACAAGCAAGGTACACTGTGAGCGGTTCTGCGGATGTGACGAGTCATGCAAACGACGCTTTCGGGGGTGCACCTGCAAAGCTGGCGGTAACAAGATCTGCTTCGAGGACAACAGGTGCGAGTGCTGGAAAATCAATCGTGAATGTGACCCCCATCTTTGTGGCAGATGTGGCGTGCTTGAAGTCCTGGATTCTTTTAACAAGTACCGGGATGACATCCGAAAGGGCCGCTGTAGGAACAACCGTATCCAGCTGGGCGTACCTGCCAACACCACCAGGGCTCCAAGCCAGGTCCAGGGCTATGGACTCTACGCCCTAACCAACATTCCAAGCGGGGACTTCATTGGCGAATATGTCGGAGAGATTATCAGCAAAACGGAGGGCGACAGAAGAGGCGCGCTCTATCATCTCCGAAATCAAGAATATCTCTTCGCCCTCAATGCGACTCAGGAGATCGACGCGTCCAATCACGGCAACAAGATGAGATATATGAACAACTCGCTGAAAGAAGAGAACGTTAATGTGGAGCCTAAAAGTCTGTGGTGCAATGGACAGGCGCGGATCGGGCTTTTTGCCAGGCGGCGTGTCAACGCGGGAGAAGAACTGTTGTGGACATATGGTTACAGTGAGGAACATGTCAAGAATTTTTGGGAGCCAGGAGAAAAGCCCGCAAGTGACCGAGCACTGCTCCCATATTCGGCGGAACGTGTCACACGGACCACAGGAACAGATAAGCTAGCAAAGGCAACCGGCGACAACGCTCGAGAAGATCGCAGCAGCCAGTCTCGTGTGCTACGTCAGCAACTGAAGCGTAGGAGAGAGGATGGCCAGAGCACTGGGGCAGGTTCAGGCGCCGATGAAGAAGCAGCACACAGCTCAACGAACGGCTCCACGGGCGGGCCAGCAGACGAGGCGACGCAAGATCCACCAATTGAAGATGCGGAGGATTCAGATTATGAGGCTAGGGGTCATGTATCGGATGACGGTGACCTGGGGGAGGACGAGCGGGATGTGGAGTCTGATCTTGACGGGTCCCGGAAAAGAAGGACCAAGGTGCAACAGCGCAACCGGACTAGCAATAATGGGGCGGGTGAGAGATGGAGGACGTCAGGGGCCAAGGACAAGAGAGGACGAGAGAGAGCACGCAACCACAAGCATGGGAAAAGGAAGGCAGAATTCTAGATGAAAGAGGAGGACGAACTCGGTCGAGCCGTCCATCAGTGTTAGGGACGACGGAGAAGCCCCAGGAAAGGAAGACTACCAAGGTGACTAACTGCTCGCTTGTTGGCCTTCTGTGGGTCGTTGGTGTGCCTCGTGGAGGCCCAGGAACAATGGAAGCTGGAACAAATGATGAGAACTGTGGTCTCGCTGTTGGACGGATTGGCCATTGATTCCCAACTGCAGGGTTGCGTGACGGCCATGATCTATGCTCGCTTTGGATGTAGGTACTGGGTACTGGGTACGGCTTACTTAGTCGCACAGTGGCGGTGCTACTGTACATTCCTTCCCGTAGCTTGGGCGGTTGAAAGATATTAGCCTGTTGGGCAGATGAGGAGCTTAAGGATCTCCACGACGAAGCAAGTGGCCGTGTTCGATGCTCTGTATTTGCCCCTGTACGTGTACATACCACTAAGGGACATGACAAAGAAGCTACGAGTAACTTGTCTACAGTGAACTGTCGCTGTGTGTGTGTGTGTGTGTGTGTGTGTGTGTGTGTGTGTGTGTGTGTGTGTGTGTGTGTGTGTGTGTGTGTGTGTGTGTGTGTGTGTGTGTGTGTGTGTGTGTGTGTGTGCCTGTCTTTATCTTTGATTCTTTGACGCAGTTCGATGACGTGAGCGGCGTGGACGTGGTGGCTGGCCCGCCATGTTGCTCTAGTGACCACTTAGTGCACCTGGAGCCACCTATGACGACCACAGAGGGCAGCTTCCTGGCCTACTAGCTGCCTAAAGCCACCTACGACGACCAGCCGACCTAAGTAGTTAATGTGGTTTGCGGTGCAGCGACTACCGGCCCTTACCCAGCATTCATCGATGGCTCTGGATGCCCGGCGTGCCTGAATGCCACGCAGCTCCAGCTCAAAAACCCAAAACCTGCAGCTTCCCCAAGCTCAGAGCTCGATCTTCTCACACAGCTCCATTCTCCTCCTTCTGTACCTGCGCCGCGTGAATATTTAATCCCGAACCCCTCCTCTGTCCGCTGTTTGCTATCTGGCTGTTAATTTGGTTGAGCCTGGCTTTGGTGAGTCGATACCCAGTATTGATTTCCATTCACCCTGGGATTGATGTCGGGAGTGGCGGTGGAGCCGACAAATGTTGCTGTTGCGGGCCCGTTCTCCTTGCTCTCGCCGTCACCATTCCCCTCCAGAAGGCCGCCCTGGGCGCTGGGGACTGGGGTCGACCATGCCCAAGGCCCATGCCAATGCCAATGACCAGCACACATGAGAGGCACCCAGGTGCCCCTGTCGTACGAGGTACACCCCTCGGGCTCAAGCCACAGCTCCCGCTCCGTTCCGGCACGTCATTCTGGGCCGTGAACCTCGACCTCTTTGTTGAAACCTCGTCACCATGCAACATCCTGCCACTGCCATCTTCGCTGACTCCCTTATCCGCTACTTTCCTCATAAACAACAGAAAACATCAACAATCTGGTTATCTTAAACTGCTGGCGTCATTTCACTAGAATCTATTCGCTCTTTGCTAACACCACGTCACACACAGAGAGCGCCTAGACCCCCTCCGCCCGTTTCCTGCCTGCGGTCACCCAGCTGAGCACCATCGTGCCTGAGCCCCTCAGACCACACCTCCCTTCACCCACCACCATCACCAAAATCACTGCCACCGCCACTCCCGTCTCTCAAGATGCATCGAACATATTCCATGCGCCAGTCGCGCGCCCCTACAGCTTCTCAAATTGAGAACCCTCCGCCGCCGCCGTCTTCCACAAAAAGTGGCCGGCTGTTCGGCCGGGGCAACTTTGGTATACAATGACCCTTGCGACGTTATGGTCACACACTGCAGCCCCCAGTGCTGACATAGAGGGACAGGACATGCTTTTCGAAAGGGCACGGCGGGTGCATTTGGGCCAGATCTGGCCAAAAAGCTCTCCCAGCTCGTCAAGATGGAGAAAAACGTCATGCGCAGCATGGAGTTAGTAGGCCGAGAACGAATGGAAGTTGCCGTAAGTACTTGGATTGTCCCCGATGGATGGTTTCGTGTCTAACTGGTGGCCCAACAGCAACAACTCTCCCTCTGGGGTGAAGGCTGCGACGAGGATGTTAGTGATGTTACCGACAAGCTGGGAGTTTTGATCTACGAGATCGGCGAACTGGAGGACCAGTTCGTGGATCGCTATGACCAATACCGCATCACCATCAAGTCGATCCGCAACATTGAAGCATCTGTCCAGCCGTCGCGAGACCGCAAGCAGAAGATCACGGACCAGATCGCGCAGCTCAAATACAAAGAACCCAACAGCCCTCGAATTGTCGTCCTAGAGCAGGAACTCGTCCGGGCCGAGGCCGAGTCACTGGTCGCCGAAGCGCAACTCTCCAACATCACGCGCGAGAAGCTCAAGGCTGCTTTCAATTACCAATTTGATGCGGTCCGCGAACACTGCGAAAAGGTGGCCATTATCGCTGGCTACGGAAAGCATCTGTTGAATCTCATCGACGATACCCCTGTCACCCCCGGCGAGACGCGCAACGCCTACGACGGATACGAGGCTTCCAAGGCCATCATTCAGGACTGCGAAGACGCCTTGACCAATTGGGTTTCGTCCACGGCGCAGGTCAGCGCCAAGCTCTCCACCCGGTCACGCACTCTAAGCCAGAGAAGGCGAGCCAGCGCCCACAAGGGCGAGGGAGTCGATCTGGCCAGCCAAGACCCACCGATGAAGAATGATCGCGACGGCTGGGTTCCCGCGGGCCAACACGGCGAATATGAGCAGGAGGAGGAAGAGGAGGAGGAAGAGGAAGAAGAGGAAAGACCACAGCAGACCAATGGTGAGTTCTCGCCGGCCGTTCCATACAAAATGAGCATGTGACCAAGGACGCTAACCTCGATTTCATCCTCAGGTCAACATGCCGTGGCAGCTTAAAAGCTGATGGTGAGTTCAATGACCACAAGCCAGATTGCGGACGAACAGGGCATGACCAAGTTACCACAACGACGACGACGACGACGATGAAGACGATGAAGATGATGAAGCAGGTGGCCGAGCGACATGGAGTGGACGATGAGAGTACTTGTCGCGATGGACTGGACAAAACCACCCGGCAAGGTACCCATTGGATGGCGCAGCAGGACATCCGGAGTAGATGTATGAAGGGCGAGTGGGCACAGCAGAGGAACTTGTCGTCAGGAATTGCGCTCTCTTTTGTCGATTTTATATCTTGAATCCGCGAGAATACAGGGCCGTCGTCGAATAGGTTGGGATGGATGCAAAAACCCAAGGAAAAGGGAGTCAGTCCATGTCATGTTGTCGCACCGCGGTAATAATAATGGAAGCAGAATCTGGCGTATGTTAATGGCGCAATGAAAATGTATCCAAGTGTTGTGTCGGTGATGGCTATTACGTGGCTCAAGTGTGGCACTTCTTGGTGAGTCGCACGAATAGTCAGGAGTGTTCCGTCCATCAGAGCTGTTTTCCGTTTTTGAGTTCTCCCAAGGGCCGTAGTGGTATGTAAGTCATCGTCGGGTGATCTAGGGCATCACGTGGCGGACAGCTGGATGGTGCTCGCGTGGACAGGCGGGTGTCTATAAATAGGCTCTCTCCTTTGCTCTAGCTGATAGACCTGCTTATCCAAGCCGGAGGCGAGTATTCAGCAGCATTGCTAGTCGAGGCAGCTTTTCTGATCCTGGAATGGTACCGTAGCAGGATCACAGGCTCGATCCTTGCCGCTACGAGAAATTACGAGGCAGCAGCTAAGAGCCGAGCCTAATTACCTAGGTAGGGAAGGTGTGTACTACCTACTCGGTCCTTGTACAAGTGATACTGGCTTAGGTAGGCAGAGCTGATGGGCAAATTCACCGTGAGGAAGGGAGAAAGGAGACTTGAGGAGACCCAGTTTCTGCGCCAGTCAGCACGACAGTGACGACGATCCCTCGGCAGCCAGTTCATGACCCATGGAGATTTCAGCCGCTTCGCTTGCGTCTGTCTAACAAGTAAGTATTACGACTCGTACTTATGCCATTCCCTGATGGCCTTCTGCGCCATCCTGCGCCATCCTCTCTGGGCACTGACCAACTCTGAACCACCAAGAACCAGCTGAGCCACCAGCTACTCCTCATCCAACCTGCTGTGCCACCTGAGGGCCCAGGGGAAGAGATACATATGAATTCACCGACATCGCGCAGCTTCACTGACCTCTTGACTTCATGCTTACTCGACCCTAGCCGCACCTGATTCCTCGCCCTCTTCTTCTACATTTTCGGTACATACTCGGTCCTTGTCATCCATCGCCGTCGCCATCGCCATCCACTCTCCATCCGTCCTGTAGGATTGGGCCCTGCACATTGTCCATCTCTGGCAACTCGCCTATCCTCGATCCTCTCCAGTGTCCACCGCGACCTAAAACCCTAGACCAAAGTCTCCCTGCGACCGCTAGCCTGCAAACTGCTCCCGCCGAAAGTTCAAAAACTGCCCCCATAATCTTACGGCCCCCGACCCAACAGCAATCTGTCACATCTCACTTTGTTCGCCATTATCTGTCCCTCTTCTTTTCCTCGGGGGGTGAAAAAAAAAGGCATTCTGTATCACTTTCTTTTCCATCATCAACTTGGACCACTGTCTCACACCGAGTCTCTCGTTTGCCATTTTGCAATCACCATCGCCCTTGGAGATTGACCTGATCTCGAACTTTGGAACCATTCCCCGCACCTAAATCCCTTCTCTCCAAAACCCGCCTCAGCTGAACTGCGATTGAGACAAAAAGAAGCGAACTCGTCTCACTCCTCGACCGCACGACTTCTCTCAGAACCAGACAGCATCAATCCAGCATGGTCAACCCAGGCCGTGTCTGCTGCATAGCAGCGCCGTTCCTCCTCTCAATAGCCGTGTTAATATGCATGGTACTGGTCTTCCTTGCCGGTACCTTTGACCGCAACAAGACGCTCGACGACCTGTACTTTATAAAGGTAAGCAGGGCTATGGCCGTGGGTTCAAGAACATTCTACCTAACACAGACTGCGGCTTTAGATCGACATGACCAACCTCACATTAACCTCCTCCGCAAACCTTGCAGGAGCAAACTCCAACATCACCATCCTGGGTGGCGCCCTCGAGGCCGCCAAGCAGTCCCTGGGTTTGAAAGACTACTACACAATTTACCTTCGAAGCTACTGCAGTTGGAATGGCAACGACGTCTACGCAAACTGCACCGACCCCAAAGCCTACTTTTGGTTCAACCCGATCAAGGTCTGGGGCTTGAACAGCACGAGCGTCCCGGCCGACAGCTACCTGCCCAAGAGCTTTATCGATGGAGTGAACGTCTACCACAGTGCTTCCAAGGCCATCTTCTACTTGTACGTTGGTGCTCTGAGTGCCGCGTGCGTCACCATCCTCGTGGGCATCTCGGCCATATTCTCACGATGGGGTTCCTTCTTCACCACCTTCTGCGCTTCCGCCATGGCCTTGCTCCTGGTGGCGGCATCCGTCACCGCCACGGCAGTCTACATCGTCCTGAAAGCCGCCTTGAATGACACCCTGAAGAAGGACTACGGCATCAAGTCGACATTGGGTGGTTCGGTATTCTCGGTCTCATGGATCGGTAGCGCGTTTGCGGTAGCGGCGGCATTCTTCTGGTTGCTGAGCGTCTGCTGCTGCAGTGGGAGAAGCCCCTACAACCCAGGTAGCAAAGAGGCAAGACGCACGAGGGCGGAAAAGACCCCGTATACCTATGAGAGGGTGGGAAGTCCGTACATGGGCCCGAGCGATCACCAGAGTGTGCCGTTGAACACGCTTGGTCCCCAGTCGTATGCGCCGCAGAGGGGCGCTGCTTATGAGCCCTTCAGACCGCAAGGCGTTTAAAAATGTATGCTTTTTCGGGAACTACGTCTTGATTGAGGGAGCCGATGTGAAGCTTGGTTTACGTTTACATTGCAGCGACGGTGACAATTTGTTGGGTGGTTTGGGAAAAGGACGGGATATGACTTTCGGGTTGGAGTATATATGCTCGCCATCGACGCGGAATAGCCCAGACAGGTAACGACGGCATCTAAAGCATTCGGCGCGCCGGCTCAATAACAGAACAGACAATACTACATATGTATGAGACTTTGTTGACTCGGGAGTGGATTGCGCGTCCCCCGTCTTGGACTTTGGCACTCGGAACTTGGAGCTTAAAGCTCTGCCATCTGCAGTCTACCCTCTGCTTTCTGCATCGTCGCGGTGGTTGCGTTGGTTGCGTTGGTTGCGTTGGTTGTGCCCTGAAACAGAGAAAACTGGGCATCTGTACGTACACACGTATATGCCTCCGGCGGCTGGGGTTATAGATCGAGTACGAATCGAGCACGGCGTACATCTAATACATTACATGCACACGGAGCACAAACCGAGTTTGTCGAGGTCGTACGGCGCGAGCACACATGGAGGAAACATCTCACCATATATTGACCTATCTATCTATTCATGTTGGTTGGTTTCAATGGTTGGTTCTTTGTTTTTGTTTTTGTTTTCTCATCTTCGATTTTTTTGAATTCTTCGCTCACTCACTCTACAACGCCCCTCCATCCCCCGCGCGGCTTGTAGCCCACGAGGCCTTCATCCCTCGCCACGTCGGCCGCGGTGCGGCCCGTCAGCACACTGACTTCGACGTCCCTGCCCAGGACATGGAAAGGTTCGAATCCGCCCAACGATCCAGCGTCGTCGTCGGCCCCCTGTTCTTCATCACCGCCCTTTGATTCGGGCTTGACCTCGGACGACGAGGGCAGACGCGGCCGCTCCCACACCTTTCGGCCAAAAGCAGCTTGGTTCGTCGGACGGAAGCCGCAGGCGGCGCGGTCGAGGGAGAGAAACCATCGGCGTTGGTGGATCGAGTTGATGCTGTTGGTCGCGCCGGGGTAGGCGTTGTTGAGACGGACCGAGGTTTCCTCTTCGTCCAACTCCACGTCTGCCTTGGCTGGTTTCTCCAGAGTTGGAACATGGTCCTCCCGGTCACTGGGGACGATTTGGGTTGTTACGGGAATTGTAGGTGTCGTTGGCTCCTGGTCTCGGTCTTGGTCTTGACTGGGAGAAATAGGATGTTTCGACCGTGGTGGAGGAGATGCTGTGCGCACAAGAGAAGATAAGCTTCGGTGGACTCTGGGAGAGCGTCTCGAACTGAGATGATCGAGGTCGGAATCCGAGGATACCGTAACAAGCGGAGAGCTTGACCTGCCTGAATCTGAAGTCTCGATTTCCTCGGGTTGCGGTTTCCGACGCGCTGGCGCAGTCGAGTTCTGAATATTCCTCTTTCGCCGCTTAAAAGCTGGTGCATCAGGCTGTACGAATCTGTTGTTCTCCTGACTGAGTCTCAGATTGAGAGTATAGTTCTTCGGCAACCGGGTGCCGTGCAGACGGAGCTTGATCTTGCGATTTTGGAATGCGCGGTAGAGTTTCGATGGCTCGGACTCTGCCTTTTCTTTGCCGGGCAAATCGCTGTCTGTGTCCAGGTCCGAATCCTCGGTGGATGTAGCATCACCAGTGGCGCTGGTTCTGCCAGAAGACGGATTATAGGCCAACACCTCGTATTCACCAGTATCCCAGAGCAGCATCGTGCCAGTATCATGTGAGGCTGTCTCGATAAGATGATTCCACAAGTTATGCACTCTGGTCTCGGTGGCATTGCGATTTAACTTCCTACTATTCGGGTCGCCGGGAAGGCCGTACATGATGGCAAAGCTGATTGAGCTCGTTGCATTACATTGTAACCGGAGATCATAGTGAGTTCCAGCTATGGGATGGTCGTGCTGATGAACGACGAAATGGTGGCCCCTGTCATTGAGGTTTCGGTTGTACAGAGCTAGCCAGTCGGAGTGGGAGAGCCGCGGTTGGCCTTCACCTGGTGGACGTGTGGCCGCGAGAAGTTTGGAGGAAAAGAAAGACACATGATCTCGGATTTGGAGCTCACCAGCTTCGACGGCTGCTGTGGTCGATTTCGGTTGGGGTGTCGATGTGATGCCGGGATCAGTGCAGGACTTGCGGCTACGACGGCGTGGATTGGGAAGGGGAGGTGAGATGGATCGTCTCAGAGAGGCTGGCAAGGCGAGATCCGAATTGAAACACTCTGGTTCTGGCTTGGCCGCCGGATTGTCTATATTTTCATCAGGGTTGCGTCTCTTCATTAACACTGACGGCGCAACATGTCGCAGGCTCTGAGGTCGATAGCCGTACTCAGTACCCAGTATTGCCAGTACAGAGGTACAGTACTGTAGCTCGGTAGGTTGGAGGAGTCCGAAAAGGGAAAGTCGGAGACTGAGCGCCATTCGGTTTATGATGTCATTGCCAAGCCGAATTCCAGTGATGACTAAGGGTTGAGGCCAGCAGCTGATTGGCTAGTATTTAGGAGGTAGTCTTTCGCTTACCCAAGAATTGGATAACCACTTCCACTCGCTTACTCCAAGCTGTTTTCTCCTTCTTGCCTGACTACTGACTTACAAAGTCTCCTATAATGCTCCCCGGGAGGCTGTTCTCGAGGTGTCCACAATGCTCTCTTCGACACCCAGGTCTAAGTATATAAGTTTTCTTCCCACTCGATGTTCTCCCGTTTGGCCCGTCAAACAACGAAATTCTTCATAACATCAACAGCAATTCTCACAGCAATCGCAGCGATTTTGATGCTCAGCAACAGCAATAACACTACCACCAACACACAGGATTCCATGAGAGCAACCGCCGTCCTCAGAGCAACCATGTCGAACTTGTCACACGCGAAGATCACCCCCCGCCCTTCCAAGACCCGAGGCGCAGCCAACCATGGCTGGCTCGACACCAAACATACCTTCTCCTTCGCTGGATGGTACGATCCTAGATACATGCAATACGGATCTCTCCGCGTCTTGAACGAAGATCGCGTCATGCCTGGCGAAGGGTTCCCGACACACTTCCATCAAAACGCCGAAATCTTCTCCTACGTGCTGTCGGGCGAACTGACCCATCGCGATTCGATGCAAAAGAAGGGGGCAGAATCTGACGACAAGGACAAATTTTACCGCTTGCACCGCGGGGATGTGCAATTTACCACGGGCGGAAAGGGCATTTCGCACAGCGAGTACAACGAACATAACAAGGACTGGGTGCACTTTCTCCAGATCTGGGCTTTGCCATGGAAGAGGAGCCTGCCGCCCATCTACCACACCAGCACCTTTTCGGACGAAGACAAGCGCAAAGGCTTTGTCACCATCATCACCCCATTGAAGGCAGGGCCCAATGCCACATTGGAGGACGAGAAGGCAGCCATCCCCGCCAAAGAGGGCACGATTCCCATTCATGCCGATGTCGTATTTAGTGCAGGCATCATCCCCACGAACACTACATTCAACTATCAGATCGGCGGCGGAGATGTCGTCACATCCAAGGTCGACCGAAAAGTCTACATCCACCTGCCGGAAACGAAAGGTGGAAAGGCCAAGGTCCGGCTGGACGGACGAGAGGACGCCATCCTCAAAGAAGGAGACGGTGCCTATGTGAGTCATGTCAACGCGGGAGACATGCTCAAGGTTGAAAGCATTGGAGACGCAGAGGCGGAGGTTGTGGTTATCGACTCGGAGTAAAAAGGCTCAAAAGGGATTGGTAATGGCCAAATTGGGGAACATGAATTCGTTGAACATTCTTATGGAGTGAAGGAGCTGTCAATGAATACTCTGTATATACGCTGGAACAATCGAGCAATGTTGTTTTCCATGGGTCAAGCGTGTGTTTCCTGGAGCCCCGTATCTCTCCAATCATTATCTAAAAGCCCGTATCCGAGTGAGTCATTACATAGGAGTCTGCCGAGGCGCGGATCTGCGACAAGAATTGCGGAGTCACTCAGAGTCAGTCAGAGTCACACAGCTATTAGACGACGAGGTAGCGAGTACCAGGAGAGTTGCCAATGGTTATTGAGAGCGGTAGTGCACGATAGCCTGGTCATCCAGCGACCTAGTACCCTACATAGTAACCTAGTAACCTGGTAACCTGGTAACCGGGTAACCTAGTAATCCAGTCACCTACAAGTAGTATTACTGTAACCCTTGGGCGACCAAGCCGAATACCGACAAGCTATTACTATCTACCCAGTATTCCCTGCCCAATCTTGTTTCATCTCCCGAATACGAGGTTGCACGTTTTGCAGCTGCAACTTCAGCTTCGCCCGGTGACGATATCTTCTGTCATAGATAGATAGAGACAGAGACAAATCCATCGCGCACAATTACGACTGCAATCGACTGCAATCAGGTGGATGAAAATTCCGGGCTCCGTGTCCGGCCTGCACCCCATCACATTACAAACACACCAAGACTCAACCTCGCTTTTCCCTCTCTCTGATTTCTTCTCCTTTCTAGACACACTCCCCCTCTGCGTTCCATCCAAGGTGCCGTGTGTGCCAGTGCAATGTGTCCTTGAAATCTCTAGCTGTCTGATCTGTCTACTGGCTACATTGGGGCGCGGCCACCATCATGACAGCCCATCACACATCGTCATCATCATCGGTCGCAATCTCAATAGCATGTCTGGCTGTTGTAGGCGCTTTGTCAACTCCAGCATTCCGCCAGTTTCTGCTTCGCATTCGAGCCAAAAAAGAACAGTATCAGGAGCTCTCTCGCCGATATGAGGACAAAGACGGAAAGGCCACGGAAGAATCTCAGCGAGCGTGTTCCGACTTTGTCGTTCGATTAATCCTAATTGTAATTTCTACCATCGCTTGCCTCGATGCTTTGGCCACCGCGATATTGACAACGAGCCGGCCCAATCTATCTCTCCCCCTCGAACAATGGCTTCAATTTGCAACCTGGGTAAGCCTCCTGCGATGGATACCGGGTGAAAGAGAGTCGCATCGTCTGACGTCTGCTAGTCGCTGATTTTGTCCCAAACTGTCGCCATCTACATGACGCCCTCATCAAAGCAGCGATATCGTCTGGGGATCTTTACCGGCTTCTCATGTCTGCTCATCGCCGTTGCTGTAGCGGTCGAGAACGTATCGCTATGGCAGTCCAACGTCACCCCGCTTCCGCGAAGCGCCCATCTTACATTATCGCTCGTTCAGTTCATCGCTGGGATCCTGCTTCTCTTGGCCAGTCTGTCAATCCCACGGCGGCCGGACGTCTATTGGAATGACAAAGTGGTCGACCGGCAAAACACCGTTTCGTTCCTCGCCAAAATCACCTTCTCCTGGGCTTCGGCGATTCTTTCTTTTGCGGCGAAGAACAAGGGTCTAGACTACGATGATCTTTACGAGATTGACCACGAAATTCGTTCTCGAGAATTAAGAACCAACTTCGAGGCTGTTGGACGCAAAGACAAACTGTGGAAGACGCTCTTTTGGTCCCACAAATGGGCCTTCATCCAACAGTGGGTTCTGCAGGCAACGTGCTCCATCACGGATTTCCTACCCCAAATCGCCCTTTACTTCATTCTCAAAACACTCGAAGCCCGAGATGAAGGCGAAAATGTGGCGCTCACGTCATGGCTGTTGGTGATAGGCCTCGGTTTAGCCATTACTTTTTCGTCGTGGCTTGAGGCTTGGATGTTCTTCATCACATTCATGAAGATTGGCGTGCCAATCTACGAACAGTTGTCGGCCGTCGTGTTTGGAAAAGCCATCAGGCGAAAAGATGTCAAGGGCACAGGCAAGAAGCAGGAAGACGAGGAAGCGAATGGCAACTTGAACGGCGAAGTTGTGGTCAGCATGGACGCTGGCCACAAGGGAGGAGATCGAGCTCCGGACGAGGACAAGGATGGCGACTTTCAGAAGTCGAAGCAAAGCACCATCAACTTGGTTGGTGTCGACTCGAAACGAATCTCGGATTTTGCAACGTTCAACTACATCTTTCTTGGATCCGCCATCAAGTTGATCTTTGCCATCAGCTTCTTGTCAAAATTGATTGGACCCATCCCGTTGCTTGCTGGACTGGCGGCGCCTGCCCTGATCACGCCCATCAACATCATAGCCGCCAAGCGATATGCCGCTGCTCAAGACGACTTGATGAAATATCGTGACCATAAGATGGCTGTGGTGACCGAAGCTCTGCAAGGCATCCGTCAAATCAAGTTCAGTGCCCTTGAGCGGGACTGGTACGAAAAGATTCTCGAAACCAGGAGGAGGGAACTGAAGACGCAGTGGCAAGTGTTTGTGTACGACACCACTCTGATCAGCATTTGGATTTTCGGGCCCGTCATGCTTGCCGCCGTTTCATTGACAACTTATGTTCTGATCTACAAACAATTGACGGCGTCGGTGGCCTTCACGACTATTTCCGTCTTCGAAGCTATTGAAATGACCTTGGCCGTCATTCCAGAAATGATAACAGACCTCCTTGATGCTATAGTGTCTGCGAATCGGGTTCAGGAGTATCTTGATGCGCCTGAACGAATCGACAGCACCAAGGCTGGTGATGCTGTGGTGTTCAAAGATGCTACGGTGTCTTGGCCGTCAGACAATCCTGAGAACGAAGAGAACCAGTTCGCGTTGCGCAACTTGAACCTCAGCTTCCCTCAGAATGAATTAAGCGTCATCTCAGGCCGCACTGGGTCTGGGAAGAGCTTGCTCCTGGCCTCCATCATTGGCGAGGCTGAAATTCTCGGAGGCGAACTTGTCGTCCCCAAACCGCCGCCAGCTGCCCAGCGACGCGACTCCCTTGCGAATAGGAGCAACTGGGTGATTGAGTCTTCCATTGCCTTTGTTGCTCAAATTCCTTGGATCGAGAACGCTACTATCCGCGAAAATATCCTTTTCGGACTCCCGCTCGACAATGACCGGTACCAAAAGGTTCTGCATGCGTGTGCGCTGACGAAGGATCTGGAAATGTTGCCGGATGGAGAACTCACCGACATTGGTGCAAATGGAATCAATCTCAGCGGCGGCCAGAAATGGCGAGTCTCATTTGCTCGTGCCCTGTACTCGAGAGCAGGCATTCTTGTCTTGGACGATATCTTCTCAGCAGTCGACGCGCACGTTGGGCGACATCTGTTCGAGCAAGCGCTTGTAGGGGAACTCGGCCAAGGCAGAACAAGAATCCTGGTGACACACCACGTCGCCTTATGCCTCCCAAAAACGGACTATAGCGTTCTGTTGTCCAACGGCACCGTCGAACAGGCAGGCAAAACAGAGGAGCTGCGACGAAGTGGAAAACTAAAATCGATCCTGGCCGAAGACGAAGAAGAGCGAAAACGGGAGGACGAAGAAGAAGCCATTGAGAACCTAACGGTGGATGACGGCGGTGGTCTCCAGAAAATGTTGACCAACCAGTCGCGCCGGTCGAGGCGGAAATCCGCTCTCAGTGACGCTGCCAACAATTTGATGCGTCGTCCATCCCGTGCCAGCCTGAATGACGCGAAGCAAAGCCGCAACCCGCCGAAGAAATTCACAGAGGAAGAAAGGCGCGAGACAGGCGCTATCAAGTACCGAATCTACGTAGCCTACGTCAGGGCGTCCGGCGGGTTCGGTTATTGGCTGTTCATCCTGGCCATCTTTGGTCTTTGGGTCGCAGTTTTCCTGGCCAGGTCGTATTGGATCAGTGTGTGGACTAGATCGTACCGCACAGAGTCGGAGCATATCTTCCCCCAGAGGCTGGCCCAGCAATCTCTGAGTAGCGTCTATCGCCACCTCCATGCTCAGTACTCCGCTGCGGCCATCGACCCAAACCTCCGATACTACCTATCAGTCTACCTTGGCATCTCCCTCGTCGCCTGGCTGATCGGTACAGTACGCTACTTTTTCGTCTTCTTGGCCTCCATTCGCGCCTCCAAAATACTCTTCGAAGGGCTCGCCTTCACCGTCCTCCGCGCGCCTCTACGCTGGCTCGACACTGTGCCTGTGGGACGCATCCTGAACCGCTTCACCTCCGACTTCAACATGCTCGATTCGCGCATAGCTATGGACTTGGCCTTTATGCTCCACAACATGATGCACGTTCTGTCAGTCGTGATTGCAGGAATATTCGTGTCGCCATTCATGATCGTCTTTGCGATTTGTCTGCTTTCAATTTCCATGTACTACGCCCTGCGCTACCTCGCTGGGGCCCGGGAGGTGAAGAGGCTGGAAAGCAACGCAAAGTCTCCCGTCTTTGAGCAATTCGGTTCGGTTCTCATGGGTATTGGGACAATCCGTGCATTCGACAAGTCTGATGCGTACCTCGACAAGATGTACGCCAAGATTGACCGACATTGTCGCGCGTACTGGCATCTCTGGCTGTTCAATCGGTGGATGGGATGGCGGTTGAACATGGTTGGTGCCATGTTCGCGGCCATCACCGCAGCCCTGATTGTCTCCATTACGAGCATTGACTCGAGTCTCGCTGGATTTGCCCTGAGTTTCGCGCTCGGCTTGAGCGAAGGTGTGATCTGGTTCCTACGACAGTACTCAAATGTGGAACTAGACATGAACGCCACTGAGAGAATTGTGGAATACAGCAACATCACGATTGAGAATCAAGGGGGCGTGGATGCGCCGGCCGCGTGGCCCACCGAGGGAAATCTTGAGGTCGACGATTTGGTCGTTGGGTATGCCCCTGATCTCCCACCAGTGTTGAAGGGTTTGACCTTCAAGGTCACGAAGAACCAGCGCGTCGGCGTTGTTGGACGTACGGGCGCGGGCAAATCTTCACTGACGCTTGCATTGTTCCGATTTCTAGAGGCCCGGAGTGGGAGCATCTACATTGATGGGGTGGACATTTCCAAGATCAAGCTGTACGATTTGCGCTCGAGGCTGGCGATCATTCCGCAGGATCCCGTGCTGTTCTCGGGTACGGTTAGGAGCAACCTCGATCCATTCGAGCAGCAAACGGACAAGGAATTGAAGGAGGCGTTGGCGCGGGTGCATTTGATTTCATCGACTACGGCCTCTCCGTCGGCTGTGGTCAGCGGCAGCGTGACGCCCGTACGAGATCAGCACGCCACCGACAGCACACCAGATGCCGAAGCCGCCGCCGCCGCAAACATCAACATCTTCCGCAGCCTCTCCTCCAAGATCTCCGAGGGCGGGCTCAACCTCTCCCAAGGCCAACGACAGCTCCTCTGCCTTGCACGCGCCATCGTGTCCCGGCCCAAGATCATGGTCCTGGACGAAGCCACGTCGGCGGTGGATATGGAAACCGACGCCCTGATCCAGCGAAGCATCAGAGAGGAGTTCACGGACAGCACGTTGATCGTGATCGCGCACCGGCTGAGTACGATTGCGGACTTTGACAAGATCCTGGTCATGGGGGAAGGCAGGGTGCTCGAGTTCGATACTCCCAGAGAGTTGATGGGGAAGAAAGGAGGTGTCTTTCGGGGCATGGTGGAGAACAGTGGTGAGAGGGGCGAGTTGGAACGGATCATGGGCATCGGTGGCGGGGGTAATCCGGAAGGACAGGAACAAGAGCAACAAGAAGAGCAACAAGAAGAGCAAGAGCAAGAGCAAGAGCAAGAGCAAGAGCAAGAGCAAGAGCAAGAGCAACGGCGAGAGGAGGACCGTGAAGTCAAAGCGGGAGGGAGTGCCGGTGCCACTGACGGTGTGGATGCCACAGCCAGCGGTGCGGGACACGAAGACGACAGTTCCGAGGCAGAGGGCAGTTGGGGAATCGGAATCGGAATCGGAATCGGAATTTGAGTGTGAGTTCCTGCGCCAAAACCAGAATCAGAATCGAACAAGAAAGGACATTGCAGAGGAAAGGAAGAGTTCTGGGTTAGGGTGTTGGCAATGGAACAAAAGTGTTTTTTTGATTTTATTTTTTGCGTTTTTCAAATCATGTCACTGTCACACGCCGAGAGACAGAGGCACTGGGGGGGGGGGGGGGGGAGAGAGAGAGAAACAGGGGTTGGAGACATAGCATATGAGTAGCTGCTCATAACACGGAGTACATACCAAGCAGGTAGACATAGGTACGTACGGATTGGGGGAAAATAAAAATTACAAAATATTAATGGCAATATACGGTCGGGGACATCCAAGTCTAAGCGTGAGGCTGACTGGGTATTTGAACCCTTTTTGACTCTGTTCTAACAAGTCCCCCAAACCTTCGAACTCTTCGTCCAATTGGAGCCTTTTCTCACCAGATGGAAAGATAGCCCTAGTCGAATGAAGCAGCTAAGTCTGCGTATTCAGTGGGCTTTCAGCTGCAAGACCAAGGTGCTTTTCTACCATGCGGCTCTCAACGTATTGAAGGGCAATGGTTCCTTCTGTTACAAGCCATGTCGCTAAATGGCCGTTGTCGCCGTCACCAACGCCAGTATTCTAGATGACGACGACGGCGACGACGACGACGACGACGACGACGAAGAAACTGTTGAGGAGCTCGCTGGAGTAAACTTTCTAGATCTTGATCCTCTCGACAACACCAGGCAGAACCAAGAAGAGCACGCAAAGCAATTTGAAGGTCTCGGGGCCATCCGCGCTGTGCAGAAAAAGATTCTCAAACTTGCCGACGAGGCAACGACTGCCACTGCATCGGCTCCCAACACTTTGGGCAGCAACATCACGCTCTCAGGTATCAGCGTAGGGAGTGATGGAACCTGAAAGCACTCGGAGACTACTGTAGCGCAGGAGGATCCCGATGTCAGTTCGCCACAGCAGCGGACCAACGGACGGCCAGCGCAACAGACCAGGGAGCTGGAAGTCGTACAAGGAGCATCTGGAAGTAAAGAAAGTGTCGAAGTGATCCAATTCACCGACTCATTAGGATCACGGGTTGATATTCCATACGGCTTGGTTCGCACCTGGAAAGCAAGTGTATTCTCCCTGTCCTACCCGATATTTACTAATCCCGCCATAGGCTGCTCACAACTGGGATAGCTGTGTAAAGCCTGGTTGGAAAGTCGAGCTTGGGCTGGATGATGAAGGACTCCAAGCTCTTAAAAGAAACAACAAGGTCAGAATTCCGTCCTGGAAGTTGAGCCGATTAGCACAAACTGCAGCTGCCGAAGCCAGCCTCGACAGTCTTGAAACACAACCTCAAGCACCGTCAGAATTGGCGAGGCAGAATCCGAAATTACAGCTTGATAACACGAACTCGCATCCAATGGGAATGTGGATTCCACCTCAAGTCTAGACACTCAACAGGGGAGCATTCACCAAAGGAACGGTTCCGGTTTTAGGGGCAAGTTTGGGTTTTGAGTGGAAAACAGTCAGTCCATAATCAATGATCAATGTCTTTGGGAAATGTCTGGTAATACTTCGGCATGAGGTCCGGAAAGAGGCGTTCTAATGTCGCTGGCTTGGCCACCCACGTTGCGAGTTATGCCGTCGCATAAGAGGTTCGGATGCGCGAAAGGTGACGGTAATTGTGGAAGCAGGAGCTAGGGCAAGTGGTCTGGAACATGGCACCGCTTGGATCAATTGAACGAGAGGCGGGCCGATGGGGTGGCGGCTACAGCAGTTGACACAGAGAGATACAAGTTGAAAATCGTGATGGCACAAGGAATCAAAGATCGAGGTTGTGGCAACACGCCAGATACTCCTCGACAAGCGAAACAGAACCCAGTCGGGGCATGAAAAAGTATGGGAGAGGAAGCAACACAGATAAAAGGGGGATGAAAGGGTGGATGGCCACGCGAGTAGTGGAAACCATGTCGAGAGAGGAAGGCGTTGTGAAAAGGGAAGGCGGAGGATCATGTTGAAGCGGGCAGGGGGGTGGTTCGGTCAAGCCAGAACGGGTCAAAAGAGAAATATGTGTTCGAATAAGGAAGGCATAACCAAACAAAACAAGACTGCGCCAAACTCGGGACGCAGTGGAAGAAAGAAGGCATTAAGGAAGGCGCACTGAAAGGGAAGGCCGGTCGAATGAGGGATGCGTGACGAGAGAGGAAGCAAATACGAAACGGGGAGTGAAGAGGCTGGTGACAGGCCAAGAGCAGATCGAAAAGGAAGTCGCACAGGAGAGGAAACCGTGACGTCCTAATGTGTATGAAGAGGAAGTCGTGGTAGAAGACTAAGGAGAAGGATGTATCGAAACAGGAAAGTGTGTAGTCGTTTGGATGGAAGAGGAAGCCGTAGGTTGGCAACAAGGCAGGCAAAAAGAGTAAGTCACATACAATGGAGGACATCGGACATCCAAAGTCCAAACGTATAGGAGGCTGTAGGGCGAGGCAACATGTTGAAAAAGGAAGGCGTCCAAGAGAGGCAAGCGTGTAGTCGCCTGACACCAAACCAAACCCAGCCTTCACAATTGTGGTTTCGTCTCGTACTTAAGAGTGGTGATCTGTCCGAGCGCGCTAAGAATTTCCACCGATTCTTCCGTCCACAGAGATCTGCATTTGACAGAAAGCCAACGGTAAGTTGTGGACTTGTCCAGCCTGGAGCCTGGTCTCCAAGTGACCCGGCGCGACAAGGCTCGCCAGTCACGTGACTGCTTTTGGGAGAACATCTGGAGGCTCTCGGCAAAGAAACCGGAACCTGCAGCGCGATGAGTCTGCGCCTTCCAGTGTCGGTGGGCTCAGAAAGCAGGCGAGCGATCCTCGCTTACGTACTTTGCGGCTGCCCAACGCGCCGTCTCCTTTCCTGAGCCAGTAGGCCGACAGCAGAAAGGTTCCCTCTCCTCAAACGATTCTTCGTCGGAGGCTCGACAAAGAATCCAGGCACTGCTCGCCGGCTAGCGTAGTAGAAGGGCTGCGTACTCGGTATGGAGCACGACGTTGAAACAATTACTCCCAGCCTTCATTTGCACGGGCCTTGTGGGATCCGTCGTCTCTCAGCTGAAGACAACACTCGACGGCACACTTTGCCTCTCTGAATCGGGTTGCAGTGCCATCGTAAGTTGTGTAAGCCGGTCGTCATGCTGGGAAATGACATCTTGCGGACGGGGAATGAAACGGAAGTTGCTGGTCCCAACAACGGAAAGCCGCAGTGAGCTATGTTCCGATCTGCTCAGCCTTCTAAGTCCACAAGTCAGACCACCGATCCTGGGCACGAATGAGGCTATAATTCATCCTTACTTGTCAGGCCGTCATGCCTTTTGATATGTTTAGTTGCCGAGCCCTCGAAGAAGCCCTCCAGCTCCATATATTCAGCCGCAAACACCGTAGTAAGAAGAGCCCAGTCTTCAACAGTAGGGATGTCTAAATGCTCGCCATCGTCACGCATAGTGTGCCAGACGGAAGGAAAGCGCGCAGGGATGAGATGCAAAACATGGACGCCTCTGGCAATAAAAGGGATATGGTCGTCTTCCATGACATAGCTGCTGAATCTATCAGTCTCCTTTTTGTCCTTTTCGGGTAGCCAGGTGTGCGACGGGTTGCTTCGGAACATGCCCAATTTGCGGAGTCGTTGCTCAGCTTCGGCCATCTTCACATATGACCAGTGGGAGCTGTGTTGCCACGAAGGGATCGGAAGGTCTTCTGGCGAGCCGAGAAGATCGAGTAAGACAAACAATTCGATGGAGTCGAGGTAGTTTTTGTAGATACTGGTGGCTGGGTGGACAGTGTGCTCCCACTCTTCAGCAAGTGATCTGGCACCATAAATACTGTCGGTTGCTGTCCAGCTCAAAAAAGCCTCCTCGCCATCGAGAAACAGTACCTGTATTCCCTTTTGCTCCTCAAAGTCAGGATCAATGAACCCTTGCTCTTGCATCGTGTCCCATTTCTTTGCCAGCGCAACGTCTATGGATCTGATGGCATGCATGATCATTGCACATGGTGCTGCAGAGTCCGTCGCACCAATGAATCCATCCGGCTGGTACTTTGAATCATAATGCGCTACCAAGGTCAAGCGTCCGACATCGCCGGGCTGTGTCCATGGAGGATCTCGAGTGGCAATAAGATTCACAAACGGCACTTCAGTGTCTCCGTGAGTGGGTGTCTTTGAGGTTGAGTTCTGGAAAGACAATGTCCAGTCTGGCAAGAAAGCGTGGAAGAAATCAACAAAGTGCTGGAGGACCTTCTTAGAGCCCTCTGTTCCGGGGACTCGAGGGATCAAAATCGGAGCTAGAAGGTTGCCGCTGTGTATATCGAAATCGCTGGTGTCTGGTCGGGGGAGAGTATGTTGAAGGGTTTCATCGGAGAGTGGCACATATGCCAGGCCTCCTGACCAGAGAGATATCAGTGAGATCACAACCGAGCACCAAGTGGGCAGCCAGCACCGCATTTTCACAGGAAAGAGAGAAGGGACGCGTTCATTTAGACATTTCCAGAATTGAGACTTGTGAATGCATTGTGGAGGGAACTACTCGCACTATTGCCGGAAGAGAGAAAGCCCACTGACCTGTTGAGGCTTGTCATCTTTCTGACCTCGGCGCAGTTTCCGTCGCAGGACGCGATGCGAATCTCCAACTTCAATGCTCCATTGCAATCGCGCCATTCAAATTCTAGGTACGAAAGCTATCGACGGCAGCTCAACGCAACCAAGACAGATGAGAAACCTGCCACCGGCTCTGGTGGCCGAAATCCGTCATGTCTTCCAATGTTGCTCCGGGCAGTGCGCTGCCTCAAGAAGGCCTCGATTCAGCACCTTGCAACCACGACTAAAGAGCATTCAGCCACGAAAGGACGACAGTATCCCCATTCAAGTCGTCCACAGCCAGTTGCAGGCCCAGAAAACAAACCAGGCGCGGCCCTCGATACCTCCAGCTCCGCATACGCCCGAAGGCAAGGAACTTATACCGCAGGAAGAGCAGGCAAAATCTCTCGACACCGGCCGCAAGGTTGAGGTCCCTTTCAAGGTCATTCCAAAGGCTGAGGTCGCCCCTAATCTGACGCTGTCTCCGAAAGAACGGCTCCATATCGAGCAATTGACAAGAAGACTGCCTCCTCGCCCCGAACCAAAGGGTGCGTCTCTCAACACAACATTCAAGAGCTAGACAGACGCTAACAAGTCACAGTGTACAAGAGGAGACTGCGCATATACACCGCGGGCAATGGCAGGATATATATGCTCACCCTCCTTCGCTTCACGACGATTGCCGCCTTGGGTTTTGTCACCGTTATTGTCGCTCCGGCGCATTGGGTGAATGGGAGTTCGTTGTGGACTGTTGCTGGCAGTGAGTGCTCCCTTGTCGCGCAAAGGTAGCCAGCTAATCTCGAGGTCTGCAGTATGGCTGGCAGGCTTGGTCCCGTTCATCTTCGTAAACTGGACTTTGAGACCGATGGTGACAGAAATATTCCTTCGGCTTCCACCATCGGCTCAAACATCTCCAAAGGTAGCCATGGCTTATGCCAAAAGTCTTCCGGCAGATGCCACCCTCGACCTGAGATTCATGCGATCCTTCACCATCACTGACATGGTATCATTGAAGATCGCTAACACAAAACCTATCAAAAGCCTCTTCCGGCCCGTCAGCTTTGAATGGGTTGGGCCGCTGGTGGAACGGGGAGGCTTGCTGAGACCGAACCCGACTCAGTTCTATGTACGGCCTGAATCGGCGGGCGGCAGAGCAGCAAGGGATGTCATTCCGGGGATCTGGAGCAAAGTTTACGAACGACTTACTGGAATTGAAAGCAACGTCGTATCCAAATGGCGGCGATGATCGAACTCATGGCCGTCCTTGATCTACCAACTCACTTCACGTCCCACCCTATCGAAGGTGAATGCCAGGCAGAATTTGCGCTCCAATATTCACTGACAAAGCGATCTCTCGCCAAGTGAGGCCATCATTCCCGTGCTTCCCTCTCTTGGATCTCACTGCCTTCATCGCTTTCCAACTTCCACCATCTTTCTCTACCTTCATCTGAAACCCATCGTCCCTTGCCACGACAAGTGAACCGCCATAGTGACCACCAACTCTCTACACCAGCACCTCTTCGTCATGTCTGACTCTTCAGCGACCAAAACCTCTGGTGGTCTTACCGCCCGTGAGTCGGAAGTCGTGATCGCCGCTCTTCATTGTGTCAAAGGTGGTGACATCCAAGTAAGTCTTGCAGAGCTTCTCATTCGTGACAGTCAACCTACTCATCTGCTTCCGTCGCCCCTACCTTTCGTTTCTTCTAGCTGACTGGCTCCTCTTTCAGATCGACTATGCCGCTCTTATGAATAGGCTTGGTTTCAAAACCGAGGCATCAGCTAGATCGGCTTGGTGTGGAGTCAAGAGAAAGCTCGTCGGCGATGCTGCTAAGGCGTCACCTCCTGATGAACAGGGAACCAGCGGAAAATCAAAGACACCTCGCAAACCAAAAGACTCGAACACAACCGCAACACCAAAGTCAGGCAAGAAAGCTACCAAGGTTGAAGCTGCCGACAAGGACGCCGGCAACGATTCTGGTGATGGTGAGAACAACATTCCCGCAACCGCAGTTGAGAACACCGAAGTGAACACATCGGAAGGTCAGTTTGAGCGAACACTGGAAGACATATACGTGTTCGACCCATACATTCTCTTCATCCTTCCGTCGCCTTACGACGCTTTCGTGTACTGACATCCTTGCTCACCCAGAGCCACCGCCAGCTACGCCAAAGACAGCTTTGTCGACACCCAAGAAGCGTGGCCGCAAGACCAAAGCCGAAAAGGAAGCTGAAGCCGCCGCCAACAGCGAGGCTGCCACTGGTGAGGGCGACGAGGAAGAAGAGAAGCCGGCCAAGAAGCGCAGAACTCCCGCCAAAAAGAAGGCGACCGCGAGTGAGAATAACGGTGGGAACGAAGATGAAACCCCGGCCACGCCGGTCAAGGGGAAGAAGACTGTCACTCCACGCAAGAAAGCCGCCGTCACCGCGACCAACAAAGCCCCTGCAAATGACGCTCCTCCTGCAGTACCAGCCGTCAACGTGAAGGAAGAGGAAGAAGGGGATGTTTCGGCAGAAGAAAATACCGCCCTCGCCACATCTTCCACCGAGTATGTTCTTTCTTTCCTTTTCCCAAGCCCTTTTTCTCCTTGCCATTTTCCATACTAACATCCCTCCCAATTAGAACCGCCAACAGCCCTGTGAAAGGTGTGACTAATGCTGCTGCGGCTGCTGTTAACCGAATTGTTTGTGATACTGTGATGAACGCTGCTGCGGAAGTCATTGCAGCTAGAGCCAACGAGGCCCTTGCTGCTGCCGACACTGTTGGTGATGACTGAAAGTGCACCCATCATCCCCCCTTTTGTGGCAATCACTCAATCAACCAGGTAGAAATGAGCAAATAAAAGAGTTGAGCTTGAGCTCGTTTTTCGGCTATGAAAATATGTGGACAGGGGAGATGAGAGGAAAAGTGACACAAGCATGGATGACTGCCTATCCACACCGGAGGTGCGTGGGTCGTGTGCAAAGCCCACAGAAGGGGAAGGGGGAAGGAAACGACAGTCCTTGCTGATTGATTGATAGCTGGTGTCGGGGTCGAGGTCGCGGAAATTGTGCTCGGCAGTACACATTGTAGACTGCCTGGGTCCTTGGTCTCGACTTTTTCCACAGGAGATGGATGATGCCTTTCAGGATACAGTAATCCCATCTCAACTCCATCGAACAGACAGACAGGCTTGCTTAGTGGTGGAGAGACATCCACGCGCGACGCTGGGCCATCAAATCACAATGTGCACTTGAAAATTCAGACCCAATCTCACACTCATAAAAGTCATGCGTCTTTACCGTTTCCTTGTCCTTGGCGTTGATATGCAATTTGCTGTCTGCGAAGCCGGCCATGTAACGAACGGGTTTCATGACTTCTCTCACCTTTCCCCCCTTCTTCGAGTCTTGGATATTATTCGCTCAGTCAGTCAGTCAGTCAGTCAGTCACGATGTGGTATTCTGTAAGGAGGAGTCCATATGTATAATACTATACTGTAACAAGCATCGCCAACGCTCACAGAAAATCTTCCCCTGCCATTTACATTGCCTGCAGAATCAGCAAAATTTTCTTCAAAAGGCACATCTCTTTTCGCTTCTTTTTCGCTTTGAGCTTCTAGAACTCCGTCCATCGAGACTCCCGGACACTGTACCCCGTACATAGCAAACCACACCAACGCGTCCACTATAATAAACAGCGAGGAGAAAAAGTACAAATAGGACGGACAATCTGGCTCGCTCATCGCAAAGAGCTGTGCTCACAAAGCCTCAATGCACTTCACCAGCACGTCCAGTCCGCGATCTTCCACCTCTTCTCCCTTCAGAATCCATGCAAGATCGCTCAGGATCCCCAAAGGCACTTCTTTCTCCTCGTCCTTCTCACTCACCTCCTTAGCCTGGTCCCCGCTGTCGTGCACACTCTTCACTCTCTGCTTTCGCGCCATCAGGTTCGAAATTTCCCATTCCTTCGCTGCCTCCTCCGCTCGTTCAATGACATGGTTTGAAATCCCACACATGCTGGCGCAATGCATACCGAACGACCCCTCAGCAGTGCCCTCCTCCAACTTGTAAAGGAAAGTTACCCGTCTATCAGCATCGTCCACAAGAATTTTCATCCTCTTCGGCGCTATTTCTGCGTGATGCGCAAATTCGGAAGAGAGCGAATGATAATGCGTTGCAAAGAAACCCAAGCAGCCCACGTGTGTAGCTAGGTGATGTAACACAGCCTGTGCGACAGCCACGCCGTCATGTGAAGATGTACCTCTCCCCAGCTCGTCCAAGATGACAAGGCTGCGCGGTGTAGCCTCGCTAAGGATTTTCTTTGTTTCTGCCAATTCGACGAAGAACGTTGACTGCGCGGCGAAAATATGATCTTGAGCTCCTAGGCGGGACATGATTCGGTCAAATGGTGTGAGGCGAGCTGACGCGCAGGGGAGGTAGCAGCCGATTTGAGCCATGATGACAGCGATACAAGTCATTCGTAGGACAGTGGATTTTCCTGCTGCGTTTGCGCCTGTCAAAAGGGTGAGGTTGGGAGAGTTCCCTCCCAAAACGATGTCGTTGGGAATGAAGTCGTCGACTTTGCTCAAGAGGCAGGGATGGCGTAGATCGACGAGCTCCAAGGTTGAGCGACCGCCAGCATTGTCATCAGACGGGTCGACGAATTCGGGACGACAACTCGGGTGTCCCAAAGACGTGCTCGCCCTTGCAAGAGATATCAAACAGTCTAGTTGCGCGATGATCTTGACCGCTGCGAGCCATATGTCGTAGTTTTCGTCAAACTTGGCGTAGAGTTTGCGGGATACATCCTTGACAATTTGGGAATGTGTCTCTTGCGCTTCCTGCAGATTCCGCACGAGGGTTCGTAGTTCGGGAAAGTAGTACCTTTTCACGCTCGCGGTGGCAGACATTTGGTCCCAAGCCGCGGGCACCTTGATGCGGTTGGGCACTTCCATTTGCATTATCTCCTTGCCGTTGTCGCGGTAGCAAATGGCATTGGAGTTCAGCTCTTTGCGCCATTTGCGCAGAAGATTGTCAAATTTCTTGTTGATGGCATCGATGGTATCCTGAGAATTGTCAAAGTCTTCTTCGATTCCGCGCTCGGGAACCAAGATGCCCGACTCTTTAGCCTTTTTGCGGTCAAAGGCATCGTGCCAATATCTGAGACGAGGCTCGAGATCCGGTGTGGCCGAGATGAGTTGGCCGATGACACCCTCGCTGTCCGTTTTTTGATCTGTACCATCTCGCAACAGAGACATGGTATGGTCAATCTGTTCGAATCCTTCGAGCACTTTGACAAAGTCTTGGACTTTGCAAGTCCCAGCGTGGACGCGAGATATCAATCTCTCGAGATCCGGCATCTTTGTCATTTGTGAGGTGAAACGGTCGCGGACTTTTGCATCAGCATTGAGCGAGTCGACGGCATCCAGCCGTGCGTTAATCTTCTTCGTGTCCATGAGTGGGTGGCACACCCATTGTTTGAACAAGCGCTTGCCGAACGGCGTGATGCAGCGGTTGAGCAGCTGGAACAGCGTTCCTTCACTTCCGCCATCATAGGAGTTGGCAAAGACTTCGAGGTTGATCAAGGTCTGACCATCGAGGACCAGGCTTGTCGCTTTGCGGATGGGATCGTACCATGTGAAGTTGCCCATTGTCAAGAGATCCCGCTCGATCTTCAAGGACCTCAGATACTGTATAAGAGCACCAAGAGCAGACATGAGGAGGTCCTTTTCTTTCATCTGTTGCAGTCCTTGAGGCCACTCGTTGGGGAAGTAGTTCTCTGCTTCAATCTCCTTGACAGTGATATGGCCTTCCCAGAATTCTTTACCGGGTTTCAGGTAGTTCCAGATGGTTGTCGGGCTGGTGTTGTTCTTGAGTATGCGCAATGTCTTCACTGAGACACCACTCTTTTCCAGCAGAATCTCTTGGGGTCTTGTCTGAGCAACGAGTGTCTCAAACCTGGTCAGATCTGCATCATCGACGAACTCTGATACGTTGAATTGACCAGTGGCAGTGTCGACAAATGCCACACCAAATGCAGGCATGTCGTCGACCTCGGATTCCTTGATCGCAACGCAATACGTAGACATATCGTCCTGGAGCATCGTCCCGTCGACCAATGTGCCCGCGGTAAGAACGCAGGCCAGCTCTCTCTTGATCACTTTGTCGTCTTTGCTCTTCTTGCTGGCAAAGCCACTCGACTTTTCATCCCGCTCACGCATGTCTTTACCAAGGGCAGTCTCTTGCTGGTCAACTCGAGCAATCTTGAACCCCTTTGCAACGAATTGATTTGCCCACATTTCCAGACTCGACTCTGGAACACCCACCATTCTCATGTTTACGCGGTCGGTCAATTTTAAATCAAACAATTGATGACCAATAGTCGCATCATTCTCGTAGAGTTCATAGAATTTGCCTTTCTTGAAGAATACAATCGTGTCCCAGAACTTCTGCTTTATTTCCCAGTACTGCTTCTCAAACGGAGAAAACTTACTCCAGGCCATAGGTGGAATATACAAGGTTCGTGGATCGTAATCTGGGTGGCCAGGTGGATTTCGGTCCATGTCTCTAATATCTTCGAGCCAAGCATGTCGGTGTTCGGGTTCGGTCATATGGGCTTTCTGTTTCTTTCCGCTCGGCTGTTTAGGAGGAATGTTGGTAGGGCGCGGCTGCAAAGGTTGAGGATTTTCTGGGTCATACGTCCACTGCTGAGCAGTCGAAGTGCCTTCCGGAATGTTCAGGTCGGATCTGATATCAACTTCATCCGTTGCAGGAGTGAAATGAGACGACGCAGCTCGGGAAGTGCTTTTGGACGGCCGTTTGCGCTTAGCAGGCCGGCGTACCTCATCTTCAGAGTCGTCGGGAACAATGAAGTCGTCCATGTCTGCCCTGTTAGCACCAATCCGTCTAGTTGGAACTGGACATGTACCATCTTCCGGCTCCGCGGCATTCTCCTGTTCGTAGACATCCTCGTCCGCACTATGGGAGACTCGTCTGCGTTTCGTAGGTCGAGACCGGCGGCCAGGAGTGGGTTTGAATACATCGTCGCCGTCGGTGCCTTCGCTGTCCGACTCAAGATAATTGATCTTCTTGGTTTTGGCCTGTTACCTCAATGATTAGTACAGCGCAGTCACAAACGCGATAGGGTGTCTTACCCTTCGAGAAGGCGTCCCGCGGCATGTCAGCTCCTCCCTGCCATTTGTCTGCTCATCGTCAGCTGAGACTGGCGATGGCAGACTTTTGGAAGGAGGCAGACTCGCCTTGGGGGTGTTGTCCTCATCTTCAGATTCCAATGCGTCACTGCTGGGTACAGGCGTCAGGGAACTTGACGCCTTTCCGGCCGGTTTGAAGCGAGTTTTCGATGGAACGGGTGTCTCAGCTACCGGTCGAGCAGGTAATGCAGCGGGCGAACCAGTCGAGGGCGTCTTCTGGAAGAAGCCCAAGAGAGTCTTCTGTCCGCTTGCAGAAGTCGATTTCTTCAATGCGGGGGTGGAGGCAGGCGTTGAGGCAGTCTTCTTCGGCATGACTTTGAGACGCCGAGACCCTTGAGGCCTCTTTCAGAGAAAAAAGATACTGTTAGTTGCTGAATGGGTTGAGTGAATTACAAGGAACTCAGAAATATTGGAGTGATGCAGCCGCGTGCAAAGGTACTAAATCACTAGCGCGTCGAGTCCCGACGCGTAAAGTACTAGGGACCCCTTGGGGCCCCTCGCTTGCCAGCCTTGTTGTTAGTACGGAGTATGTGAAGTGGCTCCAGGAGTCGATCATTGGCATTGATTTTACTCGGTACAGGCTGCCTTGATGCAGGGTTTTCTGTTGTTACAGCTAAGGTCGCAATGCTTTCAAACCCACCGTCTCATCTCCCCCGCCTTCTTGTCAATTTCCCGTGGTCAAGTCCAGAGTTTCCTTGCTCTGCAGCAGTGCCTCCCACCCGGGGCATGTCAGTCCAAGCTTCGCATATTCCTCGTCTGGAACAATATTAACAATCTTGATCCTCCATTTGCCTGTGCGAAGGATCAGTAGATTGTCATCGATGATCCATTTTTGCACCTCTTTCCAGTCGGACGTCTTCACAGGTGTAAAGCTGAGGCTGTCATCCATTTCAGCCTTCGCGTCGGATGCCCCTCCTACGTACGCTCCTCCAGCATTGATAAGTCGCTGGCCCTCGGTTTTTGACGTCACCATGCCTGCCGACCAGAGAATATTGCTCATGGGTTTGTGGAAGACCAGGCTCCATGGGAGTTTGATGTGGGTGGACATGTTGTCTTCCCGTCGCAAGGGTTGGGCATGCTTGTTTAACGAAGGGTGCGCAAACAATGGTATTCCAGAAGAATGTGTCTCGGGCGTTTTGGTCTCCGCCAAGCTTGCTTTCATGTCGCTGAGACTAATGTTCTTCCTGAAAAGGTGACGATGTTCACTTTCGGCTTTTTCGGCAGCATCTACCCCGTAGATGAGCTCGACAAACTCTTTTGCGAGCTTATGTTGCGCCGCCCGTTTTGATTGATCTTTTTCATGATCTTTCATGATGTCACTAATTTCGGACAAGGGCAAGAAGGTCAACATCTTCAGGTACTTTTCAACGTCTGAGTCTGAGGACCGCAGAAAGAACTTTTGACTCCTGTCAGCTTTGCCGGGTTCCGCACGGAGTATAACCGCATACCTGATAGAGATCGAAGACACTGGTCATTTCCGGATTGAGCCAGACGGCATTGCCGGCGCTCTTGCCGAATTTTTCTCCAGAGGCCGTGGTCAGGAGAGGCACAGTAAACCCCATGGGATCAGAATTAAGCTCGATGCCGTGCTTTGAGTCGAGAAGCTGCGTCTGCCGCAAGGCAACCTGATACTCGTGAGACTCTCTGGCGATTTGCTTCACAGCTTCGGCACCCGCAAGAATATTTCCAAACTGGTCGGCACCGCCAACTTGCAGTTGGCAGCCGGATTGAAATAGATGCCACCAGTCCCATGCCTGGACCAGCGGATAGCTGAACTCAGCAAAGGACATTCCATCCCCACGTTCCAGCCTATTTTTCACCCTGAAAGCGGTCGTCAGCGTCCAAGGGAAGGGCGAAGGGTTCAGTAGAAATGCGTGCTCACGTGTCTCGACCCAGCATCGGACCTATACGGATGTTTCGGCCAAGGATGGACAGGAACTCTCTTGCCGTGACTTTAGACCACCATGTTACGTTGTTCTCCAGAGATCTGCGCCAGGCCCATTCCCGCATGTATCCCCTTCGTGCGGCGTATGCTTCAATTGAAGCGCCCAACCTTTTCAATTGGATATGCATCTCTGTCATGTTGGCTTTCCTCTGTGAGGGAGACATGGTTTCTCTGCCTTTCAGACGGCCGGTAGGATCGCCAATGCTAGCTGTAAACCCCCCCAACTGACGCAAGTCAGCGAGAATTTTGCGAGCCGGATGATATTGCTTACGATAAAATTGGCCTTATAACCATGGATGTAGAACCAACCCAAGACCATGAAAGGGACCATGTGACCAACATGCAAAGAAGAGGCGGTAGGGTCTATGCCAGCATACACCCCGACTCGACGGTGTGTGAGCAGCTTGTCCAAATCTTCCCTTGTGCTGTAGGTTTGTCAACGAGAGACCTTTGATGCTGCCTAGGGAGATTCTCACCCAACAATCTGGTTGACGTATCCCCGCTCTTCAAGTATGGTTAGCATCGACTTCATATTGCCTTTCTCGATTTCTCGGGCTTTTGCACGCCATTCTTCTTCCGCCTCTTGGATTCTTCGCACATGAGCTTGGGTGATCCATCTTTGACGAGACGATGGGAGCGATGGGGCATTCCGCTCGCGGAGATGACGGCGACAGGTTTGGCAGATATAGAGGGAGCGACCAGCTGTGCGAAGAGGGGTTGTGGTCTTCATGAGGCTCTGTGCCCATGCAGGGTTGAATACAGGCGCAATAAATCGAGTTGGACTGCGCGAAAAAAGTGCCCATACGAGTCATGCTTCAGGGACGCGGCGAGCGGCTTCGGCGCAGAGGCTGCCGACATGAGCCAAGACCAGCCAACATCCCACCGTGCAAGCCACAGCCAGACTCTCCACCAGCAATCATCTTTTACTGATTTGCTTCCTGATCGAGTAGTCTTGATACATGCCATGTTTGCACAACTCCACCTCGCCAACAGATCAAGGTCCCAGCTAGGCGTAAAGGACAATGTATGCTGACTAGGTAGGTGGACGACCCTTGTCCCAAGACCTTTCATGAGCAGTTCTGCGCGAGATGGCAAAAGACAAATGGAACGAAAACGTCAACGGATCTCACCAAACGAGTATTGGGCGATCCGCAGTTGCACGTATTACAAGCGATATGGCAACAACAATTGACTATTCGTGGGCGGACTGACCGGATTCATCGTGGACGAACAAGTCGGTGTGATCCATCCAAACGACTTTGTTTTTGGCTATCGCCATTTTTCACTCTGGCGAAACACCCATTTGCCGCACAATCTCGACCTGATACCGCTCTCATACTGATTGAATCCTTCGTCGACTCCCATTGCCCTCGGGAAACAGCCACCTGCAGGATGGTGAGGCCCTCTTGATCCCCCCGCCTCCGCCATTTTGCTGCTCCAAACACCATGTCTATCCTCTCCACAAGCCACACCGATTTAACCACTGCGTTAGCGAACACATCCCCTTCCTTCTCTCCTACCGGAACAGGTTAACCAGCTTACCAGCCCGCCAGCTACTTACTCGGGAGCGGCGAAGATCACTGCTTGTTAATAACGTAATAGCTTTGGTTCCTTCCACGATCCCCATGCAACGCATCCCAACGGTTCGGATCCTTCGACGCTTGATGAGCATCATGGCGTTTAGACGTCGAATCCGCTGCTCTCCTGCTGATCCTAGCTCACAACTACCCGGAATCTTGGATTAACGACGCGTCTTGTTCCCGGTGAGGCCCAGCCTACGTAGTTCCCAAAAACCCCTCGCCGTCTGAAAGAACCTCCGGCAGAGGTTGAGCCGATATGTTAGGCGTCCTCCCCAATGATATTCAACTCAGTTTCTTCTCCTTCAGATAGACACGTTGTACGCTCTGTGATGAGTTGACGCTGGGGACTATCGTCACTGTATTGGGAACAGACGTCGCTCCTTACTGGCGCCAATACCCCCGTCATGTTAAGACCCTGCTACGCCAAATACAACAACATCCTCCGGCGTGATGACCGACAGTTACTATACGGGCAAATTTGACACTACTACTATCATCGTCACTATCACCTCGGCGCTGTCTTTGTACAATGCATTAGAGCTCATTCTGCTGATCTTCACAACTTTCGCCGTCTACCGCGGCCTCTACTTCTGGTCGCTACTGGTAGCAACGACGGGACTGGTCCCTTACATCGTCGGGCTGATCTTGCTCTACTTCCGGGTGACCGCCAGTGTCGTTGGCCTAGTCATCAACAGTAAGCTCTCCAACTGTCTAAACTGGATGGCTGTTTTGTCTCCTGTCAACACTGCCATGCTCAGCACTAGCTAACCCGATTTGCAGACTATGGCTGGTGGACGGCCATCACAGGCCAGAGTGTGGTACTATACTCACGACTGGGAATTGTGCTGGGAAAAGGCAACGACCGGATCCTGAAGTACGTCAAATGGATGATCATCATTGACGCCATTTGCTTCCATACTACAACAACTGTGGTCGTCTTTGGATCTTATTATGCCTCGCCACCTGCTCAGGCACCCTTCTCTCGCGCCTACACCTACGTGGAAAAGATCCAGATGACGGGCTTCTGCATTCAGGAATTCATCATCTCCGGGATCTACCTATGGAAGACGATGGATATAGTCAAGGCTCAAACCCAGCCCGCCGCCTCCTCAATAAACACGTCTGAGCAGAAGAAAAAGAGGCGTGTTCATCGAGTGATGACCCAGCTATTCGTCATAAACATCGTTATAATCTGCTTGGACATCGCTCTGCTGGTCATTGAGTACAAGAACCTGCACATTCCTGAGATTGCATTCAAAGGATTCTGCTACTCGGTAAAGCTGAAACTCGAGTTCGCAGTTCTCAGTAAACTGGTAGAGGTCGCAGGCATCAAGAACCCGAGGACGCTGAGCCTGAGCAATACTTTCGATCTCACTTCCAATGACAGGACCGATAGCCTTCCTACCGTGAACGGTAACGGGGATTTTGTTGATCAAAGTTACAGATCGGCCAACTCTAAGCTAAGAGGCTTGTCTGCAGCCGAAAGTTCGTCGCCGCCAGAGTGGATGGACGACCTCAAGAAGAGCTCCTCTCGGCACGTTGATGACGTGGAGATCGATGCTGAGAAAGGCCGACAACAGAGCTCATCATCGTTTGACGCGATTGAACGAGGACAGGGCAATATCTCTGCCCTTGTCCCCGGCAATGTATCGGAATATCCTCATCATCGGCGCGTAAGGAGAGAATCTGAACTTCTCTATGCAGATGCCATCCGGGAAATGGCACGGAAAGGCTAGACGAATAAAATCACGGTTCTGCTTCGACTCCCTTTTCCTCTTACTGGAGTATCCTGGAACATATATCGTTAGCTGTTTGTCCCTTCCGATCGGATTCATGGAATCAAAGAATCTACGATGTCTCAGCGCTCCACGTTCGTGGTTGGAGCTGTAGAAGGGATTACTCAAAACCACCATCAGCTCTGACTCGATAAAGCTCAGCGGGATCCAAAATTACGGTCTGAAGGATCCTCTGCTGTGAGCGAGCCTCGGCTTGTTTTGTTCCTTGGACAGGATTGATCGGATGGCGATAGGTGAAAAGTCTTCAATGAATGAACCGCACAGTCAATTCCCATCTCCAAACACCCCTATGCATCCGAGTCGTTACCAAACTTGGAAGAGGGCCAAGAGGAGATATCAGGTTCTGCCGACGACGGCTCATTGGACACATCCAGATCACACCCAGGGCACAGTGTGATACATGGTGGTTGCCGGCAAGCTCCCGCCCAACGCGGTCTGTAAGTGCGATTCCTCTAGTGATATCAAAAGGGAGAGCGGCTTCCAAGGATCCACGCGCGCTGACGTTTGCATTATTTTAGCTTCTTAACTGACTGTCGGCCAGTCCCGGACGCCCGATATTTGGGCGACGAGGCATGAAAAGCGGCCACATGATAAAGTTAGGGCACCGGGCCTCCGCAACTCGAGCTGCGCGTCGAGTGACAGTCATGACGGCATCCGCGTCCGGGGATAGGCCCGCAACTGGCCTGCAAGGAACATGTACATTCCCGGTGTTTACATGATAACACATATACCCCTGCAAAAAGGCTCGAATACAACTATAACTAATATTTTCAAACGCCGCTCCCCTTGGATGCGTTATTTGATAGAGCCCTAGGTGAGGGTTTCTATTTCGCCGCCGTATATATCTGAGCAAGTGAGTGAGACCAGGAGGGAAAAAAAAAGTGCCCGCCATACTACAGAGCGGCCCTTCTGGCGGGCATCGAGTCCGAGGTCGAATCCGAATATGCTGCTCCGCGACTGTCCTTCCCTTGGGTCTCTTCGATCTCCGTAGGCTTGACCGAAGACGCTGCGACAGTTCCGTAGGCGATACGATCCCAGAATCCTGGATCTCAGAATTGTCTTGTTACCGTATCAAGGTGGCATGTCCATGTCCATAGTAGTGGGCCATTCAGGTAGGTCGGCACTCCAATTCTGAGCCAGCTCGTGCCCGTAGAGAAAGCGATCCCAATTCAAATTCGCCTCTGGCATGGAGAATTGGAGCGCTGTGTCGGCGTCAAGACCGCCACTGGCAATGGCGTCGAAATTGGCTTCGCGGTCCCAGTTGGAAGATGGTAAGCACATGGGCTCGATTATTTGTCCAGGACAATCCGTTATAGTTCGTCCCTCGACAGGTTGCTCAGATGAACTCGGACATGCCATCTCTTCTGCTGCGCTGAATCCCCGAATGGCACTACTTCGCGGCAGTACGCTGGCCTTGGCGATGTCGCGCACATGATGCCGTGGCGGCCTCAACTCCAGATGAATTGCCCCAAAGTACGGGAGGACGACGGTCCTGCGCTTGACCTGCTCGGCTCGATCGAGCAAGCCGCCGTCGACGTCCTCGTCTTCGTACAAGAAGGAGCCGAGCTCCTCCAGCACTCTCAGGCCCTGTCTGCTGATGCTGCCGCCCTGCTCGGTGGCGCGGTACCGGAAGATATCCTTGATGTCCTCGATGAGAGCGAGGTCCTCGCCGACGTTTTCTCCTATGGCCCCCTCGCACTCCTCGGGCTCGGGTAGCGTCCGCGAACAGCATGACATGCGCATGAGTAGGCCCACCATTAGTATACACGCGCTGAACACCCCTTGAAAGTCCTCGCAGCTGCAGATGTACACTGCCAGCGAAGGGTCTGAGCGGAGCAGGTTGAAGACTCGGATCATGCCGCGACAGCCCTGGAGACAGAGGTCTTTATTCACTTCGTACGGGTCTGTGGCTGTATTGTTGCCGTTCTGGATGTGGTCGTGGTCGTGGTGATTCTGGCCCTGAGCTGCAGCAGCACTGATGGCGGAGGAGTTGAGTTTTAGCATAAAGGGCAGATGGAGGAAGGACTGGACCTGCCAGAACCACATTTGCGTGGTGAGATGTTCGTGCGCCAGAAACGGATCGGAAGTCTCGAGGTGCGATCCCACGTCCCACCAGCCTTGAGGCATGGCGTCTGCTGCTTCAGTCAATGTTGCTTGAATGTCCATTGTGGTCCGGTGTTTGACGCGGTCTGAATCACAGCTTGCATTGCGGTCGTTCACCCGGCCCGCGACGATGGACACCACCCGTCTCAGGGCGCGCATTTTGATATCTGCTGATATTGTCGACGCCGCTCCTCCTCCGTCTCCCCCTCCTTGGCTTGGGGCCGTCTTCTGGCCCTGTCGCTCACCCTTCAACACGGCCATCGCCAATTGATCTGTAAACTTGACATCCTCGGCGTGTGGAAAGCCCAGGACCATGCTCATGAGCCGGTCGAGTTCCATGATCGAGCCGATAAAGCGCTGTCGGGAGAAGAGTTTGGTCAATTCCAGTCCGCACACCTTGGGCGCATACTCGCCCAGACCGTCGCCGAGCAACGGCATCTTCGGTTCCGTGAACCCTGTGTCCTTTGCGATTTCCAGCGCTCTACGGATGCACAGCCAAGACTTGCGTAGTTGGTTGCTCTCGGCGAACATTTTGGCGCGAATCATCAGGAGCAACAGCACGCCAGGGTCACGCGTGTGTTTGTGTTGGGACGTCGGACAGAGGACGATCGTGTCCACCGCCAGCACTATTCGGTCGGCGAGGTCGGATGGAGATGTAGAGATGTTTAGTTTTCCGTCGTCGACGCCCGGCCGCAGTTGGTAGAGCGACATTGCGACGCAGAGGAGGCCCGTGGCAAACGACACGGGTTCTTGTGAGCGAGACAGTTTGGTGAGCACGAAGTCCCGGAAGGACATAGGTGGGTCGGAATGGTGGCCCCTTATTCCCAAACTCGCACTTGAATCCGGTCTTGTTGAAGAGGACGTGGTTTCCGTTGCGTTACTGTGTAGTGCAGGGACTGCACACTCCAAAGTCATACTCTCCTGTCCTTGTGTCTGCTGCTCCTCCTCGTTGTCATCCTTCGAGAATAGAGAGACAGTCACATCCTGCATCGCGACCGCCTGGTCCCTCCACGCAATCCACCATTTAATGGAGATATCCAGCACCTCGAGCACATTTGGTTCGTGCGAGATCGTCGAGAGCAACTTCTCTGCATCCGTCACATCGTCGTCGGAAAAACTCATCATTTCAATCTTCTCCGCCAGGATTGCGGTACCACATGCCGTGGTGCGCGTAAACATCTCGTTGTTGAACAACTGTGAAAGCAAAGGGCTGAGCGTCTTGCTGTTCTCTTCTAAGGATGTTGCAGTAGTTGTGGCACAGACGTTTGTTGTTCCGGGAAAATTTCTTGATTCCTGAAGTTCCAACTGAATCGGAAGGAGTGGGTGAGAGTTGAACACGCCTCCCTGGTCATTGGCGTTGAAGACGTCCGTGGTCCCATTTTCGAAGTCGAAGTCGAAATTTAAGGCACTGGCGAATGCGTTTCCGGGATTGAGACCAATATCTCCACTCAGGTCAAAACTCGGATTCAGCTCGTGTCCACTGTCCAGGTCCGACATCGACCCAAGCCCTGCAGGACCGCCCAGGAAAGCAACGTTGTTGCTTTGGGGTTGATTTGAGCGATCGGTGAGCACCACTCCGCCGTGTTCCCTCCCTTTCTCCCGCTCTCGGGCAAGCCGCGCAACCACGGAATCCATCCTGTCCACGTGGATCTTCACACGCGGCTGCTCGTCGTCGTCGGAATGATTAGTCGACGGCCGCATCTCGCGTCGCCTTTTATAGATCCTCGGTTGACGCTGGCTCGGCTTCAGGGAAGTTGAGACGTTCGTTGGGCCTCTTTGAGGCGAAGTGTCCAAGACGACGAAGCCTTGGATTTCACACGTGCGGTTGTGTTTGTTGCACTGAATGCATTTTCTCTCCTCCGACGCCGCCGCTCCTGTCATGCTCGTGACTTGTGAAGGAGAAGAAGGTGGTGTAGGCGGGTAGTTGCATTTTATCTTACGACGGCGACCTTGGTAATTAAATTTGGTATTAGATTGGGTGTTAACAAACGGTCTTGGTCATTTGGCGTGTAAGAAACCGGCAGGCCACCGATTTAACCTAGAAGATTGAAGGAAATGCAGGATTGGAAAAAGATAGAGGAGACATGGGAACTTGAACGGAGAAGGTTCACCCGGGTCTGTCCAAGGACTGAAAATGGATGAGAGTTGAAAAAAGGCTTGAAAATTGAGCTCTCAAACCCGGATCGCCTTGACCGTTTCTGCCCTCCCCGCCTTCATCTTGGGAGACCAGGGCACGGGGATTACCCAACGGTTCCCGGAATACCATAGACCTCTCATTAGCGAGAGGAAATGGAACAAGGGCGTGCCAGGGCCAGGAGAAATGCCCAAAGTATAAATGGAGCAAAAAGCAAGAATAGTGAACAGATATCCCGAGAGGAGCAGGAATACAAAGTGTACTTACATTCCTGACACGACTTTGTGCCCTTCCTCATCTGCCTAAGCGGCGCCGGAGGATATTGATCGAGGCCGTCTTGAACGGAGATCGACCCGTTTGCAAGCATCGCTTTCTTGCTTCAAATCTCAAGAATCCGGACAGGCTGCCTTTGAGAACGGGGACTGTCACCGTCACGCTTGAAGCTCGAGTTTCGATGGGTGCGGCGCTCGGGGTCCAGGTCGGATGGGATGTTCAGACGGCATACATAGGACTCGTGATGCGTTTGATTATGTACATAGATACATAGGTGCAATTAATCAATCAATGACGCCACGGGTGCTTGGGGGAAAAGGCCAGGTGGAGCATTGGCCAAGACATTGTCTTTACAGGTCGGAGCCTCGCCGCCGCGCCGCGATCGTTGCTCCGTCCATTATTAAGCGACTCGGCGGTATCCCTTGGCACAATCCGCGCCTACCGGCACCACGGTCAACATCAACATCAACATCAACGTTCATACCTCTCACCCTTCCTCATCGACAGAGTCCTCCCCATCCTCCTCTGCCCGGCCTTCATCCTCAGTCTCGCTCTGATTCTCGTCATCACCCTCCCTCGTCTTGCCTGCCCGGCGACTCCGATGCCGACTTTGGCTCCGGCTCCCGTCACCGGGGCAGCTCTTGCTCCTCGTCCGTCGCTCATCCCTCCACCTCCCTCTCCTCTCCCCCCTTCTACGTGACTCGCTCGTCTTGACTTCATCAACATCGACCTCCGGATGCATGCGTCGTATGTGCTCGTAGAGTCTCTTACCCTTTGAGAAAGACATCCTTGCTCGTGGGCATGATTGGACAGGGCAGAGGATTTGGTGCTCTGAGTCCTCGTTTGATTCATCGTCGGCATCGAAGTCGGTATAGGCACTGTTGGCGCCAATACTGGCATTTCTCGAGCCTTGTCCTCTCTCGCTCGCTCCTGAGCCACCTGTCCCTGTCTGCCCGTGCACGCTGTTGATGTGCCGCTCGAGATGCCATCTTTTCCGAAATGGGACCTTATGTCTCGGGCAGGACCGGTATGGACAGGTCCGCTCATTTCTAGCCAGGCCTACCTTGATTCTCGAGCACGCGCTCCCGGTCTCCCGACAGTTCCTGCATGTTCTTGAGAGTCCAGGCTCGCCGTCCGCAGGCCGGCATTCGACCTTCGTAGCTAGACACCTCTCGCAGGGTCTGGAGATGCGTACTGCGAGTGGCTCATCTCCGTTGGACTCTGTCTCTTGTTCTCCCATTGGAGATGGTGCTAGGCTCCCGGTCTCATTGGCAAGGTGCTCGGTAAAGTGCGATTCACTTCCTTCCTTGCCCTGTCCCTCGTAGAATGTGCGGAACAGCATCGTCTCGCCAAACAGCTTCGCGCATCGTCCACTTGCACGTTCGACGACCAAGGGATTCCAATCCGTCAGGCTAGCCATGCCTATCACATCGCTCCAATCCCGTAAGCCGAGATTCTCGACTCTCCGAGACCGCGCGCGAGATGTAACCGAGGTGATGGAGGCGCTTGATAAGTCGGTATATGCGGACGATGAACGTGCCTTCTGCCTTGTTGCTGGACGCGACCCGCTTCTTCCTCGAGTGAAATCACTTGTGTCGTCTCCAGGGCTATGAGAATTCTTCCCTCTTCGGTTGCTTTGTGGCTTCGCCGCGTAGGCGTATCTGGCTTTATGGAGACCGAGCAGCAAGTCATCGACTTTCCTCAAAATGTGTCGCGCGCTGGCAAGAAAGTATCCGCGTGCTTTTTCGTCATCTGCAAGTGGAACGGGGCGTCGCTCCGCATCATCCGTGTCACTGTCTCTTTTCTCTTCGTCGCCCGGGGCGGGGCCCTGTTCCTCGTCATCATCGTAAAAGGAAAACGCTTGGGAGTAGAACACGGGTTCCTCTGTAGCTTCCGGCGAGTGGGGGGCCTCTGCCTCTTCTGCTAATTCTTGATGATCATCGTTGTCATCGCGTACATTCTCAGGCGCGCTCACATCAGCATCTCCGTGGTCGACTTTCGTATCTCTCTCCGACGAGACGGCTAAGGTCAGGTCTTCTTCCCATTCCCTCGCATTCCATCTTTCTCTAGCAATCCGCGTAGCAGTTGCAATCAGCCACTCTTCAAGATTGGCACTGGGTCGCGTTTCTCTCTCCACGCGATACTCGCTCTCTAATTCTGTACGGGGGAGTAATTCTTCCCTAGGAACCTGATCAGGAGGCATAGGCCAGGCTGTCCAAGATTTGGCAAGACCGTAATTGCCTCCGTTGCGCCGTCCCTCGTCATCATACTCGGCTGTCGTCGAGAGGATCGATGTTGCTCTCTCCTTGCCCTTCTTGCTCCGCTTCACGTCTCTTCCACCTTGTTGGCGCAACTTCCGCTTCAGCCCGAAAGCGTTGAACAGGTGGATACTCAGATCCTGACTGCGTACACGATCCAAGCTAAGAGCCACTGTCCTTTCCGCCTTGGTCCAGGAATTCCAGGTCGACGCGGCGCCGAAGTAGCGGTTAGGGCGAGTAAAGTAAGTTTTGCCATCTTCTCCTTGCGCAAACGGGTTGTCTAATATCACAGACGGGACGGTCCGCGAGGCTATCGAAGATGCTGGAGGCGATGTGTTGACGTCCAGAGCATCGGGCGGTTTTTGTGGAGGTGGCGATGATGGGGACACCTGATCAAGCGGTGACACTTCGTTGCCGGCGTCCTCGACATAACTGGAATCTGAATCCATTCCGAGGGGCCCAAGAGTAGTTCATCACCGAAGTTTTGCTTCCGATGCGACAGTAGCTGGTGTCCTACACAGAACACCGAGGGTGTAGAGCATAAATTTGAAATTTTTATCGCAAGATAAAAACGATGGCGTATGTAGTTGTGAGCCAAGGAGGCGTGGCTTTCTCAAGTTTAAGCATATGTACGTGTACATAGTAAAGGATGGAAAAGGAAGGCCAACAACGCTATACGTGATCGTTTGCATGTTAAATGTCTCGTTGGATGGCACACCCGATTGGATCATCACAGCTTTTGTCTTCTATCTACGCCAGGCCAGGGTATCTCAAGTCTACGCAGCATATCACATATCTACCAATTTCAGTCTTAATCTCGCAAAAACATCTTGTAAGTGGGATTCTCTGTACACTCCTGAAACGGATATCCAATATCCCTTAAGAAGCCCTCCAGTTTGTCCCTCTCCTGTTCAGGACATTGAATGCCTGCAAGGATCCTGCCCACATCGCCGCCATAGTTCCGGTAATGGAAGAGGGTGATGCTCTGTCCCGGTCGCAGCGTCCTCAGGAACTTGAACAGAGCTCCTGGTCTCTCCGGGAACTCAAACATGTACAGCCTCTCATCCTTGACGCCGGATCGTCCACCGACAAGGTATCGAATATGTGTCTTTGCGAGTTCATCCTCGGAGAGGTCTTTGGCGGTCATGCCTTCGGCTGCGAGCCGCGAAAAGAGTGAATCGAGTTCTCGCGTTCTCGCGCCTGCTGAGGAGACTGTGATACCCATCATCACATGTGCTTTGTCGGTGTTTGAATACCTGTATCCAAATTCTGTTACAGCTTGGGGGAGGACCGCCTCAACCAGCTGTGCAAACGAACCTGGACGCTCTGGAATAGTGACGGTCAGAAGAGCCTCTTTCTGTTCACCCAAAGTCGCGCGCTCGGCGACAAATCTTAGCCGATCAAAGTTCATGTTGGCGCCGCTGGCCACTGCGACCAATTCTCGGCTGGTATCTGTGGAGGGATTCTGAGCGACCCATTTTTTTAGACCTGCGAGTGACAAGGCTCCCGCTGGCTCTAGGACTGATCTTGTGTCTTCAAAGACGTCCTTGATAGCAGCACAAATCTCGTCGGTGCTGACCTCGATAACTTCATCGACCACTTCTTGACAAAGCCTAAAGGTCTCTTCCCCTACTGTCTTCACGGCAGCACCGTCGGCGAAGAGACCAACTTCTCGAAGCAACACTCGCTTGCCCAACTTCAGAGACTCAACGAGTGCGTTGGCGTCGGAGGCTTCCACGCCAATGATCTTGACGTGAGGAGCTATTCTCTTCACGTACACCCCGACACCAGCTATCAACCCGCCACCGCCCACGCAGCAGAAGATGGCCTGAAGCTTCTGCAAGGATGTCTGCCTTAGCAGCTCCATGCCTATCGTGCCTTGTCCCGCAATGACATATGGATCATCAAACGGGGGAATATTGGTCAAACCGTACTGTTTCTCCAGAGCATGACAGTGTTCTTTGGCCGAGTCAAAGTCCGGCCCATGCAGCACCACGTTGCCCCCCATGCGGCTCACATTCATATGTTTGATGGCCGGGGTCCCTTGTGGCATGACAATGGTTGCAGGAATCTTCAGATGTCGGGCAGAATAAGCCACACCCTGGGCATGGTTCCCCGCCGAGCAAGCAATAACACCTTTCCACGAGATCTTGGGTGGAAGGTGAGCCATTTTGTTGTACGCGCCTCGCAACTTGAAAGAGAAGACGGGCAGGAGGTCCTCTCTTTTCAGGAGGACTTTGCATTCGAGGCGGTTGGAGAGGTTGACGGCGTGGCTCAGAGGGCTTTCGCTGACGACGTCGTAGACTCGAGAAGTCAGGATCAGCCGCAAGTAGTCTGGATAGCCCGAGGGCAGGAGAAAGTCTCGAGGCACGTCGTAAGAAGGGATGTCTGCTCGTTCAGAGGGAGGTGTGGGCATGGCGGTGTACTCAGTCAAGGCGAGGCCCGACCGCTTGGGCGTCGAGGGAGTTGTCGTCCCGTTGACGTGAGGGTCGGCGGCGTCCATGGCGACGGCTAGCGATATCTGCGGCTCCTGGGCTTCGAGATGGGCGAACTGTCAAAGGTTGCGCTGTACAAGTAAGTTTACATGCGCAGCGTAGGTTAGCGAAGTCTGGGATTTTCATGCTGCCCAAAAATTTACGGAGCTCAAGATTCTCGTCCCCGCATTCGCATTCGGCCTTTTCTCATGAGGGTTAGAATACTGGTTAGACATCTTTGTGCCTGCGACAGCTCCATATTGAGGTCCTCAAGACGCACCCTTCGCTTATTTTCCTTTCGGGGATCATTCTACAGCTCAATTGCTGCAAGTCAGGTGAGCTGGTCTCGAGAGACTGCAGCGAAGACCCAGGTGTGGCAAATGCGCAGGGAAAAGGGACTGCGCTTTTCGTCTGAGCTCCCCGAAGAGCCCGCACGCGAGCATATTCCACCCACGTCACGACTTTCACCTTCGGCTTCCCTCCTTGGATTCATACAACACCCAGCACAGCACCTCCCATCCATCAAAACCAATCTCGCTCCCAACCGCAGTGGTGATTTCATGTTAGCCTAGCCTGCAAGGCAATTCTCACAATGTCCAACGAGCCATCTCAACCCTCTCCTCTCTCCGCTTCCGCCGTCCCATCCAGCTTCGACTCGTCGCCCGAATTCTTCGAAGAATCCCGCTTCCAAAAGCTCTGGCGCAAACTGCGTCAAGAGCCACTCATCCCACTGGGCTGCGTGGCAACATGCTACGCCCTGTACATGGCGACCAAATCCATCCGCGCAGGCGACCACCATCAGACGAATCGCATGTTCCGAGCGAGAATCTACGCCCAGGGCTTCACGCTGGTGGCCGTAGTGGCGGGCAGCATTTTCTACAAGGATGAGAGGATGAGGAGGAAGGAATTCGAGTCCAAGGTGGAGGAGAAGAAGAACGCCGAGAAGAGGGAGAAGTGGTTGGCAGAACTCGAAGCCAGGGACCAGGAGGACAAGGAGTGGAGGGAAAAGATCGAGAAGGCGAGTCGAGTCGCGAAGGAGACAAGCGAGGATGTTAAAGAAAAGGCGGACAAAATGATTCAAGGGGGAAAAGAGGGGCTGCAGAAGGCACAGGAGCAATTGACCCCCGCCGATGCTGCGGGGCAGGACGACGAGAAGAAGAGCAGCTGGGCCCTCTGGAACAAGAGCGTGCTGGAGGAGGTCAATGAGGATGGCTGGGGCCCCGGGATGTGGGCGAGGAGAACGAGAGATGCTTGGAAGAGATTCTGAGAGTCATCAAAAGCCTTGGAAGAGACGGTTCCGGATGCGAAATTCATGGTTGTCGCCACTCCTCTTTTGACACCGCTTTGTTTTTACGAAGCTGAAATATATTGCTGGGCATAAATATAGGCAGGAGCTTCAGATTGTGATGCCTACATCTAACGCCCCTCGCCGGATCTGTGCGAGATCCTTCTGTTTCCGAGTCTAGGACGTCTGGTTCGTCCCTTAGTGTAGCAACATCCGCGATCTTGACCTTTCGCGGCACTGGTGATGATGTTTCTGATCTTGCTGATGCTTGCGCCCCAGCTATTCTTCTGATATCGTCCGCAAAGAAGGCAAGGTGACAGAGCCCCGGTCCCTTGCATTTGGCTATCAGACCAATTTGCCAGCCATGGTGCCATTGCCTGGCGCGCCTTGATCATGTCGCCATACCCGGCTTGAGTCCTTTGATCTGAACGCACGAAAAAGAATCGATGAGCCCGTTTTTCTCTTTCTCTCGTGGATAGAAGAAACGGGGACGGATTCATTCACATCACGATTGAACAAGCGGGACTTCGTTTTCTCGGTGACCATCCGTTCGGCGGCTCAGCCTCTTCCTCGAGCAGGTCCCCCCATCTCCTCCACGCCCCTCCTGACGCCGTCCCACTCCGCCTTCCCCGTACTGACCAGATACCTGATCCTGTCGATCTCCCGCACGTCTTTGTTCCGCGTGAATTCGCCCTTCGCGTACGCAATGCTCTCTCCCCTCTGGGGCTCGGACATGTGTCGGTACAAGGAGCGGAGAATGTCGCGGTAGAGGGCGAGAACGCGCTGGCGCTGGATAAAGTGGTCGAGGGAAAGGGGTGGGGATTTCTGGAATCGCGGCGACGACGGCGTAGAGGACCTGACGGCCTTCCTGGAGAGATTGGCGGTAGTCGCAAAGCGGACGAAATGTGGGCGCATATGGGAGACTGTTTGGGGGGAATTGATCCCGCTTGCAAATGATGGCAGGAGGCAAGGGGGAAGGGTTCTGGCGTCACGTCTGAAGCAGGGTGTTGCTCACAGCTTCCAAAGTTAATATAGGAAAGACATCTGGCAAGGATCGTTCTTGGGACTGTCTCGCAGAGGCGGCGGCGGAGATATTGTGTTCCGCCAATGGCAACCTCCAAGGCTGCTGAATGACGAATGACGCCATCCTGGGAGCACTCAGCCTTGCCGACTTTGGTCTCCTCAATACCGTATATACGGACTTCCTTTGGGCGAAATGAGCAGCTCTATTCCGTAGAGCTTGAAACTTCGCCTCTCAACCAGGATTTTAGGGATTGCTTTTCCTTTCTATTCTGGCCTTGCAAACAACTACCCAAAGCGTGGTAGTCCAGCATCTCCTTCTTGCCCACTCCGTCTGCTCCGAAAGACACCGAACACTCCCGTTTTCCTCAGAGCCTATTCCTCCTACACCGATTGCAAGCCTGAGTTCGACATTGACAGCATTCGAAGATATAGTTGGGCAGATTGTGAAAACACTCCTCGCAATTGTGTGGGCCAGGAATGTATCGCCAGCTCCTATGTGTGCAGTTGTGGCGTTCTCTCAGCATGTTGGTCGCATTGCGAACTCTCTCCATCCGCCCCGGGTTGTCAGGGGCCAGATGGGGGACATCACGATTAACGAGAACATTTGCTCGTGCAAGTAATCTGTCCTCGTTCCACTAGTCGCAGCCACATTGTTTCCATAGAATTCCGCAAACGTAGCAGAATTGTGCACCGCATCGGCATCTTTGATTGGGTTAGCAATGCTATTTTCGAAAAGATGGAAGAATACTCACGTTATATGATTGCAGCCGACGTCAAGCTCGATCAGACAATGACAGCCATAGCATCGTTGCCATCCGCTCTGATTTGCAAGCCGGAGCATCTCCTGGAGTTCAGGATCCTCTGGGCAATGGCCGTCATGAGCTGGCTTTTTGCAAATATTGCAGGTAAGTGTACCACACTTTACACAGGTTGCTGTATCGCCATCAATTTCACTTGGAGGTATGAAAGTAGAGCAAGTCTCTAAACAGCAGTAGGCTCTGTCGCGAGTGCCGAATTCAACTTGAGCATGCTCAAATTGATCTCTGAGCTCCTTGGTGAGAAAGATGTTAACTTCACTCATTTGAAAGGGTTCACGACAACAACGTGGCGGGAACAATAACTCGTCTTTGGTGGCCAGATCGACAAGGACTTGCAAACACGGTTTGCAATAACCATGGCCACAGGATACCTCGATAACGTCGAAGAACTTCTTGACGTCGTTGCAGGCAATGCATTGGAGCTCGCCTGTGTCGTTGAGTGCCTGCTTACGAGCAGATCCTTGCACAAAATCTTCTGCCTGCCGATTCTGATCTGGCCCACACTCTGCCCTGGCTCTTGCGTCCTGAAACAGCCCATGGCCGACGTCTTCAGACATATATCGTCCAGCAAGTTTCGCAAGGATCTTTACACTCAGGTCACTGGGCTGGAGGTGGACTTCGGGTGTGATATTGGTTCCGTTTAGGCGATGTGCCAGAGCGTGGTCTTCACACGCGGTCTCTTCTTCACTGACAACATTCGCAATGGCCTCAGCATCCGCTTGTACAGCATTCGCCATGCTTTGGGTCATTTGTCGGTCAGACAAAATTGAGCGTATGCCTTCGAGATTCTCCTCAAGCAAGGACAGTGCCATCTGGGCATCGTTGAGCAAGCCATCTCGGTTCTTGTCTTTGGAGCAAGCACGGAGGTCTTCAATGTCTTCGAGCTGGAGCTTAAGGATAAGATCAGCCATCTCGGCGTCTAGGTCATCAAATGCAGCAATATGTTCGGTCATCTTACAAAATATATAATGCTTGGCTGTCGTGAGGAGGGAAGGAGAGATAGAGAGCACGTATGGTACATGAGAAACGATAGGAGAAGCCACAAACTCCCTTCAACATGCGCATCTTTATCATTCTTGGGGCGGCTGCATGATTCGGACAGCATCTTCTTCGGCGGTGGAATGCACGTAGGTATCCTCCGAACCCGTAGTTGCGTCCCTGGCCGTCTCCTAGTCAGGCTTATGTCCCTGAACAGAGACCATTTTGCGTTCACTGTGGTGATAAATGTAGTAGCTGACAGCAATTTAAAACACTCGCATAGCCTTAGATAATAGTCTGAAGGCATAGATAGTCTGTGTTCACTACATTTCGGCTTTGTCGAATAGATGATGACAGTTGATTCTATCCTTGTGATGGCGAATACCGGTCAGCCCATTGACTCCTGTTTGAAACGTGACCAGTACAGGTCTCTTCCGTTGAAGCATGCTGCAGCCTTCCGAGTAGAAGTGCAAATTTCTATCTCACTGGCAAAAGTCCGATTGCTTGAGGATGATATCGGTCGGGGGACCAGGCGTGGCCAGTGGTAATCCAGAGGATTCCTTGATGAAGAATGCTGAATCGACCATACGGACCATAACCAAAATCCATATCAATGGAAAGTGTTTGGCTACCACTCAAAGGTAGGGGTCAGGTATCCACCACCATGCAAACAACGTATTCTCATCTTGCGAGTTGATGTAGTTGTTCGTAGGGCCCAGCTGATATCATTTTCATACGTCGAGACCACCAGCAAAAGTGGCAGTATGAAATCAGTGAAATCCAGACCTCCGTGAAATTCAATGTCACCTGACTTTCTCCATTTTTACGCTTCCAAGATTCCAGACCTCAGCAGACTGGTGAGAGATTTTTGGCTTTGAGGCTGAGCTTCCCGGCACTCTAATTTGCTAAGAATCAGAGGACAAGGCTGAGGAACCAAGCTTTCACGAACCGCTGCAAGGCGCATCCTGGAACGTGGCAATTAGTCACATTTGCAGGCGCATCGTCAGGGTTCCCCTGCTATCCTAGGCACGGCGGCATCTGCGGCAGTAACACAGAGGGATTAAGGGGCACCCAGGGGGAAAAATCGGACGCAAAGGAAGAAAAGGCTGCAAATCATAATATGGACTCTCGGCGACGGGCAAAAGCCTGGAAAAATCGATCTGTTAGCGCCACATCAGACAACTCCTGACTGGAGAGATCAGGAACAGAGAATGGCCCTTTGGTTGAAGTCGTGTTTTACCAGACTTGATCGACCCCTTATGGAAGGAGCTTGCACAAGTGCCCTGATCAACCCGGTTATTGAGCCTCACAAATACGAGGAGCATGCAGGAACTTTGAAGGCCAAGGCAACAGGAGAGAATCTGGGGGGGACTGTGACTGGTGACTGGCGGTGACTGGTGACTTGCAAATGGTTGCTTCTTGGTTGTGTCGTTTCTTTTGCCGTAGAATTTTCGTTGCCGAAGCGAGACCAAGGAAAGAGGAAGAGGATGAAAGCGCGCAGCCAACGGGTCAAATGACGCAACATATAATTGGGGGGTAGACAAGGCGGACAGGGGGGAGGCATCGAGGGGCGCCTACTGTACCACCTGGGGATCCCCCAGGTACTCCCAGGCACCCCTAGGCACTCCCAGGCACCCCCAGGCACTTGCACCACCAGCCCAAAACACCTGAAAGGAAGCAGCCAGCAACACCTCCAACTCTCTCCAGAAATCCAAAACTCTCACATGTTGTCCAGCTGAACCACTCACTAGACCAGCTCCATCTCGTGCAGTCTCCATCTTCTTCCAATCCTCCCATCTTCCCAAATCACACAGCCAACCGTGTGCCGCCTAACACCCCCCCCCCCGAATCCCTTGTGTCCAGGTGGGTCGTTGGGCTGCAATATGATCTCAACCCTCAGGGTCGCCTCGGCCTTGTCCTGCTGATTTCCCAGGAGGCAATTCTTTCATATATGTACCTGCACACCTGCGGCTCCAGGTTCCTCGTTTTCTTCTTCTTCTCACCTCGACTCCATTAACACACCATGTCTTCCCACGATGACTATGCCCCACGCCCACGTCGAGACCGTGCACGATACGATGCCGACGGCGGTCTCCGCTATCCAGATGACGATGACTATGCCGACCATCGAAAGTCGGCTCCACGCCACCCTCGCTACGAGTCATCCCCTCCGCCCATTGACCCTCATGACGTGCCACGACGCAAGAGAGACATTGATCCTCGAGACATTGAGCCCAAAGCCGCTCGCGATGTGAAAGATGACCCTCCCCGATATCGCGAGGATGATGATGCCAAACCAGGCAAATCCAACACTGCGGCACCAAGGAGAAGACGAAGCTTTGAAGACGACGACAACGCAGCTCGTCGTAATCCAAGAAATGGAAACGGAGATGGAGTAGCCTACGGGCGCTCTAAAGGATACCGCGAGCCAATCCCAGAGCCAGACGTCGTTGCAGCTGACCGTGAGAACCACAAAGCTCGACCGGCCCGGCACAGAGATTATGATGACGATTTTCAACCCCCTCCACCTCGTCGCGCCAACACCCAGAGAGAACCAGACCGTCGTCGTCGAGACGATCTTCCTTATGAAGACGAGCTGCATCGGCCCCGTCGTCATCGCAGTCCAGAGGACAGACACTCCGACCGCGAGCGAGGATACCGATCTGACCCTCGCGATGCACTAAAACACAGGAGGGATGACGATCGATACGATGACCGCAGACACCGTGGTGCTGGTGCCTCCCGCCGTGACGAAGGCTATGCGTCGGATCGGGGACGCTCTGACCGAGATAGGATGAGGGATCGTGATCGCGATCGAGATCGAGACCGAGACTACCGCGACCGGGACCGGGACCGAGATCGAGATCGAGACAGGGAGCGCAGGCGCTACGATTCTGACCGCGAAAGAGATCGTCATCGAGACAGGGACAGAGACAGAGATCGACACGACAGTCGAGACGGAGACCGAAGGGACAAGAAAAAGGGGTTCTCACTCGACAACATCAATGACCTCGTCGAACAAGGCCAGAAACATTACAAGACTCTGGCGCCGGTGATCACCAGCCTGACCAAGATGTACATGGACAACAAAAAGTAAACGAGAGCCCACGCTGCCTACGACAGCGAGTTGAGAGGACGAATAAAAGATGGACGTGAAAAGGCTGACTCACATTCTGGTAATGTGATGCAGATGCGGGCAGAGCAAATGCAGGTGAATTGCCGGCAAAATGATGCAGCTGAAAGGGGGGAGCAGGGCTAAATCCCCCTGGTATCTCTGACAACGAGATATGCCGAATGACGCTGGGTGATGAGGAAGAGAAGAGGTGCAAATTGCACGACTGTGAAAGGTGGGCTTGGGCTGGAGTTTCCCTGCTTTTGGGAATGGACATGTTTGACTAGGACGATTTTGCTTTACTATTTGCTGAAATGCGCGACCATCGGAATGACCAACAAACAGCGCTTGGAGGTCACGGGTGGGTGGATGGCTTGGGAGGATCCGTACAGTTCTGTCTGCGTTATGATTCACATGCAATCAGCTCCATATCAATTCCAATACCCAGTATCCAATACCAATACCAACATCAGCTTCACTAGCATTGAGCCATTCAAACAAAGCTCTCGCTCTCACATTGGAAAGCTCGCGGTGACGGAGAAGTAGGTCACATCATGGACAAATGGATAATATTACTGACTGGTATGTGGAAGAGTTGGAATAGATTGTACTCGCTGGCTGGCTGGCTGGCTGGCTGGCGCACTAGTAGCTGACTAGCCGACTTGACTGACTAACTACATACCTACCTAGCGAGCTAGGTAACAAGTAAGGACTGGCTTGACTGGGGCCTCTGGATTTGATCTTTCTCTTCTCTCTCGTCTCAATTACAAAAAGCTCAACTTGTAACGCCCCTGACGAAACAAGCTCCTGAGGACTGGTGCATATCATTCCCTACCGTCCGTCACGACAATCGACGCTGACGAGTCACCCTTGCACTTCCGCTCCGTTCACTGCCCCGTCTTGAAGATGAACGGCGGCCCTGCCCTTTTAGACGAAGACGGCCAAGGCCACGCATTGCTTGTATGACCCTTACCGCCCATGCGCCTCCCCCCGCTGGACGGCTTAAGCCTTGACGACGTGAAAGCCCGTGAAAGCCGGCAGCACGGCCCGGATCTCCTTGACGTACTCCGGGATTCCGCCCGCGTAGTTGACCTGCTCAAACGCCTTGCCTGGAACACTTCCACCCATGTCTGGCAAGGATTGGTTAGCATGTTGGCCGCGTGTCTATTTGTACCGTGGGGATAGATAGGGGGTTCGGTGGAGCGTAAAGAAACTCACATGTACTCCTCGTGGTTGGCAGCAATGTCATGTCGCTCAACTCATTAATGCGGTCCTTCCACTTCTGGCTTGCTTCTTGCGTGGCGTTGATGTATTTAATGTTTTGGCGGTCAATGTCTTTGATGGCGTCGCGGATCCAGCGGCCTTGGACCTCGACGCTGGACGGGCCGTTGGAGAGGAGGGTTGGGCCGTGAGGACCTAGGTCGATAGGGCGTCAGTGGAATTTGTAACCTAATTCGGAAGTCTTATTTAGGGAGAGGAGTGTTTGCAGGGACAGTTAACTCCTGAGGGCGCATAATACGCTTCCTGCTCAGAAGACAGACAGAGGGGTCCAGTTACTCACCGTAGAGATGGAACATGTTCGGGTATCCTGAGATGGTGGTGCCCAAGTAAGTGTAAGCTGCTTCCTTCCATTCGTCGTGCAGGGTGGTGCCGTGGATGGACTTCAATCCCATATTTGTCATTCCTCCGGTCGTAATATCAAAGCCCGTCGCCAGGGCAATGATGTCGAATTCGTGGTGCTTGCCATCGCTGGTCTTGATACCCGTCTCGGTGAACTCTTGAATCTTGGTGGCGGACTTTTCGGAGATGTCTACAATATCCACATTGTCGGCGTCTAGGACTTCGTAGTAATTCTGTTCGAGGCAGGGTCGCTTGACGCCGAATGGGTGGGGAGGTTCCACTGGGCAGAGCAAAGCACGCTTCTCAGGGTTCTTGATACGAGTCTCTTGCTTCTTGCGCCAGAAATCGTAGACACAGCGGTTTGCTTTCAAGTCAAAGAGGTAGTCTTTGTGCGAGCCAAGCCAGATACCGAAGCCCGCCTTCTTCCACAGGCGTTCGTAGACAGCTTCACGCTCTTCGGGGGTGTCCTCGAAGGTGTTGCGCTCCTCGAACTCGTACGTGAAGCCTGCAAAGTTTTTCTCACGCATCCGAAGGAGGTCGTCGTAGGCCGGGTATAATGCTTCTTGCTCTTCCTTGGTCATGTCGCGTTTACCCATGGGTAATGCCAAGTTGGGTGTCCGCTGGAAGACGGTCAACTTTTCCACTTGAGGCCCCCATTCTTGGATGATTTGTACTCCGGAGGCACCGGTGCCGATAACAGCAACTTTCTTACCGCGAGCATCCACGCCTTCAGGGGGCCAGAATGAAGAGTGGTGCATGACTCCCTTGAATTTCTCCATGCTGGGATAGTCAGGGATATATCTCTTGGCTGCAAATCCGGCGGCAATGATCAGGAATCTGCTTTTAGCGGTACGGCCATCGGCGGTCTTGACGACCCATTTCCCAGAGTCAGTGTCGAACTGTGCATCGGTGACCACACTTTCGAAGGCGCAATCTTTGCTCAGTTCGCAGACCTTGTCCACATGGTCGAAATACGCTTGAAGTTCAGACCAGTCGGGGTAATTGGTCGTCCAGGTCCAGGTCTTATACACTTCTGGGATGGCCAGCTGATAGATGGGAACCTCAGAGTCGACCCGAGCGCCTTGGGAGAAGTTCAATTGAGTGGTTAATATGCTTTCGGGACCACACGGCTCTTACCTGGGTAAACATTCCATCTCCACGTGCCTCCGAATGAGGTACCAGCTTCATACAAGACAGTCTTGAACCCCGCCTTCCGCATCTCATACAGGAGATACGTACCGCCAAATCCCGCACCAACGATCAATACGTCGACATCAAGATTGTCTGAATAGGGGTAGTCGGTTCTGCGTCGGTTGGCAAATTCGAAAAGATCTCGCTTCAGGACGCGTTCCGGCAGCTCCTTAGGCTCAGATGGGTCTCCCATGACGGGCAAGTACGGCTCTAGACGGATGGGAATGAACGAGCAGATGGAATAGGGTGAGGACAGCTTGAGAGATTCACAGGCCAAACGTTATCGGGGTCCTTATATAAACGAAGCCCCGCCGCCCAGAGTGTTTGAGACCCGGTAAAATGGATGTCGCGGCTTCTCCTCCTTTCGCTGGCATGTTGTAAGCACGCAGAGTCGAAATACTAGTATTGGGACCCATCCCTCCTCAACAAGCTGAAGCGGAACCGTGCAAGACCGTGGAAGGGCGGCTGTTTGATTTGGCGTTGGTCACGCCGCGCAAATCCCCGCTTCCCCTCAGATACCCACTATGCGGACCAGATGGGATCCAGGAATCTGGGGTCAGCAACGTCTACTGCAGGTCTGAGGAGCTGATTGGGAAGGTCGACACTGAACTGGGGTGGTGGTGCAGGACGTTCAGGCTCGAAGATAGCTTGGGGGCAATATCCTCGGCTAACTCCACGCTCAAAAGGGGCCTGAGACTTCCCATGGACCGATGTATGGCTCGTATTTGTTCTTATCAGACGACAGCAACTTGTCCTTAAAAGTTAGCGTTGAGGGGATGAAATGCTAGTGGTACAGCGCATCTCCTGATGATCGAGTAAGGATAGCCGACTCGTTGATTGCTACAGCCCTTTATCCCAAGACAGGAAGAGGACGGGATGATCAGTCGAGCCAGAAGCTTCAAAGCGCAGATCGCCCGGTTCCCGCATGAGGTGCCGCATACGGCATAACGTTTCGTTCTGCTGAATGAGACCTCCTCGAAAGAGGACCTTACAAGTACAGGCATTGTTGGAGGGCTTGTCCGCATTGTGCTGGACCTGGCGCCCTGGTCTCCAAGAACAGGCCAAGTGAAATTCTGTTCCTAGTCCTGGGAGTTTCTTTGGCCATTTCAAGAAGAGCAGGAAGAGTAAAAACTGAGCTCACATACGACTTGACTTACCCATGTCGTGCCACTTTTAAAAAGCACTCACCCTCCTTGTCACCTTTGCACTCCCCCTTGGCCCTGAACTTCTCCGCCACGTACGTCGCCAGCAAAGGGAACCAAAAACACAAAAGAGGTATTACTACTTCAGTTGTTGAGATATTCTGTTGTAAAAGCTTCTGGGTTGGTGTAAAACAGTGTGGGCGCCTTCTCAGCTTTCGACTACTTTTGGTCGCCTTGGTTCAGACCCTCCCATACGTTCGGCCTCCCCTGTAATATACAAACACTGCCTTCTCACCCTCTTGGCCTACGAGCTTCCCTCCAAGCCCCGATAGGGGTGGGAGGGATGGTACGGGGCCGTTAAGTACATGATCACGAGCATCTCTGGCCGCAAACGCGGATGATGGTGGTTCTGAGTACGAAGCACGCTTGTGAATCGGGTGGATTCGTGCTACATAAGCCAGCCTTGAAGACCCAAGAGTGGCTTCCAGCCAGATCATCACGCCGACTCTCTCAAACTATCGTCCTCCAAATTTGTTTGCCCCTGCTGGCCGTTTCTCGAACCACGAGTTCAGAGTTTTTGGAACTCTCTCTTCTGTGCAACAACTGTCAGATCAATCTATCTAGGTCACACGAAGGCGACTCCGGCCCGATTTGTCTCCGGTGTCCAGATAGATGCCTCACTCGGCAATGCAGGCATCATCACTGACCCGAAGCGGTATGTTGTAAAGCAAGCCCGAGAAAACTAGCGCTTCCGGCTCAGGATTGTTTTGTTGGTAAGAAGGCCACTCGTCCACCAAGCGTAACTTACCTCGCTTGCTGTTCGCGAAGCAAAGGAAGTCAAATTTAGCTGCAAAAGTTGACGACTTTCTAAACTTCATGACGTTTGTTGTACTGTCTAGCCAGTATCCCTGTGCTTCCTACGCGGTCTAACTCCCAGACGGGAATGCTGGATGCATCTGGATGGGTGTACTTCGTGTGTCCATGTGTCCACAACAGGCTGTACTTGAACTTGAATGAATGTCTCTGAGAACTTTCGATATAATCTATACTGAATCTCGGAATGAACGGCAAGCTATGTAAGTGGTAGATGGAGTGATCTTCATAAGCAAGTCTGTCCAGCCTACTTCTCGCGGCTTGCAGATCGTCAACATCGACAGCCAGTTTCCATTTGGTAAACTGCGAGACGTGGTGCTCATAAGACACAAAGAGAATACTCTGTCCATGAATGTGATCTCGCAATCTTCAACGGAACCACCATTTGGGCGATACAAGTTGTCCTTCCATCTTACCGGGGGTTTGTGGAAATATACATCTTCCAAAGTTTTATCTTCGAGTTGCGTTGCTCTAGGATGTTCTCATAAGTGGGAAGATCTCCCGAAGGACAGCTTAACGACTCCTGGCGGTGCAGTGCCGTACAAAAAGAGCGGCAGGCAAATGAGACTTCGTAGTCTGAGAAGAGAAGCCGCCTTCGTGAAGAGAGAAATTCTCGATACGTCCAGCCACGTGTCTGGTGAGTTGATGTTTCGAGGCAGTGACTTGAGTCTATTATCGTCGAAACATAGATATGTTGTCCGATCTTGATTTTGGTTTGCTGCAGGCGCTGTCGACCGCCAACGCCTGGGAGTCCGCATTCAGCATTATTCCCGGCTGCGGCGACTATCGTACGCTCCGCATTTTTGTAGACAGTGTCTAAATTGGCAACCCGCTGATGTCTCGCGAACGTTTCTGAAGAAATGTAAAAGAAATCATTCCAAAGACATTGGTAATCAAGCTCCAAAAGCACAGTCATTCCATCTTCGATGACACTGGGACAGCGTTCTGATACGGAGAAAGGTAGCTGTGATACGCGTGGACGAGAATCCGTGTCAAACGTAGCTTAAGCAATCTATCTGTGATTTTGCTCTGAAGGAACCTTGAAAACCTCTCTCTTTCGGCAATCTAGAAGATAAATGGAATTTGGTTGAAATCTTTTGCGCCCCCTGGTGAACTTTTGTAAGTTGTACATTCGCATCGTTCAGGTGCTGTAGTTGGGAAGCACGGCCCTGCAGCTCATCGAAATTACCTTTGATATTAAACCCCAGTACCCACGACCGGTGAGTCACTGGTGAGATCAGATCTTATCCGGCTCACTTGAGACGGCGGCGAGCCACGGGGCAGCATGACCTCTTCCGAACCAGGGGTAAGTTTGGGGCAGTTTTCCAGAAAGGCATTGCCCAACTTCTTTTATGGCCACCTCTGTGTATACCGAGTATATGGTAACCTACCTCGCCCTGGTAGAGAGACAATCCACAAGGTCAATATTCTCAATCTCCAACGAGAAACACGAGTTTGGGGTGTTATTCACCCTATGTCGAGAGAGGTGGGACAAGTGGACTGGCTGTAACGCGATCAGGGTGAAATTGAATCGGCTGTCATGGTGAGTAGGAAAGAACAGGATTTGAATAGATATAAACACAACGAGGAGCCGTGGCTGGTCTTTTGCATGAGGTTGTGTGCTGGTCCGGCTGGTGAATGTGAAGGATGACAGCGAGATGGAGATTGAGATTTCGTCAGCGGCGTTCTCTATAAACTGTTTGACCACTTACCAATCACCACCGCAGCGCTTCCAAACGCCTTGCGCAGCCAACTTCCATCAATGATGCCCTTCAACAACCAGAGCCATATCGTGGATCTGTCCTGCTTGCATAGAAGATGCCTAACAACGCCTTTTCGCGATCATCATGACGCGTCGCAAGGGCAGGCTCTCACCACCGATGTCCCAGAACCCCGTGTCCTCTGAGATCCCCGCCTCGCTACATCAGCTCTCTACCCTTTCACGTTCCCTCGCCACGACAATGGCCTCTGGCACGGGCTCCTACAGCCATCCTCTCTCCAAGTCTACCGCGATACCCAAAGCATCTCCCAACCCTACCCTCGCGAACTCGCCGTCGCAAGCCAGGCCGAATTCTCAATCCTCCTCTCACTCTTCCTCGTCATTCTCTGCTACTCCTCGTATAGGCCAATACGCTGCGCCCAAGTCCATTCCTCTAAAACGCTCCTTCTCAGAGGCTCAGCATGATCCCAGTCCCGCCCACTCTTCTAGGACGCCGTCAAAAGATGCGGAACAGTTAAATGCCAATCCCCAACTCCCCGTCAAATCCACAACCGCTATTACAGTGTCCAGTTCTCAGTCTCCCCAGACGCCGCATCGAAGGGTTTCGATGTCTACTGCAGTTGAGGAACCTCCGCTTAAGCCAGGAGAAGCGCCCGTGCTGGCGACCCACCCGAACTTGATAGCGCAGTTGATCGCCAGAAAAAGAGCGGAAAATGAGGTTCTGGGTAACCGAGAGCGATGGGCCCGCAGACAACGGGAATATCGAATGTCTCAATCTCCAGGGGTCCAATCGGTGAATGAGGTTAGTTCTCAAGTCGCTCACAATGAAGTGCCCAACGCGCCGACGACAATCTCAAATCCACCCCAGGCCCGATCTGTGTCGACCATACCGTCACTGAAACCCGTGACCTCAATTGTGTTCGACACACAAACTCCAGCGGCCGAGACCCCCTCAACGCCTGCCACAGAAGACTCCGTCAAGCCAAACGAGAATACCAGTGAGCCGCGGCACTCGAACGATAACGACTCTTTTTTCGGATCTCCCTTCTCATCGCCAATTGTTGAATTTCTTGAAAAGGCCACGGACAATGCAGGGTTGAAAGAATCAGTGAAATATCACGGGCAAATGTCCACCAAGACTGTAGGCATAGGCGCGGCGCCCATGGCTCATCCTGACGGCGCTGCCAAAGCCGCTGGCTCTACAGCAGCAATCAACAAATCCCAGGAAACGTCAGTGATACCTCCACTGTTCTCGGACAAGCCTTTGACGAACCGGTCTCAATCTCAACCTTTCCGTACGCATTTGACGCAGAATCCATCGGTAATCGTGCACCAGCAAGCTCAAACGGATTCATTGACTCCAGTCCAAGGCCAAATGGCTCAACACCAACAAAGAGGTGGACCGCCACAGCTAGCGCCTCGTCAGCTGCCTGCACCGAGGGCTGTTCCCTTCTACCCGCAGAATATGGCCATGTCGGGCTTCTATAGAATGGGAATGAGCCAAAACTGGCCGGGAGATGGCAGCAACTTTGTCCCGACTCCCGTATCGACGGCTCCACCATCTCATGCTTATGGACAACAAATGTCGCCCGCAAGCATGGCCTATGGCCCATATAGCATAGGTTCGATGGGACCGTATGGGGTGGCACCGGACCTTCCACAGCCACCCGGACCGCTCCGCACGTACGGAACTACAATGGCGGCGACGACGGCTGCAGGACAGACAAAGGAGCAGTCAATGGAGACGGGGCACATGACTACCGCAGATATGGTTGCAGGGATGAATTCAAGGCACATTACTACCGCAGATATGGTCGCCGGGATTAACACAAGGTTCAAAATTGCGACGAAGCATCAATTCAGCGTTCCAAAGAGGTAGCACAAGTCCAGCCACCTTGTCGGAGGACGTCGCTCATGAGTCGACGATATCGATGGCTTAGGAATCAAACTTGCTTCAAAAAGAATAAAAAGAGGTGGATAGAAAAAACGCATGCTCGAAGGAAGGCAAACACATTTCGAATTACTGACCAACCACCCCAAGGCGACGATGACGAACGAATGACACTCCAGAATCTTTACACAGTTGCGGTACTGTTTATTGTATTGCGTTGATGGCGTTTGGGCTCGGCTTTCTACAGTGGGTATCGAGACCGCCGCCACGGCGAGGAAGCGATTGTTAGGGTTTGTATTTGCACAGCTTAAGTTTCTTGTAAGAAAAATACCCAAAAGCCGTTAACCTTTGTACAGTACCTATGAATGCTATCATGACAGTGGGTATGGAGATGAAAGGACTGGTCAAGCGGGCGTTTCAAGTTGTGTACCTCCCTACCTAGGTAGGGACCTATGTATGTGTAGCCTTGGATTTTTCCGAACATGGATCTGGCGGAACCAGACTGCCTGCCATGCCACACAGCCAACCCAGGCTCCTCCAGAGAACCAAAACTCGGTTAGTTTGTATATAGTGCAGCCGGCCAGCCAACGAATGGCAGGCACTTTGTTAGCTGTCGGATTGATTCTTGCGCGGGCTCCGTTTTGTTTTTGTTGGCTCCTTCAAAGTTTACCTAGGAAAAGATGATGGGCTTCTTCGTCAAGCCCGAGATCAAATCCTCGACGAGATCTCTCTTGCGTTTCTTCTTTTGCTCGGCCTCGTCCAGCAGCGGGGCAGGGGGGGCGTCATCGTCATCGTTGCCGTCATTACCGATACCTGGCTCGGTGGCCCCAGATCGTTCCCGCGCATCATCCTGGTCGTCCTCGTAGTATGATGTCTGGGAAGGCATCCATGCACAGATCCTCCCGTCCCCGTGCGCCGTGTACATCTCCACGCCTTCGCCCACGGGCGCATTGATCCGCCATACCATGGCGTTGATTCTTCCTCCGCTCGTCAATCTGGCGACATTGTTGCTCATGGCGCCGGCGCCGCCCGCCGGGCCAGCTTTTCGGCCGCTGGCCCTTTTTTTCGCGCTCGCGCGTTGCGCATCTGAAATCCTGATGCCTTCTGTTTTGAGGGTCCTGACCAAGTTGCCCTCTCGCAGGTGGTGCTGGAACACCATGCCCCTTCCGTCATCGTTGGGCCACCAGAGCATCTCCTTCCCAACGCCGTGATAACCCTTCGGCGAGAGCAAAGGCTTCAACTCGCCTTGCCTTTCGTTCCTGATCCTCGGACCGTAGTGCACTAGATCATTGCGACCCGAAGCGGCGTCCCAGACACGAATGCGCTGGTCGTGGCCCGTGGTAATGATCTTGTCGCCCATCGGAGACCACTGCACACTCGTCACGGGGCCGTTGTGCGCGACAGCGTTGAAATCTAGCAGCTCGCGACGAGCTAATGCGCCAGTGGTGGGCGATATACCGATGACGCCGATCACGTCGTCGACATCCAAGGACGCAAAGGCGGCATTGGCTCGGCGGATGTCGTAGAAGAGCACGCGGCCATCGGTAGAACCGGAGGCGAGGGTGTGTGACTGCTTCGGGGACCAGCATACACTGTATACGGCACCGTTAGGGCCAGCCAGGGAGTGCGTGGAGAGGCCAGAGCGGAGATCGAGAAGCCGGATGGCCGGGTGGGCTGTTCCGACGGCGATCAAGGGCGACGAATCCGGCAGCGGGGAGAGACAGTGGGTGTAGGGGAGAAAGTCGAGGGAGAAGGTGTGGATGGGCGTAAGAGCGGAAGGGGTTATCGACGTGACTTTGAGGGTTTTGTCATAGGAGGTTGTGAGGAGGGTGGTGGGAGTAGGGTCGAAGGGGTAGATTGAGATCGAGGTGAGAGCGTGAGTGTGGGCATTGGCAGTGGTTTTCGACAGTGTTGCTTTCGGAGTGTATTTCGTTAGTATTGACCTCGGCGAGGCTGACGGAGACGATGAAGATTCGTGTTCCTCGAGGTCCCACAGCCGGATGGAAGAATCCGCCCCTCCTGAAAAGAGATACCGGCCCTCGTTGCTGTCGATGGCAAGGCAATTCACGCCCGCCTGATGGGCAATGTACGGAGGCAATCCTCTTCCTCCTTCACTGTCACCGTCTCGTGCAATGGCATCCCGTGGAGATTCTGGCTCCGTCCTCGCCCACGCAAAAGTGACGTTCCTGCGATGACCGAGGCTGTGAACCAGGCTCTCATTATGGCTTCGCCTGAAGGACGCTGACGAGACCGTGCCCAGGCACTGGCCCAAACGAAGTTGATTCATGCATCAGCGAGATTCGGACCTGCTGGCTCTTTCTCCGCGACGGCTGTGATCTAGAGCCAAATTTTGATCGGACTATTACTGGGGCTGCTGCTGGTCTTGGGCCATTTAAGACATGGTGATAAAGTGGAAGGGAGGTGGATGTTGGGTGGAAGGAAAGCCAAGGAGAGTAAAACCTGCTCGCGCCTCACCCCGGATCGGGCCAAGGGCGATGCCGCCCTGTGCTCACCCCTGCCTCACCAGCGTGGGGGCCAAAGTGTCTAACATCTCGGCGCGGGCTGTGTAATACCGACCTTGGTCACCTTGGTGGGGATTCGCAATAACGGCGGTAATTGGCCCCTTCAAGCTTCAAGTCTGCTGTCATGGCGCCCACCAGGGCTCTGAGCCTGTCCGATGAAAATACGGGTCTTTTCGAAAGCAGCGTCGCCGAGTCCGCGATTTTAAAGCCGGCACAGCGCGATTCTCCCGCTCGAGGAGAGAAGGCCAGCAGATATATTGTCAAAGAACCCCCTCGCTGTTTTGGCGAGCTACGATCCTTTCATAAGCTCTGAACACGGTCGCCCTTCCCCCTTCTCTTTCAGCTTTTCACAACGTGCGCTTAACTATTCAACAAATCGATACTCGAGCAAGTGACTTAACCTGATGCAGACAACGACCGTCATCGCAGGGCCAGTCCAGTCCTGTAGATATTGGAGAAATCCTGCACGTCCGAAAGATAACAGTAGGCCGGCAAGTATTCGGTCGGGTCTTCCGCCATTGTCCAGAATATCGGTTTGAGTGTCCGTGAGATAACATTGAAGCTCACTTATGATGCTTCAGCGAATGTCTTGACATACTATCTCAGCTTTTGGCCACTACCCCGAAGGTCGTTTTATGCTAATGGCCTTAACCACTACAGCTTCCATCATCATAAACCCAAAACATACGCACGAGAGTAGATAGTTGAAGCGAGAGCGAAGGGTACCGACGAAAGAGAGACAGAGAAGCGACCATAAGGGAAGTAGCTTGGTATACTCGGATTTGTAGTAGCAGGCTTTCGACCGATAGTGAACGCCTGTGATGGGTTGAACCCAGAGAGAAGCCTAGTTCTACACACTGAGGGGGGTATCTAATTTTTAGTTAATTCCTCACGGTCGCGGCGACTGAGGAGAAAGATGCATTGGATGATTCCAGGGCCTTAGGATCGGGTTTCTTTGATAGATGGAAGTACTAGAGAGATACAACTATGGCGCATAGCTATACGAGCCCATATCATGTCGCTACTTAAGACCGAAACGGCTCCATACTTGATAGTAGAGGCATACCACTCAGACAATATTGATAGAACCACAGACTGACCATTTTGGCCTTTTCCAAGCGATCCAGGAGTATGCATCAGCAGCTTTCCCAAATGATGACAGGCTTTATAGTGGTGCCCTCCAGCATGTCCTGGACGGCCTTGTTGATTTCAGACGGTCTGTATTGCTTTTGCAGTCGGTCGATGGGAAGTCGATTTTGCATATAAAGATCGGCTAAGAAAGGCAGGAACTAGAATGTCGACTGTGCTTAACGACCGCCACGTGCAAAGATCGGAAGGGATGCTCACCTTCCTCGATAAACTATTGCCTTGGTTCGAAGCTTGATACTTTTTGCAGCCATTGATGAACGGAAACACTTCAATGGACATCTCGGCTGCTGCTGACGGGGCTCCTACCGACACTGCAACACCGCCTGCTCCCAGAGCGCCGACCATGTCATTGATGACAGGTACAGCCCCAGTACAATCGACTGCAGCATCAGTGCCTCCTCCGCCTGTGATACGGCGTATTTCTGCTACCATGTTGTCGACCTTTAAAGGGTTTATGACGTTGGTTGCACCTAGTTCCTTGGCCAGTACCAGTCTATCCGGTTTTCTGTCGACTGCAATGATCGTGGTGAGAAGCTCCGGGTGGTCGATATGCAAGGCATGAGCTGCCATGATCGCAGCACTTCCTACTCCTCCGACGCCAAAAACAACCAGTGAGCGGATTTCGTTCTCAATCGGTTTCACCACATTGAAAATCGAGCCGGCGCCCGTCTGGACACCGCACCCAAGTGGCGCCAAGATTTCCAGAGGGTACTTCTTGTCGATTCGCACACAGCACGCCTCGTGGACAATGGCCGGATTGGAGAAAGAGGACTGCCCGAAGAAAGATGCATAGGTGGGAGTATCGTGCCACATCATTGATTGTGATCGACAAGGATCTTCCGTGACAAAGTTCCGCTCGAACATCTGAGTACATTGATACGGGCGCTCTTTCAGGCAACTGCGGCACTCTCTGCAATACGAGTACGACAGAAGAACATGGTCTCCCACTGCAACATCTCGAACGCCGGGTCCCGCTGCACGGACGATACCTGCGCCTACAAGGGTCGTCAGCTCAACGGCATCATACACTGTTCGAGCGTAGTTCTTTCCCGTACCTTCGTGACCCAGCACTACCGGGAACGCGCCGGGGAGTTTTCCATGCTGCACAGCGACGTCAGTGTGGCAGACACCAGTAGCTTTGAGCTCTACGAGAACTTCCAGTGCGCGCAAGGGCTCAAGTTCCACGGTGTCAACGACGAAAGGACGAGCTGTATGTTCGACAATGAGCGCAGTAGCTGTTACCATGACGGCTGCTGGCGGACTTGGAATGCAATATGGCTCTGTTCGCTCGGTTTGTCCGTCCTCCATACCCAGATGATCCATCATTTTGTGCTGGGATGCCATGAGCCTCAATGCGGAAAACCCGCTGTTCATAGTCGAAAGACATCGTGAACGGCGAACGAGCAAGGCGATTGGCTTGCGGAGAATCCAGCCACGACTTGCGAAATGGCGTGTCTTCCGCGGGACACGACATCGGGGAGCCAATTCCGGGGCTCTAATCCGCTAGCCCCAAGAGACCTTTACAACTACCATCTCCACGTGGACAGCGTCCGGGAACTCCGCGAAAGGGTCGCTTCCGACAAAGCAGTAAATGGGACTTCATATTCAGTGTCGCGAGCTGTACGTTGGCCTGCAGAGGTTCATGCACTACTCACCACTATCATTCCTGGACGCATAGATCGTGGAGATGAATATCGTTATAGTTGGGGCGGGACTTGGTGGACTTGGCGCGGCCCTGGCCCTCAAAAGTGCCGCGCCTCTACACAACGTCCTTGTGCTCGAGTCCGCACCACAACTGGCAGAAGTAAGTCGACCACATGGACAATCAGGGAGATCTCACCGCCAGCGATTGACACAATGAATTCCTCATCAGATAGGAGCAGGCCTTCAACTCACGCCGAACGCGACCCGACTGCTGCTCCGTTGGGGATTAGGAGACCGACTTGAAAAGGTTGCAGCAAGTCCGGAAATTCTCACCATTCTACCCTACAAGGGAGACAAAGTGCTGGGTAGACGCAACGGCTTCGGGAAGGAGATGGTCTGCAAGTATGGATCGCCATTCTGGGACATGCACCGTGCGGACCTGCAGCTGGCCATGTTTGAACGTGCTCAAGAGCTCGGGGTCAGGTTCAGGTTTGGCGCCACAGTGACAGAGTACGATTTCGAGGGTTCAAAGGTATCACTCTCCAACGGCGACGAAGTTTCGGGAGATTTGATCATTGCGGCCGATGGTGAGTTGAGTCCCACGGCACACGTGACACAGGGCGGAATATGTGGTCGGGTTGCTAATGAATCATAGGCCTATGGTCCAGAGCCCGCACTCAATTCCTCAGGAACAACGACTCCCCGCTGCCGACTGGTGATCTGGCTTACCGCATTGTCTTGCACACCAACATAATCGAGGACGAAGTTCTGAGAGAGTTCGTCTCGAAACCTCGGGTGCACCTTTGGGTCGGGCCCGACTGTCATGCGATTTACTATCCGCTGCGCAACAACACGATGATCAACATCGTGCTCCTCGTTCCCGACGATCTTCCCGAGAATGTAGCCAAAGCCCCGGGCGATATTGGTCAGATGAGGGAACTTTTTCGGGACTGGGATCCACTGTGAGTACCTGGCCGGAACAGTCCCCATGCCACAGTTCAGCCGCTGATGGTCTTCCCGGGCAGTCTGCAACGCCTCTTAGCACTTGTTCCCCAAGTTCAAAAGTGGCGTTTGATGAACAGTGAGCCTTGCTTCATTTTGGTGCCCGAACCATCGGGACCGTTCGGCTGACTGCATGTTGCAGACACGGAAATGGATTCGTGGTGCAATGAGACTGGAACAATTGCCTTTCTAGGTGACGCTTGGTTGGTCTTGCACTGCTGCATCCGAGAGAGAATCTGACCGAGCCACAGTCATCCAATGTTGCCTTATATGGCGCAAGGAGCCAACTCGGCCGTGGAGGACGCCGCCGTTCTAGGCACCCTCATTGCAAAAGCACGTGACAAATCGGATCTTCCAGCCCTCCTCCGCATCTACCAGCACCTGCGGAAGCCGCGCTCTTGGGAAATGGTGAAAGGGAGCCTCAGACAGGTAATCGTAGACGGGCTCCACCGCAGCAGCGGTGCTGAACAGAATCTATAGAGAGATGTCAACCATCTTCGAGACGGCCTGGAACAGCAACAGCGCGACAAGATACTGCTAGAACAGCTCGACACACCACTGCCAGGTTATCCCTTTTATTGGTAAAACAACACTACCATCTTGTAAATCCAAGCCTTGTTAACTTTCTCAGGCTGGATCCGCAGTCCCAGGCTTGGGTCTACTCATACGATGCCATTGAGGAGGTGAGCCTCATCTACCACACAGCGATCTGATACTCAAACTGACGCTGTGGGCAACCAGGCCGAGAGGGCCTTGAAATCCTTCCTCCAGAACGATCAATCTATCGCGTAGGTGGCTCCTCATCGCCGTCCTCCAGACAGATGTTCTCGCTGGTTCTGATCGCACAAGTCGCCTTTGAAACGTCGGCAAGGCCTCGAGGCATCTTCGAGTTCAGGGTGGTGCTTCTTCCGCAATCAAGATGTCCATCCAACTCTCGAACGAGCGTGAATGCATTTCTGGGTCCGCGAAATAGGTCCATAGGTCATCATTGATTGGGAAGTCCGAATCATGACTCTCTGACATGGGCTCTAGACGCGTTGCTCCCGCCGGTGCATCGAAAGAGTCTCCTGAGACGCCCTGTCGAGAGGCTCCAGCTGGAAGCTGTGCTGGTTCTCGCTGAATTGCCCCAGTGAGATTTGTGGGAAGGGCTAGGACCTGTTCCTTAGACATCTGAATGGGGACCGCCTTCTCTACTGTCGGTAGTGGCTGTGTGGCTGTTTGCTGTGAACTTTCAGTGTACCACAAATTTTCCGAACTGGCCTTTCCAACATCTTGTCGCCTTCTCCAACGTGCAATTATTTGGGCCACTATCTCGGCGCACCTCTTAGCAGCTTTGAGATCAATCTGCTTAAAGACGCTGATGCTCAGCTGGCAGACTGCGACTATTTCCTTGGTTTCCTCAGCTGCCGGCTCCTCGATGACTTCCGTCAAAAGTACCAACGTGGCCTGTAGGCAATAATAGCAGTAATATCTCCAGCGCCTTATGCAAGGCGCGGCCTCAAATAAGCCATGCACATGCAGGATGATAACACGGGCAGCTCGTACACAAGTGGACCGAGAGCTCTTGACCAGCTGACTAGCTGCCGAGAGGTCAGCTGCCGTGAAGGAAATCCGGTGCAGGACGATAAGAGCGAGATTGTAATCTGATATATCGTCAGATATCTTTCGAAAAAATGGCACACCCCTGCCGAGGCATTGTCACTCACGGACTAGAAGACTGCTCCGCTGGCGAGAGATCCAGCTGTTGGCAGGATCCGGCTCTCGACGAAGATCTTCTTCGAACAGGAGCAGGGCCGGGAGCGATTGCCGCCACTGGTTCAACCGATTATTGAGTGATGGGATTTGGATGGTGGTCGACCTCTTTGCTCCAATAGCGCTGCCAGATCTCGCAACCTGCGATCCACCGGGAGTGGTCAATACTTGATCACATCGGCCATCACAGCCATTAACTACTCACAATCTTCAAAATATCACGGGTGATTCGAGCGACTCCCGAAAGGGCTTTGATGAACCCAGCCATCGGTTGCTGTGGCTGGTCTGACCCTGACTGACAGCAGCACGTTAGTTTGCTTGCCACGGAAGAGAAAGGTGGAAGCGTTACAGTCGTGCCGGTTGTGTCGCCCTCCTCCGGAAGGTCGACTCTAATGTCACTTTTGCTGATGGACATTGGCCGGCCCGAGTCCAAGCTCAACTCCACCTCTTGGATATAGATCATCCACCACGTGCGCCGCCCTTCATCAGCGTCCCAGTCATGTGAGGTGAGGTTGGAATCAACATTTAGGCCGATTGAAAATGCCATTCGAGTCGCGGTCCCCGCCAGGGTGTAAGCCACTGCAATGTCAGTTAGACATCCAACCACAGAGTCAGAGCATTGTACGCACGATTTGGTTTGAGAGCGTGCTGTGCGTAAGCTCCCTGGCTGAAGGTCAATTCCGGTCAATTCAGGTCGGAAGAACTGTCAAAGGAAGGTCTTACCATGAACATTCCTGCTTGCACCAATTCTAAACTGACCGCATCGAACAAGCGTCCAAGCAACTCTTGCGCCTCGGAGAAATACCACGAAGCCCAGGTTGAGCTGTCATCATCGTCGGCATACAATGCACCCAAAGCAAGAACTGCGTATAGTAGGCATAACGATTGTTGCCGAACCTCGTTCTCTCCCTGCGAAGCGAATAATAGATTTGAGCCGAAGAGTTCTCTGAGGCGAGAGTACTTGGCACGAAATCTGGGAATGTCAAATATCGGGAAGTAGATATGGATCGTGGCGAAGAAGTTGTCCAAATGCCGATCCGCGACATCCTTCTGGAGCGTGCGATATCGCCGGATGGCTGTGTTGTGAGGCACGACAAAGTCGTACGAGTCCACCATGGTTTGCAAGCCGAGCTCGTCGGCTCCGGCACTCCAATCTTTCACACGCGCTTGCCCGTCATCCTGATCGCGAGACGATGGAGCGACGTCGTTCACACCATGTTGCAATCTCCTGGCCAGGGAGTTGGCTATGACAAAGTTGGAGGTTTCACCTACGGGCGTCGTTAGGACATTGTCCAATTGGACGGGAATAAGCATGGGCAGATACCATAGTACTCGAAACAGCCCGTTTGTCGATTCAACTCTGTGACGGAGGAGATTTTGGGCCCGTCTGGGACAAGTGTCTGATGCCCTATAGGGAATTTCAGTGCCGCCGGATGTTCGTGTTGTAGCTGTGTCTCCTACCTTCATTTCTTCCCAAATCTTCCTGTTGGCTTTGTACGATCTCTTCGACCCGACATAGCCGCGTCAGGATTTGATTCATGAAACTGACAAAGGCTTAGTCTCGCGCAAAACATAAAGCAAGACACGAGCTCACTCGGTCAGCTGGATATGGTCATCATGCGGCGTGGATTTCAGACTGCACTCGTAGCCCTTCCGGCAGCAACTTTCGCAAGGCCACTTTCCGTTGCACTGCTTGCTGTTACTTCTCATCTCGCGCGCGGATGTTATTCGCTTCATTCGATGGCAAACGGACCTTGATACGTTTCTCTCGACATTTTTGACAAGCCTCGACGGTTTTCTTCCGAATCGACTTTGGCAACCCACGGTCCAGGCGACCAGGGAGCGCTGTCAGCTGGATTTTAGGGCGTTTTGAGACGGGCTCAATACTGTTGCCTTCATCGAGACCAGTCATGTTTCTGTCGCGAGCTTTGCGGGAGTCGCCTGGAGAGGCGTTGGATTTCTGAGTAAGAAAGCTCAGAGTTGTAGTGGCGGGTGCAATTAGTCCATCCGCCCTTGTCCCCTTGTCCCCCTAGCCAACCATGGATGCGGGGTCGTCCCCATGGAGAGCGTCCTGCAGGGTCAGTCCAGAAGCCCGACGCCTCGTAGATTGGGAAAATACCCAACCACTCCAAAGGACTCGAGGGGGCCTGGATGTCATCTGCAGCATGGTCTGCATCGGGGTGTATCTTGCCCGGTTTCGCAGAACTGCGCACGAATGACCCCGTCTTCGGCTTTGCGACCGTGTTCTCTCCGGGGCCAAATGTCCATCGTCTCCAGGTCGACGGGTCAGGGTCAGCGAGCCCCGGTAGCGCACGCCGGGAGCTCCGCGGTCCAATCGAACAGGGTGCTTGCGCCGAGTCATATATTGCGCCGGGCTGCTTGCCGTCAGGGGCAGATGATGACTTTCCGTGGGTGCGTCAGTACCAATAATTCAGCTTTTAGCTCGCGAACAAACCATGCTGTTGCTGCTTCTCGCTGCTGGTGGCCTTTTGGTGGTCCTGGTCTTCAACGCAGTAGCAGCCCGAAGACACCAGAAACTGCCGCCAGGTTGCAAGCCTATTCCTGGCCCGCCTGGTTTACCTCTCCTCGGGAATCTACACCAGATCCCCCATGACTATCCCTGGCGCAAATTCAAAGAATGGTCGGACATATATGGGCCAATCATGGAAGTGAAGCTGGGCAGGGAAAGCCTGATTGTGTTGTCGAACGACGAGACAGCCAGGGAACTCTTGGAGCGACGCGGCCAAAAGCAAGTGAACCAATGACGGGGCAACTGGAGAGCTCCTCGTCTAACAGCCGTAGTTATTCTTCACGGCCGCAGACTTACATGGCATGCGAAGTGCTATCCGGCAATCTTCGGCCCCTGCTGATGCCCTACGGAGGTCAGTTCCTCACCTGCCATCCTTGAAGTCACTTTTGTTGACCATGATTTCTTTCAAAGACCGTTGGAGACGAGTCCGGAAATTCATCCACCAAATGACAATGCCGGCAAAAGCGTTGAGCTATCAACCACGTCAAGATCGCGAATCACGGAAACTGTTATTCGATCTGTTGCAAGAGCCTCAAGACTTCGCCCGTCATTACTATCGCTACGCGAGCGGCCTGATCATGGGTCTCACTTACGACAAGCCAGTTGTGACGGGCAAGGAAGAATACGTCAAGATGATTGTTCAGGTCAACGACACCCTTGAACAGTAAGTCTACTCGCCAATCTAAGGCTCGAGGAACACAGGATCATTGTGCATTCTGATTGCTGAATCGTTTGGCAAACATAGCACTGCAAAACCAGGAGCATTCCTTGTGGATTCTATTCCTGCATTGAAATTCTTGCCAGCATTTCTGGCACCATTCAAGCGCCTGGGCCAGGCTGCTCATGAATTCGAGTATGGCCTTTTCATGAACCTCTTGCGAGAAATGGAGAAGAAGCTGAACCGTGGATCACCCGTTGGTGACTGCTTTGCCAAGGAATTTCTCGACAAGGGGGAGAAAAAGGATTTGACCGACGAGGAAGGATCCTATGCCTGTGGCACCATGTTCGAGGCTGGCAGCGGCACAACGTCCGGTGCTCTGGAAATCCTAACCATGGCCCTCCTTCTATTCCCCGAAGTTCAAGTCGAGGCACAGAAGGAATTGGATGAGGTTTGTGGAGACCGTCTGCCGCAGTTTAAAGATGAACGGAATCTTCGGTACATCAAGGCTGTGTCGAAAGAGGCCCTCAGATGGCGTCCGATTGTCACCCAAGGCATTTTTCACATGTCCGTAAAGGACGACCAGTACGGCGACTACTTTATCCCGGCCAACACTGCCATAGTTGGAAACCACTGGTGAGGGTCCCCCGGTAAGCCCGCTCCAGAATAGGAAGCTGACGTGACTATCCCTCTATGTAGGGCAATTCACATGGATCCTGAAATGTATCCCGAGCCGGACCGGTTCAATCCGAGACGCTTCATGGATCCGTCATTCCCAACTGCTCGAGCGACAGACGGAGTGGAGTACGGCGCGAGTCGCGGACACTGGGCCTTTGGTTTCGGGCGCCGAGCTTGTCCAGGCCAGCATATAGGCGAATTCAGCCTATTCATCTTGACGGCTCGGCTACTGTGGGCTTTCGATTTCAAGAAATCCGTGACTGCGGACGGTCAGATACAAGAGCCTGATCCCATGGCATTTACGACTGGTAAGTCCCCAAAGTCTCTGTTTCGTCCGTCGTCGTCTTCTTCCCATTGTTTCAGCATTCGGAAATTCTCGACGGGACTAAGTCACCATGCGTGCTACCAGGTTTTAATTCCAAACCGAAAGACTTCCTGGCAACGATCGTGCCGAGGAGCGAAGGTCGCGCCGAGGCGGTCAGGGAAGCATACTTTAGTCACTGGGGAAAGCCACATAGCAAGGGCGAACTAGTTAGTCGTGGCTGATGGGGAGGCATTGAACGCTGGAGGGGCTGGTCCGCTGTTGACTGCAAGCCCGGGACGGGTCCTGTCTTGTGTTGGACATCGAGTGAAATCTTAATTCCGACATTGAAAAAGGCACACGACAGGATTGCTATACGTCTTTCGAAATTAACAAATGATGATTTGAACGCTTCGTCTCGGTCCGGCCACCCAGTGGCATTTTCCTTATCATTATGGCCTGTTGATGATTGATGGCTCGATCGTTGATCGCATCGTCAAGGTGTGCAGGGCTTTCAACCACATTCATGCAATACGAATTGTGACCCGGTAGTCGGATGAAAAGATATACAAGCTATTGAATATACGGTCAAGAACGATATGCCCGGTCTCTATTGTAAGGACAGCCATGTCAGTGATGTACTGTCTGAATGATAGTCGAACTGCTGACAGGATCGTCTCTCAGCTCGCAGGCATGCTATATGTTGAAAAACCATCGCGCACTATTGCCCGCCAATGATTCTGGCCTTTCACAACTCAGGGAGTTCCAACTGGAACGGCATTCCTGCCGGATGTGCTCCTCCACGACACTGTCGTGATTAATTTTTGCGCCAGTTCCTACCCTGCCATTGCACAAGCCCGATGAGGATCCACGCCAAAGCACAAATTGCAGCCTGCGTCCCGAAACTGGCATCAGACCCTGCTGCGGCAGCCCATTGTACCTCTACACAAAATCTTAGCTCCAGCCATATAACCCGCAGAAAATTGCCAATATCAAGCAAGGTGGAAAAACTTACGGAAGTAGTTTACGATAAAGCCCCCGATGGTTCGAAAGAAGTTGATCAAGGCGGCCGCTTCAGCAGCTTCCTCCTTGAAGATATCCAAAGCATACGCGGTGATGGCAACGGTTGTCATCAGCTGCAGCAGTTAACATGAGCCCTATCTTTGCTGACGAAAGGGGTAATACTGACACTGCCGAAAACATATATACCCCAGGCGAATGCAATCGCGACCCAGGAGAGGTGGCGTTCCAGACAAAAGCCGAGGAAAGTAAGGCCACCAATCATAAATGGTTGACCAATGCCCGCAGCCCATAGACGGACCTCTGGGTCAAATTTCCCGTCGTGCTTGCGGATGTATTTGTCCGCAACCCAGTCGTCTGTGGCTGGTATTAGCATACTAAGTCGGAGGAGAGGAAGTCAAGGGTCTTGGATTTACTGAAGTAATGGCCGAATAATTCGCCAAGCGCAGTCGCAGCAATGGGAGCAATATAGAGCAGTGCAACATTAAGCTGCGAGAAGCTATAACCTCCATCATCAATAGGCATAAATAGTATCAAGTTCTGGGTATGTTCATCAGTCACGAGATATCGAGATACCTCAGTACTCACCAAGCTTGTGTTGATGCCAACAGACCACATAAAACTCAACCCGTAGGATACTGCCACGGATTAGTTATGCAAACACGAAAGACTGCACCGGCTTGGGCCTTTACTTAACAGGGGGAGGAAGTATGGCTTGGACGCCACAACGAGGATCCTTCGAGTGCTTGTCACGAGGGAGAGTCGCCCTCGCACTTTGGCGCCGCGGACCCCAGTGAGCATGTAGAATCGTCTGACCTTAGCAGATCTTGGCGTCGGGGGAACCTGGGCGTTGTCGTGACGATCGTAGAGTGTCTCTTCCCCAAAAAGTAGGACCAACAGCGCGGCAACGCCGGTGAAAGCGGTGCAAGCGCCGAAGGAGTGTCGCCAACTGTAATATTGGGCAATAATGCCGCTAATGAAGGGTCCCACAAAAGGAGATTCTACAAAAGCCCAAGCCCAGATGCCAATAGCACGGGCGTGTTGGTGGAAAAAGAACCTGACAATGTCAACCGATTCGGTGTCCTCTTATGGAGTGCAAGGCCAGCAGAACATACATATCGTAGATGAACGACAGACCAATCACTTGGGGCGCTGCAGAGAAAGTTGTCTGCAAGCAGCGCACGACAATAAAGGATATATGGTCAGGTACGAGAGTGGCGGCAAGTGACATCCAGAAAGAGAGAAACATGGACCACCACAACACTGGAAGGCGGCCGTATCTTTGAACCAATGGAACGGACAACAAACTGCCGACGCCGATCATCTGCTCACTGTCAGTAAAAGATCACTGGTGTTCGGAAAGGTGGCTCCTTACGAAGACATTGCCAGACATTGACCGCCCCGAGTCTTGGATGGAAATGTCCCAGTAAACCGACTGTGGTACCACCAAAGGTATGCCAAAACCAGCCTGAGAATCAGGCATGGCCGCACAATAGGCCACTACAGCAAGTACCCTCCATTTCTTTCTGTTCGACCAATTCAAGGTGTCTTCCGGGTCGTCACATGGCTGTGGGATGAGAATTGTGCTGCCATCTGCCGTCTTCTTTAGAACTGCCACATGTTCTACTGAGGCTTTCTCATCCGCTGCCGAAGCCAGGTTCTGCATTACGCTTCAGCTCTTGACACCATCGGCAGAGAAAGAGTGACTCGGCGGGTGTTTACCTTGTTGTCGGTCCCTGGGCTGACAATGTAGGTGCCAACCGCTTCGTGGGACTCGATGTCGGTCATGTCTAGAGTGTTGGTCATGTCGTCGAAGAGTATGGACAGTGGAGAGGCGATGGTCGCGGTACCTGAAGGGTGAATGTTGTCACCGGATCAAAAGAGCAATACTCTGGGGTATATACCCACCACAATTCCGTCCGGGGACTCCAGGCATCCCCTGACCGCGGGTTCCGAACCAATCAGGAATCTCAACTAGTCGTACCTGGCTAGAAGCACGAGTCAATGAGCCCGCATCTCGTGGAGAAACGCTACACGAACCAGAGAGGTCTGGACGGCGAGCGCGGAGATTCCGAGCGAATCATCTCTCGGTCCTAGTTTCGTATTCACGGGAATTCGTCTGATGGACGCCGCCCAGAGGAACGAAATACAATTCACATACTGGAGACTGCTCTAGTGGCCATTAGAAAAGAGTCTCTCTCACACGTTTCGCGTCCGATTTATGCCACTCTTGTATGAAAGCGTAATATACGTCAGCATCATCCAAGGAAGACACGCACTCGACGAAGTTAACTTTAAGGTAGCGTGCCCATGAGCACCATAACGAGTATCATCTCGCAATTTTCAGTCCCTTCCCTGGGAATTCAAGGCGAGGAAGTCCTCTCGATAGTTCGCCGACCAATCGATAAGAAGTATGTATGTTTCTCCGGGACCCCAACAGGAGACGAGTAAATCGGGTGGCGGTCTCAAGGGTCTCCGCACAGCTATGTCAATCCCTGGTCAATGACAGACTAGTGCGAATCGATATGTGCTTTCGACTTCTTTGCAAGTGCGATAGTAGAAAACGTCAACCGTGATTCTTCACTAAAATAAGAGCCACGTATACGTATAAAGAACCCACTCTAGGGAAAGATATTGCTCATTATATGGCAATTCGTAATTAACTTTGTCAGTGTAGGAGCCCATTTCGCCCCTAAGGTACTGAGGTATTGGAAAGTCGAACAGTTCGAGTTCCCACCCAGCACTACATTCAATTCTGAAATGTCACTGTCTTTGTCCTGAGAAACTCTTCCAGACCCAGATCGCTTCCAAATCTCCCAAAACCGCTGTTTTTCACCCCGCCGTGGGGAAGTGTTGGCTCGTCGTGAACTGTCATACCATTAATATGGACAGCCCTAAGCGAATGAGTCAGTGAGGAGTGGTCTTGAATTTGGAGAATCCGCCATACCCGCTATCAATTTTCTTAACCAACCTCAGGGCCTTCTGTAAGTCGCGTGTAAACACTGCGGCCGACAGTCCATATTCAGTATCGTTAGCAACGGCCACGGCTTGCTCTTCATCATCCACGGTAATGAGTATCACAGTAGGCCCAAAACTCTCGGTGTAGTATAGGTCCATCTCCTTAGTAACTCCTTTTAGGACGACGGGTGTCATCCTGGCTCCCTGAATGCCATTTGTATCATGGCCGGCCAAGGGTCTGGCACCACCCGATATCGCTTGCTGAACAAGTCGGTTTGTCCTGTCGGCCGCTCTGTCAGACACCATCAACTGCATTCCGTCTCCTTGGCCAAAACGCTCCTTAGTGGCAAACATGAGCGCTTCGACGAATGCGTCAGTCACGGAGGACTGGACGATAATCCGTTCACAAGACATGCAAATTTGTCCGGCATGGAGGAACGATCCTCGTGCGCAGGCGCGTGCGGCTTGCTGCAAGTCCGCATCTTCGAGTATGATCGTGCTTGCTTTGCCTCCAAGCTCCATAAGAACGGGTTTGATATTTTTGCCTGCAATCTCGGCAATTATTCTGCCAACAGTAGTGCTGCCGGTAAAGTTGATCTTCTTCACCGCTGGATGCTCGATGAGGGCCCGAGTGACTTCGGCAGCATCTTTAGGACGATGATATATAACGTTGAGGCAACCCGGCGGAAGTCCAGCCTCTTCAAAGATAGACACAATCGCCCAGAAACAGCGTGGAGAAATCTCGGAACCTTTGAGGACACACGTGTTGCCGGCCGCAAGTGCATATGCTACACTGCGAAAACCGAGGATATATGGTGCATTCCTACATAGTAAGCATTAGTTGATCGATGCTAGATAGGGACGGCTCTCTTACCAGGGAGCGATGGCAAGAATAACGCCCCAGGGCTCTTTGTAGACTAATGCTGTACAATCCTTGGCGGAGGTTGCGGGAATAAAGCCCTGTATCGTAGCAATCCGCCCTGCGATATCCCGCAGCAGCTCCGCTGAAATTTGAACATTGAATTTGCACCATGACACATCTGCACCGGTTTCATCTCGCATATACTTGGAGCATTCGAATGCGCGTTGTTCCAAGATATCAGCTGCTCGCAAGAATATAGTTCGCCGCTTCCCAGGTTCGGTCTCGGACCAGGCAGGAAAAGATACCTCAGCCGAAGTGACGGCAAGTTTAGCCTCGTCCAGAGAAGCTCCTGACACTGTCGCTATAACCTCACCCATGGCGGGGTTGATCGTCTGGAATTGATGGTCTGTGTAAATACTCTTCCCCGTGATATGGAGCGGCACTTTATCCAACCCGCGGCTCACACCGTCACCATTTTCGGAGTCGATCATAACTCCAGTCATTATAGGGATACTTCAACCCCCCAATTGGTAAATGACTGTTAGGATATGGTTACAGGGCCCGAGAAGATGTCCGCGAGAACAATTTTAGGCTTAAGAAGCCATGGTAGTAGCAACATAAAATTGGCCTTCTGAGCCGTCTTCTAGAAACCCCCAATGTCACGCCGCGGTCATTCCTGCCCAATCGTTTAGGCCTTGCGGAGTGAAGCGTAAGTGCGTTACCAATCTACTACGAAATGTCGGAACCAGCCCGGCAAAATAAGTTTTGGTTGGCATGTTTGGCTAAGGAATACATTCCCGTCAATAATTCTTACATTTTACGTCGTCGTCTATTGATTTGCTTTCGAAAGCAGACCATGAACATAGTGCCTATATAGATACCTTATTATCTCCAGCGTTGCCAAGATTCACCATTCGAATCCATGAGTAAGCCAACGGCAGTACTATTAGAGCTGCTGCTGCGTCCTAACTGGGTTAGGTTTCTCAGTAACAGATCCTTTTATTAGTATGAACTGGAAGTGGACAACACAAGGTATGAGCAAGCAATGTTACTAAGAGCAGTATCGTTCAGTAGATAACATGAATTGGCTACGGAGAAAGTGTAACTATGTAAGGGAGGGAGCGTAACTATATACTTGTGAGGGCCTTCCGAATGAGGCAATGTGGAATGGTATGCTGGCCTATTGGCATGCTCCAAGCCATCATGCCAGCATGCCGGCTTCTTCCTATCCCAGACGTCACGTGACCTCTTTAGTCTTTGCTTCTTAAGGCTGTCTTCTCTTCGGTTGAGCTTCCTTCCTTATATACCCCACGTGTCCCCACGGGTTTCCAAACCTATGACTAATAAGCACCTTATTGGTCAGAAAAAAGTTATTCCGCGTCGTCGGCGCCGGAATCGATATTGTATTGTAACAGAGCACTTCAGGGTTTGGCGTGCACGTGCAACAACGCACAGAGGCCTGTCCAGCAGATCGGGAATCGGGAACGCGTTTCTGGTTGATACTGACAACAACACCACCAACACCACCCAGAGAGGCAGCGGCTAGGGCTACGAACACCTAGCACAGCGGCAGCATCGAGGAACAGGACAGGACTGATAAAAC